CCGCCGCGCCCCCCCCCCCCCCCCCCCCCCCCGCCCCCCCCCCGCCCCCCCCCCCCCCCCCCCCCCCCCCCCCCCCCCCCCCCCCCCCCCCCCCCCCCCAAGATAAAAAAGAGAGAGAGAAAAAGGAAAGCGAGGCGGTACAGATCCATTCCTTGGATGGACAAAGAGCTAATAATATATCTTTAGTGTGGCTGGTGAGGCACTGCTGCACCACCACTAGCTTGGCGGCCTTAGCCAATGGGCCATGGCGTCATGAGAGAAATGATGGTTGTTCAGTCAACCAACGGGCCGGCAGATCCCCACTTTTCATGGCGGCCGCCCCTCGCCTTGATTTCATGCCTTTCCCCTTGAGTAGCATTGGCATGTCCAAGTTATCAGCGCTGCCCCTGGCTGTTGCTGGTGTCTTCCAACTCTGTTTTCCCTAACAAGAAGCCGAAAAAAACATACGCTCTTTGCAAAAGATTACCCTCTCGCCCGGACCTCGAGATTGCTGCAGCGTCGCTCGTTATTTGCTTGAAGCAAGCGGGGAAGGCTCGTTCGTATTCAGCTCTTGCTAGGGCAGCTAAAACCAACCGACCCTCAAAGCGAAACCGGGGTAACCAAGGGAGGCGCCTGACCTCCCTCGGCGTGGTGGACAGCAATACGCCGAAAAATACGAAACCTGGCCACATCCATTTCAGCCCTTGCTCCTCGCCGAGAGCTGACAGAAGAGTGCACAGCAGGGCCTGTCTTGTCCTCCACCAAGCCACTGCTGCATCGAGTCGTCGCTCCTTGCGCCCCGGGGTTTTTCTTCCCTCGACTGATTTGGCAGGACGCTGTCGTTGTCTCCCACAAGATCCTCGAAACTAGGAGGCAGCGAACTGTTACATCTGTATAGCCCTTCTTTTGCGACCTGTCAGATCAGATCCTCCATGCCCAAGTTTGATTTGGGGGCGCACTATTGACAACCACAAAACGCCCCCATTTTCGGCCTCCTGCCCCCTTCTGGCGATAGCGCCCCTGTCAGCCTCACCGGCTTAATAACGTCCCGCACGAACTGGTTCAGGGCTCCATCAGCACGCAGCAACGAACACGAAGCACGCAAAGGGAAATCGTCCCTGCACGCTGCACGAGAGGGCAGCTGGAGCTGATTACCCAGTCCGTCATTTCATCTGCCCCAGAACCCCAACTCGACAAGACCACCTCGACCTCGCCATCCTCATGGCTCGTCCACACTACTCGAACGACGACGAGATGGCAGAACGCGAGCCTCTCGACAACCAGAATTACCGCGGGCCTCGCGCTCCCGGGCACGCACAACAGTATCAAGATCAATACCAACAAGCCGTCGAACAGCAGCAATCACAACAACAACAATATTACCAGCAGTCGAGCAGAGGAGCCCGCACTGGCCGCCTGCCTGGCATGCATCCAGATTCCTCCTTCAGCCAATTGAGAAACAACAGACGATACAGCCGTGACAGCTCGGCGAGCCTCGGTGACAATCAACCACCGCCCTACCTGACTACCAACACCCCCGCGGCGAACAATTATCGACAGCCGGACCCCGTCTCGCCCATCTCCCCGCCGCAGCCCCCTCCGCATCGCAGCGCCGACGGACGGCAATGGGGCCGGGAGCCTGGCTACCCCCCGCGGTCACAACAACCCCGGCCACAGAGCAACATCACACCCGGCGCAGACAACTTCAGCGAGGCAGCAGCCGGTGGCATGGCCGGCATCGCCTACACCGTCGCCGAGCGAAACGCCCGCGAGAGCGGCCTGGAAGCGATGCGGGCGCCAACCAACCCACAGCAGGCATACCACCAGGGCCAGGGCTATAGCGAGCAATACGGCGGCGGCCTGCGTGCGTGGGACAACAACCACAACCGGTACTCGTACGGCGAGGCGAACGGCGGCGGCGTCAGCGGCAGCGGCAGCGGCAGCAGCGGCTCTGCGTTGGACCGGAGTTCGCACCCGAGCCTGGCCGGCCTCACGCCGGGGGCCATACCGCCGGGGCTCTCGACCCCGGGCGCCAGGACGCCGTCGAGGAGCTCGCGCAGCTTCACAAACGACGTCTACACCGATGACCCCTACCAGAGCTACTCGCGCCCCCAGGACCCGCACCTGGGCGTGGTCAACCCCAACGAGATCGAGGACGACGGCGATGAGGGGCTAGAATATGGTCGGAGGGGACCAAGGACATCCATGCTCAGCCTCGGAGGCTCAAGTCACAGAGGCCGCGACGGTGCTGCCGCGGCGGGCGTGGTGGGCGGTGCCGTGGCGGCAGGCGGGGTGATGGGTGCCTTGGGAGGGCTGGTCGGTCGGAACAACGGTGGCCGCGGCGGTCACTACGGTCATTACGGTCCTGTCCACAACGCCAGCACATCCTACCAAGGCGGTGGCGGCAACGGTGGCGTCAACGCAAGCACGTACGACCTGAGTAGCGCCGGCATGAGCGCGGAGAAGTCGGACTGGCTGGCCAAGGAGAGGAGGCGATCCAAGAAGTGGAAGATCGCCATAGGCCTCGGCGTAGGGCTCGCGGTGGTGGCGGGGATCGTGTGCGGGGTGGTGTTCGGGGTGGTGCTCAAGAAGGGCGGGTCCGGGAACAACTCGTCGTCGACGGCGGCGGGCGACACTGCGGCGAACGGGGACCTGGGCATCAACTCGCCCGAGATCAAGGCGCTGCTCAACAACCCGAACCTGCACAAGGTGTTCCCGGGCGTCGACTACACTCCGATCAACACGCAGTACCCGGACTGCATACACGACCCGCCGTCGCAGAACAACATCACGCGCGACATTGCCGTGCTCTCGCAGCTGACCAACACGATCCGGCTGTACGGCACCGACTGCAACCAGACCGAGATGGCGCTCCACGCGCTCAAGCGGCTCGAGATGCAGGACACGGTCAAGCTCTGGATGGGGGTGTGGCAGGACGACAACACGACGACCAACGAGCGGCAGCTGGACCAGATGTGGACCATCCTGGACACGTACGGGCCCAAGCCGTTCAAGGGCGTCATCGTGGCCAACGAGATCCTGTTCCGCAACCAGATGTCGGTGTGGGAGCTGGGCCAGCTGCTGACCACTGTGCGCACCAACCTGACGAAGAAGGGCATGTCGCTGCCCGTGGCGACGTCGGACCTCGGCGACAAGTGGACGGCGCAGCTGGCGCAGCAGAGCGACTACGTCATGGCCAACATCCACCCCTTCTTCGGGGGCATCAACGCCGACGACGCCGCCGATTGGACGTACTCGTTCTGGGAGGGCCATAACGGCGCCTTCTTCAAGTCGGACAAGTCGCGCAACATCATCTCCGAGACGGGCTGGCCGTCCCAGGGGGGGACCAACTGCGGCGTCGACGGTGTCACGGACTGCCCCAAGGCCAGCGTCGCGGGCGTGCAGCAGCTAAACCGCTTCATGGACGACTGGGTGTGCACGGCGCTGTCGAATGGGACAGAGTACTTCTGGTTCGAGGCCTTTGACGAGCCGTGGAAGATCAAGTTTGACGAGGAGGGAAAGAACTGGGAGGACCACTGGGGGCTGATGGACGTGAATAGGCAGCTGAAGAAGGGTGTCAAGATCCCCGACTGTGGGGGGAAGACGGTCAGGTGAGGGGGCACAGGGGGACGGAGGGGGGCGCAGGGAATATTGGATGGTGCTGTTGCTCTACAAGGAAGCGTGATTTCTTCTCTATATACCTACCGACCCGGAGGAGAGGGGAAAACGGGCAAGGGAAGGCCCCTTTCAAAGTTTGGATCTGGCCATGCTTGTGGGCAGGGCGGCCTCACCGGGCGACTCACGGAGTTTCAATGGGCGTGGAAGTCATGATTTGTTTTATCGGGTTGCACCTTACCTATTGTTTATTGGGTGCATCTTGCCTCCTCGCTCCTCTCTAGCAGGGCCCGTCTCCTGTGGTCGTGTCTGCTGAGCGAGGGAGGGGCTTGTGCTTCGTGTTTGTTTTGTGTTTTATGCTTTTTTCGCCTTAACAGGTAGGCGGACTGGTACCTATATCTACATATGTGTATTCGACATGCGTGTATAAGGATAATAATAGAATTCGCACTGGATAGGAGACATGACTTGCCATCCTCCATGCTACCAATTTTCTGTATGTACCTCCGTACCTCCCCAATCGCTTTCAACTGACCTACTCAAATATTAGACGATGCATTGCCACCCCCAGGACCACCGGCAATACCACTCCCAGCTTCCACCCCTCCTACAGGCTGACAATCAACCGCAGCATCGCCAATCCCAGCGTCCTCCCGCTTGACCGTCCGCGTTCCCGGGATCCGCCCGTGCGCCGCCCCCGGGTCCTGACAGTGCGCGACAGGCATTTCGGCACGGCATCGCCGGCACCACCGGGTCTCGGGGGCTGCGGCGTCATCGCCTGCCGTGCCGGCCGGAGGCATTGGAGCCGCTGTGGCGCGGGTGATATTTGTTGGGTTCTGGTGGGTTTGGTGGGTTTCTGTTTCTGGTTCTGGCTTGGGGATGGAGGGTGTCATGATGAATGAGGAGTGGGGGGTTCTCGGGCTTGATTGGGCGCGATTGGTTCCTTCTTGAGCTGCTTTGTAGGGTAATTAATTGTCAAGCAAAGGGCGTCTGGAGAATGTCAAACAAACTCGCAGGTCCGGTGCTGTGCTCTTATGCCTTGTTGAAGCTTGACAGCAGTGTCTTTGTTCCCTCGGTATCTCCTCGTCGACTCCTCATTGTCCTTCGAGGTAGTCCATTTGAATGGGCTTCCAGCAGGAGCAGTCGCGTTGAAGTGATTGCTGGAGCTTTTGACTGGCTGACCAGTGGTGATTCAGAATGGGGATTGAGCCACCACGGATCAAGAGGGAAAGTACACCGTGGAAGCAGGGCCAAGTCGGTGATGAGAAGAGATCTAGATCATCAACTTTACAATGAACTTAAATCCCATCAGTTGTCTACAACTACAATCCCCAACTGTAGTGATCGGATTATCGAGTATCCCCCATTTCTTTATCCCCCTCCACTCCCTTGTTTCATGTCAGGTGCTCTATGTCCCCTTTTTCGATACCTTTGTCTTAGCAGTGTTGGGCAGACTTCTTTATGGCATTCATCCTCTCCAAAGCCCACCCTCCACTGCACAGTCCTGCTTTCTATTCGACTTTGCAATCTCCTGCTGTATGCTAGTCTCACCATTTGGGATCATCTCCACCCTTGACAAGTTCCATGTAAGTCCAACGGTCCATGGTCAATCTAATTTCCAGTCCTTGTGAACACTCAATCTCTATTCATCCTTCCTGCCGTTGTTGCTGCTATTCTCGTCGACTCACAACTCCGTGGCTGCTCCCTGAAGCCTGTGATACCACCCTTCCTGCCTCCTCTCCAACAAGCCCGACCCCGACCCCGACCTTTGTGAATGCCCATGCCCCACGCTTAGTCGTCAATAATCATCGCCATTAGTATCGCTGGGGCAATATTCCTTGGACCAGTAGGGCAAGGAACCCTCGATCCACACGATATCAAAATACAGAACCCCCACCGTTCTTTTGTTGTGGTGGACCTCTTTTCCCCATCATCCACCACTTCCACTCACCTCTCCCAACTCTCCCTCCACTCGGGAATACCCTCCACGGGCTTCCGTCAACGGTGGCAGCTATTGATATCTATCTCTTCGATGTAGGTTCAGCAAGCTTGCCATCGCGGCCGTTGGTGATCTTGTTTTCAGTCACCAGCCAAGGTAAGTTCGCGTTTCTTGAAATATCCACGTCTTCCAAAATACATCTGCGGCCCCGCGACGGCCCGTCCACGCCAAGCCCCAACACCGAGTATCTTCCTTGCTTCGTTGTTGCCGTTTCCGTGAACTGCACCAGAGATATTTTTCCAACCCAGCTGTCTCTTCTCTTCCCTCACAATTCACCTCCGGGAAATACTGACACCAAGAATCAGCAGAAAATCTTCTCTTATATATATTTAACTCCAACACTGGGTAAGTGCCAACCGAGTCCTTGCTTCCGTCCCAGGCTCCGGGTTCCAAATGGGTTGCTGACCGACCTGATCCTCGACCTAGATATTACTGCCTCCGAACATTGCTGATCCGTCGCGTGGGAATCTTTGCCCTTCGGGCGTTACACCACCAGCTGTCCTGTGGACGTCCATCTCCGGTTGTCCAACGGGCATACCTACCAGTACTCTCGTATATTCTGAAGTGGGAGGGAGCAGCTCCCAATCCCAATCCACGGGGTGCTGCTACCGTCATCGCAGACAAGTCACAGTTCCCAGCGATGGGAAGGCCTCGGTCGCCGACAATGAAAGACATCATCATTTTGCCCTGAGGGCGACATGTCGATCATCCCTTTTGCCCTGTGGGCGACGCGTCGGCTCGGGGCCCCGCTTCTCCCCCGGGGAGAGGCGGCTTGGCTTGTCTTGCGTTTGACGGGGGTGGGAACGCTTCAGGAGGCTACAGCCCCTCAACTTACTGGTAAGTCGGCTCCTCTCCCATGCGAGAACAAACATGCCTCGCCTTCCCGACTGCCCAAACATTCGGCCCGGAAAACGCTAACAGACGGGCCCCAATCTGTGGGGCAATCATCAGGGCGTGCTCGTCTCTTTGGATACCCTACCCTTTGGCATCGCCTCGCGAGAGGCGATGCCGCTGACCGTTGGTCGATTGGGGTTTTCCAAAGGTGTGTTTTCAGTTTCCATCTGTCTTTGTGCGAAACGTCAAATGCATATATCCTGCATGATTTTTTGTTTCCTTGCATTTGGCCTTGGCCTTGGCTCTCTCCCATCTCCTTCCCCTTTGTTTCTTCCAAGTGTGAGAGGCACAGTGCCGACCTGAGATTCCAGTTCGTCAACTCCTTCTATCCAGAGCAGCATTTGCTCTCCTTTGAGTTCAAGGGAGACCCCGCTATCTTGATTGTGCCTTCCATGACTTCCATTTCCTGCCAATCATCAAGGTCTGTGGCTCTTTGTGACCAGAATCAATCAGGGCCAGTCAAGGGTTCTGTCAAGTCTGATAGCTCCTCCCCTAAAGGTCAGCCATATCCAAGCAGGGCAAGTGTCAACCTAGGACCTCAGCACCGTGCGGTACTTGGAGTTCCTCAGACTGTGAGACTGATGGTCAGTGATGCCCGTGCTGCCATGAAGGCAGAGACCACATTGACCCGTGACCCTCACCTCCTCTATCCATCCCCCCCCCCCATGTGTGTGTACAACGTCAAGTCCTTATTTACCCGAGGCTTACCCATCTAGCCATTCAGGGGCACCCAAACATCACCGTTTGGGAAAGCTCGTACTTCTTGCTTGTATTCCACAAGTTTGTGCACCTACTCCTTCTATTTGAGCCTCACACTTCGCGTCTTCCGCCCACTTCACACCTACCATCTTCCAACTATCTCTTCCTTCTCCGTCCAGAGATCAAAGATCGCGAACCAGTCCCGCTCCAAGGCCATTCATGCCGTTAGTCTATGATGATTGTTTCTCCCAGTGCACACAGCTAACTTGATATCCAGAGCGAGTTCATAGAAGAACTCATCTTCTTCTCTGGCTCGACAGGTGAGAAAGCACTTTTTACTTCCTTTCTCGAACATTCCATCCTATCTGCACCAGTACCTTCCTCAACAGGTATTGTATTTCCCGTTTGATATCGGAAGCGGCATTTTCCATCCCAGCTCCCCTCTGGTACCTTCGTACCTTTCTTTGCCGACACCTTCCCCAGCCAACGGGAACTTCCACCTCACTTTCCTGCTTTCTTCACCTTCCTCCTCTCCGACTTCCTCCTCTCCGACTTCCATCTCGAGGCACCTCAGTACCAACCTGGTCTTCGAAAATCACCTCTCTTCCCAACTTGCACATAGCCTCCCTGTTGCCGTCGTCTATCCTGATATTTGCACGAGATTTCGCGTCGAGATTTTGTGTCTGCCCTGACCTTCACATCGAGATTTTTCACCTCCCCTGCGTCTTTTTGTTCCTGACTTACCCGACTTACCCTATCGCATGCCCGCACACCCTGAAGGGCCAGTCGCGCCTTGTTTACCTCCAGCCCCACCATCACGACGCGTCGTAGTCCTTTTCTAAGGGACTCGGAGTTGACCTTTGCGGAAAGCAGAGAAGCAGATGAGAGTTGTCGACAATATGTCGGCAAAAGAAGCCTCAGCCGGCCCAGAGGTTAGTGATAATCATCAAGATCCCAAGTTTCTTCCCTATCTGTCCCTTCCAAGTTCCATCCCATGCTGATTACTGACTCCTTGGTGGGGGCAGCTGCTTGAGATACTCGAGCAGCACGTACACCACGAACCGCGTGGTTACCTTGAGTGGAAGCTCACTCCAGAGTTTCCCTCGGGGGGCGAGGTCCTTGCCTCCATGGAGGAGACTAAGGACCTTCCTCACAACCGCGTGGGGGAAGTGTGGGAATCCAAGGAGGCGTATTTGGAGGCCCAGTACTCTATCCTTCGCCGGGAGGGGACGGAGGGGCTGCGACATGCAGTCAACCTGGTCCGCTCCAATCCCGAGAGCCAGGATGACGAGGAAGTCTGCGTCTACAAGCGGGTATGTGTTCCCCCACCACACCTCTGTGATCTCGACTGACGAGAATCCCTGTTCTAGGTCCGAGTCCTTGGATACCTGATGGCCAGAATTGGGCCCATCTGTCGAATTAGCTTCTCCACCGAGAACGCTGGCCGCCGCATTCAGTGGCTGCAGTCGCCCCGGCTCACTCCCGGCACGATCATCGCCATTTCGACTGCCGCAGACCAGTTCAGGACTATCTGCAAGATCGCAAGCGTGGCGCAGCGCCCATACAAGGACGGGCTTGACCAAAACCCACCCCAGGTGGACATCATTTGGGCAAAAGCCAGCGACGCCGTCGTCGACCCTGAGCTGGAGCTCGTCATGGTGGAGTCTCGGACCGGATACTTTGAGGCAGTACGGCACGCTCTTGTTGGACTCCAGATGGCCGCGACCTGCCAGTCAGTTTTATCCCCTGTTGTTCCTCTCCATCGGGTGTACACCTACTAACCTATTCCAATTACCAGTTCGTTGTTGGACAAATACCTGATCAATGGAGACAGGAGCGACCCTCCAGCACAGTTCATTGTGGATAATCCAGTCATGGACATGTCGTCGTTGGTCCATACCCGGAATGGCTCGATTGACTGGAATCTCCTCCGAAAACACGACGTCCTCAAGGGTATCCCAGATGTTCGAGGCGTCACCAGCATGGATAATTCGCAAGTTCATGCCCTTCACCGCATCGTTACGAAGGAGCTGGCAATCATCCAAGGCCCCCCAGGCACTGGCAAGACATTCACCTCAGTCGCGGCTTTGAAAGTCATCCTCGCCAGCCGAAAGCGCGGTGATCCCCCCGTCGTCGTGGCAGCCCAGACCAACCACGCGTTGGATCAGCTTCTGTCTCTCATCCTCGACCATGGCGCTCGCATTGTCCGAGTCGGTGGCCGGACGGAGAATGAGCGTATTGCAGAACACACCGTCTTCATGATGCGACAGCGATCCAAAGTCCAATCCTCCGGCTTCCGGGCCATTGAAGGAGCCCGCCAAGGCAACATTCACAGGCTCAAGGGGTTGGTCTTGGCGGCTTTCAATGACGGCCTCCTCGATCCAAATGCGCTCTTAGCTGCCGGTATCCTTACCCAATCCCAGTACACGTCCCTGGTCAACGATGATATGGAGCAATCCGAGATTCACAGATCCGGCGGACCTTTCTCCATCTGGCTCGGAGCTGAGTGCGTCCCAGCCAAAGTCCTCCGCCAGACTGAATGCAATTGGGTGCAGGGAGACGACAACGACTTGGAGGGCAGAGATCATGAGTTCGACGGTGACCTCGAGCACATTGCAGTTGATGAAGAGGATCGCGAGCGGATCCGAGGCACTTTCATCCGCCTCGCTCACAAGTGGACAGGCAAGGAACCCTCACACCTCTCGAGCTGGCAGTTCCGCGCCGAGAAGGAGCTGCGCAAGGAGGACTTGTTCGAGATTCCCAAGGCCATGCGCGGCGCCGTCTATCAGCTCCTCATGGCCCAGTTCATCGCCAGGTTACAGCCTACGTTCGCTTCTCACCTCCAAGAGAATATCAACATCTGCAAGGACTCAAAGATCAACAGATGGGAGACGGACATCGAGATCGTCGCCGAGGAGTGCATCGACGTTGTCGGCTGCACCACAACCGGTCTCACGAAGTACCGTGGTTTCCTTGCTGCGCTTCAGCCGCGCACCCTCATGATCGAGGAGGCGGCCGAGACTCGTGAGAGCAATATCAGCTCGGCCCTTTACCCGTCTCTCCAGCAGCTGATCCTGGTCGGTGACCATCAGCAGCTCGCACCCAATTGCGATGTCCGATGGCTTGGCGAAAGCCCTTTTTACCTGAATGTCTCGCTGTTCCAGCGCATGATCGAACTCGGAGTTCCGTACATCATGCTCAACCAGCAGCGCAGAATGATCCCCAGCATCCGCCGGATCCTGACGCCTTTCTATCCCGAGCTGACTGACCACCCGCTCGTCACCGACATTACCAAGAGGCCACCTGTGCCTGGGATGGGCGGTCACGATACTTGGTTGTTCACCCACAACTGGGAAGAGGATATGGACTCAAACCTTAGCAGGTTTAACGAGCAGGAAGCCCAGATGGTTGTTCGCTTCTTCTCATACCTCGTCTCAAACGGTGTCAAGCCCGCCCAGATCAGCATCCTCACCTTCTACAACGGCCAGCGCAAGACCATCTTGGGCAAGTTGAAGAAGCACGGCTCGATCACCGCCGACTCATTCAACGTCTTCACTGTCGATTCCTACCAGGGCGAGGAAAACGACATTGTCCTTCTCTCTCTGGTTCGCAGCCCGAGAGAGAACCGTCCGTGGTCGATCGGATTCCTGGAGAACCAGAACCGGGCAGTCGTTGCCATCAGTCGCGCCCGTCGGGGCTTCTACCTGTTTGGCAACATGGACAACGTTCTCAGTGCCGACCAGGATGCGCGGGAGTTGTGGGGGAGGATCTGGAACGGCTTCGCCGAGATCGGTCGAGTGAAGCGAAAGAAGGGTCTCCCTCTGACCTGCCAGAAGCACGGGAATACGATCTGGATCAAGGAGGTCGAGGACTGGGGCGACAATGCTGGCGGCTGCGACGAAGTTTGCCAAGGTATCCGACCTTGCGGACACCAGTGCACGCTGAAGTGCCACATGTGGGTCATCCCTTCCCATTTATATCTCCCTTCTTCAAGATTGCTGACATCGCTCGCCCTCACAGAATCCCGCACGAGAACCTTGGCTGCAGCCATCCGTGCCGCAAAGTCATGGACTGCGGGCACAGATGTGCCAGTATGTGCAGTCTAGAGTGTCACTGCAACTGTGATGACTTCCGGTCACTCATGGAGAAGAAACAGGCCCGGGCCAACAAGGCCGAGGACCATCTTCACATGTCGTTTGAAGAGCTCCTGACCTTGGAGGCCGCTCCCGGCACCCCCAGTGGGTATGGCGAGCAATCAACCAGTATGCAGGTCGCCCCGCATCCGGAAAACCTGCCATCCCCCCCGGCCAGGGCCTCGCCAGCCCAGGCAAGAGAGATCTCCAATGGCGCCGCAAAATTTCGCGACTTGGTAAAGAACATCAAGCAGCACGACGAGAAATGCTATCTCGATCGCTGCGCAGCTTTGGGGGTTGAACTCTACGATACAAACGCGACTGGCGAGGAACAATGTCCTTTCCCATCTTCTTCCTCGGGTCACGCGGAGCCGACCCGACGGCCGTCTCAGCCTATCATTAGGGACACGTACAAGCCGACGACGCTTATCAACGGCGTGCGTGCCCGAGCCGGACCAAAGGTGGTGGTCTGCCACGGCGGTCCTAGCGCGCCTTCGGGCACCAAGTCGCTGTCTCCGGCCGCGGAGAAGGAGATGGAGAAGGAGGACGGCCCTTCTGGGGAGGATGAGGACTGGCTGATTGAGTTGTGATTGAAGTGGCGTGGCCTGTCGGCCACCACGGTGGCAGGCAGGTATGTGCTGTCCTGGGCAGCTTGATGGTATGTCTTAGCACACGCGGGTTGATTTGTGCGAGGGTATTATACCTGCGTGTGTTGCTTTGTTTTGTGTCGTGTTTGAGTTATTTTCATGGAGTTTGGTCAGGGAAAGGTAGAACGAGGCTCATGCCTCTCACAGTCTCGCGAATGTAGAGCTCTCTCTTCGCGGAGGTAACTTGTACGGATATTGTCATTTTCACAATCGGCTACTCCTCGTTACTGCGTGAGCTTAGGCAATGCGAGGCAGTGTTAAGGCCATACGCATGCAATGTCACTCCTCCTCCCAAATCTAGCGATCCCGCCCAACCGTGATGGCAGGTAGGCAATGATACAGCATTGACAGGACTTCCCACCATTGATCTTCGGGATTTGGAGACAAACTTGTATGTATCATTCATCTGCTTCGTCCCCGTTGATGCGTGGGTTGGTTTGTATGTGGTGCATGTATCCTTCGCGAGCTCTACGAGGTAACCCATGTACATCCATAGATACTACTGCCTTGACAGCGCCCGAAAGTCCCAGGGGATAAATATTCTGCGGGGGATTTACCGAAACCTATTCATTGATCTCCCGGCACCGACCTAACTACCTTGGGATACGTTTGATCTTTGGATACCTAACCTACCTACACGGACCGACGAAGATGACACACACACGCGCGCGGAAGCGGAGGAATGGACCACCCCCACCCACCCCCCGCCCCCCCGCGACGATATGTCACGACACTCCGGCATACCCAGCCCAATATCAGTCTTGTTATCATACCCAGCAGCCCCGCAGCGGAGTCTGATGGGCCTGCCAAGACCCTCTTTGGCGAAGATGCTCTCGCTCCTTCTTTCATGCGGTCGGGGCATTTCGAGCGAAAGGGGGAGGGACGAAGGAAGGGAAGAAAAGTCTTTGGCGTTGTATGTATGTACAAATACAAGACCTCCCGCGGGGATCTTGTTTCTGATGTCTTGTTTGGCTGGTTGTATATCTCGGCCTGGGAATAGCTTCTTGGGTTTCGCGTCGGTGGAGGGCGGTGCATCTCCTCTAGTATCGGAAGTTAACCTTATCCCTTTTCCTCGTCCCATGGTATTGTAGATGGATTGGCTCGGATCGGCTCGGATCAGACGGGGAGTGGGAATATATGTGGTTGGGTCTTGTATGTCGTCGTCTGTGTGCACGGCAGGTAGTTGCTGGAATGCACGGGACCTAATCAATCAATGATAGAAAGGGGACGGGGCGGGCTGCATGGCCAGATTGCAGCGTAGACGGCAACAGCTTCGACCGACTGAATAGCTTCTTTGTGTTCCCTGGCAATCGACCTACCATTCGCTTTTTCGGGTCAACTGTTGATCGAAGACCAGAGGCAGGTGGAAGGAGGCACATAGCCTGATGCCCGAGTGTCGGTGATGGAGGAAGGAAATCTGGATACTGGAGTACCATTAGGTTGTCTTGCTTGTGATCAAGTTCCACGTCGATGCCACAGTCCTTCGTAACTCTGCCCTATCCCTCGCCTTGGTGCGACGTCACTCCCCTAAATGCGGCTCCTTCAACCAGGTGGAATGGCCCGTGCGCGTATGTGGGCCTGAGACTTGGCCGCGGAACAGGAGTGACATGAGATTTCTATGGTGTCGCTACCAAAACGGATGTACCTTTAGCCATGCCAACTAACGGACCCGTCCAGGGTTCCCCAGAATCGCGAAATATTGACGTTGAGAGGACGACGTCCGTCGATTCCTAGGAATTGGCTGGCTGAATTCTCGTCGTTGGCTTTGGTGTCTTCGCACCTTCTGTGGCTTCTCTCGGCTAGAGTTTCTCGTTCTGAGGACATAACCGGAACCTTATCCTGCTAGAAAAAAAATCAAAATGGATGAGGATGATCGAGGTTGGTTTGACATCCGTGCTGATCTCCCCAAAACCGAACGACCACACTTTCGCTGACTTCTTCAACCCTGCCCCGCCCCCTCCCCCCAAACAGATTCTAACCAGAGCTCGGAAAACGAGCAAGACGAGATAATGGAAGATGCCGACGATCTAGAAGCCGAAGGCGAGGAGGAGGAGCCCGAGTACGACGAGGAAGAAGACGCTGAGGCGGAAGCGGAAGCGGAAGCGGAAGCCGAGGCTGAAGCCGAAGCTGAAGCTGAAGCCGAGGCGGAGGCAGAAGCAGAGGCAGAGGCAGAGGCAGAGGCAGAGGCAGATGCAGAGGCGGAGGCAGAAGCCGATCTCGACGAGTCCCAAGACCCGGACACAAGACGCGACAAACCACTAGCCGACGACAACACCGCAGCGGCGACGACAACAACCACGACCGCAACAACGACCACAACCTCCGGCCCCGAAGCCGCCGACGCAGGCGCGACAGCGTCATCAGCGGGCAAGCGGTCGCCATCGGCAGCGCCGTCGTCGTCCTCGGCGACGGCCACGGCGACGGCCACGGCGCGACAGCTGCGGCCGCGGCGGGAGGCGGTCACGGCGCGGGTGTACGACATCGTGCCGACGATGGCGGCGCCGCAGGCGACGTCAGTCAACGCGGTGGCGGCGACGCCGGACATGCGGTTCTGGATGACGGGCGGGGCGGACGGCTACGTGCGCAAGTACGACGGCGCGGCCACCATCAACGGCCGCCAGCTGCTGACGGTGGCGCAGCGGCACCCGTTCGTCGACAGCGTCGTCAAGGCGGGCGTGCTGATGAGCTACTGGGAGAACGAGGAGCCGCCCGCGGTGGGGGGCTCCGGCGGGGGGGGTGGCGGCGCGGGCGGGAGGGCCGCCGTTGCGGAGGATCATGTTCTTAGCCCTGTGTACAGCCTCGCTGTCCATAGCCAGGCCCTGTGGCTGCTGAGCGGGCTGGAGAGCGGGGGTATCAACCTGCAGAGCGTGAGGCACGACGAGGGGAAGCGGATATATTGCTTGAGGGACGGGGGCCACACCAATGCCGTGAGCGCGCTGTCCCTGGCGCCGGACGAGAGGAGCGTGCTGAGCGGGAGCTGGGACAAGATGGTGCTGGACTGGGACCTGAACAACGGACAGGTCATACGGAAGTTCGAGGGCAGCGGCGGGCAGATCTCGACGCTGGAGCTGCGGCCCGCGAGCGGTGCGCCGATCCCTGCCGAGGCTGGCGAGGAGGAGGTCAGAAGCGAGACCATGCAGGGGAACAATGACCGGCCCATCGCGCCGGGCGTGTTCGTGAACGGTTTCAACGGGGCTGGGACCGGAGACGATTCGACCGCGGCTGCGGGTGCGAGTGCGGTTGGGGATGGTGGCGCCGACCTTGGCGGCATGGGGGATGGGCAGGGCTCGCCGGCTCACGAGTCGCTCTTTGGAAGCCCCGCCGGCTCGCTGTTTGGTGATAACGACAACACCATGGGCGGAGGGGCCTTTGGCGGAGATGACGACGACGACTTCTCGCGGGCCATGGAGATGACGCTCCGCGATGACTCTGGCCAGCATGGCATGGATCACTCGCGCGACTTTGCCATGGGTGACGCCGACCTGTCTTCTGCGCCGGCATTCGATCCCGAGGCCGGACACCCGCCGGCCGTACAGCACTCTGCAGGCGCAGCCAACGACGGCTTAGCGAACGGGGAGAGCTCCGTGTTCAACGCGAATAATTCACAGGACACGATGGATTTCAGTCAAGCACCGACAATCACCGACGCCACAACCGCCGAGAGCCAACCCTCTGCCCGTCCTCCCTCCTCTGGCGCAGATCAACAATACCAGCTGCAACAACAACTCACCTCCCAGACCACCGACGCACCGCCAACCTCCTCCCAACCCCACGACCCCAGCTCCCCCTCCATGGTCTTCAACTCCGCCCCCCCGCCGCCGCACCACGACCCGACCCAAGCATCCGCGACCACCTTCTTCAGCACCTCCATGGACGGCACGATCCGGGTCTGGGACAGGCGGGTCCCGGACCCGGTGGCGCGCATCGGCAACCGGCCCGGCATCCCCCCCTGGTGCATGGGCGCGTGCTGGAGCCCGGACGGGGACCGCATCTACGCGGGTCGGCGCAACGGCACGGTCGAGGAGTTCAGCATCCACCGCGCCAGAGGGTCCTGGCAGCCCGATCGGGTGCTCAAGTTCCCGGCCGGCAGCGGGCCCGTCACTTGCGTGCGGCCCATGGTGAATGGGCGGCATTTGATCTGGTGAGTTTTTTTTTTTTCTTTCTTTCTTTTTGTTCTGTCTGTCGTATATACATGCATACTTGTATACCATGTGGGTGCGCGTGGCTAACAACAACGGGCAGTGCCTCCCACGACATCCTCCGCCTGTACGACCTTCGCGACACGTCGGCGTTCAAACACTCGGCCGTGCCGTTCCTGATCGTCCCCGGGCCGCCTAGGCCGGGCGTCATCTCGTCCATCTACATCGACCCGACGTCGCAGTTCATGCTTTCCGCCTCGGGCACCAGGGGCTGGGACGGCACCTCGACCGAGGTGCTGCTTGGGTACGAGATCAACGCGGTGCAGTGAGGATTGGGGGTGGTGGGTGTGGGGGGTGGATATATGTTCCTTCGTTGATATACGGGCTGGCTGGCTGGTTGGGTGCGAGGCAGGGGATAATCCTCCCTGTTGACGATGAGATGATGAGGCTGGCGGGGGCGTTTGGGCTGGGAATATCGGCATCTGCTTTGTGTCTACTAGGGTGGTTATTCACGCGATTATACTCTGCTCATAGATATCAAGGTGACTCGGAAAAGGTCTCCGTCGGTCTGCACGTCCATCTTTGCACATGCGCCACTATTCCAAGCTGGTCATCCCGTCATAATGCCAGGAGCATGGTGGCATTCCATATGTGTTTCTATTTATGCCCATCTGCGTAAGAGTCTAATCAGAGCTAAGTTAACTTGTGCCCTGATGGAGTCTAGTATGCATAATATCAAAGCAATGTATGCCCAAGCACTGTCGGCTCCCCTCCTGTTGATGCTTGTCGGCCCGAGAGCACCATCGCCAACACCACACGGGAGGAGAGTTCAGGCAAGCACGCGGAACTTTGCCCCGAGATCGGATGCCCCATATTAATCCCGTCGTGGCCGGCTAGAAGCGAAGATTGCTCGGATGAATGCGACGAGATACATGGGGGTTTCAAGAAAAAAGCAGTATTGTCTATGATGATGGTGATGTATGATGATAATGACGGGGGGCTCAATTTGCGTTGTTGCAACCCATCCCGTTTCCCAAGGGTGGAGAACCGGTCAAGTTTATTGACTCAGCGAGATTCTGAGTCCCTTCAACCGTCGTTGGAATTCTCGCAACCTGTTGGTACCGGAACTCGGAGGGTTGACGGCGGTCTTTGTCTTTCGTTTTGGCGTAACAGGCGTCTCGCATGTTGTAGACGCGTATTCCGCACTCTTGGAAACCCGACGTTTGCACTGGGCGTCGTCGTCCTCATTCTCGCTGGCTCCATCCGGCTGATCGCGACTCACTACCTCCTATTCCGTGATGCGCTCAGCACTGCCGGATGCACCACCGCGCCAGAGGCCGTAGAAGCCTTCGCAGTTCTTCCACATCTTGATCGTGCCATCCTCGGACCCGGTGGCGTAGAGATTACCGTCGGGCGAGAAGGCAATGGACCAGATCGGCCCGTGATGGCCCTTATGAACGTCTGCAAAGCCTAGTATTAGCGGAGTTGGGAGAATTGGGGGCTGGGGAAACATGCCTATTTCGCTCGCATCGTCCCAGCGATAAACCCGAGCCCAGGTTCCTGGCTCCTCCCCCGCGACGAACTTCCTGCCCCGAAGATCAAGACCAACACTGGCGATGCCGTGGGGCAGAGTCATGCGCTTCAACTCTTGATCGGCTCGCGGACCGCCCCAAAAGTAAACCGTCTTGCCCGCCGCAACAGCTAAGACCGGCAGCCCGCCACCAATATCGGTAGGCGAGACGACGGAGGGCGCGAGGGAAACCAGTTCACAGGACTTGATCTCGGCATCGAGCTTCTCTGCCCGGATGCAGCTACGGCTAGGCACATCGAACCACCGCAAAGTGTCGCCCGACGCGGTGACGAGCACGTTGGGATCAATGGCCCAAGCAATGAACTTGATGGGCTGAGTATGCGTGCCCTCGCCAATCTCAAATGCCATGGAGGTCGGGATGGTGACCGCGGTCACGGTGGCGTCGGCACCATTGACACCTGGCGTGGTGGTGGGTTTCTGCTCCTGTAGGTCGAAAATGCGAAGTTTCTTCTCGAATCCCCCTGTTGCAATCATTCCCGAGTTGTCGAACGGATAGGCAACGGCGCGCACGATATGGTCGTGCTGGAGGATGTAGAGGAGCTCGCCGGAGTGTGTGTCCCAAACCCTCCTGCTTCAGGGTTAGAACTTTGGGATACGAAAGAAATAGCTAGAAGGACGCGAGGAGGGAGATATAGGCACTCACGCAGTAAAGTCTGCTGAGGCAGTCGCGGCGGTTGACGCATCCGGGCTCAGCTTCGCCTGCCACACTGCTCCCTTATGGCCGAAGAATGTTCCGATCCTGTGATCACATCTGTCAGTCCAATGTTGAGAGCGAGCAGGATGGAGTTGGGGGGGAAGGGGGGCCCGTACCAGTCGCCGGTCTGGCCGTCGCGGAGCATAGGGTTCCCATCTGTCTCAGTATTAGTCGTCGCTTCCTAGGCTCTCGCGGGGCTGATCAGGCCCATACCCTTGCAAGCAGAGATCATGTAATAGACATCGTCGTTCTCGAGAGGCGAGAAGCTTAAATGTGGGACGGGTCTGGAGTGGCCATGGCAGGTCAGAGGGACATATTGGCGGGGGGCGTCGGAAGCCATTCCTTCCAGCGGTCAAGTACGAGAGAGGAGAGACAGTGGCGGTGACGGATCCGAAGAAAGAAACTCGGCAGGCTGCGAAAATACTCGATAACACAGTCGAGGGTTACCAGCGAGAGTAGAGGTCGAGAATGGGAAAAGGGTGAGGACACCGACTGAAAAGACAAAGAACCTAGAAGAGGGGTCTGTGATTTTGCGGCGACAAGAGCAAAGCGCAATTCCGGGGGTGGAAGGGTTGTCAGAAAAAAAGAGAGAGTTTGGAATCGTAACGGGTCGTAAAACGTTGGTCGTGACAGAGCAAGGCGCGCGCAATCTTAAGTCGAGCTGACCGTCATCCTCAGTCCTTGCGCTCGAAGAGAAAAGTCGTGGGGCAGGATGGAAGAGGCGAGGCCGCGAGAGGACACAAGCGTCGACTGGCGATTCTGGAAGTTGTTGATGGCGGCGATGGTGGGGCAACCTCGAGTCTCAAGCAGCCAAGTTCTATCCAGCCACAGTTGTCAATGCGGGGTGTGTGGCTGAAGCTCATTTTCCCGCAGTTTAACCGAGACACCTGGTCATCCATCATGGATGTTGATGGAGCTCAATCGAATGCGACTGTCCCGACGAGATGCCCTTTGACAAACCTAGGGCAGTCCCACTGACCACCTGCGACTTCTACCCCGCGAGCTGAAATACGCATACAAGAGGGGATAACCAATTTTCAAGACGCCTTTCGAATATTCACCAAGTCTTGTGTGTCCGATTCCATCCCCTTCTCTCTCCATATCCGTCATCGCTGGCCCTGGCCGCCCCGCGCTCCCACCATGCCCGACTTCAAGCTCTCGGCCCAGCTGCTCGGTCACGAGGCTGATGTGAGTGCGAATTCCACGCAGCGACTCGCCCGACTCGCCGACTCCTCAACCTTCAACCCGCTCACCCCTGCTAATTCTATCAGGTCCGCGCTGTCTGCTATCCCAACCCCGATGCCATCATCTCCGCTTCCAGAGACCACACCGTCCGGGTCTGGAGCAAAACCTCCGCTTCACCCCCGGCGTTTGACGGCTCGACGGCCGCCGTAGGCCATGCGTTCATCAACTCCCTCTCATATCTCAAACCCTCCCAGGATTACCCAGGCGGGCTCATCGTCTCGGGTGGCCAGGATAGCATCATCGAAGTACGAAAACCCACATCGACTAGCCATGACAACGCCGAACGGCTTCTCATCGGCCACGCAAACAATGTCTGCGCTTTAGACGTCTCGCCAAAGGGCACCTGGATCGTTTCGGGAGGGTGGGACGGACAATGCCGGGTCTGGATGGTTGGCAAATGGGAAACAGAGATGCTGCTGAACCATGACTCTAGCAAGAGCGTGCTGGCTGTGCTTGCTCTGGACGAAAATACCGTCATCACTGGTTCTGCGGACCACCAAATACGCATCTTTGACCTGCGCAGGAACACCGCTGGCGAGGTCGAGCCAAGGGCGACAATACCTACACCGGAAGTCGTGCGTGCCTTGTGCAAACTCCCGACAGGTATCAAGGGCCATCCGAGCGGTGCCGAGTTTGCGAGCGCCAGTAACGACGGAGTCATACGGCTGTGGAAGCTTAGCGGCCGACAGGCTGAAGAGCTTCATGGGCATGAAAGCTTCATATACTCACTCGCGTGCCTTCCCACCGGGGAGATTGTAAGCTCAGGAGAAGACCGCACTGTCAGGGTCTGGAATGGCACCAAGTGCATACAGACCATCACCCATCCTGCGATATCTGTTTGGTCCGTTGCCGTCTGCGCAAACTCGGGCGACATTGTCTCCGGCGCGAGTGACTCTATCATCCGTGTCTTCAGCCGGAGCCCCGAACGAGAAGCACCTGCGGATGTGTTGGCACACTTCAACGAGTCGGTCAAGACCTCTGCAATCCCGCAGCAGCAACTCGCTACCCAAATCAACAAGGAGTCTCTCGACGGACCGGACTGGTTGACGGTCCATTCGGGCAACAGGGACGGCCAGGTGAAGATGATAAAGGAGGCCGATGGTTCCGTCACTGCGCATCAGTGGTCCTCCAGTAAGCCATCCTTTTTCCCCTTCTCCGAGTAGCCAAAAGAGGGCGAGGGAGAGCTGACACTTTTCACAGGCGAACAGAAATGGATTGCCGTTGGCACCGTCGTCGAATCTGCTGTCAATACGCAAAAGGTCATGCATGAAGGCAAAGCATACAACTATGTTTTCGACGTCGACATCGAAGACGGCAAACCTCCGCTGAAGCTTCCCTACAACGTCTCGGAAAACCCTTACGACAGCGCTACAAAATTCCTCTCCGACAACAACCTTCCCATATCTTACCTTGAGAGCGTCGCAAACTTTATCGTTGAGAACACGAAAGGGGTCACCCTCGGTCAAAACGCCGGTGAACAGCCAACAGATCCCGATCCTTATGGCACCAACTCTCGATACCGACCGGGCGATGGCGATGTCTCTCAGCCCGCCAAAACCAAGTACCTACCGCACGAAGAGTACATCACCCTGACCCAGGCCAAGTTCGAGCCCATCCAGAAGAAGATACTGTCCCTCAATGCGGACCTCATCAAGAGCGGCGACAAGGATTTTGCACTAAATCCTTCCGAGGAGGCCATTCTCGGCCGCCTCACCACTACCCTCAGCTCTGTAACCCCGGGCAAGCCCCTCGATATTCCAGATGAAGCCGTCAGGCTGGTTATCAAACTAACCACCAAATGGTCCTACCCCAACCGCCTTCCCGGCCTCGACCTTATCCGCTGCATGGCTCCATCCCCCTCCGTCGCCACCCTCTCCATCCCCGGCGTCGGCAACATCGTCCAGGCGGTCCTATCGGCGGCCCTCGAGCCAGACAACCCGACCCTCCGGATCAACGACAACAGCGTGATGATGGCCCTCCGCGCCATCACCAACCTGTTCGTCACGCCGCAGGGCCGCGCCGTAGCCGCCCGCGAGGCAGCCACCGTCGTCGCGGCCATGGAGCGCATCGCCGGGGAGACGCCGTCAGCGGGCGGGCCGATCGGCGCCACGAACCGCAACGTGCAGATCGCGCTGACGTCGGTGGCGTTCAACTACGCGTGCCTAGCGTACGGGCAGTCCAAGGGCGGACCCGATGCCGCGGCGGAGACGGTCGGCCCCGAGACGCTGCTCCTGCTGTGCAACGTGCTCGGCAAGACGCTGCGCGAGCAGGGCGACGGCGAGGTGGCGTACCGGGCACTGATGGCGCTGGGCATGGTGCTGTGCGTCGGCGGCGAGGTGCGCCGGACGGCGGGCGCGCTGGACGCGGCCGGGTGGGTGCGCGGGGCGGTCGACCGCGCCGCCGAGGGCCGCGTCAAGGATGTTGGGGCCGAGTGTCTTTCTCTGTTGCGCTGATGGGGGGGGGCCGGGTGGCGGGCATCTCGGTGGGGATGGGATGGATGCCTAGCTAGATGGGCTAGGTAGGGTGCCTGGCAATGTGTCGGCGATCTTGGCTTGGCACACTGCATCATTGGGAATTGGCTTTGTTAGTTCATAAACCGTTACGTTACGATAGACGAATGCATAGAGCTCCGCATCCAAGTGGTGGGAGAAGTGTAGGGAAACAGGTGCTTCAAGCTGATGACGTGTGTAGAGAGACTCGACTCGTCATTGCTCCGTTCGGAATATCATCACCGATTCACACAAGACAGAGCTAACGATACCACTCGTGAATTTATCTGGCTTCTATATACAGCCGGAACGGCCGCGCGTTTCGTCCATCCTACCCCCGACTCGCCGAGTCTGAAAGGTAGGCCCGAACATACCAACGCAGACAAACCAAAGAAAAAAACCCCGGTTGGAGCCGGCGGCGAGAAAGAAATCCCCAGGGTTTCCGAATCCCAAGCACCCAAACTCCCCCATCAGTAAACGCCACCCAGGAATGTCCAATTATACATACACGGCTGCGGTCCATTTCATCTTCCACCCGCCCATATCTACTTCATTCGCCACCCTCATCCCGGGGCTCATACAGAAACCCCCCCATCACAGCAGCACCCACAGCCCGCCCACGACGATGGGGAGCCAGCCGAGGCTAGCCATGGCGCGCGGGTACGACAAAACATGGGCGGCGGCGCTGGTGGTGGCGTTTGTCTCGCCGGACGCGCGGGTGGTGATGGAGTAGATGTCGGCGAAGCCGATGTCTGTGCTGTTGAAGCAGTTGGTCTCGTTGACCTCGGCGAGGCGCGGGTCGTTGGGCTCGACGAAGGTGATGTCGACGCACGAGTAGAGGGCGGCGCCGTGGGCGGCCAGCTCGACCAGCTGGATGGTGGCGTTGTCGCCGGCCCTGACGCTGGCGCCGGCGGGCAGCGGGATCTGGGGCAGGCAGACGGTGCCCGGGTAGGGGCCCTTGCCGGGGCCGAGGATCTGGAACGGCGGCACCATGGGGTTGGACATGTTCTTGGGGCCGTTGTCGGGCCCGTCGGTGCCGAAGCCTAGATTCACGTAGATGTTGGCTTTCAGGTGGCCCTGGAACCAACCCGGCTGGAAGGAGAGCGCGCCGCCTGTTGTCGGCCAGAATGTCCTGTTTGTGGTCGTGCCGATGCCGCCGCCTGTGTGATGTTATGTCAGTTTTGAGCCGTTCGGCTGGGGCTTGAAGGGGTGGTTGGTTGTTTACTTACAAGGATACATCCATTGCATGCCGTACGGGAAGGTGTCATTCGTGATGAGGTTGTCGCCTCTCCAGCCGGGATATGAGATGACTGTGTGTGATGATACGAGCGCCGCGCTGGCGAGGGTGAGTAGTGTTGAAGACAGCATCTCGGGATTTGTGTGGGTGGGTATCGATCGGGTGGAGGCGACGAAAACGAAAGGGAACAAAGCCCGCTACACGTCGGGGATGTGCCGCAGACTCGGACAGCTTCCTCCTCTTGAAGTTCTCTCCTATCCTTCTTCCTCACAAGCTCGAATGTGTTGTGCCGCCGGTTTTCCGTGGATACCCAAGCTGACCGTGGTTGACCCCGCCTTTCCCCGGACCCTCAGGGTGCGATAACAGGATCCCTCCGTAGATCAGCGTTTCCGTCCGTGCAGTCGTCGGGGCTGGTTCGTAGATGCGAGGGAGCGAGAAAAGAAAGGGAAAAAAACTCTGGCGTGGCTGAGACCGGAGATAATTCCAATAAATTCCAAGACCTCTTGACGAGTGGATATGGTTATAGTGCTTGTCGAAAGAGAAATGCTAAAGCAGGAACAGAAAAGGCAGGGCGGACTGGGAGGATAATATCACTCTCTCTTTCTGGCAGCAGCCATTCCGGGTCTCTTTCCAGCCGCCGAGTGCCTGTGTCCCGAGTTGACTTGACCCATATTGACCACACCTATCGACCCCTGTCAGCGCGGCTTTCTCAGAGGAACCAGTCAGAGGCGTCAAAAAATGGAGGGTCGATGTGCAAGTCGTGCATGTCGGCTTCCCGTTCCATGTCGGCGAGAGTGGTGATGGCCAATGAGATTCCAACGAGGCACGAGCCCTGATCATGGAGCCGGCGAGTCGCTCACTTGAGCTGTGGGTGGCTGGCCAATGCGAGAGGAGAACGCCTGCCTCGACTCTGCAACCTATCACCAACATGCAGCCAATGGTTGGGCAGAGATGCATTACTTTGGTACGTACTGCGCACGCATCGTTATTAGCAACGAAGCAGGTTCCCGCCCCGGCACCATCCGCCATGTTCCCACTTCCCCAATTCTCACCCAACCTCTCGTCGCCATTAAGCGCCCGCAACCCAGGAGAAGCACCAATCGCAGCGGGCCATCCCACATAAGTAGGTATTTTTGGCGACACGCCCACCACTGAAGCAGACCACTTGGCACTGCTGCACGATTTGCATCGTGTTTTATTATTTGTCGAAGCTGAAGGGAATAACCCCAAAGCGTGGGAGCCAACATGATGGAGAAACAATCTGTCTCACCCGCAAGCGCTGACAATTGGGGTTTGACAACGGTGATACTTGTCACAGCTCGGAGTTGGTGAAGTGGATGGTTTCACGGGCAGGAAGCATGCTGCTGACGGGTTAACATTGGACGGAATAGATCCATCAAATGACGACGCTCAAGACGGGGCCAGATGAGTCCATCCAGCCATCCCATCCACGCAATGCGATGAGGCTCCCCTGCCGAAGAGTCCGGACCACGATTTGTAGCAGATCGTGCTCTTGCTCTTCTCGTATCGATAATCCGGACACGACGATGGCACAACATTCCGCATTGATCTGGGCTATTAAAGGCAATTTGCTGGGCAGGGATAAGCTCGGCCCCTTGTGTGACCATGCCCAATCCGTCGGGCGGTGAACTAATTCTGCCTATCAAATGCTTATCGTAGAGAAACCTCCAGGAAACCAACCACTTTTTCTGATAGGTTGACGAGGAACTCCCTCCTGGAGGCCGGAGTTGACGATGAGCCCCCCTCCTGCTCCCAACGGCGCGCCTGCCCAGGAGGACGACGGCCAGTGGACACGAGTCAAGCCAAAGAAAGGCACCTCCCGTCGTCGTCCAGCCGGCCCCGGTGCTCGTGACTTTGGGACACCACCAAACCCCTCCCCGCAGCTCGATCTCCAGCAGATCACTCGAGATCACGACCGCATCAGCGCCGCCTGGAGGGAATCGCAGTGTCATGCGAAGCTCAGGGACCTGGTCAATTCCAATGTGGCTTCCCACGTCACCGTGACCAAGGCCGTCTGCCTCGCCGTAGGTTCATTCGACCCGATTGCGACACTTTACCACCAGAAACGCGTTGCCCATGTGCAGCTCGAGGCTTTCCGCGCGGTGGTTGAGATGCTAGGTCCGTGTGACACCATCATCCGCGCCCCGTAGGCAAGACTGCACGCTGACCATTCTTCCACTCCTTGCAGAGGCACACAACGGCTCTCCCATCCAGCGTGTTATCCAAGAACCGGCCTTCAGCGACACCGACAAGGAGTTCTGCGAGTCGCTCGGATTTAAGACGGTGGACACCCCTCAAGCCTTCGAGATGATCGATTCCCACACTCTCGTCTACGGCATTCATCTCTACATGCCAACGTGGGCCGAGGCGCTTAGCAAGCAGCTTCCGGGCTGCCTGGTCGGCACCCCCTTCGGGGTCTGCGAGACGTGCGTTTGTTGAGGCATCCCGACCGCGTTGCCCGCGACCACATAGCACGCCTTCTCAGCTGACGTTGGCATAGGTACCACGACACCCACGGCGCCGGATTCGAACTCGCCCAGCTCCAGACCATAGACGCCTCGTTCGACAGGTTCCCCTTCCCGCAGCAGGACACGCCGGGCGATTTTGTCTTTTCTGATACGACAATATATTGGGCCAAGGGTTGAACCTGAAAGCCCAGGAGTGTCCTAGGAAATGGTGCCAGGGTTATTCGCCGAACATATGGCTGTAGACAGCGGCGCGTCCCGCTCCCGCTCCCACGTGGAGCAGGATCTTGGTCACCGCACACGCGCCCTCCGGGTGTCGGGAAGGCCGGTCTCGGCCATGAAGTTGCTGAAGGGCTGACCAGCTTGGTGGTGTCGGACAAGCACCTGCCATCCACCCAGTTTAACGAACCACGACGCTGTTAACGGCAGTGGGTATGGTTGGGGAGGTGTGAAGAATGGGTCCAAATTTGGAGCGTTGATCCATGGCTCTGCGAGCAAGGGGAGCGTAGTGATTGTCATAAATACTGTAGTCAGCTCATCAACAGCTAAACGTATGGAATGGAAGATCTTCTCCCATGCGCAACGTCTGTTTCAAGTCGATGTTTGCATCCTTCCCAACCACAAGCTTCTCAGCAATACAAAGGGTTCGTCGTCAACTGGAGATGTACCAACTGATTATTAGATACCTAGTAGGAGAGAGGACAGCAAATGTCATACCTAAACCACCAGAGTAGAGTGATATACTAACATACGAGGGAAGACAACAAAAACAGGGCCAGAAGGCGTGACAATGGGGGAGACGCGAAAAAGAAACGGAAAAAAATATGGTGGGAGAACTGGGAGTTTCTCTCGGAGTAGGCGCGGCTGCGCGGAGGGACATTCGAAGGTCAAACAGATAAAGAAATGTAATTAACCTGGCATGAGAGTCGAATCGGAACCTCAAGGTTGCCATCATTATCGGCCAGAGGAACACACGAGGTGCCCATCTGACCAACTAGGCAGGGTTGTTGACTTGCAGTTTACAACATTGGTCTATATTCCACTGCTTGGTTCCCCGTCACTGGGAGTGAATACCTACCTAATACCCCAGCTTCCAAGCGTTAGGTTGCTGCCTAGCCTAAAGTAATCACTCGGGGCCTGACTTGGACCCCATATCACCAAGCAATGCCGAATTTGCAACGCGGCAATATACGCAGTACTCCAGCCTACCAATATCCAGTCCGTGGGCCGATGTACAGACCGCGCCAACGGATCACGACAAGTCTGGGGATGTTTTACAACGCAAGACAACGCAAGACAACGCAAGGCTTGAAAGTTATTCGGCCGTTGTGCCTACGATCACCCACCAACTGTCGACCTGCCATTTTCGATCTACAGGGAAGCGTCCCCAAGGGCTAACCCGTTCCTTGTCTCCTGAGTGGACGGACGACAGTAGAGAATCGATGGACTTCATCTGTAGGGCTTCACGTACAAGGAGTGTCGGGACTGCGGGACCAATGGCATCCCTACGTCGAGACCGAGTGTTGCCGGATGGGGCAGCTGTGGCGCAAGACATATGTACGATCGAAGATCGCAACCTAACTACCCTGGTGATCTACCTCGGTGATGAGATCAAGAGAAGAGGGTGAATGCCACAATATAGCGATCTTCTGAGGGGTTGTGAGGTGCATCTAAGACTGGAAGTGGTATTACGTGGATTGACTTCAAGCCACGGCTGCTCATCGATGACGTTGGGACTGACGATGATGTCGGGTCCAGCATTCCAGGTCAGTATCGGAAGCATCGTGGAGATTGCCGGCTTGGCAGTCAGCCCCACGTGATCATAATTTCCCCTAGCGCAAGAGCTTAACTTCAGCTGAGCTCAATGGGGCAAGGGTGGGAAATGGGGAAATGAGGTTTCCAAGCCCAGGCCCCGAGGCCCGAGGGTGACTGGGCTGACAAGGGTTGAGGCCCTTGTTCTCCTCTCCTCTCCCCTTCCCCAGAGACCTTGCAAGTTTGCAACTCTGCCTCCAGCCCAGCGCCCAACCGATCGCACGTCCAACAAACCCCACGACAGGGCACCACCCGCTGGGAAACGATCCCATCTCGTCTTTCTCGACACCCGGGGGCGGGAGATGGGACTCAGCGGCCCGGCGCGCAAATGAGCTCACACCACCACCCAACAGACCCGCAACCGAGACAGCAGCAGTCCGGCACCCCGTCGCCGCCACCGCAACCTCCTCCTCCCCATCCCCGCCGCCAGATCTCCGCCGCACGCCAGAGGCAGCTGGCCTCGCTTGTCGAGGAGCAGCCGGGCCTCGAGGTCTGCCAGCCCCCGCCCCCGGCGCAGGCCCGAGACCGGGTCCGCGACCGAGCCGCCGAGGCCGCGCCCGAGCCGGCGGCCAGCTGGCCCGACAGCGACGACGCCGGTCCGCTGCAGTACACGTTCTACAGGGAGGGGACTCCGACGCCGCCTGAGTACGCGGGCGATGAGGAGAAGGGCGTAGGCGGGAGGGCTGGGGCCAAGGCCGGGAGCTCAGCGGCTGCTGCTGCTGCTGCTGCGGCGGCGGCAGCGGCGGCGGCGCTGGAGACGGCCTTGTCCATTGAGCCGAAGGAACCGAGACCGCAGAGGAGGAGGATATGTGGGCTGAGGAGAGGGCTGTTTTGGCTGGTGGTGTCCATCATCCTTCTGGCGGTTGGGGTAGCTATTGGTGTTGGTGTTGGCGTTGGACTTGGCGTGGGGAGGAACAGATCGGTAGCGTCTGCTAGCACCTCCAGGTTTGTTGACCCATTGTCTATTCTGTCTTCTTTCCCCCACCGCCTTACTGACAATCGAATAGCGCCACGACTGCGAACAGCCCGATCACCACGTCGACACCTTCTCCCACGTCGACGGCTGCCTCGTCGACAGCTGCAGCTTCGGATTCGACGACCTGCCCTGGCGCAAACAATACCATATACAAGGTACCCGCCTCGGACAAGCGGTTCCTGCGGATATGTGGCCTGGACTTCAGCGGGGCTCAGGGAGCGGTGGACCTGAAGAACGTGCCGACGCGCAGCTTTGCCGACTGCATGGACAACTGCGCCGGCACGAGAGGCTGTACCGGTTGCGGGTGGGGATTCATGGAGGGCGATACCGCGGATGAGCATTCGTGCTGGATGAAGACCGGTCTGCAAAACCCTCACACGGTTCGGCCGGGTTGGTCCTTTGCTGTCTTGCAGTAGAGCCGGATGGGTCAGCAGAAAGAGAGAGCGTTAGAGTGGAAGAATACCCCGAGCCAGATTACTCTCTGCATACTAGTTTAATGATAATGTTTCATACTCCCATCCACCATCCCAGGATTACCGTTGGTGAGATGGACGCCATCCAGCTTCTTGACGTCTCTTTAGAACCGGCGGCGAGGTCGTGAATAGGTCAAGGCGACGACATACGGAGGCGCATATTTCAGACTCCAGGTCTCGGCACCATCATGGGTTTCACTTTAGACCTGGTCGGCCCACCGAACGAATCATGAAATCCAGTTCCGTGTGTTATATCTGCGATTATCAGGCTGGCCGTCGAATCCCAAGCAACAGCCCCGCCTTCCACATCGAGCGCTATTAATGTGCATCCAAATACGGCGACTCCCACCACGGACTGTGGAAATACGAGACGCCAGCTCGGGCGCGGTCCGATATCTTGGCCACCCTAATTCCCATCCCCACGATGGGTCTTGGGTAAGATGCTGGCAGCTTCGAGCTCGCCAAAGACATCGGACAGGGCTTTCCACGTGTCGCAATACCTGCATTTCCACAGAAGTCAGCATCCCCTTCTGGATAAAGAACGAAAAAAACTTACCCATTCCACCCAAAATCCCTCGCCTTGGTCATGCTCTGGACAACATCATAGTTCCTCCCCAGCTCAAAGTCAACGAACTCCCACGTCGCCAACTCGAGCGCGTCCTTCCTTAAGCCCTCCCTCTCCGCAAGCCGCTCCCACGCCTTCTTCACCTCGTCCAGCTGTGCCCACTTCGCAAGGCTGATCCTCTGCGCCAGCTCCCCCCTCGGCGGCAGCGACCCCCTCAACCCGACCTCATCCGCCACCGCCGCGACAGGCACCGTCTCGGCGAGGTCGGCCCGCGCCGGCAGGCGTCCCTCGCCGGCAAACTGGTCCGGACGGACGCGGCCCCCCAAGCGCCGAGCGACGCGCGGCCACAGGCTCTGCCAGCTCTCGGGCTCGCCGTTGACGACGTTGAAGGCCTGGTTCGCGGCCCGCGGCTCGAGGGCCGCCCACTCGCAGAAGCGGCCGTGCAGCTTGCTCGACGTGAAGGTGTCGAGGCGCGTGTAGCAGTCGCGGCTGCCGGGGAAGACGAGCCCGCCGCCGCCGTCGCCGCCGCCGTCAAGCTCGCGGCTGATGGCGGCGTAGAGGCCCACCCCCGTCGCGAGGTTCATGAAGTTGCCCTCGGCGAAGCCGATCACGTCGTTGGGGTACGTGACCACCCAGCTGGCGTGGGGGTTGCGGGCGCAGAACTGCTGCAGGGCGTCCTGCTGGCGGTAGTAGAAGTTGGGCGGCCACGCGGCGCCCTCGAGGCGCGGGTCGTCCTCGCGGAGCGGGAGCTTGAGCGGGCCGAGGTGCACGCCGTAGTACTTGGCCCCTGTGACGAGGAGGACGCGCTTGATCCCCTTGGCGGCGCCGGTGGTCTCGAGGGCGGAGAGGAAGTTCTCGAACATGGCGCCTGGTTTTATCAGACGGACGGATTGTTCAGCGGGTTTGGTCTCTCCCTCGGGTGTTTTCTCCTTCGGGTTCGCGCTCACCATTCACATTCCAACTCCCTTGCTCCGAGCCCTGCTGCAGGTATGCGGCGAAAAAGACATACTCTGCCTCGACGCCCTCGAGCTCCTTGGCCATTTCCTTGGCGTCGCTCGTCAGGTCGATGTGGCGATGTTCGACATTGGACGGGTAGTCAATCTTCTTGCTGCGCGAGAGCGCATACACCTTCTTCCATTTCTGGGGATCCTGACCCAGCTGTTTCACGATCTGGCGGCCGAGGATTCCTTTTGTTTAATTGAGTAATTATTAATTACTGTCCTAGAAGACGGTTGGAAATATCCCCTCACCTGTCGCTCCTGTGACAATTGCTGAAGACATACTGATGGCCTAATTATGTTGTGGGCTTGCTCTTCGATTTCTGGTATCTTTCCAGGACAACCGAGCTTTGAATTCAAACATGCACCTTCGTCTCATCTTCATATCATGTTCTTGGTTGCTGATTCGCATCCATGACGTCAAGGTGACAACCAGTGTGCATCACATCAATCTAATCTCTGAATAATTATGAGCTTGTCTCCGCAGGGGCATTTGGCTATTGGGGGTTTGTGCCGGGCAGGGGTTCCAGGCCGCCAATTCTTTTTGACAGGTGGCATGTATTCTTTGGCAGACGTTGCGTCGCTGTCTGCGATGCGGTCGCGGTTGCCGTCTGCGTTGCGGTTGCCATTGCCGGCTACGTTGCAGTCGCAGTCGCGGTCGCGGTTGCTGTCGCTGTTGCTGTCGCTGTTGCTGTCGCTGTTGCCGTCGCTGTTGCCGTCGCTGTTGCCGTCGCTGTTGCCGTCGCAGTCGCAGTCACTATTGCTATCGCTGTTGCTGTCGCTGTTGCTGCTGCCGTTGCTATTTTAAAGTAGGATTGTCATTGCTGTTTGCTATTGCCATAATCAAGTAGGATTGACTTTGCTATTGCTATTGCGAAAGCCTCTCGCCATTGTCGATGTCGCTAATCGCCATCGCCATCACCAGCTGTTCCGTGGTTGGCAGCTGGTCTTTTCTATGCTCCACCTGGCAAAGGGAATTGGCGGCCAGGAACCTCTGCGCCCCTGCCCCAATAGCCAAATGCCCCTGCCCGCGGAGACAACCTCATAATTATAACCCAATATCTCGACTCGTTCTTAAAGGCCGCTCATCGGTCTATCGGAGAAGCGCCTTACACTCTCTGTCAGCTCCCCTTTTCGCAAATATTGTCTCTTCTAGATGCCTCTGAACACATCTAGATGGCTCTCAGATATAATTATTACCCGTCGAAGCCTAAGCCGCCGGGCCTCAGAAAGGCCCCAGACGCACCCCCTAAATGTAAGCTCTGATACGAGGTTCTGGGAAGGAAGAAGAGGTAATCACAAACATATATCGGATGCCTAGTTGTGACCATGCTTCCAGGAGTTAGAGGAACGCAGAGTTCAATCATCATATCTTGCAGCTGTTCATTTCATCCCGTCTCATGTTATTATACCTTCCTCCACCCCTTTAATGTAGCTCACGGCTATGGTTTGTCTGATGCCTTGCCTGCAAATTTGGGCTATGTACGCGATGAGTCCTCACCCAAGCCTTCCTTTTTTTCAATTCTACTAGACTCTTCGAGTTGGTATATTTCCCGCGCATACAACACCCTCTTCACGCTCCTGAATTGTCACACATCCAACTTCGCAAAGGTAATCATACAACCACTCGCTGGCACGGATGTCAGCACTTTTGCCATCCTCCAAGTCAAGCCTCACTCGGCATTGAAAGAAGGTGATGTTAATTGGCAACCATTGTTGAAGAACTGTGGTTGAAGGAATGAATACCATGATATGTAGAGAACATGGCTTGACTTGGGGGTGGCTGCCTAATATAAATGCTCACAGTGGAGTAGGCTCAGTCGCTATGGCATTAACTTCTTGTTCTGGCGACAAGTTTCATGCAATCCTCAGGTATCCTTTGGGGGCGGATTTTGTCCCAAGTTCCGTCGTTATTCGCTGGGGTCCTGAAATTGTGATCTCCACTCCGTCATCCTTCTTGCTTTTTCTGTTCCATCGCCCAGTCCAATACGAGTAGGGCTGCAACAGCTTCTCGGCGGTGTAGCGTATCAAAATGGAAGGTAGCCTCAGTCAGACAGTCCTGCACTGAGTATATAATCGTGTACTCTTCCCATCACTAGGCGAATACTGGCCCGATCTGCTCTACAGTAGGTGCTTCAACGACCTAGTTATTCTCCAAGTCCACACTGGTCACGATGAAATTCACAGCAGCCCTCCTAGGCTTCGCCTCCACGACTTGGTCCACCGGGATCCTCCTGCCTCTATACATCTACCCCTCCGACACTTTCAAGGATGGAGCCGCAAGGTGGAAGCCAGCCTTCGACGCCATCGAGGCGAACCCGGGCGTCCAATGGCGGGTGGTCATCAACCCGGCCAACGGGCCCGGGCCCACCTTTCAGCCCGGCAACAACGACGAGAACTACATCGACGGCACGGCCAAGTTCAACACGTACCCCAGCGTCGAGACGATCGGCTATGTCCGCACTGACTACGGCCAGTCGCCGGTCTCGGAGGTCAAGGCCAATATCACGGCCTGGGCCAACTGGGCCACCTACGCGACCGCCGACATCTCCGTCAAGGGCATCTTCTTCGACGAGGCGGGCGCCTCAGACGGCAGCAACCTCGCATACCTGTCGGACGTGATTTCGTTCGCGCGCTTGGCCTTCACGACGCCCATCGCGGCCATCTGCAACTTCGGCGCCAGGCCGGCCGACGAGTACTACTCCGTCTGCGACGTCGCGATCGTGTTCGAGAGCTGCCTGGACCACGGGTCCGGACCGGAGGCGTGTCTGACCGCGGCCGAGTACGGGAACCAGATGACCATATCGGCTAATATCCCCGACGCGGCGCACAGGTCCGCGGCGGCCATCATCGTGCACGATTTTGCTGGTACGGCGGCGGATGGGCAGGCCGCTGACGAGGCGACGCTGGAGAGCTACATCCACACGTTAAAGGCGAATGGTGTTGGCTGGGGGTACTTCACCACTCAGGGGTATGAGGATGGGATTACGGCCCCGCCGGCCAGTATTGCGAACGTGGCCAGGTTCATGGCGAGCGCGTAGGGGATTTGTGGGAGATACGGACGGTGACTTAGATTTTTTGAGAGAAGACTAGTTGGAATTGCGTAGAAAGATAGAAACGCAGAAGTACCCTTCTCACGAAATTCCTCTTCATGTCTTTAAGGGAATTTCTCCAGGGGCATGTGCTATTTGCTCCGCGGGCAGGCGGTTAGTGCATCACAGGCGACAGTTGCTGTCTATCACTATTGCTATTGCTGTCTATCGCTCTTGCTGTCACTCCTGTCACTCTTGCCGTTTCTGTCCATCGCTATTGCCGTTGCTAGGAATAGCAATAGTGACAGCGATGTAGCTGTTGCCAACTTGCCACCTGCCCATAGAGCAAATAGCGCATGCCCGCAGAGAAATTCCCGTCTCTAATGGCTATCGACATGAGGTTACGAGTGGAACTTAAATGAGACTGTATTAGTAACGAGAGCACAATTCCCTCTATTGTAATCGGGATGCTCTTCGAAAACCTGGTTATGATTCGAGACTGGGACATTGTAGTCCTGGACTGCCCCTGACGTGGGACCGTCTTCTCCGGGAACCGGGCAGAATTGGCCTTCACTACAGAGTAATTATTATTGGAAACAACTGATCCCAACTACTATACTGGGAAAACCATGTTAGATTAATTTTCTGAAAGAATACGGCTTCGTATGCTACTTAGGAAGCATTAAAACCCGATCGCGGAGGTTAGACTAACCCCATTACTCAAGCCTCCGAAATTCGGGCATCAACGGGTGTGTCACGCAATCCGACACCCTTCCCCCCAACAACATCCGCCGCAAAAGTGGTAACAGCAAACCGCCTCCTCAGATTGACTAAACCAGACAAACTCCCCCATCGAACCACCTCCAACATGGCGCCCTCAGCTCACGGCACATATCCCTCGGACGACGAGCGCTTCGCCATCTTCCCCAGCCGGCGCAGCGTCGTGCACGGCACCAAGGGCGTCGTTAGCACGACCTCGCCGCTAGCAACGCAGGCCGGGCTCCGAATCCTGCGGGAGGGAGGCAACGCCGCTGTAATCCATTCACCGAACTCAACCCCCCCCCCCCCCCCCCCCCTCTTCCCCCCAACCCCCCCGGGTCCCATCAAGTCCATCCCGCTGACTATTCCCCCCGCATAGGACGCCGCCATAGCAGCAGCAGCAGTCCTCAACCTCGTAGACCCGTCCATGACAGGCATCGGCGGCGACGCCTTCGCGCTGTACCACGACGCGCGGCCGGGCGGCAAGGTGCACGCGCTCAACGGGTCCGGGCGGTCCCCCGCGGGGCTGACGCTGGAGCGGGGGCGCGCGAGCCTCGGCATCCCCGACGGCGTCGAGGCCGGTGCCGGGAGGGGCTTCCCGACGACGTCTGTGCACTCGGTCACCGTGCCCGGCGCGGCTGCCGCGTGGGTGGATGTCGTGGAGAGGTTTGGGTCAGGGAGGCTGTCGCTGGGGAGGGTGCTTGCACCGGCGATTGAGATGGCCGAGGAGGGGGTTGCTGTTAGCGAGCTGGCGAGTTATTACGTGGGTTCTGTCTCCTCCCTCCTTTTTGCGTGCGTCCTAACAGTCGACTGCTTCGGGTTGGTAGTGGGTGCAGACTGAAGCTGAGCTCAGGGAGAAACCCAATGGAGTGGAGTTGTTGAAGCCAGACCCGGACGCCCCGGGGGGTTTCAGGGCCCCGCGGGCGGGCGAATTCTACAAGAACCCGCTGCTCGCGAAGACCTTTCGACTCCTCGCCGAAAATGGCAGCAAGGGATTCTACGAAGGGTCCGTGGCTCAGGCCATCGTTGATGTGACAGCAAGCTTGGGAGGCTACCTCACACTGGATGACCTGCAGCGTCACGGCGAGCGAGGCAGCGAAATCACAGAGGCAATCCCGATCCGCTTGAACTCTCACCTCGCCTCCTTCGGCGACAAAGCGGACGAGGCTAACCTGGAAGCGGGAGCAATCGACTTGTGGGAGCACCCTCCCAATGGACAAGGCATTGTCGCGCAGATGGCCCTGGGCATCCTGCAGGAGCTCATCGGACAGGGAAAGATTGCGAAATTCGAGCCCGAAGAGCACAACTCGGCAAGGTAACCAATTCCCATGAGTCCGAACCAGTACCGGAACTAAACAAGCACCCCCCAGGTACCTCCACGCAGTAATCCAAGCCCTCCGCATCGCCTTCGCCGACGGAAGCTGGTTCATCACAGACCCAGACTCCTCCCCCCTCTCCCCGCTCTCCCTCATCTCCTCGGCCTACCTCTCCACCCGCGCCTCGCTCTTCGACCCCACCAAGGCAACCACGCCATCGGCCCACGGCTCCCCCTCCTCAGTCCACCGGACCAGCGACACCGTCTACCTAGCCGCCACGGACGCGGCCGGCAACGCCTGCTCGCTCGTCAACAGCGTGGCCGACACGTTCGGGTCGCGCATCGTGCCCCGGGGGACGGGCCTCGTCCTGCACAGCCGCGGCTCGGGGTTCCACCTGGATGCCGGGCACCCCAACGCGCTGGCGCCGGGGAAGAGGCCGTACAACACGATCGTGCCGGCGATGGTGACGCGGGCCGCGGGGGGGGACCTGCATACCGTGTTTGGGGTCATGGGGGGCGCGATGCAGCCGCAGGGGCATGTGCAGGTGCTGCTTAACATGGTCATGTTTGGGATGAATCCGCAGGTTGCGCTGGATGCGCCGAGGGTCTGCGTTGGGGTTACGTTGCCGGGGAAGTCGACTGATCCGAGCAAGAGTGTGGATAATACTGTTTACTTGGAGGAGGGCATAAGCGAGGAGGTCGGGCGGGAGCTGGAGGGGATGGGGCATGAGGTTAAGTATGTTAGGGGCATGGCGAGGTCGCTTTTTGGTCGGGGCCAGGTTATCAGGGTCCATGATGATCCGGTCGATGGTCGGAGAATCCATTCCGCGGGGAGCGACTTGAGAGGAGATGGGATGGCGGCCCCGCTAGTGTGAAGGGAAGAAAGAGAGAATTAAGCAAGGCTTCCAATTACAGACATCAAAGACCAAGACTCTTCCAGGGACTGCCGGAAGACGATGAACAATTGCCCTTCAACCTGATAGTAATAATTATCATTAAGCTCAACTTCAAGAATATCGATTAGACGTCGCTGTTTCAGATTTTGGTATCTCTGCATGCATTACGGCATAGTAATGTACCGCGTTTGACTGTTTGTGATGCGTGGTGGTTGATTCTAATTAACCCTGGTGGCTCGGAAGGAGGATGTGCCAGGGGTGGGTGCTAGCGCACCGCCCCACTGGTGACGCCAGCGGTCAGGATGGCTGACATGGGACACATCATCAACCTAAAATGGTGTCAGACAAGCCACATCGTAGGATCGCAATATACGACCCACCCTATCATCCCCTGGTCTTTTACGCACTTGGGTAGAAATATGGGTACAACTAGTGTGGATTGCTTGGGAGCCCCCTGTAGCTCCCGGGCATATCTGCGTAGTTGTTCTAGATTCACGACCCGTCAGCCCTGTGGCTGACTTTTCCAAAACGTCGTTGCAGCTCCTTTACGATGGGACTGACGAGATACAAAAATGGCAATAAATATCTCGCCGCATCCTCCTCCGCTGGTCAGCCAAGTTACACAACTCAAGCCCAAATCCACCTCTCCGGAGTGCACAGCAGAACGACATGGCAACCACAACATCCTCCCTTATCCCCTCCACAACCACTGCCAGCAACTCCCCCAGTTGTACAACAGCCGTGCCGGACAAGTACGGCCATGTCCCCTTCGAAGCCTGCAACTCGTACTACAACTTCGATCCCAACTTCGAGGCCGCCGTAGCCGTGGCCGTGCTCTTCGGCCTGCTGACAGCAATACACATCGCCGAAGCCATCATCTACAAAAAGGTAAGCCCTCCTCGCCCCCCTTAACCAAGAACCCTGAATCAGCCCCAGCTAAACACAACCTCCAAAACCACCAGCGCTACGCCTGGGTCCTTATAATGGGCGCCACCTGGGAAACCATCTCCTTCACCCTCCACGCCCTCGGCGCGCACCGCCAGCAGAGCACCGCCCTCGCCATGGGCCACACGCTCCTCTACCTCCTGGCGCCGCTGTGGGTCAACGCCTTCGCGTACATGACGCTCGCGCGGGCGGCGCACCTGCTGTCGCCGCGGCGGCGCGCCGGGCCCTTCAAGTCGACGGTCCTGAGCAAGGTGTTTGTGTGGGCCGACGTCGCGACGTTCCTCGTCCAGGGCGCCGGCGGGAGCGTGGCTAGCGGGCCGGATGTCGAGTCCAATACCCTCAAGTGGGGGTTGCGCGTGTACATGATTGGGATGGGGTTGCAGGAGGGGGCGATCCTGTGCTTTGTTGGTCTGATGGTTGCGTTCCAGCGGGAGATGAGGGCCGTCGATGTCGTTGCCGTTGCTGGTCGGACTGCCATGGGGTGGAAGGGTATGCTGTACGCATTGTACGCTGTGCTTGCTGCCATTACGGTACGTGGAGCCTCTCTCTTCTCTCTCGGACCAACAGTGACTAGTGACTAACACGCCAACTCTCAGGTCCGGATCATCTACCGCATCGCCGAGTTCGCCGGCGGGGTGACGCCCAGCAACCCGATCCCGTTCCACGAGGCGTACAGCTACGCCCTCGACGCGTTTCCCATGCTGGCGGCCCTCGTCATCCTCGCCGTCTGGCACCCCGGCCGGGTCCTGCAGGGGCCCAACTCGGACTTCACCCTGGTCCGGGCGGAGAGGAAGGCCGCCAAGAAGGCCGCCAAGGCGGAGAAGAGGGCTGCCAAGGAGGCCGCGAAGGAGGACAAGCGGGAGCGGAAGGAGGAGAGGCGCAGAGTCAGGGACGCCAAGAGGAATGGAGGCTATGAGGATATTGAACTTGGGACCCAGTTCTCGGATTAAGGATGGTTAGACTGCCCGAATTAGACGACAGGATTTAGATACTGGTTGAATTGATAAACTGGACTGCAGGTATTGGCATAGAGAGGGTAATTGGCTCATCTGCATCATCACTGTTTTGCCAAGTGCTCAGGGGCTCGTCTTGGTTGTCAGATCATGTCAGCAGGATTGCAACGTCGTGACGCGGCCCGGCAGGCCGCGTAGGGCTTCTGGCTTCATACGAACCGGGGGTACGCGACACTACGCGTAAGCTGCACCTCACAAATCGCATTCCTTTTTTTCCATTCATTTTTTTCTTTTCTTTTCTATTTTTTCAATCCCCCGCCTTTTCTTTGCTTCGTGTATTTTTTGACATTTTTCTCAGAATGGAATGGCAGTTGAGATTGCATTCACCTGAGAACCGGAAACCTCTACTGTTTTCTAGATGGGGAAGAACAGGCAACTCTTGTGAGTGCATGTTATTCACAGTCAAAGGCACGGGGTTGTATGGCATGGACATAACATGAGAGAGATGGGGTTTTCTATTGGCAAAACGACAACTCTGCTGCTATGTAAATGAGCTATAGAGAAAGGTCCAGCCTTTCCTATCCGTCTGCTTACCTGGATTCTCTCCCAAAGGTTACTTACCTTCCCATCTACCTATCACAAGTAAATTATCCTTGTTTCCTCGGGCGCCTGTTCCTCCTCGAACCGCCTGAACGCATCATCAAGGTCAGAGATTGAATAATGGGGCTCAGGGGCTGAGATCCATCCGGGCGAACGAATCAGCAAGAACAAGTTCGGGCGGGTTTGCCTGTCCTCGCAGGTGCGGCGGGAGTCTGTCATGCAGCACGGCGCACCTATCGTCGTAGTGCCCGACTTGCATCTGCACGAAGAGGCGGTGGAGGTGCTGGAGCAGCGCCGCGGCCAGGAGGACATACCTGGGGGGGTTGGCATGGTCGGTCCACGACTCCTTGGGGCGGTTGAACTCTACATGGGCAATGTAACGGTGGGCAAATCTGGCGGCGTGGGCGTTGCGGTCCCAGACGTCCTTGTACTGGGGGTCGTCCTTCGCCCACCCCCACGGGAATTCCGGGTAGTTGAGCGAGTGGAAGAGGTGCTCGGCAATGGAGGAGGTGGAGGGTTCGGGGTCGTTGAGGTTGTGGGAGAGGTAGTCCTGGAGATACTCAGTGAAGATGGTCATCAGCCACTCAGGTTCCAGCATTCTCTTGAGCCCCTCAGGGTCGAGAAGCCTTCCCTCGATGATTTTATCCCAGACTGTTGAAGGGGGAAAGGGCATTGTGGTTAGTGGTAGGTTTGCTTCGGGTTCGGGTTTAAGTTTGAGTTTCTTGGTCGTTGATCAGTTGGCTTGGGAGTTAGAAGGATGGAATGATTACGACTCGGGATTGGGATTGGAGAGGTCGGTATTTATATTTGGTCCAGTCTGGAATTTAGCGGCGTTGGTTATAATAGAGCAGGATCATTACCTTTGTGTTATTTCTTGCTAAAGGAATTGTTTATCTTCTTTATCTTCGAACTCGATTCCATATTTAGGACAACGACGTTTGTTCCTGATAATACCTAAATAAAGTACGGCCGGGTTTTGTTCAGTTTCTCTATTCTGCAACCAATGGATGGGACAATCACATGCAGGAGAGCAACCTACCTAAACTACCCGACGCTAGAACAATGAACATGCGGGGCCTGACAGGGAACCATCGACCAGAGCGCTGGGATACTGCAGCCGATTCGCCCACGGCGGTCCACGTTGCCGAACCCCTCATTGAATTCCTCTTCTCGTCCTGGCGGCTCTGCAGGTGCAGCCTGCTGCATGCCTCTTGGCTTTTTTGGGAAACACAATGTCCGAAAAGGCGTCACTTTCAACAATATTCAACTCTTTAGCGCCAGGGAAGAGACCGTGCCAAGCTTGCCAGCTATCCCTCCATCCTTCCCATCGGTGCTTCTGTCGTTGCATTGGGTCCCACAAACGCAGTAGCTCCATCAGAATCCGGAACTGTGGAGTCCCCATCCTCATTCTCGCACCATGCAAATGCAAGGAAATGGCGGGTAGATAAATTGGAACTACTGTGGTACCGGGATGAGGGGGAGGGGGAAGGCAAGTGGGAGGGGGCGTGGATCGGGAGGGTTCAAGGTTGAAAATAGTTTCCCCATGCCAGCCCTCTCTCTCCCGCTATAAATCCATATCCAACGGCCAGCAACAGCATCACACCAGAAAGAGCCATGCGCGTCGCCGTGATTGGGGCCGGAGCCTCGGGGCTCGTCACCCTCAAATACCTCAAGACGGCTCATCAATTCTTCCCCGTGAAGCCGATCGAGACGATGCTCTTCGAGTCCGAATCCGCCGTCGGAGGCACCTTTGCGCATCGAACCTACGAGGATGCCGAGGTCTGCAAACCCCACATGCGGAAGGGAGTGAAGAGAAGAAGAAGAAGAATGAGAAATGAAAGTTGGAGGACATATCGCTGACGATATCATCCTCTTCCCCCTCCCACAGTTGGTATCGTCGAAGCAGCTCACAACCTTTTCCGACTTCCGGCCGCGGAAAGACGACCCCGACTTCCTTAGTGCTGAGAGGTACGTCGAGTATCTGAACGAGTACTGCGACCACTTTGACCTCTGGCCGTCAATCAACCTCTCAACTCCCGTCCTCTCGGTCCGCCGACGAGAGGGGGGCGGGCACGTCATCCGCTATCGGAAAGGCGCCGAGGAGATGACGTGGGAGTGCGACGCCATCGCCGTCTGCTCGGGTTTGCACGTCACGCCCAGCATCCCGGACCTGCCGGGCGTCGAGAACATCCCCGTCGTGATGCACTCGTCCGAGTTCAAGGCTAGGAAGGATTTCGGCGTCGGCACCACCGTCGCCGTGCTGGGGACCGGCGAGACCGGCATAGACGTTGCCCACCTGGCTGTCACGTCGCCCACGAAGCAGGTGGTTCTGTGCCATCGCGATGGCTTCCTGGGTGCTCCGAAGGTAGTCCCGTTGTCCGGGAAATCGCACCGGCCCCGCAGTGCCCGATGGACCATGCTAACGCGCCGGGCTCAATCTCCCAGGTGATGATCACGCCCGTCACCTTCCCCATTCTCGGCCGAAAGGCAGACCCAAACTACGTCAACGTCCCCGTCGATGTCAGCCAGGCCTCGCTGTTCGACTCCATGTACGTCCACCCGCTCATGCGGGACACCATGTTCCTGTGGAACTACTACAATGTCGTCATCCGGACTGCTCTTTGGCTCTGCACCGGAAGCTACCACGGCTACGACCAGTGGGTTGGGGGGATCTCTAAGGAGCGCTATCACGCCTCGAAAGGTATCACCGAGCCTTCCCGTCTCCACTGGTGTAAACACACGACACAATCATGTCAAACTGACTTCTTCCCCCCTTCTCCTCTCCGCCCGTAGTCTTCTTCAACAAAGCCGCCGCCAAGGCAATGCCCTACATCAGCGAACCCTACCGCCCCACGAAACCCAGCCTGATTCAGCGCATCCGCTCCTCGATCCTGCAGTGCGAGCTCGAGCAGGTACCAGCCGGCCGCACCATCGATCTGGCTCCTTGGCCGACGCACGTCGACGACACGGGGGCTCTGCACTTCCGCGACAACGGGCGGCCCGAGTACGCACGCATGAAAGACACGACCATCCGGCCCGACGTGCTCGTCTTCGCGACAGGCTACACGCAGACCTTTCCCTTCCTCCACTCCCCCAACCAACCATCATCATCATCATCATCATCATCACCACCTTACCCCCGCGCCTCAGACGCCAACGTCCGCGACATCTGGCGCCGCGGCGACCCGACAGTCGCCTTCGTGGGCTTCATCCGCCCGGCCTTTGGCGCCATCCCGTCCCTGGCCGAGATGCAGGCCCAGCTCTGGGTCATGGCGCTGTCGGCGCCGGCCGCCATCCCGCGGCCGCTGCTCCCCGCCGACGAGGGCCACTACCGCCTGTGTCCGCCGCCGGGGGCGCGCATCGCGTACGGCGTCGACCACGAGACGTACGCCTACCAGCTCGCGCTGGACATGGGGTCCGCGCCGTCGTTTGGGGAGGTCGTTGCTGCCGGGTGGAGGGGCGCGCCCGGTGAGAAGGGCCTGTGGTGGAAGTTGCCTGTCATATGGGCGGCTGGTGCGCAGTTCAATGCCAAGTTCCGCATCAGGGGGCCGTATAGGTGGGATGGCGCAGTGGGCGTGTTGGGCGGCGAGCTGTGGGAGACGATCTCGAGGAGGGGTGGTTTCTTGGGTAGGTTTGGAAACTTGCCCCCGCTCTGGTTCAGTCAAGGCAGTCGTGTTCTTTGTTGCTAACATGGGCATTTCTTTGTTAGGCAACTTCACCCTTGCCGTCGTCCCAATCGTTTCCCTCGGCATCATCAACCTGGGACTTTGCGTCTACAGCGGCGTTGTCGGGACTGTCAGGGGCGTGTTTGGACTGCTCACGTGGCCGTTCCGGCGGCGTTCTCGGGAGCTGCCCACTGCGGAGGGCTATATCCGTCTATGACCTGGTACTTTCTCCATCGCGCACTCGAGGCCGTTGTCTTGGCGGCGATCAGGAACTAAGATCGGGTCGATGCTGCTGCGATTCCCAGGGCAGGTGCAAGATTGGCTGGGCAACAACCCTGGATTAAGAGTTGGTCCCCTAAATTTTCCCGTATTTGTCTCTATCCTTTGCAGGCTCTGTGTTTTCTTCTTAGCTATAGCGGTACATATCCCCCAGAATGTTGCTTCCAATTTTAGCAGAAGATGTCCCCCACAGCCGGAGGCCGACCGCGGCGAATTGTCGTATTTCTTCCACTCACTGAGCCCCTGCCCTGCAGCCGCCGAGCACTTGTAGACATGGGGTTTACACCTCGGATGCTGTATAATTCGCTACAAGTGCAGAGTACTATGTCACATGCGGTTTGATGGCCCCCAATGTCGAGTCGGGCCATAATAAACGCAACCATGGGATTGTTGGAACTTGGCTGCGTAGGAAGAGGCGCAGAGACTAGGCTCTGCAGGCAGGGTCGCAATATTATATGCCATGGGCGGCCCCCATTGTAGCTTGAGGGTTTATCTAGCAGGGACCTTTTAATTCTGCATCCGGATTTGGCTGTCAGTCCGAGAGTCCAGAGCTAGCTATAAAGTTGACATACAGCCCCCATGCTGTGAATGTAAGTCATGGAATTAGCACTTGCCCCGGCCAACTCTTTTCCTCTCCCTTCTGATCTCGTGAACTTACTCTCGCTAGTGCCATTACCGCCCATCATGCGTGCCTTCAACCTCGTGTTCCTCCTCGTGAGCATCCATTCATAGCTCGCCACCGCGCCGTACGAACTCACATGCGACTTGCGCACCTGTTTGATTAACGACCGCGACGGCATCGAATGTAGCTACTCCACGATCAACAGCCAGGGCCAGTGGTCCGTCCTCAATCTGAACAAGTGTCTCATGAACGGTAGGGGAAGGCTAATTGGCTGGCCAAGGTGAGTACCTACCCTATAACTATAACGGAGTTTTAGCCTGCTATGGAATTCGTGGAGACGCCTATTGATAGCCACCTTGCCGTCTTGCGCGTACCACATACATCCGGCCTGACTGTGGTCACAGGCTCTTCACTAACGGAGGCATCGACGTGGAAGATCGCTATATATTTGCTAGGCTGTGTTTACATACGCATAGCTTTATCTCCTCTTCAGTAAGAATAGCCAATGTTAAGACTTTCGTCTGATACCACCTTCATTTGCACCATCTCGACAAGACAAAGTTGGATTAGCAAGATTATCATTTTCTATGTTGTAGTGAGTGATTGATGTACAAGGCAGATATCAAAAGGTGCATGACAACATGAAACAAAAAAAGGAAAGTAAGCTGGGGCAGACCGGCTTTGATCCGGTGACCTTTAGATTGATGATAATGATTGAAGTTAGCTTCAGTCTAACGCGACTCCCAACTGCGCCACTGCCCCGACTTGAGGATCAATCGAGCCCTAATTATCAATATCTATGCGATGCCAGGATGGTGGCAACAGCAGGCTAAAGTAGTGGGAATCCACCCTAAGGCAAGTCCAGAGTGTCCACAATCATCCAGAACCTGTTCCGGGCGATAGTCACACGAAAAAATGCCTCACACCCTTGGGAACCATCCACAGTTGTCCCCAGCAGGATCTTTCGGAGATATAGTTACTCCCCTGAGTCGTAGTGCCCTCCTCAGTCGTAGTGAAACTGGGCAAGAAAGTTTCCCAGTGGGACAAGACGCGGGTTTTCTTTCCGACGTCTAATTACTCCCTGGCGAAGCATCTTGCCATTTCCGTGTGCTTTGTGGAATGACTTGATATGCTCACCGTATTGGAAACGGACCGATGGCTTCGTTTAATGAGATACATCGTTCCAGGACCGTGGTTTAGTTAGTTTGCATCCTCCACCGGTCCCCAAACTTCACCAAGACATGCCAGAGCAGCTTCAACTCCTGCAGCACCTCCTCGAACGAGCCCCTATCCTCCCACGCGTCCCTCGCCCCGCCGGGGCGCGCCGACACGCTCCCGTTGGAGACGGCCCGTCTCGAACTGCGAGCGGTAGACACCGTCGGCGAGCAGGGCGCGCGCCACCGCGGTTCCGGCGGCGGCGGTGGTTGGGCGGTCCGGGTGGAAGTGCAGCGCGACGCGGGCGGAGCGGCGGACGGAAGCGAGGGCGGCGTCGCGCCGGGGGCCCGTGGGGAGGAGGTTGGACATGCGGAGGATGTGGTCTGTGCGGGCGAGGGCGAGGGGCTGGAGGGAGATGGCCCGGGATCGGATGTGGGCGATTGCGCGGGCTTGGGAGGGGTGCAGGGCTGGTTGGGGATCCGGGGCTGGGTTTGGGTTTGCTGGTGGTGGCTAGGGAGGTGCTTGGTCCATTTTGACGGGGGTTCAAGCCAGTGAAATATGGCGTGGCGGAAAATCCTGGGATGTGCAACAGGGTGACTCTAACCCATTGACTGAGGTTGAGAGCGCGCATCTCCAATAATCGTAAGGCGGGATAGTATCTCCCCCACCACCAACTCCCCCTGTCGTGAGCTTCTTCCGTACCTGAGCATCTCGATAATGAAACATTGGATTTTTTGAGTTCCACACGAGCAGAACTTGGGGCTTGAACACAACGTGTGGTTAAAGAATTGGCCCAGAAAATGGCCGAATTCTCCATGCAGCGAGTAGACATGAGGACTAATTGAAGGTCTTTCCAATTCGAGATGAGCTCCGGTGCAGCAATGACGGTTACAAGATTTGAGTATATTTTGAGCGTGTTCCCGCATGTATGTATATTATAAATCGACTCGAGTGTCCGACTCGCCACAAAGCCCCGAATCCGGCTAGACTGGGCCATCGATGCGGCAATGCCAAAGCGGCATGAGCAGCGTGTACATAATATCCTAGAATGTGCCTGGTTGGAACTCCAGCGGGGAGTGTTCCCCAACTCCTAATCCGCAAGCCGTCTGCCTATCCATGCTTTTATTGTTCCGTCTGCTCCCTTCCTCTCCAACACCACCACCTTCTCATCGCGATGGCCCGACCCGAGTTGGAGGGTACTCGACCTCGCTTGACGATTTTGCAGCCGCCGACCGCGATGTCTCGCTCAGCTCATAGGGGGCGCAGAGCTGTTCGTCCGACTTTGTCCGCTGCTCTACTCCCGACCTCTCCGAGCTGTGGAACCTGTAGCCCGCCGACTGCTTGGTGCCCCTGGTAACCTGGCGGAGCTTGCTCGGCGTGAACAGGGGCTTCAGCGCTGGGACGCTGGCGCACATTATGCCGACGTTGATCTCTATAATCGACCAGAGATTGATCTGGGGAAAGGGGGACGAGAATGAGCAACGTGAACAATTCGAGGAACACTAGAAATGCTTACCGTAATGCTGTCCCGGAAGGGATCCGTGGACAGGGTGTATGTGTAGATGGTGCGCAGACGGATGATGGATGTAATGGTCGCAAACAGACCAACGCCGAAGATGGCGATGAGTGTTAGCTTTTCGTTCCTGGGCCGGCTGATGCCGTTGAGAGTCTTGATGGGAAGCCCGAGGATCCAGAAATCCGTGACGATGTTGAACGAGGACGTGACTGGTTAAGTAAGCGGCTGGGTCACCATGGCCAGGGATGTGATGGTGTACACGTACAATAGAAAAATGCAGTCCCGTTGATACAAGACCCGGGAGCGGTAAACGTTGCATCCCAGAACTTATTGAAGGGCCGACATTGCCCTAGTGTGACCGAGACACAGACAATGTAGAAAACGATGTGGACGCCGATGGTCACGTAGCATATCATTCGCAGCCTCCGGGATATAACTGGAGCGGGAAATCAGCATTGGACCCAGATTGTGCAAACACCCTGGGGCACTCACTAAACCGCAGGAACATGCAGAGAAGAGATAGCTTGACGAATGCCACAGCCGAGTAGTAGGTAACTTCGATCGCAAGAGTGGCCTGGTGAAGGAGTCAGCAGCAGTCTCTCTCTCACTCGGATCAATTCGAGCGTCTACCTTGAAAAAGATGACTTTGTTCTCCATGGTCAGATCGGCCATCGGGAACCCCATGCGATTGGCCGCGCCCACGAGGATCTCGGCAAGGTACCCGATGGCGAATATCAGTGCCACGCCGATGGTATAATCGTCCCAGCCGGCATTGCGAATGACGCCGAGGCGAATGACCAGTCGTGTAGCGACGACGAGTACTGCACGGTCGAGGTCAGGTCCCGGTTGTCAAAGGTGGCCCCTGGGGTTTTGCAAACATACCGGAGAGTCCAACCAGGACCGAGGCGGTGATGACGAGGCTATTCTGTCGACTTTGATCGGACTGCATCTTGGTAGACTCGTGGAGCGTGCAATGCGCCCACAAACTCGAGGTTAAAAACTTCCAGTCGGCAATGGGCGAAGACCGCCTGGCGGCCCCGAGAAATCAAGCCTGTTGGCAGAGACGAGGTAATGTCTTGGAGAGTTGCGAGAGTTGGATAGGGCTGCCAAGGGGAAAGAGAAAGAGCTGGGCGATGTGCAGGAAGAAGAGGATTGCCCGTGAGATCTGGGGGATCTGGGGGTGGGGGGGCTGCTTAAGGGCTGCAGATCGCCGTAATCTGGTCCCGGCCCCCTGGTCGCTACCAGGTTTCGAGACCCTCCTGGGACCAAATGCGGACCAAGTGCGGGCCACCACCTACACTAGTGGCTGGTGGAGCGGGTCTTGTTGGGAAGCGATCGATGCTAATGAGCCCAAGACTAGCTGAAGCCCCCGGAATTCCTTGGCTACGTCGTATTAAGTTGTATCGCCCAAATTAAGGCTGAGACTGTGTCGCGGGTTGCAATCAAATCCAGAACGCTTCGATGATGGGAGAACCGGGGAACTAGTATAGAGAGTGGGTGGGAATAGAAAGCTCAACGTCATTCAACAACCGACACTGCCAGGCCCAGCCTTTGACACTCGCTGGATTGTCGCCCTCGCCCTCGCCCTCGCCCTCCAAGAACACAAAACAGGGGTCTACCATGGCCAAACCCCTCATGCTTGTGGGATTGGGGGCGAGATGCGAGTAATCGAAGAACACAGTCGCATTTTTTAGCCCCTGCACCGTAGCTCTTTTCCCCTTTCCGTTGCCGGCGGCAGCACGGAAGTTTATTCATTATTGGCTTTCGAATAGTCCGTGCCATCATCAAACGGGTGATTTCTCACGTCTACAATGTGGTTCAGGGCAGCTCGGCTGGGACGGGATCCACTTCCTGGCATGATATACCGCGTAGCAGGTACCCTAATCTGCACATGCCGTCACATGGGAAACCCCTATGCCCAAAGCAGCAGAGGTTAGCGATGCCCGCTGCGGATACCTCACCTGCGCTACTTTGGTAGATGGGAAACACCACCAAAAAAACGTACCACTTTCCCCTATTGCCACCAAGGCTACACTAGAAGTAGCGTACCACTGCTGCGGAGTACTGTGCGCCGGTGCGGAAGCGGGTGGGAACAAGGAGGGTCCACGGGAGGGTGGAGAGCCTTTGAAAATTTTGTACACATTAGGCAGTGTAGTAGTCGGGTGCCCTTTTGCAGAGCCGGATCGCAGTCGATCGATAAAAGAAAAGTGAGATGTGACAGCCCAGCATTAGAAACGCAATGATGTGTTTGGGGAGTCGCATTGCAATTCCGTGGTGGAGAGAATTTCCTCGCCAAGGGCGATCAAAGCGCTGGAGTGTGCGCGAGAAATCGATAGCCAGCGACGGTCCATCGAACGGGTTCGTTGTTCCGCCATTCCTGTAGGCTTACGGTGGGGAGCCAAGATGTCAATGCGAGGGCTTATGTTGAAGATGGGGTACTGCATACATTAGGTAAGACTGGTGTGGAGCGGTCCGAGCGCATCCTTTCCCTTGTCATTTGCTTGCCCTGGTCCAGGCGTCAGCCTCTCACTTCGAACAGGTGGGGACTGGGGAGGAGCCGCCAAGGCGGAGCAGAAATTTGCCTGCCCGATGCTTCCGGTGCGGAGGGCAATCTAGACCAAGTCCGTTCTTATTTGGGGCGCCAGATTAAAGATGTAGATTTTAACACCCTGCAACGACAGCCCCCTTCCCCCCGCATAATTACCCGCAAAAGAAAGGAAAACACCGTTGATCTGATCGCCAACGCCAATCGCGCGCCATCCTTGCTATCGACAAGTCGACATCTGACAGGAATGATGATGGCACCACACCATGTGCTTGCTCCGTCTCCTACTATGCTAATCCGTAGAATCCGCTGCTTTGTCGAAGGCCGTGCCGGAAGCGAGACGACCGTGCCCCAGCATCCGCGCTGTCATGATCGTCATTGCAGCAATGGGATGACTGTTTCCGTTTCTCCCGCATGTGAAGAACCAACCAGGTAACAATAGAGGCATGATCAGCAGCCTCAGGAGCTGGAATCCGGTAGTCCAGTCAGCCAACCGACCAGACTCGAGAGGGACGGCCAGGAACCAACAGAGTAATAATATCCTGTGGCTCAGCCGCGATAACTACCATGCATAGTAAACGTCTGCAAAGTTGGCTTGGTATTGTGGTGATCTGCCAATTCCCGCTGCTGACTGGCATACACACGGATCCCTATGTTTCTCCATGTTTCGTCGTCCCCCTGTCAAGCTCAAATATGGTGCGGGAAAAACTTACTGGATACTACGTAGGTGAAGATTCTGCAGAGGATACTGGTAATCCATCCAATCAAATTTGAGCAGCTCACCTCGGTACCGGCCGTGCAAAGGCCAGATCGACAGCCCTGGGCCGCACGCACGGACTGTGGCTGCACCACACTTTTCACCACCTCAGCCTTCGCTATCCCTCGGCCAATCACCAGTCTCAGGCCTCTCAGCTTAGTGCGTAAATGCCAATCGGAACGCCTTCCCACTCACATTATGCCCCGCAACACCAAACCCAAAGAAACCGTTTGGCCCCACCTCGGTAAGCCACTTTTGATTGGCAGTGTCTCAAAACAGGGTGCGCTCCGATGCACATGCATTTGCAGAACCCTCGCAATCGCTTGTACTTGCCTGCCGCCGCTTTGGGACATGCTGTTCCTGGCTTCCGCCTCTTTCCCCCGTCTCTCTGCCTGCTGTGCGATTCACCACTGGAACGCCTTCAATTCGTATTCGTAGCAAGCGTAGGGCCTCTCCTGCCTGTCTGCAAGACATGCGACACGAGCCATGAGACTGAAATCCCCGCGAGATTTCGATGTCTTGCCAATAACCCCCGAGGAGATAGCCCAGATCGACTTCAATGACCACGCGACGGTCGCTCCTGCAGTATGGGCTGTCAATGTCACCTTCATGGTCCTCGTCGGCATTGTCGTTGCCCTGAGAATATACACGAGGGCCTGCATCACTAAGCAGTTCTTCATCGATGACCGTGAGATGCCGTCCTTTTTCCGTTTTGCTCCGACTCCGCGCCGGTCCTATCCCGGTCCCGTTGGAGACGCCACCGACTAACCACCACGTCTTGTCGCAGTCCTTGTCGTCCTGGCTGCGGCCTCCATCTTTATCTCCTCCATCATGGCGCTAGTTGGTAGGTACTTCCAGGGCTGTCCAAACCTCCCTGTAGAGTTGGGTTCTAACGTCGATTTCAGCTACCAACTATGGACTCGGCCAGCATGTGTGGAATATCCCCATGCCGATTTCCAACATCATGGAAACCACCAAGCGTTGCGTCCAGGTCTTGTCCCCCCTCCCCCCCTTCCTTCTCCCTTCGGCCACCCTTCGCGCTTTGGCCACCTTTGGGGGCTCTTTCGCTGACGCCAACTGCAGCTCATGTTCGTGGCCCACGTCTTCTACGCCTCTGGCACGGCGTTTGCAAAGATGTCAATAATAATCTCGTACCTGCGCATCTTCCCCAGCGAGAAGCTCCGCCGGGTCCTCTACGTCACCGCCGTTGTGGTCGTCGGCCTCGGCATCACCGCCGTCTTCGCAACCATGTTCCAGTGCAAGCCCATCCAGGCCGCCTGGGACTTTAGCATCCACCGCTCGCAGTGCTACCGCTTTGTCGACTTCCTCTATGCCAACTCGGCCATCAACATCGCCACCGACTTTGTCATCTGCCTCTCCCCCCTGCCGTGCTTTTGGAAACTCCGGATACCCGTGAGGCGGAAGCTCATCGTCTCATTCCTCTTTTGTGTCGGGTTCTTGTGGGTAGCAGATTCCTGCCCTGAAGGAGCAGATTGTCGCTAATTCTGGGCACAACAGCGCCTGCATCGTGAGCATCATCCGCCTCGCCTTCTTGCACACAGTCGACGGCATCGACATCACATGTAAGTCCGCCGCGTCCTTCCATCCTGTGCTCGTCCCCCAAGGTGTCAAATCGTACCGCGTTCCAGTCAGAATCCAATCTAACGCCAAACAAACAAAAAGACACCCTGGTCTCCCCCCTGAACTGGACAGTCATAGAGTGCTCTCTCGGCATCATTTGCGTGTCGGTGCCGCCCATGCGCCCACTCTTCTCGCGCCTGGTCCCTAACTTCTTCCCGTCCCACCTGTCCGGGCCCAGGGCCTACGGAACCCGGACCGGCCAACGGACGCAGGAAGAAATGCTGGAGGGCATGAACAGGGAGCTGGACAGGCAGCTGCTGGAGTTCGAAAAGCTCGACCACGGGAGCCAAAAATCCAGGCCCGTGTCGACCGACGGCTCGACCGTGGAGCTGACGGCGGTGACGGGAGAAGAGCCTGGCCACGGCATGACAGACGGGGCCAACAACGTCCGGATTCGACCAAAATGATAACAATTAAGCCGGATGAGGTTGGTCTGTCTCGACAAGCCTCTACTTAGGACGCGTCCGAGGTCGCTGGTTCTTCTCCCCGGCTCCCCACTTGGATCTCTCTGTCTACGCACAACTGCAGCGGTCGGGGTTCACATGGCCAAGGGCCCCTGGACAAGCCTACGACTGGCATAGGTCGTGCCGCTGTCTACGTCACCTATCCGACCAGAACAAGCTGCCGCCACCCAACTCGTCTTGCCGAAACAATCCAAGTGAGCATCCAGAGGTGGGGGTGGTGGTGGTGATGGTGGTGGTGGACAAGGCCCCTCCTGGTCGCCCACCCTACTTCCGCTATTGTTTTCTCTGTACGAACTCGCCGCAGCAGGCGCCTAATCATGCTCTCCCGGGCCTGTGTCCCATGCCGCGTCAAGTTTGTCTCCGACACGAGAAGTGCAACAGACAGATCGGGCAGGAACAAAATAAAGGGGGAAGTGGGGAGGGACGCAAATGCCCGAGCAGCTGACCGAGATGATGGGCTGACGACGACCTGGGTGTGGAAGGGATCCGGAGCCGTGGTCGAGTCCGACGACGCGCGTCTTGTGAAAACGCCCGGGTCGCTGTATTGGGTCCCATGTCATGTCGGCTAGGCGCTATGCCTTGGGGGACAACTGTTGCGGACCCTGGCGTGTTGGGGTTGGGACTCTTGCAAGGGGGGGGTCGCTATTCTTGTGTTGGGCGTGTCACTCTGTCTACAGGAAATGCCATCTGCCACCATGTAGGAGGCTATTCGGCGGGGAAGACAAGACTCACCGCCTGGATATCGTTCCTCTCAGTGACCCTGTAGGAGCATACCAGCCCAAGGCTGAGAGTAGCTTCGATCGTAAATAGAGGAACCTCATGGTTTCGATAAATTAATCGTATCGCCTTGGTTCGACACCCTTTGCAATCGCTGGTTCCCTCCCAGACTTCCTGACGTTCCGTGACTACCATTGCGGTCGTGTTATATATTATTATTGGTATTGCACCGACAGCAGCCACAAGCAACTCCGATAGCTAGCTTTCGTCACGCTTGGGAAAACACTTGTTCCCATGATCACCGCCGTCAAGGCGAGCAGGAAGGGAAGAACCGCGCCAAAACTTTGAAGAAAAAAAAGCAAATAAATATGCGTATGAGATAGATAAAGAGGCGTTCACTCAACAACAAAAGTAGAAAAAGAAAGACATGTGAAAAAATGGCACCCCATAGATTCGAAACACATACCTCCCTAGAGTTTTAAGATATAAGAACATGATATGATATGCGAGCGCTCTACCGTTGAGCTAGATGGCTTGTTAGATACTACCCCTCCACCTACTTGGGCATATAGTACCCTGCCGAAGTGAAAAGAAACGGCCTGAGAAGAACGGGGGCGAAAAAAGAACGTATTGTACTGTACATGTACATATGTGGAAGGAGGAGGGCAAAAAAGGAAAAGGAGGGCAGGGGGAAAGGGGCGAAAAAAGAGATGACCGTCCCAAGCTTGTTAGTCGTATAGACCAGCAAAGGGTCGTCCAAGGAGACAGTGGAGCAACAAGGTTCGAAGCTAATGCAGTGAAAGCTAATGCAGTGAACTCTCTCAGCCCGAAGTCTGCATCTTGGGAGGCGAATTTCCACCGGGCAGGCCTCGCCGACGTGGGCCTCGGGCAAAGCCTGGTGGGACGCCGTGGTCAGACGCCGACCTCCATGACTCCCACGGCCAGACCTGGGCAGCCGAACACGGTGCAAGATGGAGGAAGATGGCTAGAGAAGCAGGGGATCTGACCGCTCTCGCCTTCGAGATTTGGGTCCGCCCCTCACCACAGGATAGATTTATTGCCGCCCTTCGTGGTGCAAGATAACCTCCACCGTCGCAGTAATTATGGAAATGTTGGTCTTTTGGCATACAGCTTCACACGGCCGGGAAACGTAGAAGAATGAATGGTGCGATGGAGTGGTTCAAGAATGATGCATAAATGGAATACTCTGTCTCTGGTACCTAGGGGGGAGGCCTCCTGATTGGCTAGGTTGCTGCCTAGGTACGTCACACATGGGAGTTAGGGTTAGGCGGGGTAACCTTACGGCTGCCTACCTCTAGGCAGGCACGCTGCCAAACAACAACCTACCTGCCCGGGCATAATAAGTAGCTTGACTCCGCTGCCTGTGAATCAGTTTTTCAATCGTTTGATTCAAGGAATATCAAGATCCCTACCTACTCATTACCATCAATCTTCCACCCGCATCACATAACCTCATTCTCACAATAATACCCAAACTGAACCACCCGAACAGAGAAACCCCTATCAACTCCAAGATGCTACAGACCCCCAGAGCGATCAGAGCGATCTGCGGCTTCCACTATGTTGACTCATACTTGAGTGTCGTATACTTGGCTCAGGTCTCACTATCGGCCCACTGCACCATCGTTGGCTCCACCAGCCGGACAACTCTCACCCAGACATTCGTCAACCATTCAAAGCAGAATGTGTCCGAGCTTCGATACACGTTCCCCATCTACGATGGCGTGTCGGTCGTTGGCTTTACGTGCACCATCAACAATGACCGCGTCATTCGTGGAGTTGTGAAGGAGAGGGGCGAAGCCCGCACCGATTACCAGGAAGCCCGCGAGCGCGGAGAGACGGCCGGCCTGCTCGAAGGCCTGCCCGCATCAGCCGATGTCTTTACCACATCTGTCGCGAACGTGCCTGCCGGCGCCGAGATCAAGGTCGAGCTCGTCTATCTGGGCGAGCTGAAGCACGACGCCGAAGTAGATGGCATCCGATTCACCATCCCAACAGCAATTGCTCCGCGCTACAGCGAGCTTCAGCTTCAGCAGACCTCCGCCATCTCCACCAACGTCGCAGCCTTGGGCGGGATCCACATCGTCGTTGACGCTGAGATGCCCTCCGGGTGCAACATTAAGAACATCCAGTCGCCGTCGCACCCCATCTCGGTCACCCTCGGCAACACATCTGCGGGCGAGGCTGCTGGCGCCGAGATGTCGCTCCAGAAGGCATCCGCGACCATCTCGTTCTCCAAAGCCGAGCTCGACAAGGACTTCATCCTGCAGGTGGTTGCGACCAACACGGGCGACCCGATTGCCATCCTCGAAACCCACCCCACGATCCCAAACCATCGAGCCCTGATGGCGACGCTTGTGCCCAGGTTCAATCTCCCGTCTATCCGGCCCGAGGTCGTCTTCGTATGCGACCGGTCTGGTTCCATGGGCATTGGGAACAAGATACCAAACCTCAAGTCGGCGTTGCACATCTTCCTCAAGTCGCTCCCCGTCGGTGTCAAGTTCAACATCTGCTCATTCGGCACGTCCCATGAGTTCCTGTTCAAGTCCGGTTCCACGACGTACGACGCAGAGAGCCTCGATAAGGCGATGAAGTATGTCGACAAGTTCGACGCGAATTTCGGCGGTACTGAGATGTACGAGCCGATAGAGAATGTCATCAAGAAGCGATATAAAGACATGCCTCTGCAGATCGTCCTCTTGACTGACGGCGAGATTTGGAACCAGGAGCGCCTGATTACCATGATCAACAAGCAGGTGGGCGAGAGTCAAGGGGAGATCCGAATCTTCACCCTCGGAATCGGAGAGAGTGTGAGCCATTCGCTGATCGAGGGCGTCGCCCGCGCCGGCAACGGCTTCTCCCAGGCGGTGGGAGGTAACGAGAATATGAGCACAAAGGTGGTGCGGATGCTGAAGGCATCCTTGACCCCGCTTGTCAAGGATTACACACTGGAGGTCAAATATGGCAGCGACCCGGAGCAAGATGCTGATGACGATTTCGAGATCGTGGAGAAGGTCATGGACACCCTCTCTATCGACGTCCCCGAGACCCCAGTCAGTGACCAAGCGATGCCAGATGCGCCCAAGAAGCCCATCTCGCTGTTTGACACCACCGTCGACCCCGACGTCGACATGACCAACCCGTCACTTGACTCCACGGCCAAAGGGAAGTACTCGGCCGTGCCGCCGGTGCCCCAGCCCAAGCTCCTGCAAACCCCTTTCGACATCCCCCCACTCTACCCATTCAGTCGCACCACCATCTACCTGCTCCTGTCCGCCGAGACGTCGCAGCGCACGCCCAAGTCCGTCGTCCTCCGCGGCACATCGGTCCACGGCCCGCTGGAGCTCGAGATCCCCGTCGCCGTGCTCCCCGCCAAGGGCGAGACTATCCACCAGCTGGCCGCCCGGTCCGCCGTCCGCGAGCTCGAGGGCGGCCGCGGCTGGATCTTCCACGCCAAGGACGCCGCCGCCGCCGCCGACGGCGCCCTGCTCCGGGACCGGTACCCGGGCCGCTTTCCCGACATGGTCGAGCGCGCCGCCGTGCACCTGGGCGTGCAGTTCGGCGTCGCCGGCCGGTGGTGCAGCTTCGTCGCCGTCGGGGACAAGGACGACGACGAGCGGCCCGCCGGTGACGCCGCGCAGGATCCCGGCCACCTCATCCGGGTCCCTGTCCCCGCCAGCGCCTTCCCCCGCAGCCGCAGACCCGGCCCCTCCCTTGACGGCGCCTTCGGCGGCGGCGGCGGCGGCGGCGGCGTCCTCTTCGCCGCCGCTTCTGCCGGGGTCGACACGCGCTCCTCCTCCTCCTCCTCTCACGCCGGCCTCTCCCGGCCCTACGCGTCGGCTGGCCCAAGAATGAAGAAGCTGCAGCAGAACGCCCAGATGATGGTGATGCGGCCGCCGCCGCCGCCCGCGCCGGCCATACGGATGCCCCAGGTCCAGGCCCCCGCACCGTTCAGCATAGATACGCCGTACTCGGCACAAACGTCTTATCCTTTGTCCTTGCCGTATGGGGGCACGACACTCCCGGAAGCCGACGCGCAGGGATTCGGTGGTATGTTCGATGATGGCGGGAGCAGCCGGGGCTATCCCGCGGACAGGCACGACGACAACGACTCGGGTATGGCCGAGGGCGACGGCGGCCCTGTCGCCGTCGGGTTCGACGCCATCGTGGCGCGGCAGTCCTTCGACGGCTCCTGGGCGTGGGACGAGGCCCTCCTCCGCGCCATGGGGATTGAGCCGGCGGCGATGCGCGCGGGGCTGCGCGGCGAGGGGGAGCTGGAGCGCCTGCTGGGGTCTCAGCCGGCCGGGCTGGCGACGGCGGTGGTCCTTGCGTTCCTGGAGTCGGAGCTCGCCGACCGGAAGGGGGAGTGGGAGATGCTGGCCGAGAAGGCGGTGGCGTGGTTGGACGGCGTCGTCGCGGCCGGCAACGTCCCCGCCGCCGACTATGTGGCGATGGCGAAGAAGGTGCTGGCGAGTCTCTAGGGGTTGTGGCTATGTGTGTGTGTGTGAGTTTGCGGATATTGGGGTTGGGCCTTGGGGGGATTTCCTACTACTACTTGTCTTGCTGTCTTTAGGCTGGAGGTAGTTTTCTGGCAGTTAATGCAAGATATTGGGCATCAACTAAGCTCCGCACAATGGCTCCGGGAGCAATGATGCTGCAGGTGAGGATGGCCATGTTGACCATCCTGCAAGACGGTCACCTTGTTGCATTGACGGGTGTGGGATATCTTTCACTGCTTGCCTCAATTGGCCAATGGATCCCAGATCTCCACCACAACACCATCATTCTCACGATGGCTGCTGGGGGCGGAATGTCCTGGGGGATTGGGATGCTAGACCCTGCACCGGGTTCGCTTGTGTCGGATATGCGAGCTACGAGTCAACCAAGGATTGACACTCCGAGTCATTTTCTCAGTCACCAAGGTGGTAATGGCACGGCGACGATCCTGACTTTTTCGGCGACCAACTGTAATTTATTATTGGTGCTCTTTTTCATCGACTGACTGACTGACTGACACCACGGAATCCAAGAAAATAAAGTCAAAATCCGATCCAAAACACAAGGAAATCTGCCCGAGCAAGCACCACCGCCAGAACATTTCAGATCCACTCCCTACCCCCAATCTGAAATTTCCGGCCCTCGGCGCCCATTGTTTGCCCTCAGACCTCTGTAGCAAAGAAGTACTCGACGAAGACGCTCTCGGAACCCAGGCGGCGCCCGTTGCAGCAGACAGCCAGGGCGATGCCGCGCAGACTGTCGTGAGTGACCTCGAGGGCGACGGTGTCCCCGGACCCGGCGACGGCCGTGTTCCGCTTCCAGGCAACGCGGCACAGCGTCTTCAGACCCTCTATGCTCGCGTCCACGCCCGGCGGGGCCGGCTGCGTCATGCAGCAGATGGTCAAGGCGTTGAGGATGCCGCCGCCGATGGCGGGACTGGCCATCCAGGCGCCCGCCGGAACGGCGTGGCTAACAGGATTTGTGGAGGAGAGGGGAGATCCCTGGGAGGGTTTTGCACCTTGAATTTAGCACGCCATTCGGGCATTTGGGCCCCGGGGGGGGGGGGGGGGGGTTGGGGGTGGAGGGCACAAACCTTTCGGATGACCCAGTCGATCCGCGCGGTCGGCGCGTCGCCGAGCAGGATGCCGTAGTTTGCAAGGGCAAGGTGCGATTGGATGGCGGTCACGGGTCGACCCCCTGGGCTGTACCCTCGCAAGGCGCAAACCGTGGCTCCACGGCAAACAAAGGTCAACCTTTGTCGTATCAGTCCTGCAGTCAACAGTAGGAGAAAAGGAGGCCCGCCCGGCGTTGGAATGACCGGGCCAGATGGGAACAGAACTGGGCGCTCACCCTCTCGTATCACTATACGTAATCATCTTCGTCGGGCTCTCGACATTGAGTCTCAGAGATTCCTGGAGCAGAAGGTTGCTCCCCAGGCCGCCGGTGAGAAAGACGTACTGGTCGAGGACAAAGTCAGTTCCTTGGTGTGTCCCATTACCACTGTGACGGGGTCATATCTGCTCACCGTTGGAGTCCTGGCCATGACCTCTCGCGTGGCACGGATCTGGCCACGGACAAGGTTGACAATTTCGCCAATGACAGGGGAGAGGATAGATGCAATTTCCGCCCTATTTCTCTCAGTTAGATGGTCACATTGAATCGGAGAGGAGAGGAGAGGAGACAGGACAGGGTGGGAAGGGGGTGGCGTGGCGTTTGAAAGAAGGGAACACGAACCCTGAAAAGGTTATGATATGTCCGGGCGCGCCGGGGTAGCTCTCCTGGGCCCCGGGATATTCCACCTCCACCTCAAAAGGCAAAATGAACGAGTCCGATTCGCTTGGTTCTGTCCACAGGAACTCGACCAAGCGTCCCCACCACGTGAATGCCATGTCCCGGAAGTGCGGGCGGAGCTTCTGCAAAATCTCCGTGTCTCCGGCAGCGATATTACAGATCTTCTCCTCAAAAAGCTTGGAGAAACCGTCGTGCAGAAACACGCCGCCGCAGAGTCGGCTCGCTCCGGGACCACGCTCATGCACAATGTAGTTGCCGTCTGCGGCGGTTGCGACTTCGTACGTCACGGTGTCCTTGGTGCTCGTTAGCTTCTGGGTAGGAAGGCCACCCACACAAAAAATACACATGGGCTGGGGGGTTGTGAAAATATTATTACCGCTGTTAAACCGCCACAATCGCAGACGATGATCAAGTCGTGTTCCTAATACGACCGCTCTTATTAGTATTCTTCCTGGGACAAGAATTTGGGGAGGGTCTCGCCACCTTGGAGTGATGCCTTTGGCCGCACAATCGCCCAGAATACTTACGGCAGCAGCAGCAGGCTCGCGCATGAAGGTGAAAGACGACTCTCGCGTCGAGTCAAGAATGCCCGAAGCGCGGATGGCAGCTTCCATGCGCCGCAAGGCATCTTCAGGCCAGACGGCCGGCACGGTGAAGATGACGCGCATGCAAAGCCCTCGGAATTCTTCAGGGCTGAGACACAGCTTTCTGGCAATGAATCCCCTGACCTTGTCCCAGAGATGCTCCAGGTAGGCGGTGGTGAGCCGAACAGGCCCCATGCTAAGGGACCGGGCCGCACCAGCGGCTTTTCGAAGGATGGGGGAGCCGAGGGCGTGAGGCGGCCAGTCGCCTTCGTGCAGGAGGAAGAGTTTAATCCATGCAAATGGCGCGGGAAATCCAGATCCTGGGCGGTCTTGGGAATTCTGGTGCTTCCGTCTGCGTCGACCTGCAGGGCCGTGGGGATCGCCACGTCCAAAGATAAGCCGTCTTCAGACAATTTGCAGATGTACAAGACCCCAGTAGCCTTGTCAGCAAACGCGACCTTGGTCTGATTGAAGAACATGAGCGAAAGGCGGTATGTGGGAAGGATGACGAAGAGCGGTACTTACGATGCCCCATAATCGATGGTAACAATAATCTCACGGCGGCTCGCTGGTAGCTTTGACAGGACCGGAGCCATGCTTTATGTCAAGTTGAGGTTCGTCGGTTGTGGGGTAGAGGTATGGAAGAAATTTCGGTCTATGTTTGGATAGGGTTTCCCGTCCAGTCTCCAGAGTTGCAGCAGAGAGGCGAAGGCGCTGACTTTGTATTCGGGCAGTCTTCCACGAACCCATGTCACTGTTTCAAGGCTCGTTTGTCCCTTCCCCTTCTGGTTGGCGAATCATGGTCAGCCGTTTGGACATGCGGCCATTTGGCAAGGCCAATCTCTACCTAGGTACCTACCTACCTAACCTAGGTACTTAACCCAAGGCACTTACTTTGTGCTCCATACGGGCAAGGGGGTTGCCACCGGTTCGTTGCCAACGCAATGTATCTCGCATGTGGACTACGCTAGCTAGCTGCAAGGACAGCCCCTAATTCTATCACAAAACGAGCAGTCTTAGTTGCCAACCAAGCTAGTGCCTCTTGGGTCAATTCCAATTCTCATATCTGCTTGCGGTCAACTACCTGTATATATCCGTAAGGCAAGCCCAATAGGAACGGACTCCCGGTCCACAGGACGTGCGTGCTCCACAAGGTCTCGCTCAGGCGTTGTGAGTGATCACCTCGTCGTGATCTCACGGCCAACCCGAGCTGGAGACAAAATAATTAGTGGGTATCTATCTATCTGCCTGGCCAACAGGTCCGCAACCAAGTGAACCGGGTTTGCTGCGCCCCGCCGTCATCAAGCCGCGGTGTAGCCAATCATGCCCCACCTATTAGTCCGAGACACAAGCACTCTTCTTGTCCTCATCTTCATGCCAAGGAACGACAACCACCAACAGGCTCTCACCACACCATGTTTCGGAACAAGGGGGAAGCTTCATGGTTTCCGCCTTTGAAGTTGCTCAACTAGTGTTTCGCTAGCTCGGGGAGACATTCCAGCACCGAAGCCGAACACGGTCGCCCACAAGCCCACTTCGGATAACAACAAGGGTGGTCGGTTGGCCTGAAGGGACCTGAGTCAATATCACGGGACCTGGCTGAAGGTATATGTTACATGTATTGTACATATACACATCCTGTCTCCTGTTCGTTTGCCGTAGAGGCTAAAAAATCCGGCAGCCTGGACCCACCATCTCAACAACAAACAGAACCGACACGTGCAGTCGGAGTAGATGGGGAAGAGGCAGCAGAGAACAGTTTCAGATTCGGCATCACTGCCCAATTTCTTATATTCAGTCGAGAGAAGCGGAGGCAGCGCTGCAGTCCGATATCTTTCTGTCTGCTGGGCTGGTCAACAGCATTTGAACTGGAAAGGTGGGGCAAATGTAGATACATCATCTTGCTTCTTTCTCCTTTCCCGCTTGACATGCGACATTCCTGGTCCATGTCAGCCAGCGGTCAATTAGTACGGGCCCTCAACGGAAACCGGCCGATTTGAGAAACATGGTGCCGTGTTGACTGCGTGGCTCCTGCCCGGAATCTGGGGCTTTGTTGGTAGTTAGAACCGCAACCGGCAGTCAGCTGCCACTAGCTGTTTTGTGATGGATGCGAATATTGCCAACCAACAGGGGGCCCTTCAGGCACATAGGGAGAGATGTGATAAATTGGCCGATCATGTGGTAAATCTGCATCAAACCAACCTAAGCCACCTAGTAGAGCTGGCGGGAAATTCTCGTTGCTTTGTTGCTGGGGTGTTGCATCGCATGTCCATTTTCCGCCTTGCGCCTGTTTGCGGATGGGTATGCCGGTCCCTCTATTCTAGGCTCTGACATGGCTGTCTTTACCCCCTTTTACTTGCCCTGCCTCAGGAAGTAATCTTGCGCATGGCTTTCTCCCCTCTATCTGAATCCTCCTTCAGAGTCTCTGCTCTGCCTCTCTCTCACTCTCTTTCCCACCCTGCCCTGTCATTTCAATCTCGCTTTCCCTCCCTTCCCCCGTTGCCAGGCTGAATCGCCATGCCCAAAGCAAGACCCAAGAAGTTTATCAACGCAGAGACATCGTCCGAGAAACGCCTCTCTCCAGCTCCAGACCCTATAAAGGTTAGACGTCGCAGTCGAAACCTCCAACCCTCAGGACTCGACCAGGGCCATCGAAGATCCCGCCGTCTCTAGGAGAAATATCTCTCTACGAGGGAAATGTCCCAATCCCCAGATCAGCCAGTGGGAGAAAAACGCCAGCCACTCCTCAAAGCCGATCCAATCGAGGTGATGGTTATACTCGCGGAGAAGGTGGCAGAACATCAGCAACTCCATGAGGCCGGCGCTGTGGAGATGCGAACGAAGACCGAGGAGACAGATGGGCAAACTTGCGAGGCTTATCGGCAGCAGCATGTCGAGACCGTCGAATCCGTGACAGACCCATCCGGTGAATGGCAAGATGTCGAGATGAGGATGAAACACGGCTGGCGCAAACTTGACCACGTCGTCAGTGGCTTCGCCACAGTCGGACTCTCCGGGCAAACTGTCTCCTGGGGGAGCCTTGACCCGGGCACGCAGAAAGAGCTCAACGGTTGGACCCCTAGGGCGAAAGAGTACCTCGAGAACGGCATGCAGTCAAGCTTCTTCTTCGCTGCGCGCCTCTGGCATACCCTGGACGAGAAGTTGTTTGCCCTCAGCCCCTCGAAGAAGTGGCCGAACGGGCCTTGGGCGCAATATGGCGAGTTTAGGGACCTCTTCAAAGGTGAGTCGGAGAACAACCCCCCCCCCCGCGCCGGGGGGCCCCCCCTTCATCCCCGTCTTGTCCTCTGCCATTTCTGCAAGCCACTGTCCATAACACACACACAAAACCCCTTCCCCCGTTTGTTCCTTCTTGGCTTGTCGCTAACAATGGCTCGCTCAAAGAAGCAGACGAGCCTTGGAAGCGAGGTAGGCTTCCAAAGACGTATCACGTTTGGAAAGTTTTATCGGCGCACCTTCTCTCCAAAATCACCGGCCCGAGCCCTGAGATGGATGTTAGCGTCCTGACATCACCACTTGCTTCGAATAGCCGAGCATGCGATAGAACTCGACCAGCTAAGGGAGTTTTCTACTTGCAAATTTTGGATCGCTTGGCGACCGGCCTTGGCCGTCGGCGGCGGCGGCGACGACGACGACGACGACGAAGGGCGCTTGTGGGGCTTCCCAGCATCCACGAAAATCACAGGCAATGGACCATCCATGGAACTCTGGTCGGTAGGGTTCCTCGGCAATATCGAGGAGCAGAAGGTCCAGATTGTCGTGGCTCCCTCCCTGGTCATCGACATCAACCCCCTCTGGCCTGCCGACTCACTTATACCATTGTCCCATGCGCATCGTGGTTGACCGTCCCCAGAAGAAGCAGGAACACGAGCAGGAGCAGGAGCACAAGCAGAAGGAGCACAAGCAAGAACAGCCCCACCGCAACGTCAATACCAAGGATGGCAAAAAGAAGAATGGCGGCGTCGTCAAGCGCAGGGCATCATCCGTGTAGCCAGCAGGGACATGGCTACTCGCCAGGATCTTGGTTACTTTTTTTCTTCTCTTCTCCCTTCTCTTCAGACATTGGTAGCTTAGTTATAATTGGCCAACTTACCTCACTTCTCCCTTCCTCCACTCATTTCTCTTTTCCTTCTCTTACTGCTCATTCTTCCCCTTGCTTCTCTTTCCCATTTTTATTTTCCGTTTCCCCCTCCTAGGCACGCCCTGTCTTTCTCTCCTTCTCTCTCTCCTTCTCTCTCTCCTTCTCTCTCTTTCCTTTCAACAACTCATTCCTTCCATTTTCATGTTCCGTCTCTTCTTGTCGTCGGGCCAATTTGGTTCCGGATTTTTAGGCCTGTCACGGGAGAAGGCCTTCCCAGACTCTGTCATTATAGGGAACAATTACGCGTTTGCCATCCTCTAATACAATACCTATGAGCCGCGGCAGCTGTGGCATTGCCTGTCAACAATGCGTGTCCTGTAGTAAACACCCTGTGTTTTGGTACGATAACCTCTTTATTTCCACCGGAATTAGAGAACGCAAGTTGGAGCTGTTGGGGCTATTGTGTCAGTAGCTATTTCGACATCAGAGCCGATACAAAGCAAGACGTGTAGCCTCGTTGCGAAGTCGGGCAAGTCATGATGTTCGTACAGTACATGCAACCAAGGGGGAGTTTCATTTGCGGGTCGGCCTCACCCACAGGGTCAGATGTCTCATGCCTTGAAGATTTACAGCCCATCGTTGAAAAATTGGCTGACGTCGATGGGCTTAAAATAAGCTTGGCCCCACAAATCTTGGCTGCCGGCCGGTTCCCTGAGAATGACGCGGGGCGACGGTGTCAAGAGCTGGAGTTCTCCCTTTGCCCCGCAATTGCCAATAGGCGGGGGACTAGTATCGCCGTGGGGCCAGCCAAGGTCGGTTCTGTGAGTGCTGAATAGATTTCATTTTAACTGCTTCTGTTGGAACACGACCTTCTGATTGGCACGATCACAAGTCGACCAGGGTAACGGGAGTGTGGTCGCTTCTGTTTTCGCGGCAATTTTCGTTTTCGCTCTCGCTCTCGTTTTCGTTCTCGTGTCAGCACCACTTGCTCGAGCGCAACCCATGTCGAGAAACTTGGTACTTATGATATAGGTGCGGTGTCATTCTGGGTAATGTCGAACAAAATCAATAGAGAATTGGCCTGTTGGCATCAACACCGTCTTGGGCTTGTTGTGCTCGTTCTCGCTTTACTGAGGGGTTCCCTTCCTAGTGGGTGCTGCTGAAGCCGACGCCCCACAGAGAGCCATCTGCCACCATACCTATTCGTTCCATTCCCCACTCGATTCCATTGACGAAAATATAGTAACTACAAAGGCCCAAAGGCAACCCCTTTGCTCCCTCCCTCCATCTTGGAAAGGGACGATGCCAGAGAACTAGATCAATAGACACAGCCATCACGAATATCTCGTGAGAAAACCAAGCAACCGCCAAAACGAGCCAGATGAGAAACTAGCCATGAAGAAACACCCAGAACCCCCCGAGGAAGCACGTACATAAAGAAGCAAACACCTCGACTCGCTTCATGCAGCCGTCCAAGAAGCTAAGATCTGCACTCAAAACACTGACGTGGTGAATGGAAAAGGCACGGGCCGCTTCAGGCTAGGATGAGTCAGCTTCGGACCGGATTTTCTGCGCTTCCATATAAGAGCGTGATCAGGGCCTCAAATTGTAAGATCATCATCAATTACGCAGACTTACACGGATTTACAAGCAGCACTCTTTACACCTTAGTTATTTCCAAGCTTTCTACGCAATAATACTTGATTTACCGCATTCCATTCCTTCCTTACGCCTTCAATTCAATTGATTACGCCGCCAGCGTTTTCCTACCTTACTTACACGACTGGATTTGGGCACTACCGCGAGACGTATCGGGGCTGATCAGGGTCACCTGACCAGTCACGTGCGCCAGAGGTAAGGAAGAAGCACGATTCCATCCGCCTGCCAGCCGATCACGTGGCTACTGCCGTTGGGGCCTACGCCTCAGCAGCAGTATACTACGTTGAGAGGTAGGTAGGTAGGTGGTTTTGTGTCTCTCCTCCTCAACACGATGAGGCCCAGGCACTCGTACGGCAGGGTCGAAAACACCGCTGCAGGTACACTACCGGACCAGTTCGACTGCTCCCCACTGATCCACCCCGACTCGATGGCGCCGCCGGCGCCCGCCAAACAGCCCACTTATCCTCCCCATCTCGACTACCGGAGCGCGGGGCGTGGGGTCGGAGAGCTAAACGAACGTGTCTTCCGCATCGCGCCAACACCGACATCTACAGGCCTCAGGCCTTGACGTGCCTGATCGGCTATAGGATACTGGGGGTGGGGACGGGCGGAGAGACGTGACGAAGGTATGGTTGCTGCTGCTATTGCGGCGGCAGGCCGGGCACGAACGACCTGAAGTGGCCGGCTGGAGTGGGTGGGCTGAGCGATGATCCGAGACGGCGCGGTCGGATTCACCCAGCTGGATAAGGTGACGATTTCCGAGCCGGCGACCGGAACCAGGCCTAGGAGAATGACCAGCGATATCGGATGCGCCGAAAGTATTATCATCGGCAATACGGACAGGAGTGCACAGTTAAACGGAGCGTGCTCGGATCTCGACAGCGACCTGACGGAAACTGCGCGAATTTAAAATGTCGCGACGCTGCTGGCCTTGATCGAGTGATGTTCCGTCAGAGACAGACGAACCCCAGGGACAGACAAGGTGAGGCCCGCAGTTCATCTCAGATCAGCCATTTCAAGCGGCCACACCATGTGGACCATCCACTCGAGCGGCAGCGCCTTGCCGATGGCGCGGATCTCCCTCTCCGCGGTGCCCTCCCAGCCGACCTCTGCAGCGCCAAGCCACCACACGCCGCGCACCTGTGCGACGGCGGCGAAGTAGTGGGCGAGCACGACCAGGGCGCGGGGCCGCTGCTCCTCGACGAGGGCGATGAACCTCGAGGGGATCATGATGGGGAACGCCTGGATGCGGCGGCAGAGGGCGTACACGGCTTCCCGGTTGTCGATGGCCTTCTGGATGGAGCCGACGTAGCTAAGCGTCTTCTCGTACGCCTCGCGCGTCTCGTCGTCCCGGACCTCACGAGACCCCGGAAGCTCCTGGGCGAGGATGCCGTTCAAACCTTGGCGCATGGAGGGGTCGAAGTATGCCTCGTCCTCGCTGAAGTCGGGGTACGAGTCGATCACGATGCGCACGGCCGAGCCTTTGACATCTCCCGATGTCAGTATGGTGTTGGCGCTCATGCCGATCACGGCCCCGGCGCCGCGGCCCATGTGCAGCCACTCAAGCGGTGCGGTGTAGGGTTCCAGGGGCCGCTCGCGCAGCACGGCGAACGAGAAGATCAGGAGGAGGATCGAGGTTAGGCAGACAGGGTCGGCTGTCTCGGCGGTCAGGGAGTCCAGGGTGGCGCGCTGGTGCCGAACCGACCATATGAGATAGCTCTGCCGGGCATTGAACAGCTCCATGTTGCCAGGCTCGATCCGGAGGAGACTGCTGGCCGAGAGTGCCAGGACGGCGTTCAGGAGGTTGTCGTTCTTCAGCGCGAGCATTGGCACGGTTTGCTTAAAGAGCTCACCCCATTCCTTGTTCGCTTGGGCAGCGAGATGGGACATGTTGGTGGTATAGTGATGCATCAGTCGGTGTTCCAATAGCCGACGTTCCCTTGACTCTGGGAGCTCTGCATACGGGGGATTGTCGAAACTGGAGAAAAACTGGAGACTTGGAGGAGACGGTCTCCCAAAGAGCGACGTCGGTGTCGGTAGGGAATGCCCCAAACTGGGGGAGCCACTGCTGTCATCGGAGATGAGGCTTGGTTGCGATTGAGGCTGGCGGGGTATACCGGTGATCGGAGGAGCAGCAGGAGATTGCGATCGGGTTGACACAAACGAACGGTCTGGCCAAGAACAGTCGAGGTTGAGGCGGTTACAGTTCCCGCAGACAGGTCGCCTCTCGTCGCACTAATAGGTAGGTTATGATCAGCATGCATCGCATCGCATCGCATCGCTGCCAAGCTGCCAAGACGGGACTCCAGCTCGGAGTCGGAGGTCGGAAGCCGGGGCCCAACTTGCCTTAACCCGCCGTCCCTTGCACTTGCGGCACCCGTTTCGGGATTTCTTATGGCCAACTTTTGGCCCGCGTTCAGGGCGCCTCCATGCAGCACTATCTTGCATGGCGCGAGGCGGAACAAGAATGGAAAGAATTAAAAATTGGACACCCTGCTCTGGTGGCGAGATCACTGAGGGGCATTTATCTCACGGCGCAAGCGTCATCATGGAAGCTGTGGCTGTGCACGTCCCTTGCTTGCTGACGCGGCGCCACGAGTTCAAGGGATTAGCAGAAATCAAAAGTGGAGCATCATCCTCTGCGTCGCGTCAAGAAGAACACTTTCAATGGTTGCCGTCGTCGTTATTTCCTCCTGATGTCGGCTCGCCCTGTCTAGCACATAGGCATGGATCTTGTATCCTGGCCACAGTGGAAGGGGATGGAGATGAAGAACATGATCCCCTGCACCGATCCGGGATACCATCCATCATTGCACAGAGTCGCGAATTGCGCATAACTACTTGTGATTAGGTAATTGCATGTAAACAATGCCTTGCTAACGCTATCAAAACCCTTGCCCACCAACCAACCACCTGCCCGACCCTCACCCACAGCACACAGTAGGTTCGTCGATCGTCCGCCCACCCCATTTCCCCTCGACCGGCGCGGCGGCGCCGCCACAGCCACCCCCGACCACCACCGTCCTCGCCGACCAATCGAACAGGAAATGGCCCACGCCGGCCCCGACGAAGATGCAGATGATGATGTACCCATTGTAGTACATAGCCATGAGCATCAGCAGATACGCCAACCCAAACGTCGCGGCATGCAGACCCGCCCGGACGGCCTGCTGCCCGACGCCGGGGCGGAACCTCAACCTCGTCACCGCCGCCACCTCTCCATCCTCTCCATCCCCCCCCGACGACGACGACGACGACGACATGCGGGCCCCAAAGTCCCGCGCGATCCACTCGTCGTACTCGCGCGCGGCGCGGCGGAGGGCCTCGAGGGCGACGACCATGAGCACGACGCCGACGCACGAGGCCGCGAAGGCGCCGTGGCTGCGGATGTGCCAGTCGCTGGAGATGAAGCACGCGTCGATGGTGGTCCAGTTCCAGAGCATCTGCCGGCCGGGTTTTGGGGGTTAGCCTGGGTCTGCGGCGGGGGCGGCGGTGTTGTGACGTACCGAGATCTTGCAGGTGCCGCCGGCGTCAGAGGAGTCGGAGTGCGAATGGTCCATGTCCATTGTTGCGGTGGGATTCTGGGGTGAGAGGGTGATGTGCTTGGTGTATGGTGGTGTGACAGCAGAGGCACTTGAGTGTTGATGAGAAGGAGATTATTCTGGCGAGGCTTTTAAAGTTGCCGGGCTGTTGAACGCATGTGTTGACTACCTATTTTATAGGTTCATCGCCGGCTCGTTCGTTTTAGTGATGAGCAGATGTAGCCAAGGGCTGTGAGCAGGTATTGCGAGAAATGCGAGGTTGCGCCAAGCCCGGGCCCGAGTTGAGTCCGGGCCCAAGGAAGGCACACCCGGTCACTTTAGGAAAATGAGGTCACACCACGCCGTGAACATCGTGGTTTATCGCTGGCTAGTGGGGGGAAACCTGCTCAAAGATGCTCAGTCGACAGACAGTCCCAGTGACTCATTTGAGCGAGTATGAGAACATTTTCAGCAGTACTTGGCAGTCCCACAAATACTTGGAAGAGTTGTCGTTCTGGTCTTTGGTGGCTCTCGGCCAAGTCAGCCAACCGCCGCCGCCGTTCTTGGCAGCCGCTTTCCCTCCCTTCGACGCTGCCGCGGATGGTGCCTGCACGGGAGATCTGCCAGGGCCGAATCGGGCCATCCGCCCTGCCGGGACTTGACCGAATTAAATTTTCCTTGCATGGTAGGTCCATAGGTACCAGCCTCCCGTCTATATCCAATGCTACTACCCAAAATAACAACAACTCATGATGGAACATCCTCAGCAACCACCATCAACAATACAGTGCAGCGCCCATTCAGACATCCACTCCAGCACAAACATAACCTCCAGCGCCTGCACGTCCGCCACCGCCTGCGGCGGCAGCCCGGGAGCCGTCTCGTTCGGGAACAACCCGTTCTCATCCCAGTGGTGGACGCCCTGCTCGATGAGGAGGAACGGCTCTGACGCCGTGTTGGGGCGCCCGGGGGGCAGGGACAGCGCGTGCGGCGTCGCGGCGCGCCACGGGTCGGCCTCGCCGTCGACGATGGCCAGGCGCGGGTACGAGATGGTCAGGCCGCCGTGCCGGTTGACGGCCTCGACGTCGGACGGGGAGGTGATGTTGAAGGCCTCGCGGCAGACGGTGGAGGTGTAGGGGACGTCGATCATGCGTGATATGAGCGGGAGCTGGTCGGCGGGGACGCCGGAGCCGGTTTGGAGGTAGCCCCATCTGAGTTGGGTTTTTGGGTTAGAGAGGTGAGTGGTCGGGGAGAAGGGTGCGGCTAGACTTACTCCGTGCAGTACTGGTAAGGCCATGCCCTCCACGTCTGGGAGATGTCGTCTTGCTCGTAGAAGGTCGAGTTGTAGTTAGTAAAGCAGAAGTCCTGGGTCGAGTTCTTCTTCTCGCACGGTGCGACGACGGTGTCGTTGATCCACCCGATGTAGTTCAGCATCGGGTTGACGAGCGAGTCCGCCTCGGCGCCGCCGTAACCACCGGCCGCGATCAGGTCCCGGATCTCGGACCCGAGGCCCTCCAAGCTGGGGTAGAGGAGCGCGTCGGAGCTGACGTTGTTGCAGTACAGCCCGAAATCAGTGCTGTTCTCCGCCGGGTCCCAGTTGGTGTCCTGCAGGCCGTAGATGCCGTTCGTGATGGCGTTGGCGAAGTCGTCGGTGCGGGACAGGTTGCCCAGCCCGAAGGCGGCCTTAAGCTTGTCCGGGTACGCGGTGTCATTCTTCCCGATGAGGATGTTGTCGATGACGTGGGTCAGCTTCTGGGTCGCCGCGACGCAGTCCTTAGGGCCGTATATGCGGGCGGCCTCGAAGTACTCCCAGTAGTCATAGATGGCCTCGGTGACGCCCGACGAGGAGATGGCGCCCCAGTACACGTCCGGGTACAGCTTGCGCAGGAACGCCACGAACGCGCCTGCGTACGAACCCCCGTACGCGATGTAGGCGGTCTTCGGGGCCGTGAGGTCGAGGTGCTCGAGCCCCTCGTACACGACGTTCCTGGCAAAGTAGGCCATGTCGGCCAGGGCCTGGTCCGTGGTGAGGAAGCGCAGGTTCTCGGTCGAGAGATCCGGCACGGGGAAGCTCGTGCCGTAGTAGCGGTGCTCCAGGATTACGCCGAGGCCACTCGTTGCCTGCGCCAGCTGGGCGACGATGCCCTTCTGCAGGAAAGGGAGCCGGCCCGCCGCGTCTGTCTCACCAGACTGCAGGACAATGACCGGCCCGCCCGTTTTGTAGTGGCTCGCGTCGAACCAGTACCGGAGATTGAAGAAGCCATCAGAGTGCGGCTCGTACGCCGAATCATTGTGGAAATGATCAATCGGGACGGACAGATTGTATTCAGGATACAGGTCCGACGGGTCCACATCCCGGGCGCTGATTGTCCTCTTGCTGCTCCTTTCATTGTCCATCTGTGGGCAATGTGAGCAAGCGGCATTCAGCGAAGATCGGAATTGCCCGACTTACCTGCTCGCGAAAGTCCTTCAACGAGAATGATGTCCGAAACGCCTGTGTCGCTGGGGCGAGGCACAGCAGGCCCGCCGTGATGACTTTCGGCAGCATCATAATCAATAGCCGTTGGCATTGAGCCTGACGACGAGCAAGGGAGGGATGGGGGGAGGGAGGAAAGGAACAGAGGGAGCAGAAATCGCGGGGATGGAAAGCAAATATTAATCAGGTCAAGATCAAGATCATCATCACCCCACCTACCAACTTCCCGGTCCGGCGTGGTCTCCTAGACGCAGACCGACCCCGATGCGACTCTTTCGGTGCCGATTGTCGAGCGACTAGGCGAAAGAGGGAAGGTCGAGGGCGGTACGGCCGCGAGGAAAATGCCGCCATGCCGGGTTGTATTAGGGACCTTCTTAAAAGGTTTTCCTGCCCCGCGATTTACCCCAAAAAGGGACCTCTTTAATTGTGAATTACCTAGGTACGGATCCGTATTCGTCCAACCTCCCGCACTTTCGTCCCATTTATGACAGTGCAAAAAGCTGTAGATGTCCTATTCCCCGCCATTGTGAAGCGATGGGCCATTTCTCAAAATGCAACTCTAGCAAACATCGATTGACTTTGCGCTGATGTGCAATTGCGTGACACAGAAGTCGCTATTGCATCCAATACGTCGTGCTGCAACACCTTGAAGAATGTTGGTGGCGTCGCATGTGTGTTCTCAGTCTTGTTTTGATGACTTATGATGATAAGGCCTATTCATGTATGTGTTATGTCTCTGGAAGATGACGGAAGAGCGAAAAGACTGGAACAGTGCTAACCCAAAGCTGTTAGGGAGGGGAGAGCAGTAGTCAGTCAAGGGACGACAATTTAAGTAACTGAAGAACTCTCTCATTTTCGGTCAGTTTTGAGCTGTAAGCATCTATCTATTCCTGCAAAAACTGGTGCTGAAACCGCGCTTAGGTTCGTGGGTGAGGAATAGAGTAAGTACAGGACACGTAGGAGGCTTACCTGCTGCTCAAAAAAAGAAAGGAGAATATACTACCTACCGGTAGTTAACGGTAGCGAAACAGGCTCAACCAGATCTATGGGAGCTACACGTCATTGATTCTAGTTCCAGTTGATGATGCGACTCACCAGCTGGGTTAGGGTTGGCTGTGAGTTTTTTTCGCGGAGTTTTGCTTGGCAGGATATTTGTTTTCAATAATAGTCTCTGGTTTCCATCTCAAGCATCTCCAAACAACCCCAAAAACAACCACTTAAATCTGAATTAGGAACCCTTTTCTCAGCAGCTCTCGCGGCGATTATTTTCATTGTCCTTATAACACTTCCTGACGATGAGCCGAGCAGCCCGGATCTTGTATCCACATCCACAAGCTCAGGCGCCGTCATTGACCGTGATCCGCACCGTTAGGTCATTGAAACACCCGAGAATTGGCATCCCATTCGCAAGATCAACATCATGCACAGCTCGCCGGCAGTCCAAGTGTGACAGCGACCCAAAGCCCTGCAGCAAGAGCAACCCCACCGTCGCCACCCCCGCGTCGCCGACCACACTCTCCTTCTGGTCGTCGAGACCAATATGGCGCCGCGCCGGCATCAACACGTTCCGCTGCCTCATCGGCTGCACCTCGGGCGACTTCGCCGCCATGTGGTTCCTCCAGTCGCAGCATCCGGGCCTCGGCGTCGGGCTCGTCATGGCGATCTCCAGTGCGTAACCCCCGTCCGACCCCGACTTCGACGACCGGTGCTGATATAGTCGATCTAGTGGCTTCCGGGCTCACGACGTCCATGCTCCTCGAGACGGTCCTCCTGCGCCTCGGCCGCGACAAGCTCCCCTGGACGGCGGCCGCCCGGACCGCCGCGGGCATGAGCCTTATCTCGATGCTCACCATGGAGATGGCCGAGAACGCGGTCGACTTCCATCTCACGGGCGGGGTCGTCGCTATGGATAGTCCTGCCTTCTGGGCTGCTGCGGCGGTGTCCATGACGGCTGGGTTTCTGGCGCCGTTGCCTTATAATTATATCCGGCTGAGGAAATATGGCAAGGCGTGTCACTAGTTGATGGGATATGGCGTGGGTTGTATTGTAGGCAATTAGATGTATTAATATATTAGATTCACCTCTCAGTCTTGAACCCCCTTGCTTCCATCAGGCCCTCACATGCTCATCCGTCGAAGCTCGGTTTCGGCTAGGATTCGTCCACGAGGTGTGGGGTTGACGCGCAAAAGTTCGTTGTCTGTGTTGTGACGAATTATTGTCGGTCCCGTGGCCACCCTGGCTGTTCACTCATCCGGGGTAGTCCAGGAGGCGCCCAGTAACGTCAACGGGACGGTATGCCCAGGGTTATTGTCTCACTGCGGGGGCCTCGACAGATTCGCAGAGAGCCAACCGTTCATGTAATACAAACCAGAGCCGGGCGGCGGTGGGACATTTTAAGAAGAGGGGGTGGAAGGGGAGAGGGGGGAGAATCTGGTCCGGGGGAGAATCTGGTCCGGGGGAGAATCTGGTTCGGGGGTGGGGGGATATGGAAATGCTGCTGGCATTTAAATGATGCAGCGTGCCTTGCTGAGCATGGTGAACCTCAAATCCCAAGTCCCCCACGGCCAAAACTGGAACGCCAGGATCAAAGAGGCAGTAGAGGCGAATTCAGAGCAGGGAAAGTATTCAACTAATGATGTCTGCTTCGAGTGACCAATTCAGTAATTGATAGCGCTGGGAAATGTGAGCTCTGAAACCCATCCCTGCTGCATGTGGGGAAGTGAGGAGAATGGAAATCTGCTTCTTTGTGTCACCACGGTCCCTCCGATCGGCACTCACTGGGTGAGTCACATATCAAAAACAACATCATTGAGGAACCTCCACCGCTTTCCCAAACCATGAGCACGCGTGATTAGCACAAATCATTCCCAATGGCAAACACCATACGACCCACCGTTTCTTACCTCGAGAAGCTCTTCGGCCTTACCGGGAAGACGGCAGTCGTGACAGGTGGCAGCTCCGGGATCGGGCGGGCGATCGCCACCGCGCTGGGCCAAGCCGGTGCCGCCGTCATCCTCATCGCCCGGCGCCCCGAGCCACTCAACGAGACAGTAGCCTCCCTCTCCGCCCTCGGCATCCAAGCCTACTCCCTACCGACAGACCTCTCCGACCGCGCCGCCCTAGACAAGACCGTCTCCACCATCCTCGCCACCCACGGCGTCCCAGACATCCTCGTCAACGCCGCGGGCGTCAACCTCCGGCCGCCGATGGACAGCCTGACCGCCGCCGACTGGGACGCCACGCTGGCGACCAACCTGACGGCGCCGTTCCTGCTGGGGCAGGCGTTCGGCCCGCGCATGGCGGCGCGCGGGACCGGCGGCGGGCGCATCATCAACGTGGCGAGCCAGCAGGCGTTCCGGGCGTACGGCAACAGCGGGGCGTACGGGGCGTCCAAGGCCGGGCTGGTGGGGTTGACGCGGTCGCAGGCCGAGGCGTGGTCCGGGCGGGGGGTGCTGTGCAACGCCGTCGCGCCGGGGGTGGTGCGCACCGAGATGACGGCGGGGGTGTTTGCGTCGGAGGAGACGGCGGGGAGGCATGCCGGTAGGACTATGATTGGGCGGAATGGGAGGGTGGAGGACTTTGGCGGGGTGGTGGTGTGTCTGGCGGGGTTGGCTGGGGAGGCGATCACTGGGCAGACTATTTTTGTTGATGGAGGGTACTCGGCTACTTGAGGGGGGATCCAGCGATTATGGATGTGCATGCAGCTTACACCCAAGGCAAGATAATTACGGTACACGTTTGAAGGTTAGGAATCTGACGACATCAAAGCATTTGAAGGGCTGATAATTAAAAGTACTCCGCATCAGAGGTCCCATCTAAATGCACCTCACCGTTGCCCTGCCCCCTAATGATTATGCCCGACCGTGTAAATGTAGTCTCTGGCCTGCATAGCCGCCGCCGCATTGGTCCTAATCAAGCCACCCTGCATCCTAACCCTGTACCTCGGCCTCGCTCTTTCGGAAGATCCACACGGAGACGAGCCCGGCCAGGCTCCAACGCCCTGCGCCCAATCGCCCGCTGGAACGGCATCGGCAGGTCAACCAGCGTCATGGTCCAGATCCGTTATTTTCTTTCTCAGCATCGTAACCAGCCTACCCAGGAAAGTTACTAGTAATCTTGCACGATTGATCTCGGGATCATATCACGGAGCTGCTGGGATTCAATCCGGAAATATAAACCAATCAAAATTACATGTGTTGTTGTATCATCCAGGACCACCGTCTCGTTGACTCCTTTCAAAACGAAGTGGCTGCATCCATCCAATCCCATGTTGCTGATAAATGCAGACACTCGGTGTCGGTGTCGGTGTTTTCGACTGTTGTTCCGTGCTGGTTCTAAATTACGCCGTAGATGAAGCAGACCCGGGACGTTTCATTTGTCAGCTAGGTCCTCACCTGCGTCAGGTCGGAGCAAAGCCCAACCGAAGGCCGATGTAAATTGTAAATGCAACTTCTGTCGTCATATCGAATAGACAGCACTTCACAGCATAAGCTGATGTCAACCTAATCGGAGCAATGCCCAGACCGAGGACCGAGGAATAATGAATATATAATAACAGTAGACTGACGTCGTCGTCAAGATAGACAACACTGCAAGCCTGCGATCAAGCATCTCTCAGACTCTCACCAGCAAAGCCAACAACCAGACACCACCAACCATGTCCCCCACCGTCATCGTCTTCGGCGCCACCGGCAGCGTCGGTTCCGCCACCGCCCGCGCCGCCCAGCAGCAAGGCGCCAAAGTCTTCCTCGCGGTGCGCGACCTCAACAAACCCATCCCGGGCCTCAGCGCCTCGGAGGAATCCGCGCGCGGCTTCCAGCGCGTCACGGCCGACCTCCTCCAGCCCGAGACGGTGCGCGCGGCCGCCGCCCAGGCGCAGGCGACGCGCGCGTTCGTCTACCTGGCGCACTTCTCGCCGGACCACATGCGCGCCACGCTGGAGGCGCTGCGGTCCGGCGGCGTCGACTTCGTCGTCTTCCTCAGCACCGCCAGCATCGTCGGGGACCCACGCGCCGCGCCCCAGAGCGACTACATCTCGCACAGCCACGCGCAGGTCGAGCTGGGGCTGGCCGAGGTGTTCGGGCCGCGCGGCTTCGTCGCCGTCAGGCCCGCGTACTTCGCCAGCAACTCGCTGAGGTGGGCCGCTGGGATCCGGGCCGGCGACGCCGGGGTGCTGTACCCCGAGGCGAAGTTCGACTTTATCACGTCGGGCGATATTGGCCGGGTTAGTGGCGCGCTTCTGGCTGGGGAGGTGCCGCCGACGCTGGAGGGCGAGGTGGGTGCGTATAGCGCTCTCCGTATTCATGGACCGAAGCTCGTGTCGCAGGGGGAGGCTGTCGCGATCATCGGAAAGGAAATTGGCAGGGATATCAAGGTGACGGCGCTCAGCGAGGAGGAGGGCATAAAGGCGTACACAGACCTAGGTTTGCCAGAGCCCATTGCGAGGCAACTGGTCGATATGATAGCGAGACGGCATCGCGGGGACGACGGCAACTTCTACGAGGGTCCTGCGGCCGAGGAGGCGGTGGCGAATGTTGAGAAATACTCCAAGGCGAAGCCACAGCAGTTTGAGGAGTGGGTGAGGGAGAACAAGCAGGCGTTTATTGGCTAGGAAATGTTTCTCGGCTTCAGGTAGACGTTCACAGGCCCTTTCTCCCATAAGCGGTAGACCTTGCACCGGCTGTCCCAACCCCTGGTCTCGTCTGCCAGCTTGATGTCAAAGTTCCACACCAGTCTAGCCAGGATTAGGCGCATCTCGGCGTACGCAAGACTGCAGGGGGGGGAAGAGAGAATAGAGTTAGAGCGTCACAAATAGTCGTAATATTCGTTGCAGGTTTGCTTACTTCTTCCCAATGCAATTTCGAGGACCGACTGAGAAGGGCTGGAGAGCCTCCTTCTTGTCGTTCGCGAAAGCCGGGTCTCCGAGCCAGCGCTCGGGGATGAAATCATCGGGTCGTGTCCAGCACGCGGGGTCGTGGTACAGAGACCACTGCCACACTTCGGCCTTGGTCTGTGTGGCATTGCCGCGTCAGAGAACTCTCCCTTCGTACAGAGCCTTGGAAAAACAGGGGAAATACTTACGCCGGCGGGAACATATCGGCCCAGGATAACATCGCCCCCCTCGGCAATCAGCCTCGGCTGCCCGCTGGGCACAGGCGGGTGCATGCGGAGCGTCTCGTCGAGCACCGCCAGCATGTACGACAGCCCCTGCACGCTGATCAGGTTGATCTCCTCCTCGCTCGAGAATGTCTTGCGGACCTCATCGGTTAGAGCCGCCAGTGCGCGAGCGTTCATGCCTAGGTAGTACGTCGCCGCGGACAGTGCCGTCGCCGTCGTCTCGGATCCGGCTACGATGAGTACCGACGCGTGGGATGCCAGTTCTTTGAAGGTTAATGCCTGGTTTCCCCCTCGGCAGTTAGCACTGACTGTTTACTTGGCTGAAAGGAGAGAAAAAGGATGAAGATGTGCCAATCTCACCTCTCCCTTGGACGAATCCCGCTTCGTGGTCATCGCCTGGACGAAATCCGGCCTGTCCGTCCCGGTCGCCAACCTCTTGCGCACCTTCTCCGCCGACAGCTGCTCGTGCTCCACGAGCTTAGCCGCCAAGCCCTCGGGGACCAGGAACCGCTTCAGCAGCGGCGCGACGGCGGGGTACCGGCCCAGGGCCGACAGCCAGGTGAGGTGCTTGATGCTGTCGAAGATGAGCGCCACCCAGGGGTGGTAGACCGAGTCGCCGAGGCAGCCAAACGGCTCGCCAAAGGCCAGGTCGCCGATGACGTCGAAGGTCGTGTAGTTGAACCACTGCACCATGTCCAGCCCCCTTTCCCCGCCGTCGCACTCCTCGCGCAGGCGCCGCACCATGGCGTCGACGTACCCCTGGATCAGCGGCTGCTGGTCCGCCATGGCCTGGGCCGAGAAGCCGTGAGCCAGGGCGCGGCGGAACCGGGCGTGGTCGGCGCGGCCGGCCCCCAGGATGTTGTCGCGGAAGTGGCCCATGTGCACCGGGTCCTTGCCGTGCTCGGCCCTGCCGGCCCTGCGGTGACCCCTGATCTCCTTGATGGCGTCGGGGTGGCTGTACGAGAGCGTGTCCGGCGCCACCCGCACGACGGGGCCGTACGCCTTGTGGAGGTCGAGGACTCGCCGGTGGGCGTCGCCGGAGAGGAACATGCGCGTGTAGGGGAGGCGTGTCATGGCCCAGAGCTTGGGGCCCGGGTAGGCGCGGAGGGGGTGGAAGAAGACATTGTAGACTGCAATCCAGAGGATGTAGGTGAGACCCTGGTGCGTTTAGCACCCAAGTAGCAAGGTTAGAAAGGTGATGGGGACTTACGAGACCCAAGCAAAGCACTGGCAAGGCCACGGCAATCCAGCCTGGTGGGAGGTCCTTGTCGTGGAGGACGAGTAAACCCATATTTGGCTCCGTAATATTATTCCTTGAGAAGGGGCTTGTGTAGTATATTATTTTTGCCACAACTCGCAGCCAAATTAGCAGGATGGAAATGAAAATGGAAGATGAGTGTTTGGTATCAACGTTGGGACATCCACGCTATACATATACTTACTTGCCCCCACCCCCTCGGTCAGATCGGCTTCTTTTCGTCACATCACGCAACCGTTATATGGAGGCTCCATTTGGAATAGGCAAGTGCCGAGAGGGAGGAGCATAAATAGGTGGCCAAGCATTCCGCTAGGGTAGGCCGCGGAACCTCCCGCAGAGGACAATACCCCTGGGTGAACAAGATATGCAAGCTTTGCGGAGCGTTTTGTTGCCGGTGCGGGTACCCCACCCCGACTGCAGCGGGAGATTGCCAAGGTGTGCGGCTGCTTTTATTCACGCAGTCTCGGATTGGTGCAGATTCTTGGATGGGGTCGATCGCCTACCTTTAATACAACGTCGGGGGACTATAACGTGCGGCACTTTCTGAGCGGGAGGAACACCTGATGCCCGTTAGCGTATTGCGCATGCATTACCTAGGCGCCGTTGACCCACGGAATTAGGTGGGGTGAGGGGGGGGTTTAACCTGGTGTATTTGTGCTTCTTCACGTCGATGCCCCAGAAGCCCTAGTTTAAGAAACCGAGGCAATCCTTCTCAGTGTGCAGTGAAATTAAGAAACGTAGCAGGACTGGATCCATGTGATGAAACCCAAGTTTACAATCGGCAGAGTCAAATCGGGCATTCTCCAAAACGGACAGAAGAAGCAAGCACAATCTTGGCTTGCAATGACTGCTTGGTCTAAAATAGCTTGAACCCACCGGGAACCCCAGTTTGGAACAAGCCGTGAGGATCATACCTCCTACTGACAGCTTGCAATCGAGCCTTGATGTCTTCGCCATAGCTCCCAATCGGATCCTGGGACTTGTCGGCATAGTTGAGGTACTGGAAGGGTATATACAATCCCCTGTCTCGCGTAATCTCATTATGCCTGTCGACAATGGCTTGCATTCCCTCCTGGACCCTGTCATCGTCTTCTTTGTTTGCATATGCAGCTGTGAGGACAGAGAGGACGAGGTCCTTTTCTCCAGGGCGCAGCCCAAGCGAATTCGTGCCGTTGGTTACTGGATGCGGTTGGATAAGGAGAACCAGTTGGAGTCCTTCGACATCGACCAGGTCTTTGGTACCGTCTTCCCAGGTCTGAAAGAGTTGTGAGTAGAGGCTTGCATCGCTGTTCTTGAAGGAGCACACAATGTCGATCGCACTAGGAATCAGTTAGATCCGCCCCCCCCCACCCTTCCCTGGGATATTCAAAACTTACCGCGTGATGCCGGGTGGAAGTGTACCTCCGGCCTCGGAAGTCAAGGCGCTGACATTCGTCAGACCCAGTGAAGATCCGATCGGGTTGGGGATCGAGGTAAATGGCTGGTATACCGGAGGGTTCACTACCGGTTTGACGTAGAAGAGGGAATTCCCAACAACGTAAACGGGGCCAGGGTTTTGGAAGACCAAAGCAACGCCCATATCCGCCGCGTCGTCGAAGTTTATCGGATCCATGAAGTTGCTGAAGGCCTGGGCGTGAGCATCCAATACCTCCCTCGTGTAGTTGAAGCTAAGCCCGCCTCCCCACATCTGTCCCAGGGACCAGGTCGGAACATCGATGCGCGTGACAATTCCGAAGTTATTTGAGCCGCCCTTGAGGGCTAGCCAGAGGTCCGAGTGCGAGCTAGCGGTGGCGTGGATGATCTCGCCGCTTGCGAGAACCACCTCGTATCTGTATATATTGTCGCACACCCAGCCGTGCTGTCGGGAGAGGTAACTTATTCCCCCTTGGATCCCACAATATGGTGAGCTCGATCACGTCCGTCCACACATTGGCTTTAGGCATGTTGCAAACTTACCTCCGGTTGCAAGACCTCCAACCCCAATACCCGCAACGCGTCCACCCATAACGGTGAGGTTGTACGGGACCAGTTGCTCGTATATCTCACTCCAGATGCCACCAGCGCCCAGAGACGCTACTTTCTTGTCGTGGCTCAGAACCAGCGAGTTCATTGACCTCATATCGACGGTGATGCCTCCCTCAATGTTGGCTGCCCCGCTCCAAATGCTGTGCCCGCCGCTCCGGACGGCGAATTGCGGTGACGTCGAAGAGCCACAACACTTGCTAGTTATTAGCTTGACGAAGACTGACACTTCAGTCGCATGCGTGGGGCTGAAAATGCATGCCGGCTGCAACTCGCTCTCTTGACCGGAGTAGTACGAGGACAGCGACTCATCGTAGATGTTGCTCTTTGGATAGGAAATGCGATCTGGGATATGGGATTCGATGATCTTGCAGCAGAAGCCAACATCTTGATCCTTCGCCTGAGCTGCAGACGACGCGATGCCTAGTAGTAGCACCCCAATTCTCAGGAGATTCAAGAATAATACCATCATTTTTAAGCCCCAATCCTTTAGTTGAGAAAAGGATTGAAAAGGGCAAAAAGTACATGTCAAGTGAGTGCTGCCCCGGGTCCTGGGAATTTATGGCACGTTACCTTTGGAAGGGTTGCAGGGAAGAAGCCCCGATCGACATCAAAGCGGAAACACCAGCGATGTTGGTTGAGGTGCTGATAGGGTAGCCATTCGGACCGATACTTGCCTTGTCAGAGTCGCATCGAGCTACGCTAAAGGCAAAACTAACCAGCGTTGGGTTATTTCCAGGGAAGAAACAGGGCACTAGCTTGTGCGAGGTCTTTCTTGATTAGCATGACAAAACCCGCATTTATCATAGCATTCATCTATCCAACACCCATACCATGTTCAAATGGTCTTCTAATTCTCTGATAGTACCGTACTCGACTGGGGCTTCCTGGTGGGTCCTAATTATGAGTTGCCCCTACTCTCGGAGAGCACCGCCGTCCAGACGAGCATCCCCAGATCATCCAGCCGCGAGCACCAACGACTGAGCTCCGCAACGGCCGTATCATTGATTTCGCTCATGCCCGCCGCCTGCCCAGCCATTCGGATGGTGTCTATATGCAAAACCCCCTCTTTCGACACCCCGCCGGGGTGGAATTCCCTATACCGCCTGGCCCACTCGGCGTTGGACACGGGCTCCCAGAGATCGCGCACGCACGGCAGCGGGCACTTGGCAAATCCGCCGCAGTAGCGGTTACTTGTGGTGATGACCACGTCAAGGAGAAGCTCGATGCCGTACAGTATACACATGGTTCTGTCGGGGCTTAGCAATGTTCTCAGATTTATAGAGAGGTGGTGTTGAAGTTGGTCGGTAGGCTATTACATACCTTCTCACACTCTCCCGCAGCATCCAGTCTTTCCTGTCAAGGCCCACGACTCTTGACTCAACTCTATTCTCGAAGGATAGATGCACCGCTTTTCCCAGTTCCTTCGGTACATGACATAGTGTCAGATTTTACCCAAAAGATTATCATATTCAAGGAAATGGGAAGGCACACTCACCGCAGCGGTGTCGACGAGCGAGATGACGTTGTTTCTTTCTGTCGAGTCCGGATCTTGGGCTTGTAAAAGAAGATAAATAACAGTGGCCTGAAGAGTCTCGACCAGGCGTTCTTTGTCGTAAGATCCACACTAATGACAGACAGACAGGCAGGTCTAAGTCAGAGTGCTGTGTTCTGGAGTTTAATGTTGCCCGGTGTGGTTACTCACTTCACGTCTGAGCCGCTCATGCTCGGCATAAATTGTCTTCCAGACAAATGAGCTGCTCGCTGGTGTTCGATTCTCAAATAGTTGGACCATATTGCTGCAGATGGCTAGGATCTCGGGCAGGCACTGATGAACGCCTTGCAACTCACAGTCGAAGGCGACAGGACCACTCATCATGCATCGCGGGAAGATGAACGGCGGGAGACGGTTGCCTTTGGACATCATCTGGGGATACGACATGATCTGTCCCCGGAGGACTGTGTTGGAGAAGTAGCCCTCGATAGTCGATCCTATCCGAGGCCATATGAGCTTGTCCTTGTACCTTCTGGGTTTTGATTCCACGTCCGAGACTGGTCCTTGTGAGTGTGGGGTCAAGCCGGCATGAGCGGTGCGGTGAGGTCGGTCATGGCTCACCACTTCCCCTTCTAGTTGCCCCGCCAGCCAGGGTAGACTGATTTCGCCGGGAAGAGCGATATCCTCTGCAATCGAGTCCAGAGAACGTTGCATCGCGGGGGCTTGCTGCTGGTCTACCTGGGCGATAAGTGAATCCCCGCCATTGGCACAGTCGGAAAAAGACATGATGGAGGTATCAAAATCCTCCCAGGTCATTTGTGAAGACTCGGGGTTGCCTAAACGATTCGATGCCGACGCGCATGACGAACCGATAGACTGGAAACCTTGGCCTTGAGATGGTATTGCCGCAGTTTCTCTGGCATCCGAAAGACCCGGGCCAGACTCAAGACCTCCGGCAGCTGGATTACGGCAGGCGGGAGCGATCGGGCGCGGAGGCCTCGGCGAGCAAGACCCATCGTTGCGAGACAATGCAGCCTCTTGCTCGTATTTGCAAGTTAAATTGCGGTCTCGGCACCTGATACATGGTGCCGTCAAGGAACAGCGTGCCTTTGCTGTACGGCACTGGGCGCATGACTTTATCCTAGAGACCGGCATTCTGCGGATTCCGCCGGCCTTTGGCGACATTTCCTGTATGATGGTGGGGATTCGCTGCCGTTCCGAACGTGATTGCTGGGTTGGCTTTGGTGGTCACAGTTTCACCGGACACCATGAAGCTGACCCAATTTGTCAGCGCCGGAGTTTAGGTGGGGCCTTTGCTCCCTCGGAAATCCGGCCCAATGAGACCACTCGGCGGTGGTGCGAGCTGCTTACGTGACCGCAGGCTCGGCTCCGGCGCGACAGCGAAGCGGCGAATCAGGATATCGGAAGCGGCGTTGACATCATCGGCCACAACGTATGCTCCGGCGCAGGGATGCCACCACATATTGCCCCCGACATGTCAACTGCCATTGACAAGCCCAAGTAATAATTACTTCTATAAATAATAAGTGGTGGCTCATAGAACGATCTGTAAATCATCCTCTCCTTGTTCAGACCCCGAGTTAATTGTCACGTATACTTATTCAATCAACCACCACCTCATCTCCCATCTCTCATCCCGCCAACCAAACAATGTCGCCAATCCGCGTAGGCCTCGTCGGGCTCGGGCCCAAACATACGGGCGCTGTTACCCCTGGCGCCTGGTCCAGCATCGCGCACATCCCCTCCATCCAGCTCCTTCCCGCGTACGAGCTAGTAGCCGTCGCCAATTCCACCGCAGAGTCGGCCCGGAAGGCCATCGCAGAGCACGGCCTGCCCGCATCTGTCAAGGCATACGGCAGCGCCGAAGACCTGGCCAACGACCCGGACGTGGACCTGGTCGTCGTGTCCGTGAGGGTGGGAAAGCACTTCCAGCTCAGCAAGCCGGCCATCTTGAAGAAGAAGGACATCCTCGTCGAATGGCCCCTCGGCGCGTCGCTGGAAGAATCGGAGGAGCTGACCAGACTGGCGGCGGCCAACGGTGTCAAGACCGCCATGGGCCTGCAGGGTGTCGCGGGTAAGCTTGCCCTGAAGATGAGGGAGCTGGTCGCCGGCGGCAAGATTGGCCGAGTGCTTAGCACGTCGGTTTCTTCTTCCTCGTCCTTCGTTACCAAACACGGCTGGGTTCAGGGTGCCGAGTATATTCTCGACATGAACAGCGGTGGCAACGACTTCTGGATCATATTTGGGCATTGTAAGTAGCTAACAGCGCCTCCAATCCGTTGTGTGGTTTCATTTTATAGAAGCTGACAGGATCTGCTTGCTAGTTCTACACTCTTTCATCGATGTCCTTGGCGACTTCTCCGAACTTCAGGCCATGATGAAGACACATTATACCGACATCACGATCCGTGGTCCAGATGGGCAGGTCGTAAATCCAGCGTACAAGAGAACTTCTCCCGACGATATCCTTGTCCATGGCATTCTCGAGAGCGGCGCCACCGCGTCCCTCAACTTCTTCAAGTCAGAAACACCCGTCGCAGACAAGAGAGCCTTTGTATGGCGCATCACGGGCACCGAAGGCGAGATCGAGCTCGCTTCACCCGAGTTCAGGTGGCAGGGGGGCCACCCGGAGGCCCAGATCACGATGAGGATCGGCAGATCCGGGAAGCCGGAGAAGGTCGAGCTGGAGGCTCAGGACCCGGCCATTGCTGCTAACGTGCCGCAACAAGGGCAGAATACGGCACTAATCTATGAGGCCTGGGCGAAGGGGGATTCGAGTCGGTATGCGACGTTTGAGCAGGCAACCAAGACACACCGACTTCTGCAGAGGATTGTCGAGGCCACTCCTGGGTTTAACGTGTAAATAACCATGGACTTGGGAACATCGGGTTGCACTTTATGTGCTGTATACATTGCTTTCAGTGCTTCGCGAGCCCACAATTCTCTATTTTTAGAAATGTGACGACCCACCATGCTGTTGGTGCTGGGATAGCCGAGGAAGAGGGGCATGGAATGTATGTACTTGACGGTTTCCCCTCGGGAATTCTTTCCATTCTTTCCTTTCCTTTTTGGTACGCTTCAATATATAGCCCAGTGAGTATACGTTGCCCACACTCACTGTTGACCTTCAGTGGCTCATCCCGATATACCTGAAATGACAGCTCCGGTTGCTACACTCGACTCTTTCCCCCTCTTTTCTCGCCTACCTCCAGAGATCCGAATAAAGATCTGGGAAGATACCTGGCCGGAACCTCGAGTCATTGAACTTGCATATGCCGAAGAGCCTGTCTACAACGCTGAAGAGGGTGATGACTCGTCAGAATCAAGCGACGCCCTTTTCGATCGCGTGAGTCTGCGGCTGACGTGCGGGGTTGCACGATGGCTACAAACTAATTTCGACTCTCGAATCATGGGATATCAACCTCTTGAGAAGTGTCTGGATCCTATCGCCCTTCAAGTCTGCCACGAGTCCCGGGCACATACCATCAGGCATTTCACTCCCATACAGCACTCGAAATTGGACACCTGGCCTTTTTACTTCAACCCTCGGTCGGATATCCTTTGGCTTAACAACGACGTCACGGATGAACTGACGACCCTGGACGGGCTACGGGACTACTACGGCAGGCAACTTGATCAAATCGAGCGTGTGTTTGTCTTGCAGTCTGAATGGGAATTCTTGGAAGGGTACGCTCCAGACGTTCTAGACGTCTTCGGAGGTCTTCGCTTGGTCCAAATCTTCCTCGACGACCTGATCTTCTTACGAGGGAAGAGTACTTCCAAACTGCAGACAGGCTTCGAACCAAGGACGTACTTGAGCTTAGTAAATGGGACTGGACGGTTCAGTATATAGATTTTCAGGTCAACGTGTATGGTCAATTCAGGACAAGGTAGCACTGAGAGGCAGTGTATCGCATCAGGGTGCCAGGATTACATTGTGTTTCGAGTCAGGATTGGATACATGGGGCCATTATTACATAGTTTTACCTCCACAGATTCTGCGTCAGACATTATGGGGTTCTCGCCCTCCATACAGCTTCCCCGAATCCCTCCAAGGACCGGGCAGCCAGGATCGACGTTCGAATGCGTAAGGAGAGGAACTGAAGATGACATGGGTTAGTCATGTGGCCCTAAGGGACACGTGTTTCATTGTCGATGTGGTCATCCGTCTCTGAAGGAACATTTGGATCGCGTTAAATGAGGGGTTTTCCTCCAGCAGCGAACGCAAGGCAGTGGAACGCAAAGCAGTGGAATGCGATCAGTATCGCGAACCGCCCCTATAATTACTCTTGACTCCTAGTGGAGCCTCGACTTTTTCTTGAGCATTTGAGTCTAGCTCAAAGTAATCACACCTATCCTGATCACCTCGTACCAAGCCCTCTGCTTTTTGGACGGCCTGTCTATCTGTTACTGTTATGGCATCAAATACCGACATCGTTCTGTACGACATTTACTCTCGCGAGCCATGTCGTGCATGGTCTCCCAATACCTGGAAGAGTCAGTCACTTTAAAACACCTCCTCTCTTTCCCTTCCCCACTGACACGCCCCAGTCCGTCTGATGCTTAACTACAAATCCCTCCCCTACACCACCCACTGGCTGGAATATCCCGAGATAGCCCCATTCCTGAGTCAGCTTGTCCTTCCCAATGAGCCCCCCGCCAATGCCCCTTACACCGTCCCCGCCGCCCGTTTTCCTGACGGTGGGTATCTGATGAACTCCGTTGCCATTTCCCAGCGTCTCAACAAGGACTACCCTGATCCGCCGCTGCACCTCGACACCCCCTACCATAAAAAGGTCATCGAGCTGCTGTCAAAGTTCACGGAAGAGTTGGAAGCGGTCTACATACCTGCCGTTCCGCGAGAGCTCTTGAACCCGCCTTCAGCGGAGTACTTTTACCGCACACGCCAGGAGATGGTCGGGGCCCCGCTGCCTGACTTCGAGAAATCCGACAAGGGGGGCGAGAATGCATGGAAGGCTGCTGAACCGCATATAAAGGAACTGGCGGGATTGTACAGGGAGAACAGCGGTGGTCCGTTTGTGCTAGGAAAGGACGTGAGCTATGTGGATTTCGTGCTTGTGGCCTGGCTCAAGCTGTTTGACTGCATTGGCAAGTTGGAAGACTTCAAGCGCTGGGGAGGCGAGGAGCTTCTCAACCTCTATGATGCTTCGAGGGAGTGGCTGGAGAGAGAAGAGAGACAGTTACTGAATTAACCCTGAAGGTGACCAGGCTGAGCATATTCCACTTGTTGGTTTGGCCTACGCAGAGAACAATATCCTCAGAGTGGTGGCTAGAAATCAGAAGCCTCGACTCTATATGGTGCGCTTCGCTAAGACCCATTCATATTGTTTTCCCCAAAGAACATATCAGGACTTGTAAAGTCATCAAAAGAAATGTCAGATACGAATTCCTCCCATAACCCCCAAGACTGGTCCAGCTCGTCATTCGCCGAAGCTGGGCCTCCTGGAGATAAGGAAGCGGCTAACAAAGGCTGGTCCCCAAACGACGGCGAGGATGTCGAGGCCAAACTCGGCTGCGGAAGCAGTGGTGTTGATGGCATATAGGCCGCCCCAAGTGCCGGATCTGGGCTCGCAGGCGAAATACTGGTTTCCCGCAACGTATCAGCCAGGCCCTCACCTAGCCCAGTACCGGACCCTGATACTGGCGTGACTGAGATCTCTGCCGAGCTGTCAGCAATGCCAAAGCTCGGATTCCCTCTCGCATCATCGCTGTCATGCAGTATCGGGCCCAACTTCTCCCGCGTCCGATCCATCAGCTTCCCCAGCGGCCCCCGCAGCCTCCCGCCCCTCAACCGCGCAATAACACCCTCATGAAGCCGGTACGACGTCTCAACCGTCGGCCAGACGCGGCGCACGAGCTCCGCGTCGGCGCAGATGTAGCACTCGGCAACGGTGATAGCCAGCGCGTGCCACGGGATCGTCACGTACCACCGGAACCCCTCCCCGCGGGGGTCCGTGTGCACGAGCATCGCCTTCTCGAGGACCCGCGCCCCCAGCTGGAGGAGCTCCGTGTCGCCCCCGACGCGCGCCGGCGGCGGCCGCGCGCCCTCCCGCAGGCGCTGGAGCGGGCGCAGGACGCAGGCGCGCGCGCCGGCTGCGAAGCACTGCGCGCTGTGCAGGGTGAACCAGGCGTAGGGGGACGATTCTGGGTCGCATAGGTGGAGGAGCTGGAGGACTTGCTGCTCGAATCGCTGGACGTGCTGCTGTCGCGCTGCCATGTCTGACTCGGCGCCGTCGCCGCTGCAGCAGCATGACTTCTCTTCGTCTGCGCCAAAGTTGGTAAGACGCCCGAGGAGCTGCAGCTTGTACGTGATGATGGCAAAAGTGGTGTCGGTGAGCCCCTCCCTGTCAGGGATTGGATGCGTTGTGGTCAGGTCAAAGTCGGAGTCGTTGATGTGGCTTGGTGGTTCGGAGGAAGTCATGGCCTCCTTGAGGGCGATGAGCGGTTGCGAGGCCAGGCCGAAAGAGGCCTGCACATCCATCAGGCAAATGGTAAGCCAGAGTCGCTTCCGCATCTGCTGGGCGAAGAAGGTCTCGTGCCGTCCCACCTGCTCTGGGTCGAGGTAGAGGGATAAAGCCTTTGCAATCCTGACGGCTACAGCGAGCAGGGTCCATACTGCCCTGCTTCGTTCTTCGGATCGCCTGGCAAGCTTGAACGCACATGATATCGCGAATATGTTAGATGCCCCCTTTTCTGTTGATCGATGGATTTGTATACCTGACTGAGCACTTACAAGATACAAAACGAAAGCCTGAAGTACAGTGATATCTCTTGTTGTCAGCAAACCCGACCTCTCGATAGCGGCCTCGCATGCCCTCCGACAGTTTGCCATGAGGCTGGACTTGTCGGTACGGAACGTTGCCTGGCATTGATTGTCCGTCATGCTGCTCGCGGCGGAATACATCACTGCCGAGCTCAGAGCTTCCACCGACGCGTGTCCGTCTGGATACCCCAGGTAGCCTCCCCCCTGTAGCATCAACTTCTTCAGTGACGGACGGTGAAGAATCTTGATGATGGGGTCGACCTGTTGGAGATAGACCTGACAGAGCTGACTTGCGATCGCCCTGTTGTGTGACACAGCGGGGTGGGCATAGTCAAAGTTGCGTGGGATAAAGTCAGGATTGCTTGACCCCGATAAGCCTAGAATACTGATGCCGCGGTGGACCGAGCCGAGTTGTGCGGGTTCTGGCGTCTGGGCGCTATCGTCTTCGGCCTCATTCGGCGCTGATTCTATGACGTCGCGGAGCCCATGGATCTAGCAGCCCAAAGTCAGCACCGATGCTAGTCACCATATATGTACTGTTCTCTCCATCTTACTTCTTCAGCCAAGTCCGCCCAGAAGTGGTCAGGCCGTTGCACCAAAAGTGCTCGCTTCTCTGGCCAATTGGAAGCCTCCGGATCCGAATATGTGACGCCTGGGAGAACCGAAGCGATGCGCCGGGGATCCGAATCTGCACCGGACTATGGTGTAGCCCCTTGTTATCAGCATGGCAACAGCAAGTAACCCCTGAAACCCGAATGAGCCTAGCCCCAACTCACCAGCCCCACTCGCCCAGATCCCGCCCCCACCGGCCCAGCGTCGCTGATGAGGGCCTCGAGCCTGCGGATGCGCCTCTTCAGGTCGTCGTCGACGGGGGCGGAGGAGCGGTGCGCGTGCCGGCCGCGCCGCAGCCGCAGCCTGTGGACGGGGACGCAGACCGCGCCGGCCGAGACGCAGTTGGTGCAGGGGTCGAGTTTGTCGCACCTGACCTTGCGGTCGCGGCAGAGCTCGCAGTTGAGCTGCGGGACCGCGTGGTTCGGGTTCGGGTTCGGGTTCCGGCGCGGGGCCGAGACCCCTGCCGAAGCTCTATTTGGACTTGTGCGTTTCTCCATCAGTCCGACCGGGGTTTTCCTGGTCGTGAATGGCTGTGCTTCTTCTGTCTGGAAAATTAGATGACGTTGGTAGCTTGAAGTCTGCGCCGTGTCGCGTGGTCTTAAAATCCTTAAAAGCCGAGTGGTGCGTTTGATTGGTTGGCGGGTTTTAACAGCATCCTTCGAGGATTGTTCTTGTACAGTATATGTAGCACTAATGCCTTACAAAAATAGTTACCATTCTCCCTGTACATCTTTTCAGTCTGAATAGTGTCTGTGGACCTTTCCCCAAGAATACACTCTCTCGCTATAAATATCCAACTCTACCCACCAGCTACTTCCCGCACAGCCATCTCCGTTCTCACCAACCTGCCCCTTAATCATGGCACCCCTCAACATCCTCATAGTCGGCTGCAGCATCGCCGGCCCCACGCTCGCAACCTTCCTCCTTCTCTCCCCTTCGCCAGCCTCCGCGAAGCCACGAATCACCATCCTCGAGCGCTCATCCGCCCTCCGCACCCAAGGCCAAAACGTCGACATCCGCGGCGTGGGCGTGACCATCATCCGCAAGCTCGGACTCGAGACCGCCATCCGGGCCTCGACGACGGGCGAGGAGGGCGTCCAGTGGGTTACTAAGGAGAACCGTGTGTGGTCGTCGTTTCGGGCCAGTGGCGATGAGAGAATGCACTCGCCCACGAGCGACATTGAGATCATGAGGGGTCGGCTGGCGGATATTTGCTGGAAGAGGAGCAAGGCGGTGAGCAACGAGGTGGAAAGGGAGGGGGGTCAGGGGATAGAGTATGTCTTTGGGGATCATCTCGACGAGTTGGATCAAGATGGGATGAAGGTGCATGTGCGCTTTGCCGAGAGCGGGGAGAGGCGGACCTTTGATCTGGTTGTTGGGGCCGACGGCCTGCAGAGCCAGACGCGGAAGATGGTCTGGGGTGCTGAGGGAGAGGAGGAAAGGGTGCACCGGCTGGATGTGTATGGCGCATTCTTCAGCATCCCGCAGGGGGAGACCGATACAATGTGGCGGCGCTGCTTCCATACCGAAGGCCGACGGGTGATTATGGTGAGGCCGAGTGAGGAAAGTGGCCGTACGACAGTGTTCCTCCACGTGGCTAATGAGAAGGACAAGAGGTTTCCCGAGGTTGCGACGAGCGGGCATGACAGCGTGGAGGCGCAGAAGGCTCTAATAAAGGAGTATTTCCAGGATGCTGGTTGGGAGAGCGAGCGGATCATCAGGGAGATGATGGCGACGAAGGATTTCTACTACGAAATCGTGGCCCAGGTCAAGATGGACCGATGGAGCAAAGGGAGGGTGGTATTACTGGGCGATGCTGCGTGAGTACTCCCGCTAATTATAGTTTCTAAGGGTCATCACTAACGGAGCAAAGCTACTGCGCCTCGCCCATGTCGGGCATGGGCACAACGTTGGCCATGTATGGTGCATACAATCTGGCCGGGGCTCTTTCGTGTTATCCGGACGATCCCACACTTGCATTCGCCGAGTACGAGGAGAAAATGCGGCCCTCCGTTGACCGCGCGCAGAAGTTGATGCCTGGCATGTTCCGCATCATGAATCCAGAGACGGCATGGGGAGTCTGGATCGTGGATACCATCATCAGCCTTCTGGTCTGGTCTCGTTTAGTGAAACTGCTCTTGATGTTCAAGAAACCGGAGAGGAGCACTGTACCAGTCGAGGAGTACGGGCTCGGAGAGTTGCCAGAATGGAGAGAGTAGGCCGATGATGGATTTAAGGTGAACTCAGATCTTCTTTATGTCAACCTTGTGTTCTTGGAAGCTTTAACAAGACGCCGGCTAGGGCAGTGCTGAGTGTACGGGGTTATAGGACGACACTACAGTCCCGATGCTTTTGAATTGCTAGATGCCGACCATGTCATACAACATAGTTACAAGCAATATCTTCCCTTGAGCGCAATGTTAAGCTCTTCGTCCATCCTTCTGAAAAAGTCAGCCCAGTTCCAGTGGCCAAGTATCACGTGAGAGTCAAACTCTCGTTTCATCAATCCCAGGAACGTGTTTCCATCTGCGAATTATCTAGTTTGTCTTCTACCTAACGCCCAGCACTGTTATTACAAAAGGTCGGACTAAGAATATGCCGATAATGAGTGGCCTCGGTAACATATTGCACATCCGACTCGAGCCATATTGTGTCCTCTGCCGCGAGACTCTACCACGAGCGAAACCCTTTGGCCAGCGTCTTGCAAAGTTTGAATATGAAGAATGGCAGCTACGTGTCATTTGCTGTAGGTAATACCCATATTTGCATCCGAAGCGTCTAGTTGACCCACGGGATGCAAAAATTTAGTCTGCAACACGCCCGAGGGGCCGTCTCTTCGCAACCGAATCCACACACTTACCGGGAATCTCGACGACCCCGACTTTCTTTGGGACCCAATCAGCCTGCTAAATGCCAGCGGCGACTCCCAGACGATACAAGTATGCCATTCGGGACCTTCATGCTCACTATGTGACCTACAACACGTCATGTTCTTCGCCCACCTAAGCTGCTGGAAGATGGCTCACCAGAACGGTGGGCAAGTGTCGGGCGAGAGTTTGTATAAACTGGCAGAAAACACGCGCCCAATAATTGACTGGCGCTATCTGATCGACAAGGTGCCACAACCTGCGCTTGGATTTCCTCGGGCAGAAGAAGTGCAGGCAAACACAAGCCTGGGGGCGATCCTGCGCCACTCACCCACTCGCCTCCCCGAAGAGCTTCAACAAGAGATATTATCATACCTCCGAGGCACTCTTATCTTCTCACTGCTCAGGACATTGCAAACGATCTCGGTACTCAGACAGATCCACCCACGACCACCGTCGGGGCAGATATCAAGGTGCTTGGCAGGCACAGTCAGTGAGACAGATGCACTCCAGGGAGAATCTGTTCGTATTTTTGGCCAAACTTACCTACGCCAACTAGAGGTCGCCAAGGACGGGGATGCACTGCCTCTCAGCATTCCGATTAAAAACCAGTGTATTCGAGGGCTGAAATATGTGCTTGGAACCTATGGTGTCTGCGCCGTCAGACTTTTGTATGACGACGGGTCCTCATCGCCGTGGCTTGGGAGTCCTTGCGAGGGCTGGAATGCCAGGGTGTACGGGTCTGACCTGGGTAGACTGTGTGTCGTGCAGGATGTAAGTCCTGGGAACCCCCTTGTAGGACGGGACAGCGCTAACGACACAGGATCTGAGAGTGCTTCGTGTACACTTTGCAGGCGATGTCCCACCAAAATGGCCAGACCGAGCCCTGTGGCATAGGGACATTGACTTAAGCCCCTCATCTGACTACTGTATTGTGGACGCTGGATTGGGACAGCCACGCATCCTCCACCACCCCGGATGGCGGCTTGCCCAGTATCTCCCTCTTGGAGAAGTTGCTGGGGAGGGTGAGGATTGTGCATCAAGCTTCACCGTATATTGTGATGCTGTAGGAACGTTGGGAATCCTGGCCGGTCACAGTTCCCAGCGATTGATTGGCGTTCGTCATGGAATTGCACTCACGCATCACCTTGGCCGTGGTGAGCGCATTGTGTCGATTCACCTTCGCACTTCGGACAACTTAGAATGCGCTATGACTGGGCCTTTTCTCCTGGTGAGTAACCTGATTACTGGTCCCGTCCAATAACCGAACTGAATCGAATCTAGATCGGAACAAGTCACGGCCGGTTTGCTTTCTTTGGTCCTTACCTTTTCACCATGATTGACATCTGCAACTGGTCAGCACTCGCACCGACTGGCCCTGGAATCGTGACGGGGATATTTATCGATGCTCTGGCGCAAACGACTATGCGTTTCGGAAGCATCGGGGTAACGGTGGACAGCACGAACCGACCTCCAGTGTTTCCAAAGGACCGATCCCGCAACACCATACGAGTCCCTCGGCAGTGGTCTCCATTCGCCACACACTTCGGAATGGATACCTTCTTCTCCAGCTCCAACTTATCACGTGTTAGGAGGCTGCAGGTGCGCAAGGGTGGCCTGCGTTGCACCGGCCTCTGCATCCAGCACCTAGACGAAAGTATAGAATGGCTTGGCCAATGGGATCCACTGGATGCCTCACCAATCACCACTATATACGACAGCCAAGATGGCGCTTTGAAGAGTGTCTCATTCTCATTTTCCCGTGTGGCTAAGTGGGAAGATCACGTCGTCGATATTCGCGCCAATGAGCCGAGCGGAGGTCACGATGTTCAGCATTTCACTAGCGAGCAACTGACCAAGGTATGGATGGCATGCACCTGATGACAGAGAAAAGGGCTTTCCTAACTGCTTCTGAAATATAGGCTGCTCTCGGCTGGTGGTTTACGAAATACAATGACGATGTTCAGCTCGTTGAAAATGTGGCCTTAGAGTTGGATCTTTCAAACAGCCACTACGAGGCGAAGAGCTTGCGCGCAACCTAGCACTATGGTTTCCTGGCCCCCAGCTCTGTTTTGATGCTGACCCATCATGGGGGAAGGCGTGAGGCCAAAATTGGGCGTGTAAGTACCTCTCTGTCTGCACACCTGAAACTCACCCAAATTTGAGGAGCTTGTGCACATTGTTGGACACGAGTAGGCCTCAGATAATTAAATACACCTCTTGATTTCCTTTTCGATTGACATGATTACATGAGAGGTTATGACAACTTGGCGAGCCATACTTACTCACCATCCATCCCTCTGTAAGTTTAGATCCACCTGTTTCTGTGCAAAACAAGACTCTGCAATCTCAAAGTATATATATAAACCCCCTGCCCCCTTCTGTATTTTAGAAGTGATCCCCATTCATAATGCCACCTCATCCAATTCTCATCCTTTCCCCCCGTACGTTTTGCCACTAGCCGGCCATGTGGATTGGTGGTCTGGAGTGTAGTTTTTGTCCTTTCCATCACTCCCAATCACCCCTTGCAATAGCGGTACGGATATCTCGATTGCGTGGCAATAAGTCCGCCTTTCCCGACGTCATTCCTACTTGCATAAATCCACAAGACCTCTTAGTGGGCGGCGGGTAGATTGATAGCCAAAGGGGCAACGAATGCTTGTAAACTGGCGCTCAGACGTTAATAAAACCGACTGATATTGTTTTGCCTCGCTCTCTACTTCCTCCCCCTCAACTGCCTGCCTATATATCCTTCCTCTATATTTTCTGCTTTTCAGCTCCTTTCTCTGCTCTCCACGCTCCCCTACTCTGTTCTTTCCCCTCTCCGATTCCCACCTTCCCCTCTGGCACGCTCTCTTGTTTCCTATCGATCGCAAATCTCTCCCGCTTAGCGCCCGAATGCGCAACGAAGGATAACGTCCGTTGGCCTTCGTTGCGCCGTGCCCTTGATTCGTCTGGCTTCATGTTGCTGTGTAGATGCTATTTGCGTCGCTCGAGATTTCTTGTGTCGGATTTATCCGCTCCGGTGGCTTCCACAGGGTGCGCTGAAAGGAGGAATTATCGAGGGAAGCAACGTTGTCGCGGAGGTGGTGAATTTATCCCTTCTAGCCTGATCACCACACGAATTAGCCACGCGATAATATAGGACGGAGGTGATAAAAAAAAAATAGAGATCTGCAACTCTATTGGTGTCCATTTTCCGGACCATCTGCCGACCTCCAAGGAAGCAACCCATGGCGGTCATGATCAATCTAATAGGTTATTGACGAATTAGCTGTGGTATACCTAGTTCCGCGAAATGAGGAGATTCCCTTAGATTCGGAGGACTGTCTAGATCTATCGGTGTGACCCGGGATTTCACTACTAATTAGCCTCGTACGTATGCCGGAAATTGACCCCCGGAGACCTGGTGCTTTACGGGAATGAAATCTGGGGCCCCCCATATAAACGCCCGCCCCTCCGTCGCTCGGGCTGACCTGACCTGACGATGCCGCGCTCCCACCTCATCCAACCTTGAAAAGCAGGACAATAAGACGTACATAAAATCAAGATGTTGACCACCTCACTCCTCGTGCTCGCGCTCGCCGCGACTGGGTTCGCCCAGGCCCCCGAGGGCTACCGCACCGTGTACATCACCTCTAAAGTGGACCCCAAGTTTGTCATAGTACCAAAGGCGGCCACGAGCGGTAGCGGCACCGTTGTGTTAGTTTCTTCCCCACCCTCCAAGAGATACCATTGACGGTACCCAAGCTAACCCTTGCCCCCCTTTTTTCCCCCTTTTCCAGCCAGACTCTCACCAACAAGCCGGAGCAGCAGTGGTATCTCAAAGAGGGCAGCAGCACAATCCAGTTGGCGGGTACCACACTCTGCATGGATGCAGGTGCCAAGGGTATGCATCGCAACGAACCCCCAACCCCCAACCCCCAATACGAAGAACAACCCCATTTCTAATACCACCCCGGAACAGCCAACTGGAAGGACATGGGAAGCATCTCCCTGGCCGAGTGCGACGCGACCTCGCCAAGCCAGCAATGGGACGTCATGGCCGACGGGCGCATCGCCCTCGCTGCTTCGAGCCCACGTAAGTTTTTCCCTCTCTTTTATCCGTCACCAAACGGGGTGGCGCGCCCTCGGGAGGGAAAATATATATACCAGTCACAGAGCTGACCGCCGGAAAAAACAGAGGAGTGTATCGATCTCCAGTACATGAGGGCCACGGCCAACAACCCCGTCGGTCTGTACGGCTGCGCGGGACTGGGGAATGCCGGCGCCGCGGACAAGGGCATCAACTGGCCGCTCGTCGATGCCACTGATGCTGCTTGAAGGGGGTAACCGTGTGGCGGTCTCTTGGTCGTAAGATGGGAAGCTACAAGGGTGTATATAGGGATTGGATGGATGGGCCTAGAAACTCGAGCTCTCGTTGCCAATATCAAAGGGATGCATTGCTGGAAGCAATCCTTTTCATGTGCCCATGCTCTCTGCGATAGCAGAAAACGATGTTAGATTCTGCGCTATGAGTTGTTGCGCTGGGCCAGTGTCCTTCGCTGGTGGCGTAGACGGCTTCTCGGTTCCTAGGTATTTCAAGATGGCCCCACAATATGGTGCTCTTCATGTTTCTTTGAACCGTAGGGACTTCGCCTTGGTAGCTTCCATGCTTGTCCCAATTCTACTTGTCCATTCACGGCAATGAGGACCCTGCCGTTGTGAAGGGAGGAAGAGTGGGGAATTTGATTTTTTATCTAGGTACCTACCTACCATACCGCGTGAGGGGGGTCCTTCGGAAGGATGTGGAGAGGGTGTGGGTTGAGAAAAGCGCGGTTGTTCAGAAAAATGCAAGTAGTAGGATAGTGTGAGCCAGGCAGCTTGAAAATGTAATTACAAGGCAAACCCCTTGCAAATGGAATCACACCCTCACCCTCACAGCCTCTTAGTATAGGTTTGGTTTGGAAGTCATGCCCAAGTATAGCTATTCCTTCGGTGGCAATAGCCTGTAGTATGGATTCCAGGTAGATTACCGTATTTCTATTGATGCGATAGGTGTATTGATGCCATTTCTGCTTGGAATTCCTGATTAATTAACTAGCTGTTCATCTAAAACGCTGTTAAGTCTAAAATGCAATTAGGCAATATTGTACCATATAAGCCAGGATATAAAGACATTCTATGTAGTACATTTCCTTAGCCTAGTTAGTACGTAGTATAGTTAAAATTTTGAGGTTCCAAGTTCAACTCCCACCTGTGACATTAAAAAAAAAAATACTGAAAAAAAATCTCAGTTGTTCCTTCTGTCTAAAAAAACTCACCTTCCTAAATTGGAATAAAAATTAATTAATTTTTTTAATTTTTTTTTTTTTAGTTTGCCTATTAGGGACTTTCTTGCTAACAGGACTTTCATGCTAGCAGGACTTTCTTGGGAACAAGAAGTTTTCCAAACTACATATCCGGTTTCAAAGATAAGCTTCATTTAACTAGGATAATCTAACCAATGTACCATCAACATACATGCATATAAGAAAGCACCTTGGCAATGTGAAAGTCTCTCAACACTATCTCTACACCCACTCGAAGGACCCCCCTCGCGCGCTATGGTAGGTAAGTATTTTCTTTTGGTTTGGGGGGTGGAGGTGGAAGGGGAGGAAAGGGAAAGAGTAAGGTACAATCCGGTAGTTCCCGAGACCCAGGTGACCCCTTGGGATGAGTTCCGTAATGAGACAGATGGGAGAGGCCTTTCGATGGCATCCCGGCTTGATCCCACGACTCCTGCCTCGGGATCCGAGAATGCCACGCCCGGGCTGTTCGCAGTTTTTGTCCCTGCTGGTCAGTTTCCTCAGAAGATGTGTCCGGTTAGGTACGGCCCTAAACGGGATCATATTTTGGCCTTTGTATGGAAGGAGTGGCTCCAAATCGGGAAGGGTGGAGTGAGTGTCTGCGATTTACCTACCTCCCTACCTACCAGGTACCGACCTACACATGGGTGCCAAGTTCCAGCCATCCATGTCATCAACGGGCAGGCGCCACCCAGGTGGGACCTTCTTAGCTACATAGGTAAGTCAACTGGCACCACAGGCAATGGTGATCAAGCCAAATCCCATCACCAACCAAATACATTCACTACCAGTGGTATCTTGCTGTCAGGACACAACGCAATCATGGTTGTCCTCGCGAAAGAAGACCTGCTCTCCGAGACCTTTGACGACCAACACGACGAGGACTTCAGGCTATTCCTTAACATCCCGGGCAGCGATTCTCACGCGATTTCCGACCACCTCTTGCCAAATCTACTCTCGCTCCAGCCTGGGAAGCATTGCGTAGAGGAGCTCCCAAACCTATACCGACCCACACCGATGAGCGCAACGGGATTCCGGTTCATCGGCTCTAGCCATTGCGGACCCCTCTTTGAAAAGCCGGGTCGCGGATTTGTCGTCAAAGTGGCGACAGAAGAGAGGCGGAATCAGCTCTGGACCGAGTTCCTTCTCAACCTGGACGTTTCTTATGCTTTGGGCAGGGAACAGAACAACGAGTGCTGTACCCCTGCAGCCCTTTCGTTCGTCTCGACCGACAACTCCACTTGGTGGAATTCACACCGACATCTGTTGCTAGAGTCTAGCTGGCCGATACCCATGCCTTCAACGGCTATCATCAGGGAGCGCATTGTTCCCTTGCCCAAGGTGGTCCGAAAAGCCATCATCCGCAAACTCTGTCCGACAATAGCCGAAGCATGGATAGCGCACGTCCACCTATGGAATCGTGACGGCCTCGCTCGCCTCTATCTGGTCCAGCGGGAGCGTGACCTTGCGGCCACGGACTTCTCGCCCGAAAACCTCAACCTGTATCTCGATGACCTGGTCAAGTTGGGTATCCCAGTCGCACCCTACGCCACGGCAATGGCCAAGACTCTTGCCATCCTCCACTGGGGGGCCAACATTGATGGCTGCGGTATCCAATTTGGCTTGGCAGGCGCGAGTGATATCACCTACAACAAGGCAGATATATACGACGCCTTCGCTGGTCGGCAAGTCACGTTGACATATCCTTTCGACGTCGAAGGGGTGCTGAGGAGAAGACTCGACGTGTGCGTCACGCGGATGTTTGTTAATGACTTTGGCAATTGCGAACGCTGGCTCGATGAAGACGCCAAGAACAGGCCCCTCCGCGTGACCAGTAACATGGTGCGAGCATTCTTTGAGACTCGCCCCCATTTCCCACGCCCTTTGGTAAATACGGGTTCAGACCTGGAAAAGGGGCTGTGGGTAGTATTCCAGGACGCCTACCTCGAAACATCGGCCAAGGTTTCAGGCCAGAAGAGGCCCATGGGTCCGGCAAATCTCCCCAAAATGTTCATCGATGGGGTATTAACGAGAGGATTGGGCATTTGATTTTGATAGGTTCCGCCAGCGCAGAGGAGAATCAGTTTACTTTGGACATGGCTAAGCGCCTATGTTTCGAAATAGCCAAGTCAAGCGTTGCGTTCGAGACGGGAGCGAATAGCGCTATTCGGTATTTTCTCTCTCATCCCCCCTAACCTCCTGCCGCTTTCCGGCGTTTGTATTGTATTTTTATTTTTATCACGGACGGACTCGAAGCATGATTTCGGAAACATGGGATTTGTAGCAACATCGGTTCGTTGCATTAGATAGCGATAGTAGTTCGAGCTGCAGGAGCCAAGCAAGATCCTCCACGAATTACCTTTTGTGTCAGATGTATGTACATCAATGATAGAAATGTGGATGAGACGGATTGGACCGACCTGACGAGATAAATGACGACCCGAGGCTGGCCCCGGCACCTGTACTTGTAGCTTAGTGGGGCCCGGACAGGGGCCCGGCGGGGCGGGGTCGGTGGCCGGCTGGTAAAAATATTGTTCCATTAACCCCACCATGGACGGGAACGCGTCGCGGGGGGACAAAACCACTTAAAAACTTGTCGCGTCAATCGCGACAACACGCGCCGACCAAGTAAATTGCCAGCAACCAACACCACGACAACGATGACGGCGGCACGAAGCGATTCCGCGACTTGTATCCCCCCGGCAAGTGGTGTGGCCACGTCGAGACACGAGGAGCACCAGTATCTCGACCTCGTTCGCGAGATCCTCGATCATGGCGAGCTTCGACGAGACCGGTACGTTGCTAGCCTGCCTACCATGCACGCGCGAGTAGCCCACATTGACTGACCACGACACCACCACCCGCGCAGAACCGGCACGGGCACCTACTCCCTCTTCGCCGAGCGGCTCAAGTTCAGCCTCAACCGGGACGGCACGCCGATCCTCCCCCTCCTGACGACGAAGCGCGTCTTCCACCGCGCCGTCATCGCCGAGCTGCTGTGGTTCATCGAGGGCAGCACGTCATCGCTGCCGCTGAGCGCCGCGGGCGTCAAGATCTGGGATGGCAACGGGTCGCGCGAGTTCCTCGACGGCCTGGGGCTGACGCACCGCGCCGTCGGCGACCTCGGCCCCGTCTACGGCTTCCAGTGGCGCCACTTTGGCGCCGAGTACGTCGACGCCGGGACCGACTACGCCGGGCAGGGCGTCGACCAGCTGGCGGATATCATACACAAGCTGCGCACGAACCCCTACGACCGGAGGCTGGTGCTCACGGCGTGGAACCCGAGCGACCTGAAGAAAATGGTCCTGCCGCCGTGCCACATGTTTGCCCAGTTCTACGTGTCGTTCCCGCGGTCGAGGGACTCGAGGGCAGCAGCAGCAGCGGGCGGGGAAACCCCCACAGCCGCAGACGGACAAGGCGAAGACGAGCCGCCGGAGGGAGACACCAAGCCAAAGGGCCACCTGCACTGCCAGCTGTACCAGCGGTCGTGCGACATGGGCCTCGGGGTGCCGTTCAACATCGCCAGCTACGCGCTGCTGACGCACATGGTCGCGCACGTCTGCGACCTCGTTCCCGGGAGCCTGACGCACGTCATGGGCGACGCGCACGTCTACCTCGACCACGTCGAGGCCCTCGAGACGCAGCTGGACAGGGAGCCGCGGGAGTTCCCCGAGCTCGAGATTGCGCGCGACAAGGGCGGGAGTATTGATGGTTGGAAGGTGGAGGATTTCGTTATTAAGGGGTATAATCCCCACAAGTCGATTCCGATGAAGATGTCTGTATGAGGTCTTGGGGTTTTTTATTTCATATGTCCTGTTTTCTCTCTTCCCTGGTTTTGGGGGATACTCCTAGGCGATGATTGTATATTTGTGGTCCTTCTCCTGGCACACGTCGCTCTGCCTCGATGCGCTGCCTAGGGACTGGAGCGAAACAAGGGGCAGGCAATCAAGGACAAAGAAGGCATTGTACTGTACACCGGCGTTGTGGCAATTGTTCTTGGACGAATAGCCTAGGTTTTGTATTTACCAGAAGTTGTGGACCCTGGGAGCCTCGGTCCATCTAAGAGCTAACAATGGACACCATCTAAAGGGCCCTGGTTCTGTCGGCCATCCATCGGCCGACTAATTGTTGAAGCTTCCCTCCCTCCTACACCCAAAAATATCCGGCCACAGATTCTAATTCCATCGCACCCTATATTTACATGAGGATATTCTTCTCTGCATTGGCACTTGTCATGATGGAGAAGGCAAAGCTCCTTCCTCCAATATCCGCCGTAGATCCCACCACCCTCACCCTCACGCCTGAAGAACCGCCCCCACGAGACGGGGATTTGTCTCCGACAGGGCCGACACAGTGAACACGCTGACAGTCGCGGCAAGCAACCCGAAGACAGCAATACTCTCGAGGAACGACGAATTTGCGACGAGTTCTGCGACGAGAACGCCCCCAGCATGTGGATGGCGACAATGAAGGCGAGGCACAGGAACAGCTTTATGGGACCTTCTCGCTGTCTGTACCGGAGAAGCGCCATCCCCAGCACGTATACGAACGCGGCACCCCACACGGCGTATGTCGTGATCCAATACACGCTGTCGATGCCGTCCATCGTCCGCAAGGGCACGATCGCCAGGGCCGAGCTCCACACCAGCGCGTTGGCCGCGATGCCTATAAGCTGTTGGACTAACCGGTTCCCTGCTGCGGCGGCGATCGTGGGGAGGCCGGCAGCGAGGAGCGCCATGGAGGTCAAGCCAAGCCTCCGGGGATTTCGCAGCAGTTTATGTGCAAGTGTCTTTGCAGCCCTCTTGATACTGCCAATCAGCTCGTCTGCGCCCCAGGTCTTTGGCGGGTTGCCGTGTCGGATCTGGTCCAAGTTAAACTCGTCCAGCAATCCGGGGTCAAAGGCGTGGTCTAGAGGCGGGATCCGCCCCTTATCCGGGCCCCAATTACTGAACGAGCATCCCCAGGGTATGTCGTGCTTCCTGGAGCCGGCATGGGACCACTTGATCTCGGGTTCGGTCTCCTTGGTCTGCGCTGCGGCCGGCTGAGTCCAGCTGCTGGCGTAGTGCGGGCTGTAGCCTGCAGAGCAGGCGGAACGCGGCGCCAACTTGGAGAACTCGGGGCGGTGGTTGTAGTCCCCCTGCTCATAGTAGTGGTAATCAGTCTTGTATTCCTCAACGACTTGTTCTTAGTAATAGCGCCTGTCCCTGTCCTTTACATGATTCTCGTTCTTGCTCCTTGAACGGCTGGCAGCGGTTGCCGGCGGTACGACCCGGCGGACTTGAGTATGAAGATTGACCACTCACATTTGTCTGGGAATAGTGGCCGTCACTCATGTAGCAAGGCGACAGCGACGCCACCGATAAGTCAACATTCTTGAGACGAAAGTCCAACCCATCCAGTTCACTAACAAGGCCCATACACTCCGAGGGCTTGGGGCCGGGGTAAGACTTCCTGTCAGGATGGCGGGAGACCACGATACGCGGGAGGCTAATGTAGTTCGGATAGGTAGTGATGATGAGTCCAAATTTTGGCTCCGAGGGTCCGGAGGGCACTAGGGTCTGAGTACCCAGAGAAGGCACTGTCGGCATCTCCACGAACTGTTTCGGCAGTATGGCTTCTAGCTGTTGATTCCTCCAACCCTGCCGGCTTATGGCGCTCTCGAGCTGTGGACGCGGCATCACTTGCTTCTCTGTTGAGTTGCGATTTCTCTGTTTGGTCTGTCAGATCAGCAAGCTGCTACGATCCGTATCAGTGCGTCATACCAAGACGAAAGACAGTGGCACGTCTTTTCCTTATTTGTTGTACAACCAGATAAGCTTGTTCAAGCTTTGGCTCCCTTTTTTGATGAATGCGGGAATACCCTCGATCAGGCTGTTGAATGACTCGTCCGATAATTCACAGATGTGGTCGCCTGAGAAAGATACGATGCACATAGTCATCGATTTCTCGTCCAGCTTGCCTAGCAATATTGCTCGAGAGTTCTTAGGGTTGTCAACAAACAAAAGTCCTGCGTAAATGTTCCTCCTCAGACTGCAAGAAAGGTCCGTTCCCCAACTTGTCTTTCGTTTGCTCTAGCTGCTAGAGGATTCTAATTTGATCATTTAGCTAGGCTATCGGGGCAGGGTTGGCAATAAGGTTAACCTGCTCCATTTCCACCGTCAGAAGACATAAAAGCTCTTGACAAGGGAAGACAGTTCAAAAGCAGAAATTCTGACATTAAGCAGGGGATGTCCAGACGTGATTACCTTGTACGGTAATTCTGACATTGAGCAGGGGTGCAGAGACGTAATTACCTAGTATGGTAAGGCTGTTGCACGTGGCAGCTTTTTGCCAATCAATATATTGGTCACGACTAGGCCAATCTTGCTGCGGGGCCGAGTATACGCACCACGGCCTTATTACCAACAAGTAACGGGTACATACGTACCCCCAGCCGCGGCATCGAGCTGGACAGGAACTAGACTAGGCCAGTTCCAGGCCTCCCTGTCGCCGTGGCCTGCTTGCTAGAACCACCCTGAGGCATCCTAGGGCGTGCGACATCCAAAGCGAGGATGGCGTTGACATGCCTGCCTGCACCATTCACTGACCACGTACAACACCCAAACCCAGACCCGCGACTTCCTCCGCGCCTACCCGGCGCTGGCCTCAGCAGCCGGCCACCCGGCCGTGGTGATGGCCGGCATCGTCGCCAACATGGCGGTGCTCACGATATACCATCACCTGCACCGCGGCGAGAGATACCAGGGTGCTCCTCGTCGCCGTCGTCAGGACGGGGGCCGCGCTGGGGTTCCTGGTGGCGGGCCTGGACGCGGCGGCGTTGGCGCTCCGCGTCACGCCGTGGTGCGGCATCGTCGCCTTGCTATGGAGCACGTATGGGCCGGGCATGAAGGACGCGGGGAGGCGGGGGGTCTAGGCGCACTTGGACGTGTTGAGATTGGATTGGGCGCGGTTTTTCATCGGTCGTCGTTTGATAATCGAAACTGATATTTGGTCTCTGCAGAACGCAGCGTTCTCCGGGCGGCTTCTGGAGATATCGATGGGAAGGATTGAAATGGAGTTTGCTAATTTGATAGATGATCTCTTAAGAATGGCAGAAGTGATTCCAGATGGGACTCTTATCGATTTTCACAGCTGCCTATTTGTATCTAGGTAGTTGCCAGCTAAGGTACCTAGAGGTATGGACGTCACGACAAGCCCGAGGATATGTAATGTGGATCGTGCCAGATTAAGCTTCCGAGTTCCACCCACCACTGCTTTGATTACCGAGATTGGGCATGTACCCAGATCATATGGCTGATTCAGACAGAACCCAGGCCGCTCGGTTCTGTGTGGTGCGTAAGAGACGTTCTTTGTGCTCAGGAATTCACCCGCACCTCGCCAAAAAAATAAAAAAATACCTGTGGATAGCTCGGATCGGCCCGAGACGCGGGCCTTCCCGCTTAGGTCTTGTGGGATCGGCGTACTCGACATCGTCCCCCACTCGCCGCGGGTACAGTACCTTAATTTTAAGCCACGGAATGCACAACAATATATGTACATTCGAGACGCTGTAATGCAATCTGATTACTTACCAGAAGGCCCCCAATGTAAGTCCGCAATCCTCCATTGTCATGACTCCGAAGGAACATTAATCAGGCAGCAGCTCACAAAGACATAGATCGATCCCTCTCAATCATCGCGGGCTCAGCCCGCCGCGCCCCGGCTCGCGGCCTCGTCCTAAAACCGGGAATCACCATTTCGATGCCTCCAATGTTATTATACTCGATAGCTCTTGCCTCGGGACCCCTTCCTATTCGTGCTTCAGCCTCCTCAACCGAACGAGCATCCTCCATCTTCAACATCGACGAGCCGGACACCTCGCCATTCGACAACCACCGTCTCCGATACCCTACCACAGACGAGAGGAACTGCAACAGGACAATGATGAGCGGCATCTCGATAAACCACAGCAGAAGCTCCTTGTCCTGCTTATCCATGCTCTTCGGGCTCGTCCTCGTGGCCTGGCCCGCCTCCGACTCCTCCGTCTCCACTGCTGTGAACGATGATGACATGGAGGCGCCGGAGTGATCCATGATATCCGGGTGAGCGGGAGAGGGAGGTGCAGGCGCAGTCGACTGTGGGATGAGGCCGGCTGCCCGAGCAATGTCCTCCAGCGAGAAGTCTTCCGGCTCCTGCGACGGTGAGAGGGGGATTTCTGAATTTGCCGCGGGTTCCAGTTCCGACCTCTCCGGTGGTGGGCGGAGGGGCTGCGTCTGGCCGGCGGGTATTGACGCTGGGGCCCGGGCACCTCCAATCGGTGCGGGGGCCGATGACGGGGCAACCTGCTGGAAGGTCACCGGGACGGCGTCGGGGATCTCAGCGGGGACGGCAAACATGTTCTTCGCCTCCATGGCCCACGGCAGGCTGCTCGCCAGCTCGTCGAGCGGGCGCTGGAAGGGGTACTGCTTGTTGAAGCGGATCAGCGTGACGGTGGTGGCGTCCCCGTCCTTGCCGAACCTCAGCCTCTTCTTGAGGCGGTCGGACCAGTCCGTCAGCGTGCCCTTGACCTTGACGGTCATGTGGAACTGCCTGCCGTTGTGCTCGAAGGCGAAGGCCGTGTGGACGACGTTGGCGTGCGACGACTGCGACTCGATCGGGTTCTCGGCCAGCTCCCACTTGACCGTCTGGAACGCCCAGTTCCTGTGCTTGCCCGGGATCAGCTGGCCCGTGAACATCCACCGGCCCGCCACGAGCTTGCTCCGGTGCTTCTCGACGCCGATCCCGCCCCCTCCGAAGCCGAACGCCTGCGCGTGCGGGTTCACGTGCAGCGTCTCCTTGACCTGCATCTCCCTCCGCTCCCCCCGGATGTGCTTCGGGCCGTAATTGTCGGTCAACCTGACGGGGCGCCACGCCGGGCCTATGAGCCCTTCTGGACTGTCCGGGACCTCCTCCAGGGTCACGAGCACCTTTGCCGACGTCAGGCGGCAGTCGGGCGGCTGGTCAAAGTCCAGGTCCATATAGATGATGCCCGCCGGGTTCCCTGCCGGGCCGAGGACCCCCCACTGGGACTCGGCGAAGAGGAAGCGGCAGTTGACCTTGACCTTCCCGATTGATCCGTAGCCGGCGCAGGCGGACGACGAGGATAGGTGGTCGAATCTTTCGTAGTCGCACCGGCCGTACTTCCGAGTCTTCCTCAGAAGCATTGGCCCAGCATGTTGGCTCGTCGCCATGTCTGGCTGAAACAGCGCGATTGAGAGGGATCGGTGGTGGGATTCGCGGGCGCGCAGCTCTGGATTGCGAGGACTTCAGAGGAGGTTGCAAAGAGGAAAAGGTATTGGGCGCAAGGTGGTGAGGGGGGGCGCAGCGCGGAAGACCCAAAAATTGGAGGCGCAACAAGGGAGGCAGCCGCTTTGGGCCCTGGGCTGCATGTCATCGAGGCGGTGCTGCTTACTACGACCCGTGCTTAGCAGCGCAAATGATTGGAGCTCCTCGAGTCACAAATGTTGCCCAGCCTCTTTTTGGACTGCCATCCACCCCCCACAGCTGAACAATATTGGACTACCTAGTGGCTCAGCTGTCGACACATTCTCTTTTTCTCCCTTCTCCTATATTTAATTTTTCGTATCTTGCCTGCTTTTTTGTCAAAGCCCTTCAGAGCCGAGTACCTGCCAACCCACGTCTCTATTTTGTTGAACTGACGCGTTTTGCCATGGAGACGGTCGGGCGTAGGTCTTCACATAGGGTGAGGCGCGCCTCAAAGCCGGATCCCCGTTTCTCCCAATTCTACTACCCCGATGCGGCAGGCGACAGCGTCGAACTTGCTTTGCGGAAGCGCGAGGAGGAAGTCAGAATCAGAGAGCAAATGGTGATGGAAGTAGAGCGGGAGGCGATGCGACCCCAGGACGACCGAAGGAGCACCAAGCGAGCATACGATATCAGGAAGACGCGCTCTGTAGAGGTAGAGGCAGACCCCTTCCATGATAGCAGAGTCCCCAACACCCATGACCCCCGGGAAAGCAGGTCGCGCCGCTACACTTATGTTCTGCCCGGCGAGATCAAGCCTCAAATTTCCAAAGACGTTGCCCTCGTTCTGGACCCATCCATGGATGCCAAGAACGTGACGGTGGAGCTCGAGATGGACGTCTTCGCAGATCTGGGCGACGAGCTCGAGGAATTCAGTCGGCTTCGGAGACTGGGTCGCTTCAGTGAGGCGAGAGGGCTCTTTCACGAGAATCTCGAGGCTTACATCTCCAACCCCTACGTCAGAGTCCAGTACGCCGAGATGCTCCTCGCCCAAGGCGACTACGCCAAGTTTGACACTATCATGACTAGTCCTATTTTCTCCAAGGATCTGCCGGAAGTCCCTGAAAACCGCTACCTGAGACAGTATCATGAGCTTCTGAGCGTCTTTCGTCATCGTGACCACTTCAAGCGGCCTACTGTCACGTCGGATCTTGGGTTGGACTCGCTTGTTTCATGCCTTCATCTGGACGCGGATGTGGTGAGTTCGTGTTCTTGCGCTCCAGTTTGCAGCTCACTCCTCTTACTTATTGTATAGCCATTTTTCTATGACGTCCTCTTGCTATGCTTTCGCATGTTTGTCCAAGAGATCGCAGACGACGATAGCAGCGCTTTTGACCCCCCACGCCGGAGTAGGATTGTTTATGCTGCGGCCTGGAAGAACCTGTATGACGCCACATTCTGCCGAGGGTGCGTCTGGGACGCCAAGGATGTCGTCTCCGTCATGGCGCGATTCCTAGACTTGGAGACCATTGGAAAACGGGTAATAATCGAAGACAAGTCAAAGCCCGGATTGCTGAAGAAAGTCTGTGCCGATTTCAAGCTTGACCACTATGACGAAACAACCGCACTCGCTCTTCTCGATCTCTGCACCACACTGGCTCTGCAATTAGATGATGATTGGCCTTTTTTCGCCAGGCGAATCACGGATTTTCTTGGACGTGCCCAAGCTATTGCCGATACTATCATGAGACACAGTCCTCAGAGCATGCAAAGCAGACCGTTCATCCAACTGATCCTGGTGCAATCGCTCCAGCGGCGGACCATGACTCCGGACTATGTGGACTCATCGAGAACGCGTATCGCCAACCACGATGGCATTCTACTCAGACAGGATATCGGCGTTGTTTTGCCAATATACGTCCCCGTTGGTAAACTGAGCTGGCCCTCATGGAACCTTTTCCGCCTGAGTCCCAGTTCAGTCGACTCGCTATGCGTTGCTCTCAAGATTGCCAGGCAAATCGGTGATTACAGTTCCGAAGCTACTTGCTTGAAGCACCTCGTTTTGGCAGCGGATTCACCTCGCAAATACCTTGACGAGCTTGCCCAACTGCAAAAAAACGTACAGCACGACGAAGAAGGTTATTTTGCAACTCTGTTGTCGAGTTTCCTCATGGACCAGGATCCAACGGCTCACCAACAATGTGTGGAAAAGCTGAAGGAGTTCAGGAGCAAATGCCACGATCCTCCAATGCACCCAAAGTTTCTGTGGGCAGAAGCAGTCATCATGTCCCAGCTCAGTGGGAAATATGACCCCCTTGCTACGGCAAAGGCCAACATGCACCTATTCGCTCACCTTCCGATATACATCAGGGCCGCCTACCGCGACAGAGATATCACCCTAGTAGCCAGAGAGAACCGGAGATCAGACCAACCATCTCTCGTCGAAGTGTTGCAGAAGGAGCTGCAGGACACCGATGAATCCAGCGGGGATTACTACTCGGAAGAAGATGCCGATATACGAATCGAAACTAGCCGCTCCATGCGACGTCGGTCGGTGGACATGGGTGTATCCACAAGACGCCGGATGGATAGAAATGAGGCCAAGGGAAGCCAGAGCGTGCGATACGGGCTCCTGCCGCCGGCAGGGGAAGATATTTATGGCAGGGACAGCGACGGCAGTTCAATTTTGGGATCAGATCCTGAAAATACGATTAGGATTCGCCATGTCAATATTCGTCCTACCGTGGAAGAGCTCCGATCAATGCGTCCGTCGGGTCCCAGAGACGCGCCAGATACAGGCGACCATCTCAAGCCGCCACCACCACCGCAGAGGGGTGTACGAGAAGAATCAGATCTACGGGCATCTTATCTACGGGCACCACCAAGCATGGAACTGACCCGATTCTGGGCCCCCGAGACCGTCCTCGCAAGGAACCGCTCCGAAACCCGACCCGAACCGGTGGCCCCACCGCCACCGCCGCCGACTACGACCTATCAAAAAGCCGCAAAAGCCGCAGAAGAGTACATCAAGAGCTCCGCCCGCGCCCCCGCCGCCAAAGACAAGCCACGAAGCCGCTCGACCGAGGAGCCGACCGAGAAACGGCCCGCCGCCGCCGTGGCGGGAAAGCCCGAGGACCGGTACTCCAACAAGGTCCAGCTCGCGGACGTCAGCGACGAGGATATCCGGCCCAGGGGGAAAGAGGCGGCGCCTGAGCCTGAGCCTGAGCCTGAGCCGGAGCCGGAGCCGGAGCCTGAGCCGGATGACTCGTGGGCGGGGTGGGCGACGAGCACTAGTAAGGCTAGGCGCAAGAAGAAGAAGAAGAAGGAGGGGGAGGAGAGAGGCGAGGGTGCGGCCGAAGGAGATTCTGCGCAAGTGCTTTCTGTGGTTGAGTTCGACTAAGGGCAAATCATAATAAATTGGTAGGGCTGGACCGGGGCATAAGGGGGTAATCAAATGACTTGGTCTTTTCTTGATTAACAGTTAGGCGAGGAGGAACGGAAGGGGTTTATGATGATGATGTCGTTTGGATTGGAAAACGGACTGACAAGACGATGATTCCAGTCACTTATAAATATCATGCTCGTTACTCAATATAACCCAACATACAGAATGAAAGTTGTCTGGAAAAGAGACTGGAAGGATTTCAGGAGCTTCATTTAGATTGCCGATAATTATGTATCACTGCAGAGGCCCCTTACGGAACGTTTCGTTTCCTGAGTGGTTGTTGTCTGTAATAACATGGGCTATTAACTTGGTTGCATAGGGATTAGCCATCAACAGAATGTGTGGATTCCGCCGTGGATTCTCGTGTTATGAATTGGAATCAAGCAGTGCCCGTTTCGCAATGTCGACGTCCTCAGCTGTTCCACAGATCAAACCCGCTCTTTCATCACAACCCTCCAACGGCCGACTCAGAATATCCTCCCCATCGGCAGGATCAACAGCCCTTCCTCCAGCGCATTCAACCACCAGCGCAATAGGACACAGTTCATACAAGCGACGCAGCTTTGCCTTGCTCACGCCGGTCACTGGGGACACGTAGACGCCATGACCCTTCACCAGCGCGTGCACCACATCCGGCACTAAACCACCACTATACCGCAAGGTGTATTTCTTCTGCACGTACTGCGTGATAAGGCGCATGTACGCCTCGTCCTCCGCTGCCGCGCGGAGATTGGCCGGGGCAAAATAGCGCGTCTTGAACGGCGGGTCCGTGAAGCGCACATTGGACCGGAGGATCTCGCAGTCCTGCGCCCCGCACTCGCCGATCCCGACCTCGAGGCAAGACGGCTCAGCACCGGGGATCCGCAGGGCGATGATGGCGGTGGTGCGCGGCCCGTAGATGCCCAGGACGGCGGCGATTTGCCTCTTCGAGGGCAGTTGGTGGAGCGCCGACCCGCCATCCCAGATGCCGATAATGGTGCCCACTGTCCAGTTAGGTGCAATGATGGAGCTGCCGTCGAGAGGGTCGAAGGCGACGGTGTATTGTTCTGAAGCGGGAGTCTCGTTGTCCACGGCTCGACCGTCGCCGGCGGGTCGCTCCACGGGCTCTTCTTCGCTGCTCGCGGTGACTACGGAAGGGCATTTCGCAAGCGCAGCTCGGACGAGGTTCTCTGCTGAAATATCGACGTTCAACTGCCCATCACCAAATGCATTTGCGGTGCCGGCAAGAGAGACATGTTGTGACTTGCGTAACGTCTTCGCGATGTCGGAGATGCAGTCCAAAAGTGCTGGTAGCACGGAATTGCAGAGCGCTGTGCGGCCGTGTGGCAGCAGAAGGTTTTCGAGATGGCTGGCCATGGCGACGCGAAGGCGAGACCCCGCCTAATCTTGTCGGTGGGTTGATTCGGGATTGACTTAAAATGGGGGGGAAGAGGCAAGAAGTTTCTCGTGATGTGGGGGTTGGCCTTTGGGGGGAAAAGAGCTCCACTCGGTAGGCGCCTTTTTCAGGTACGTACCATTTCAGCCACAAGTTTCCACTTATTGTTAAATATGCCGTCGGGGAGCTTGGTTCGAGGTCTTACCGGCAGGAGCAGTGGTATTTGTCGATGGATTCTTGGCTTGGTTGGTTTTGTCAAGCTTTGAGTCTCGGTTTCCGGATTCGTTGGCTAGACGGTTCGGGCGCATTGTTTTTCACTGCGAACCCCTCCTTCGCTGGCTGAATCGCGTCCAAGATGATTCCCGGCGCATTGTCACGCGCATTTCGCGACTTGTGCTCCTGCAGGCAATCGTTGAGCTCTAATTCCCGAAAACTCATCGCACAGAGCTGGAGCGCAAACTGTCTAGGGGGGATGCTTTGGAAGTGCTTCCTGTGGTTGAGTAGGGCTGGGCGGAGACATAAAGGGGTAATCAAATAACTCGAGTCTTTTCTTGATTGACAGCCGATTGAGGAGGAAAAGGTAGGGGTTTACGATGCTGATGACGTTTGTACTGTGAAACTGACTTACAAAACGATGATTCTGGTTGCTTACGAATATCTGAGCCAGTTGCGTAGGCAACGGTACCTCTAGTCATCGTAGTCACGGGCGTAGGCATGCCAGGCTCTCGATTACTCGGTCGCCCGGTACGTCGTTTTGCCCTCGCGAACTCGCACCTGTTCCCATTGTTGCGGCTGCTCTCAACAGAGGTTTTCGAAGCCCAAAGTCCGCATTATGGTGAGATCGCTAGGTGGCCAGGTTCACAATCTGGGTCAAAAGTCGTTCTCGAAAGTGTTGGGGCAGGAAAATGAACAGGCTCAAGAAGGCGCCAGCTCAAGTCCTGAACAGGCGGCGGTGATTCGTAGGGCAGAGATTACCCACGAGCATTCCTCACAGTCGGAAAAGAGCGCGACCACCACACCTGACTTGGCGGCAACTCGTCAAGGATGAGGCGGCCCAGCCTGAGTCAAAAGACAGCCGCTCTAAAAACTCCAAGCAGTTCCTCGTTATTGGCATCTTTCTCCAGTGACGGACATTCCCAGAGAACCGCTAATCGTTGTGCGAAAGCCCAAACACCTATTCCAAATAGGGTGGAGTATCACAAAGCTTAGGGGGCTGGAGTCCCTGATTTCTCTCAAGGATGTGAGAGGCTTTGGGCTCTACAAGGCTAGTTCCCCCTTAGGGGAAACCCCTCGAGATCGGGCGGATGATAGTAGATTGTATTTGTAGTGTGATCCATTCACACCGTCTCACACCTGGTACCTTGTGGACGAGGCTAGGCAGTTTCTAATGACTGGACTCTACGACGCATACCGCTGCACGAGTCTAGAGGGTAGAATGGCCGAAAGATGGATGGAATGGATGCACATGGCCCTTAACAACAGCTCCTTCCAACCCAAAAGAAGGTCATATGCTCTCAATCGAACTCATTCTAGGCTGGTCCACGACCCGGATCCCGATTATCGTGTTGACGCCGGTCCTCCTGAGCCTTGCCATTGGGCTGAGGCTCAACTCGAGCGATTGGACGGACAACACCACGATCCAGACTGCCTGGGAAATGGCTTCTTATGTTGCCACGGCAGGCGGTTGTAAACTCTAACTCAGAACACCATGACCACCACCCTTGTAGATTGCAGCTGACGGCTAGGCATGTGAAGTTGTCGCTGCACTTCTTGCAATCATCAGTGACAAGTAGCAAGGTTAGGCTTTTCTCAACCGTGGCTCCTCTTGGACTTGTCATTCGCTTCCTACGACATCACTCCGTAAAAACAACGATGTCAGCCCCTTTAGCTTCTTTTCAATACCTTAAAGAAGGCAGGATCCTGCCTTTATGTCTAGTAATCAACCCACATGTAATTAATTACCATGTTCTCCCTCCAAAGGAAGATGAGAAACCACAAACAGAGTTTCTGAAGATCACAGCTGTCTCACCAACACTTTGTCTTCCCATGTCCATAACCAAACTACTGTATATCTGATTGTGTTTGTGATAAAGAGACGGGCATCACTTTCCCCGAGAAGTCACAGGCAGGAACTACATGCACTGTGGTAAAATGGGTCAGTGAACAGGAATGCTGTGACAAAGTGGAAAACTGCTTATGCCATTCAGAAAGTAGGACTGGGCATGTCTAGTCCCTCGGGAGCCTTATCGTGCTTACCGCAGCTGGTGAGGCGGCCTTGATATAGTGGGACAGATATTCACTTGCTCCTGGTCACTGGCCGATCAAAATCCAGCTGTGAGTATCTGCCAGGGCAAAGTGCTATTGTGCGTTAATCACAATACCTAGCATCGTGAAGGCGCTCTAGGCGCAGGTGAATACAGGCAGACAATTCCATGTATATAAGGGTCTTGACTTTCAGCACACAAACATCACGGCGAGTTTTCAACTACTGTCTACACCATCACAGCCAATCCCTTGGTGATACCCTTGCCCCATAATCTTGCTGCTCGCACTTCAATCTGTCCTGACAACCGGGTACTGATAATTAACAACACCACTAGCCACGATGATAGACCTGTTTCGTTGCTGCGAAGTATGTCGCAGCGAGCTCGATCGCCACGTTTGCAAGGACAGGAACTGCAATCGTTTCGGCTGCACCTATTTTTTTACTCCCCAATCTACCAAGAGAGTGATCACTGAAGAAGGCATCATCATCGAGACCTCGAATCACTTTCTCGAGCCAGGCGAGGTTCTACCGCAGCCCGGCCCATCGCAGCGTAGCCCGCCGAAGGACGACAAGAAGGGCAACAAGGATGGCAAGAAGGATAAGAAGAAGGACAAGAACAAAGGCAGCTCCAGTTAGCTCCCCCACCTCCCACCCCGCCCTGCACCCCCAGTTCTCTAACCAGGCCCAAGAATAGCATCATCCGCCGGAGATGAACTGCCAGAGCCAAATCCACCGTCGCCTCAAACTCGCACCGAGGTAGGCCCTCCAGTGACAATCTCCCAACGTCTGGATCTAGGCGAACGCCGCCGGATTACTGTCCGCCCTCTGCGACCGAGGGAGAACGTGCGGGGTTGGGGGACGGCCTATTTTGGAATGGCGGAGGCTGAGGATGAGGATGAGGATGAGGATGGGGATCAGTTTCCCTATGGTACCAGGGTGTGAAGCGTTGGGCGGATGGCTTGCAAGGGGGGAAGGCTAGTCCTATTGGCACGTTTGGTATTTTCTTGGTGGTTGAGCAGAGTCATTTATTTGCTCTTATTAGTAGTTGCCAAGAAAGGCTTTCTGAATCTAGGTTCTCCCACAACATGATCTGGCCGTTTGCAAAACTCGCTCCACCCGTCCAACAAGCACGACGGATCATTGGCCGTAAATAAGGCAATGCGCCTTTCACAGCATTTTTAAGGAGCTCCACTTGGTGTACGGCCGTTTTCCACTCCGTGTACAGCCTTTTGAATTTTTGCCACAAGATCTTACAGAAGGCTACCAACCATTACGGCTCTTTATGCCAGCGATAGGAAGTTTGAAATTTGAAGCGCCCTAAGTAGCTACCTAGGCTAGGGCAAGATGTCAACCCTGCTTAGAAGGCAAGACTAGCAAGGCTATCTAGGTATTGCCTCTGCTGTACTTCCCTCTGCCTACACTTCCTTCTACTATACTGCCTCTGCCTATATTAAGCTCTTGAACATTTCCCTGCCAACTGCAACCTCTTTATTTGGCCAACCTTGCTTCCCTATTGTCACCATCGTCGTCATCATCGCCGTCGTCATTGTCTTAGAGCTGCACAAGCTGAAGGTTGGTGGCAGAATTTCATAAGGCCCTGCCCAACTGTGGCGCAGGCAAAGCTCTGCCAATCATATTACTAGATTCTATGCACATCTTCGGAGGTCCGTTTCACAGCAATTTTAAGTCCGCCCAAGGCCTTGATCACCCACTCACCAATTATAACCGAAAATCTCCGGAGAGAAAGTTCCGCATTTCACAGACCACAATCAAACACCCTTAGGGTCTAAAATGCTTTAGGTGATAATAATGATAATAAAAGGTTGATCCCTTGAAGAATAAGATAGGTGCTGAGAGCTTCTATTTGTAACGGGCTGAGCCTGGAAGTTGGCCTCGTTGACCCTCGGCCGTTGTGGTGGGGGACTTACACCCTGGGATGAAGCTATCCCCGCTTTGGGACCCCTGGCGCCCCGGCTCCCCGGCAAGGCGCCCGGGCCACCGGACGGCCCTGATCAGTAGGAGGACGCGAGGGACGATTTTCTTTCCTTCTTTTCTTCTTTCCTTCTTTTCTTCTTTCCTTCTTCACTTTAATATGGGAGGGGGGGAAGGCCTCGGGTGGGCTTTAAAATACCATGAAGTAGAGTCTGTGCTTCAAAGGCGGACACAAGGCTGACTTCCCGCTTCCATTATGAGAGGAGGAAAACTGGAAGGCCTTGGAGGGGTTAAAAATGCTGTGAACCTCCTACACGAGATCATCGTCTGCCTGTGATGTGATTGGTTGCCCAAGTCCCCCTTGTTGTGAAGTGACCCACTAGATTGAAGGCCTTGGGTGGGCTTAAAAATGCTGTGAAGTTGGACACTTGGACACTTTGCCCAGCGGAGACTGAATACTAAGGAAGAGGTGGCGGTGCTCCAAGGCGGACTACTAGTTTGCATCTGCTGTTTGATCGTCAGCGTGTCAAAGAAGGCCTTAGCCTCCTCGGCGACACCTGCAGCATATTGGCAGTCTGCAACGCCTTCTTCTCCTCGACAAGACCGCGCGACCGTTCGAGCGTCGCGAGCTGCCTGCAAATGCAACACCTAGCTAACTCAAGGAGAAACGCAGCCATATCGGCCTTGAATAGGCAGCCACAGAATGCTGCAGCTCCTGTCTGGGTTGGTCTGCACCATGCGTGTTTCCCTTCTGCAGGCTCAGCCACACCAGCAACTCACCCCGCTTGTCGCTGCCTAAGGGCAACCAAAATCATCATCTCCGTAAAAATGCAGGGAGAAATTTGGACTCTTTTGTCAATTCCTTACTCGCGGTCTTGGGAGTAGTCCGTTTGTAAACTGACAATTCCAGGCCATGGGCGAGGAAGCCCAAATCCCTGTCAGGCAAAAACGGAGGTGGCCCGCGCCAGACGATGCGGACCGCCCCGGCCCGTCCCAGCCCAAAAGAATCTGGGAAAGCACACCTGATGTTCCATGCGCTCCATGCACACACATGTTCTCCAATCAGGGTCTCGAATCTCTCAACTCACCGAGCGGCTTCCGCCACCGGACCCGCACCGAGTGTATGGCTTCCGGAATCGAAGGCTGTAGAATCTGCAAGTTCGTCTACCTGGTTGTCTGTAAAGAATATGATGAGAACTGGGCGGGCGACGATCCCCTCATATTTCGGAATTTCCAAAGTGCGCACTCGACGAGCACGGTTTCTAGCATTCGACCGTTGCCTGGTGTCTATGGGCTTAAAGGTAGCCTCGAATCTGAACCCGACAAATGCATCATCACAATCTATCCATTTGCAGAAAAGAGTAAGTACTCTTTTCTCTATATTATCGACGAGGTGACGATAGCATCTAACAAGACTCAGACAACCCTGTTGGAGACATTGTACGCCGAAGGCCTCTCCACAGGGATGTGCAAAGCGACAATGTGTTTGCGGCAGCACAGTCCCTCATCGAAGACTGTATGAATCCTGATAAGCCTCACAAACATTGCCAGTACTCGCGAGACACTGTGCTTCCGACGCGCGTCCTCGACGTTGGAAAGCCTGAGGACCCTCATCCAACCATCAAACTCAGAGTCAACGAGACAGAGACCCACGCGCCATATCTCGTCCTGAGCTATTGCTGGGGAAAGCACCCTGAGCCCACGGCGCCGGTCCAACCGCTTCTGCTACGCAGAGATACTCTTGAGGATTTGACGGGTGACATCACGCTCGAGAGTCTCCAGCAGTCAATACAGGACGCTATCTTGGTCACCCGCAAACTTGGTTTTCGCTATCTTTGGGTTGATGCGCTGTGCATCATCCAGGACTGCAAGACCGACAAAGCCAAGGAGATTTCCCAGATGGCGTCCATCTACAAGAATGCTGCCATAACCATCGCAGCATCTTCCTCTGAAAACGCCACGGATGGGTTTCTTTCGCAGAGGATCCAACCCTACTATCCAAGGGATAGCTTCCATATCCCCATGTTGAATGGGGAGAAAGGCACCGTGTATCTTTCGGCAGAGGCATACGAGCCCGAACATCCCCTAGACAAGAGAGGCTGGACATTCCAGGAATTCATGCTGTCATCAAGAATGCTCATCTTCTCCGACTACGAGCTTCTGTGGCAGTGTAAGGAGGTGGATCTTCGGGGCGTCACCGGGAGGGGACTCGAGTATCTACAACCCTTGGAAGTTCTGCCATGGACCGTTTTTGACGATGACGCGGAGCCCTATTTTGGAAATCTCGATTCCGACAAGATCTACCTCTGGAAATCGATCATCCAACAGTACACGGAACGCAAGCTGTCAGACCCGGAAGATAGGCTTAGTGCAGTCACGGGAATAACGACTGAGCTAGAGACACTATGGCGCGACACGAATATCTACGGGCTCTGGAGGAAATGGTTCATACAGCTCCTGGCATGGTACAAACCAGATGTTGACAGAGAGCAGGAGCGGTGCCTCAAGCGGGCACCCAGCTGGTCATGGGCGTCTCTCAACGGCGTGATCTGCCACGAGGGGCCCCTCTGGACTGAAGATGCCAAGATCAAGTCGCTGACCGTATCAGCTGCAGAGCTGACATGTCGTATTCTTGAAGAAGGCGACATAAAGGATGAAAAGCTTGGTACCATATTGGAGCGGCCAGATCTTGTGGATGCAAGCGCTGAACTGCAGCAGGGAGGACTCCAACTTAGAGAGACGGAGTATTTGCTTTTGGGCACAGTGAAGGTAGATGAAGGCGTCGAGAAAGGCATCGGCTTGCTCTTAGTGGACGTAGGTACAAGAGTTTATCGGAGAGTTGGGTTGGTCGTCTTTACGGATATGACTCTATGGAAAGGTGCGAAGCGACGGGATATCACATTAGAGCCGGTACTCAGGGGATAGGACTCCATGTATGTTTTCTCATTTGATGACACAAAAGCACAAGATCCATTGCAAATCGCATACCACATTACGCCCGTTTCCTTGAATGAATCTTCTCATGCCTTCGACAATCATTCAACCTCGCAAACTTGTTGCCACAATTTGAGCATGCATACGGACGCTCCCCAAAATGAGACCTCTCGTGACCCTTCAGGGTGATCTTCCGCGTGAAATTCTTGCCGCACATGGCGCAGGTGAACCGCGGCTCCCCGGTCCTAGAACGCATAGGCTCGAAAATGGACGGCCCTTCACTCTGGTCCGGGTGATAGGTCCGTATGTGCTTTTCCCTATCCTTGTTGGAGGAGAAGCCGTTAGGAGCGAGGGTACAGTTCACGGGACACCGGTACGGCCTGTCGTGGCGCGCGTCGTGGGTCTCGCGATCCTTCTTTCTGTCGTAGCCCTGATAGAAGAATTTGCACAGCACGCGCTTGCACTTGAAGAGGTTGGGGCCGTAGTAGTCCTCTATCGTGTCATTGAGCCAGGCTTCTGAGCTGGGTGTGAAGTTCTCCTCTAGTGTGCGTCTATTTTCTTGTAGAGCTTTGTCGAGCTGAGTGATGCCAACAGTGTTGCGTACGTCATATGTGCCCTTCTGGTGGGTATAGATATGGTTCCATAGGATGACGAGGTTTCCGTAGAATGAGAGCCCTGAGAATCCGGCGAGTTCGGAAGGTGTTTGTTCGAGGTCAGGGTGAGGCTCTGTCGTGAGGTCCGCACGATGCGTGTCGATGAAATACTGCAAGGCAGAGCCAAACTTCTCTTCGTACTCGTGGCTATGATGCCCGTTGAAAAAGAGGTCCCTGCATGCCATAATCATCGTGGCAACGTGGCTGTGCCATTGGGAACAGGCGTAGTCTTGGAAAGAGAACCAACCGAGCTTAGCCTTGTCTCGACGCTCGTATTCGTCATATCCGTTCGAGAAGCTGAGGAGACACAGGTATCTCAGACAAAGTATTGTGAGTTCGCACTGGATTGCTTGCTCATTGATATGCTCATTTTGGACGATGTAGCTGGTGGTTGTTAACCTCTTGAAATACAGAGTTGGTCTGCGAAGAAACTCATTGCTTACCGCCGCGCTGTCGAATGAATAATCCGGATGTGGTCGCCGTCTAGGACGTGCACCAATGACCCGAGGTACTTCTTGGCATTTTGTCGAAGCATCTTGTTGTCGAAGTCAACCCTTTGGTTAACCGGGTCATAAGACAGAATGGACTGCATTTCGTGCCATTTCAGGACTCGCTTTGCGCAGACCAGCCAGCCCAGGAGGAGCTTGGCCATCTGCCAGTGGGTCTCACCATCTGCCAGTTGCAACAACCCGGTCCTAACCGAGCCCAGAAGCTTCTCATATCTGTGAATAGTGGTCAGCCTTATTCCCGATCTATTCATAGTCGACAGTAATATATACTAGACGCACATCTGTGAGAGTTCCTTGGGTAGCATTTCCTCTTTGATCTTGTCGAGAAGCATCTCTTTGGTCGGCTGCTGTAGAAGATACTCGATGGCCAGATGGGCATAGAGAAACATGTCTACAATTCTCGTCAGTCTGCACTATTACAATTTATCGTACCTGCAATGCAGCTTATGGGGGCAACAGACCTTCGCTCCGGCGGCAGATAATACTCTCGATTTGCCCCCTATCGCCTTCAGAAAGGTTAAAACCACTACTTGTGGCACGCCTCTCGGAGAAGTCCGGGATCCTCTTCTTCACGTAGGCCCTGATGTCGTCCGCATTGTCGGTCGACTTGAGCTCCACACAGGCATCGTCTTCCGGCATGGCTTTTTCCTTAGCCAGCTCCGGCATCGGCTGGCTCATGAACAGAACCCTCAGTCGGCCCTGTTTGATCTCGTTGTCACACTTTGTAACCTGCCTCATGAAGAAGGTTGCAGTTTGGCACATTTCTTCATGTGCTTCACACTCGTCAAGCCCGTCGATAATGATGTACTGCCTGGAGTTATACTCGAAGAAGGCCTCGATGAGGGTTTGGGCAATTTCTGCGTTTGCCAGGTTTGTGCTTCCGCTTGATGCAGCTTTTTCAACGCAGAGGGGTAAGAGATCTTCGTCAGCGTCGACCATCTGATGGAGAATGCCCTTGAGGATGTCAAGATAAGTGCGATGTTCGGGATCTTCTTCCTGACAGTAGAAGTAGTACGTCTTGCTCTTCCGTGGGATCGCGTACTTCTTCTTTTCCGTGCACAGCTCCTTCAGCTCGTCTATGAGGAGCGATGCTAACACAGTTTTGCCTGCATACTGTTAGCTTGGCTATCTCTTGGGTTTTATGGATATCATTACCAAATCCCTTGCTGCCGTGGAGCCAGATAGCAGACTCAGGAGGCTGGTCTTCTTTCATCCAGTCAGTGACTTCACTATACCTCCTGAACAGCCAGCGACCAGTGTCGGGACATATTCTCGTGCCTTGGAACTTCTTGTGAAGCGACTGCGTCTTCTTCGAGGCCGAGATCCACGTCATGACGCTCTTTTTTTCGTCTTCTTTCCTAATTCTCTCTTCCTCCTCAAATTGGTGTCGACGTCCGTCCATATCGTTGCGATAGCGGTAGAATTCCATCCTGGCACCACCCCAGTCTTGAGTAATATCCAGCCCAGATTCCACGCACACTAACTCGTCACCTTCGTCCAAGTTCGCTTGGGGGTTTCGGAAAGATGATCCGTGTGCTTGTATGAACCGCCCATGTCTTTCCAGAGAGTCCGCTAGGTGCTTGAACGTATGGCTCAATGCTTTCCAGGTTGGCTGGTACAGTTTCTGCCACACTAGAGACGGGGATTAGTGTTTGCCATTACTGTTGCTGCTTTGGGCTCCATCTCACAATTAAACTGAAGAGAGAAGAGCTTGTATGCAAGCCGATGGAACGTAAGAACGTCCTGGTACATGAACAGCAAGCATCCCTCGCTCTCCGGCAGTGCAGTGAAGAGCCGTGTATACTCGTAAAGCGGGGGGATTTTCTTTCCTAGCTGCTCGTATACGTCGAGTACGTTGTCGAATGCTCTCTCCGTGGGATTAGTGGTCTTTAGAAGATTGATGAGCAATGTTCGTCGGGATATTTATGGCACAGGGACGCACCTTGAGGATAAATCGAACCGGACCCCAAACATAGCCCATGACCTTTGCAGTATGCTGAAATTTGATGGTGTACAAGACCTTCTCGAGATGGGCCATGCAGGTCAGAAATGGCTGTAGCCGCTTCAAGTTCATCATCGTCTCCATTATCACCCGCTGTGATTGAATGACATTGAGGTCCTGCTGCACATCTTCGTAGCTGCTCGACTCGAATAATTCCTTGTCCTGGGGCTTTAGGAGGTCCCATTCCCCGAAATCTTCGGTAAGGACAAGCAACTTGTCCATGTCCATTGTCGCAACCGATTGACAATACTAGGCACACCACTAACCCTGGGTTTTGATTGACGCAATGGGTACGGAATAATGGGCCAGGAATTCAACCGCGCCAACTTAAAAGTTTGTCGGAAGGGATGGGCGGTTAGACTGCAGGTCTCGGTAGGCTGGATGCACAGAAAAAAGTGTGGGATATATACGGCGTTATACGCAGGTAGTGTGATCAGGTTGACTGACTTGATTCAGTTACTCCAGTTGGAAAAAGTGGATGTGGGCAGCATCAAAAACCCCGAGATTCCCAGCCAAATTACCCCACTTTGGATCCTGCAAGCATGCCTGAATTACAGCCCCAGGGGTAACTACTATTGTATAAGCCCCATAGGTACCATACCACACATTCAACAAGAGGCAGCCACCAGAGAATACCTATGCAGGCCTGGGCACCTTTGATTCCCCTTGATTGGGCGGATTCAGTAACCCATGTCCCCGACCAGGCAACCATGTACTGCCACGCTGTGCAAGTCAGGGCTGGGCCTCAGCGCGCGTAGTATAGAGCAATTGAGGCTCCAGATAGCTAGCCTCGTCAGATTCCTCAACAACAACAACAAGAGGTTATCGATTGATGACGATGTCCAACCCTTTGAAGCGAGTTATGAATCCCGTCGAGGAGGTAGACGATGCCACCCCGTATCAGCAAGAAATATGGCAGTACTTTGGTACCTTTCCCGATACACCACGACAGAGTCAACATCACGGAAGGTACGGAAACAACACGGAGCATTCCTCACGAGCGCTGCTAAACAACCCAGTGACATTCCCGTTATGCAACCAGCGAACTCTCTACCAGATCTGTTTGGCGGTAATTATCCTCCTTGACCCAAGTATCAGCAATCAAATGTCGCTGATGAACCTCGATGAGGCAGACTACAACCCAACCAGCGAGCTTGCAGAATGGGGAAATAGCATGGCCTTGCCAAACTTTGACTCGTCCCAATTGACCCCCATTTCATTCCAAGAGAACTCGCCCTCGCCGTCTATCACGCCGGAATCAACGCAATTGAGAGCCAAGTCTGTCACTTCGGCAGACGACGAAGAGACCATATGCTACGGAAAGGTGAGTGGCCACTGCAGTTGCCTCTCTCTGACCTCTCTGACTTGGGATACGATTAATCTGCGCTAGCTGCACAACCTTGACGTCAAGCTCGTAGGCGAGATGCAAATTATCGACAGCAAGCTGGGCAAAAGCTCGGCCGGCTACGAGCGCTTCAAGCTCAACGAGCAGCAGGACCACGTCCTCTTGTGCTTCCCCGATGACGGCGAGGAATTCGGCTACCTGCGCTCCGGCGTAGGCAAGACGCTCGCACCGCTGTTGGCCAAGTCATACGTCGAGTTCGAGCCCATCGCGACCACGTCCAACCTGAAGGAGACCATTGGGCGCGCCAATAAGCCGGCTGAGGCAATGGTCAAGGTCGGCATCAACGTGTACGGGCGGCGGTGGGCCGCGGCAGAGGTAGGTGACGCGCTCTCACGCGGCAAGCTGTGGCTGCAGAAGCCGGGCCATACGAGGCGTGGAGTGGCATACGATAACCCGCACTTCTTACCTCTCAAGATCAATGGCGTCCAGGTGCAGCCAGTTCAGCCTGTGAGCCGAGTTCCCAACGAGGGGCTTGCGGGCAAGAAGCACCGGGAGGGGCGGTTGAGGAAGATGGTCGAGGAGGTGTACAAGTCTCTGGGCAGCACTCGGCATCTTGACATGGTGGAGGGCGGGAATAGGGTCACCGCGGAGCTGCTCAAGTAGGTCTCGTGTTATATTCCGATTTGAAGTCTGCTAGTTGCTAATATGCCGCTGCTAGACACCAACAAGAAGCACTGGGCTTCATGCTGGAGAGAGAATCCGGCCATATAAACGACAAGTACAGGCTTTGGAAGACGGTCACTTTAGAAGATGGGAGGGAAGAGTGCGCCGCTTGTAAATTCAATTCAATGTCCACGACTGACGTGACTACATCAGGTATCGCCACAGAATCACAAAGGCCAAGGCCAAGCAGGGCATCAAGCCAAATGAGAGAGGAGGCGGTATTCTAGCCGACGAAATGGGCATGGGGAAATCTTTGTCTATCCTTGCCCTGGCCATGAGGACTCTCGACGACGGGGAGGAATGGGCTCAGCAGCAGAACGACGGTGCTGAAGGCAAGGGGCCGCTCAAGTACTCGCGCTCTACGCTTGTGGTAGCCCCGTCTGCCCGTACGCCGCCCTCCTTTTCCATACCATAAGGGTACGCTAGGACTGACTTGCCAGCTTAGTCCTCATCAACAACTGGATGGATGAAATCAAAAAGTAGATGTGCTTGCTTCGCAGTGGTATCATCGCTACCAGACTGACTAATGTACACAGGCACTTGAAAGGAGGCCTTACGGTAATCAAGTACCATGGCCCTAGGAGACCGAAAGACCTCGAAAAGATCTCAGAATCCGACATAGTCGTAACCACATACAACACCCTCACTACTGAATTTCAGGCCAAGTCGAAGCCCTCTCTCCTCCACCGGATTGGCTGGTACAGAGTCGTCCTTGACGAAGGCAAGTCCCCACCGCCCTTATTAAGGTCGTGATAGCATACCTCAGCTACCTAACAACCCCCCAGCGCACATCATCCGCCGCCCAGCCACGGCTTTCTACCACGCCTGCAGCGACCTCCACGCTAACTCGCGGTGGTGTCTCACCGGCACGCCCATCCAAAACAAGCTTGCCGACCTCGGCGCGCTCTTTGCCTTCATCCGCGCCGAGCCCTTCTCGAAAGCCGCCATTTTCCGCAAGTGGATCGATATCCCCTTCGAGCAAAGTATCTACGACCCAACCGTCGTCAAGAACCGCCTCATCATGCTCCTCGAGGCCCTCTGCCTGCGCCGCACGAAGGACGTCATCAAGCTTCCGGGGCTGCGACAACGCATGCGCACGCTCGTGCTCTCCCCGGCAGAGCGCAAACAGTACGAGAACACGAGCAAGATTCTGATGCGCAAGATCCGGCACCGCGTCAACGGGGTCGACAAGATTTACAAGTTCGGGCTCTTCCAGGCGAACCTGCAGATGCGCCTGCTGTGCAACCACGGCACGTTCCAGCGGCCTTTCTCCTGGAATCGCCGCAGCTACCGCGACGAGCGAGAGGCCGTGGTTTCTGCGCTCGGCCAGAACGGCGAAATCACCTGCTCCGGCTGCCAACTGCCGATGCCGATCCTGGGGCTCGGCGGGCTGGGCAACGGCTTCCGCGAGCAGTGCGCTCACTTGCTGTGCTCCGAGTGCCTCGAGGAGTCGAGCAGCACGCCCGGCGCCGCGGGGCAGACGCAGCACTGTCCTGTGTGTGCGCAGCGGCCTGCGGGTGCGCCGGTCGAGGCTCGCGGAGCGGCGGGAGATGCGGCCATGCCGGACTGGCCGGCCAAACAGGCGATCGGGGATGACGATGACTCCTATTTCAACTCCGAGGGTCACTCGACGAAGATGCGGGCGTGTATCGAGGACGTCCACACGGATCTATGGACGACGAAGAGGCAAGACCCAAGACCCCACCTCCCCGTCGCTTCTCTGCATACTCCATCTCCGGCTGTCGTAAACTAACGTGTGGCTAACGAGAACAGTATTATTTTCTCGTGCTGGACTCGAACGCTATACCTCCTCTCCAAGCACCTGCACGAAGCCAAAATCCCTCACCTCCGCATCGACGGCAGCTGTTCCCTCTCGCAACGACAGGCCAAGCTCGACCAGTTTTCTGAAGACGACAAGATGCCAGTGCTCATCATGACGACAGGCACCGGTGCGTTCGGGTACGTGAGCTGCCTTGGCTGTCTCCCACTTAAACATACATGCAAATACCTATGTGATATTGACCAACCTCCCAGGCTAAACCTAACCTGCGCCAACCGCGTCTTCATCCTCGAACTGCAGTGGAACCCCAGCGTAGAGAGCCAGGCCATCGCACGCGCCATCCGGCTGGGGCAGGAAAACGAGGTACACGTCACGCGCTACGTGATCAAGGATACCGTAGAACAAGTATGTCCTCTCACCAGGTGCCAAAAGCGGACTCGCCGGCAGTTCTGACCAGACGAACTAGGATATGAGGTCCCAGCAGCAGTGGAAGAAGCAGATCGCAGCTCTGGGGTTTGAAGAGGTGCCGGATGTGATCGACGATGAACAAGGAGTCTCCTGATGGGATCTATAACAGTCGTGCGGTAAATAAGGAGGAGTTCTGGACCCGAAAGGTGGGCTTGGATAGAAACGGTCAATGACTACGAAGTGGTGAGGAAGTATTTAGGAACGATAGAGCCGTCGGTGGTACCAGAGGACACATTGCTATTGTATGCGACAGCCATGGAATCATCCAATTTTGTTCGGTAAGTTTTGCGGACTACCAATCTTGCAGCTAGACTTCAAGTGCGAGTCTAAAGGACCTATCTAAAGGACCTATCATAAATAAAAAAGGACTTATAACCTTTTCTGCACTTTAGCCATTTCACAGCATTTTCAAACCCCTAGGAGGCCTTAGCACTTCTTCCCCCCAAGAACCAATCCGTCATTTTGCAGCTGCATTCATTTTAACATATTCGACATTTTTTTTTCGCTTCGGCGGCCTCCAACTTCTCTCTTGCCACACGGTGATCCAAGGGAAACCAGACACAAGCGTTCCCTGAGGAGAACCGACGGGCTCGAAATTTTTGTGGGGGAAAGTCGATGGCCTTTGGCAGGCGTAAAAATGCTGTGAAACCCCCGCACCCTTCAGGTAGGTACCTAGCATTTGGTTACCTCTTAAAACCAGTGGAATATTGTTGGTGGATGCCTTTGGCATCGTTAGTAAGCAGTTTAGCCTGTGCACCACTTTTTAATAACATGCAGAACATGACCCCAATTTGGTCACCAGGAATTGCCATTTCCGTCTTCGGACCTGAGCAGTCGCCGCCTCGGCCTGAGCCAGGCTGAGTGAGGGCTGAGCAAAGAGTCCTTGTTTGGGCTTCCCCGGCTATAATTGCCATGGTTTGAGAAATGCAGTGGGAACAGCGAGGATGCGGTCGACCACCCAGAGCCACCCTTCCCCCCTTTCAATGATATACGGACATCTCCACTGCAAGGGAACAGTCTACACTCCTCCTCGACGTCATTCTGCTTTGCAGGAACTGTCCTCTGCTACGTGGTGGTTAGTAGACGGGCAGATATTGGTTCAATTATGGCTGATCGATTCAACGTCTCCAGATCATGCTACGCTGCCGCAGTCTACGCGCATTTGAGCTAAGACATTATTTGAGTTGGGATACAGCTCGAGCCAGAACATTATTTGGGCTGGAACATTATTTGAGCTGGGATATGAGCTGGCTTTAAAATCAAGGCCGGTTAGCTTGATGATTCTCTCGTGCCGTCCAGGTCTTATCAACGTGGCCGGTGCCACGACCAGCCAAAGAGCCAGCGAGGTTGCCTCAACCACGAATATATGATTACGCGCGGTTCCACATCGATAGTGGAGTTAACGACTGAGATCCCCGTGGTACGACCCCACGGCGACACCCTAGAATGGCTAGTGACCAAGTCCAAGTCGGGATTGCTCATGACCTCACCATCTAACTATCTGTTCAGAACAAGTATCTCATGAAGTGGCACTTATCAGCGCCATTTCTGCGAGCGTTTGCCCAAGAATCGACTTGAGCTTCGGGCCAGCGGCGGCATCATTCTCGATCTCCCTAAGCTTGGTTTCCCAAAGACTCCACTTCTTCACGTTCCACCCTTCCTTGTCCACCTTAATCAGATCATCGTATATGGCGCGAGCGGCATGTAAGATCCACAGTGCGGCAACCATGAGTCGGCACTCGCGCAGGTTCCCTTCGGGCAGTCTCTCTTCGAGTGCCAACGGTATGTCAACGCTGGGATACTTGAAGCGGTCGTCGTAGCGGTCGTAAATACCGGCCGCAGTGCAACGTGCCAGAAAGGCCGAGAAGTTCACCCACTCGTTACACTTCCTTTGGTAATCTGCCTTAGCGGACTCGTCATCCTGTTCGAAAATGTCGTTTGCTGTACGAGCACAAACAATCAGCGCTTGGCTCCAAAATCGCCGCGACAAGGACTCATACGGAAATTCCCATTCCAGTTGTCCTCCCCTACAGTGACGAAAACAGGATCATTGACGTAGACAATGCAGTCCTCCTGTTCTCGAGTTAGCAACTAGACCGAGCGAGACGGGCACCGGACAGCTTACACCCCAAATTTTCAATGACTGTGGCGGCAGTTTTCGCAGCTCGAGCAAGGTCTCGACGAGGGCATCTTGGCGAGCGTCGTCGTAGCCAACGAGACGAACCTGGAAGAAGATAAGTTCGTATAGACGGTTCAGAAATCCGGCCATGCCCTTGTCGTCCAGGCCTCTCATTAGCGGATCCGAGGGCAGGTAGACGTCGCAGTAGTCGGCATGGATGCGGCGCGCCGCCTCCTCAGCTGCCGCCGCATGATTCCCCTCCGTCCATGCCGCGAGTAGATGCAGAAAGATGGAAGGGAGGCGCGAGGCGACTCCGGAGTCCTCGTCGGCGGCGGTTTCTGCGGCGAGGAATGCGCTCGCAGCATCCGCGTCACTACTCATGGCCATGCTCGAGCTGGTGGAATTGCCGGAAGACGAAAACGAGGAAGCAAATTGAATGGCGATATGTGCGAGCCTGATGGGGATGGTTTTGGTAAACTTGCGCTACCAAATCGATGCCTTTTGGGGGAACAATGTAGGATGGATGGAGAGAAGCGGGGGTTTGGTCGGAAATAAGCGCTGATGGGTCTCATAAATTGGCCTGCAGCGTGCAGCTGAGCGCCCGCCCTCTTCTTATTTTCACAACGGAACCCCATGGGCCCCGCAGCATGCAACACGTACTGTACTGTACCGCCTAGACACAGTACCTAAGTAAGGTACTGTAAGGTACAGTCTCCGGCTCAACACTGAAGCTAGCAACGATTGACTGGCTGTCCTGAAATGCATCGGAAGCCGACTTGACGACCCTGGGGGAGGGGGACCCAGGTGCCAGCCAGGAAGGTGAGATGTCGGCCACACCAGAGCCGCCAGTTTGGGCGGTTGGGTGCAGGCCAAACCCCCTCATCTGGAACCAATAGCAATCCCCAACTTGTTCGCGAAAGAGACATAGGCCACCCCCCCCCCCCCCCAGCGCCAGGCCCCCCCAAAGCCCAATCATGGTTAGATTTTCGACGGCTGCCTGGCTTGGCACTCTAGCTGACGGAGCAACTAGAGCCTGCGTGCCGAACCACAGCACACCATCTTCATGTCGCCCAATCTCATGGTTCGATCGCTCGAGAAAGGCGCGCCGAGCTAGAGATAAGGAAACGAACGAGGAATCTATATTAATGTCCTCCCGCCGCGGCCTTGGTGGCCCTCTTCAGACGCCGTACTGTTAAGGCGAGCCTCGTCAGCCCCATCACATCCAAAAGCCAACGTACACCTCGCGGCTGGCGCAAAATCCACGCTTCGCCAACGTTGGGCTGGCCCAATTGATCCTCAAACTTATATCAGAGAGGCTCGGTAAGCGGAAGCACCGAACTGCGTGGTCTTCGGGCCCTGCTAACCGGAGAGGCGGGGCTCGAATTGAGCTATCAGACATGGGCAGTGAGAATTCAAGGCCTCAGAGGCGGAATACGGATAATGACGGAACACAGATGGTAAGATCAAACGCTGACTCTCGTTCTTTTTCTCTCGTCTTTCCCCTCGCTGCCTGGCCAACCCACGGAGCGGGTGGTGACGCATATTCGCCGCCCTTGTCCGCGCTGCAAGGCGGCGAGGCCTCCGTCTAGGGCACGAGCTGACAAGCCCGTGGTATCCACGCAGCAATACCGCACGAACCGTGGCCCCGTGCCCATGCACATGGTGCCGCAGCAGATCCGCCACGCCCCGGGGGTAAACGCCGCAACGCCATCGGGCTACCCACACGGCTACCGAAACAACGAGGGGCCGGCCGGCGCCCGACGTCAAAACTTTGATAACTTCGTCACCGGGCCGGGTCGAGCCCATGGGCCGCCCGGTCAGCTGTACGAGTACCCCATCCCCACGCCGGGGCAGCCGCACCACTTCCGATACGAACAGAGACCTGCCCGGGCGCAGCAGGTGGAGCGCCGGCTCCACCCGAACGAGCGGGCTAACATGATGGGCCCTGTCCACGCGAGAGCCCTGAACGACGTAGGCCAGACGCGCGCCGTCGTGCGCACGACGAACCACGGCGGATGGCGGCAGAACGTCGTCGTCGGCGTCATGGACCATCCGCCGGGGAACATGCGAGGTTTCCAGAGGGCGCCCATCGAGCCCATCAACCGCCAGGGACGACAGGAGGCGACCCGGCACCTCGACAACCAGCTAAGCCGCATTCGGAGCTACCCGCCTCGCGGCATCGATGCCGAGAGGGTGGGCAATATTGAGCGGAACTACCAAAGGGAAAGACGGCCGGCTCACCCACACTATAGGGCATAGGTTGGCATCCGTTCGCCGGTGTCTAGTAAACCCGTCTATGGCGATTCCGTCCTAAAGAGCTTGCCGCATTGGGAGTCTATGGGCGGAGTCAAAGACTGGGCGCCAAATGGAGACATGTTACTTGATGTTTTGCTGCGTTTGTGGGAGATAGGGCTCTCGTAGGAAAAGTTTCTATGTCTTATTTCCTTTTTGTTTCCCTTTTTTTTTCGATTGGGCGAGGAACTTGCAAGGTTGATGGGTACTGACCTAAAAGCCGGCGTGTTTCATCTCAAACAGGATAGTGGTATTTTACGCCATTGAGCCAGAGCCATGTTTTACAGCCAAACCTTTCTCCAAAGCGCCTATTGATCAAGTGATCCAAGACGGTACTGTCATTCGAAATCTTCGCAGTCTGGCAGGGCTCGTTAAGTGACACGAACCCATTTTCATCAAACGAGAAGTCTCGTCTATCCATTTCACTACAACGATGCTGCTCGACGCGTGCGATGCGGAACTTGTCCGATGCCTTCTACACATCGCTGGTTTCCCGGCCGCTCCTGGCCAAATTCCTTTTCCCATCACTTCATTGAGTTGGGATGCGTTGGGGGGGAGGGGGGGAGTTCACGGTCAGCGTGGTGACTGCCTGGTCACTTTGATGTTCCACACGGCGAAACAAGCCTCGGCAGAAGTTGTCAACCCTGTCGAAGGGCCAAGCACAGAACTTGATCATTGATAGGTTCGTAGAATCCACCGACTAGAGCCTCACACATGCTCACATAACTAGTGTTTTGCTGCCTTGGCTAGGTTTGAATGCCCATTCTAACAGAGGGTTTCTTTTCGGCTTGTCTCTGCCGGCTTGTTGCTTTCACATTGCCTTGGGGCGAGAAAAGAGAGTTGTGGATGGCCAATATGATGACCAGTAACGTAAAAGCTGTCAATCATGGGATGCGGTGCAACGGGACCACTGCCCCGAAGGAGGCGAAGACCAATCCCATCATGTAGCCAGCTAACGCATCTTTTCCCTCAACCTGTGGGATGTGAGGACCGCCATCAACAAAGGTCCGGTGATTAAGTTCCTCAAGTTTTTAGTCAAAGATACGTTCTCCACCTAAGGAGTCCTTGACGACCTAGGGGTACTCCTCTGCATCAAGATGTCGTCTAATAACGGGTTGGATCCGCTGGTCGACGAGGTGAGAGACGACAACATGGCACCCAGCCACTGATATCGCACACGTCCGTGTCGACATCCAGATATGAATCTGTCGCTCAACGACCCAATGTGGAGACAGCCCTGGGGGTACAACCCTCTGGGGCGCCGCCGCCGGATGAGGAGCATGGGCGACTCGCTTCCCACCATGGGTCGGCCTTCGACAGGTGGCTCCAGGGTTCATCTTGGTCTCCGGAGGTACCGCAACTCGTCCTGGGCTCCATTATACTCTTCTTCGTTGTAGTTTTGTTGTCCCAATTCGACGGTCAGAAGCAGGCCGACTAGTCATCTGGCATCACCCTGAATACCATGGTCGCCATTCCGGTCACCCTGTTCCGAGGGACACTGCTGTCTGTCGTGGAGGAAGGGTTGGTGACTCGAGTCGGAGGCGAGACGAATTCAGGCTAACGGGCGCGGTGCTAAGCCAACTCAAATGGGTATGGTTACTATGGTACAAAGTCCCACGTCTACCCTCTTATGTTCGTCTTGGACCGTTCAACTAGGGATCCTTGGGGTTGAATACAATACCTCTTCACACTCCCACAACTGTACGTTGGACAGGCCTAATCCCAATCTGATACCAGCTGATCAGAGATGTAGCTCCCTGTCAATGGTCGGAGCACCGATCGCCATTAATTGCTCGGGAACAAGTGCCTTTACGCAGCAGGCCATTCGCGCTATACCATGTGCAAGGCTTCCCGACGACGTTGCTGCGATTCTGACTGCCCAGACGGTAAACCGCGATGCGGATTTCAAGACAGCATATCGGAGCTTGGAGCTCGTCGACAGAGAGCTCCAAGCTGTCCTCGTGAGGGGCTTGAGCGATCCTCTTGCCGACCCCCAAGTGACAGCCTCTTGCAAGTCTGGAAACTGCACTTTTTCCGACGGAAACAGCGCGGCATATACGGTATACACTAGTCTTGCGATAAGCAGCAAATGAGTCGATGTTTCGTCTCGAATCGAGCGCGTGACGAACAACAGGAGCCCCGAGATCATTATCGAATATCGCCTTCCAACTGGGCTAATTATTTGCGATACATGGTCATCAGAGAAGCATTCGGGGCTCCGTGGTTGTACATAATGCGCCCTGAATCAACATCACCCCAGCTCCGAAATCGTCACCTTAAGCCGCGGCACACAAAACCGACCCTCGGAAACGCTCCCTTTCCCTCAACAGAGCCGTGCTTACCTACTTTTCTTTTCGGCGGCAGGGATTCCACGAAATCATTTAGAAAAAGTTGGAAATCTAGTGCAAACATGCCAACTTAAGGGCTACTTATGTGATTGTCATTCCTTTGATTCATGAGGAATGGAGGGATCATGGCAACCTGGCCTCAACTTACTGGTGACCCTGCAGTGAACCTCTAGCCTATTATTACTATCTTCTCTCTTCTCGCTATAGGTTGGCACCCCTGACCAAAAGGATCGATTGCTCTTCCTGCAGCATTCAGCCATACATCCTCTTCCCTGTTTTCACCGTGGTGGGCAACTTCGCCTTGCGTAGAATCATGTGCATTGTATCCATGAGGGCCAGATCCGTACCTGAGAGTGGTGTTAGCTGGGGAGTTTCGATGAATTAACGCCATGACTTGCCTGGCATGCCCATGACCGCCACTACGAGCGGGAGGTTCTCCGTCTGCCCTGTGATGCTGGAGTCGTACGAGACCTCGGAAACTTTGTGTGGGTTATGTTAACATGGCCCTACAACACCTTGCAATAGGACGACTTACTCGGTACAGCAAGAACAGGAGACTTCATGACTGGCGCCAGTGCCAATGCATTGATACCGTCCTGGGGCGGTCGTTTGAACCTGCTAGATAGTGAGTGCCATATCCTTTGCCCGGGACACTCGAGTGGTCTCTCTCCTTACGTCGGCGACTGGTCTCTATATCTCGGAGTCATGGACTCGAGGGGCATGATGATGAGGGCGTTCGAGTTCTGTCCGGAAAGGACGGTATCGCGGAACCATCCCTCGTAAATGTCTATCTTTGCAAAATACCCGTCTCTGTCCTCTTTGGAGAGGGTCTTTGCAAAGTTCCTGTTCGCCATGTTACTCTCACGTTGAACTTGACCTACCACAAATACATACGACAATGAATGGTAGTTTTCTGTGTGAGGAGGGACTTACCACATTCTCTGGTTAGGCGGAGATATGTATGGTGCACGACCAAATTGTTCCCGGTGCTTCTTGACGAAGTCGTCACAGTTATGGTATGCGTCGTAGCATTGGGCCATCGTCGCCTACAAACGATTAGCACTTGGCAGTGCCTACTATAATCAAAGCAAAGCAGGAAAATAGACCTGCCTTGTTGATAAACTCGCCCAACGAGAGGCCATGTGCCTCGGGCGGTGAAAACTTTGCCCAAAGTGCTTCGAAGGAAACCTCCTCAAAAGCTACGCCAAGAATTTTTGTAGTTGTCTTTGCAAAGTCTCGAGCAGCTGCGGTCTGCGCGGGATCGATGATGCTCCAGTAATCTGTTGGCCATATAACCGCCGAAAATGGCTGCACATCACACGTTAGCCACACCATGGCTTGGAAGACAGAGGAGAGCACCTAGGTATCTACCAGACCTTTGTTTCCTTGTCGAGTACATTGGTATCAAGCCACTCCGCAGCAAAATCCCTGCATTTCTGTAGATCTCTTGCAAGAATACCAACGGTGTCCCATTTCCTACTATGGTTAGTTTAAATTGTAGTACCAGTTCAGTTTTGGACCCCCTCTTACTGGCAATAAGGCTCAACGCCATGTGCAGAGACAGCTCCAAAGGTAGGACGAAGACCAAAGCACCCACACCAGAGTGCAGGTCTAGTAACGCTTGCCCACGCTATCACAAGTGTACGTCAGCTAGGTGACCGCCCAGACGACTGGGGGGAAATCAACGACAACTCACTGTCGGTGCCAATGGCAAGGTCAAGCCAGTCGTACGCCGCAACTGCCACCGCGCTGCCCGAGCTGCTCCCCCCGGGGGACTGATATCGGTCGCCGCGCGGGTTCCAGGGTGCCTGGTAGTCGATATACTCGAGAGGTTCCTCCCAGTTACCAAAGGAGTTCATCTTGGTCTTCCCAGCGACAACCACGCCCTGGTCCACCAGCTTCTGTATGCATTGCGCCGATTCCTGGCGCGGGGGATACGTATTGTAGAACGCTCGGTTGCCGACTGAGGTCTTGGTGCCTTTGAGGTGAATGTTGTCCTTGACGAGGATGCGGAGGCCGGCGAGAGGCGACTTGAAGGCTGCCCTTGTCTTGATTCGGGATCGTAGCGCAAAGCTTGGGAACTGGCTGTCAACGCCGCAGACTTGGAACGACTCGAAGGCGTCGGATGGGCTAGGGCACGTGAATCAACCAGAGCCGTCGGGTCTTAGTGGAGGGAGACGACACCTACTTTGACTGGGGCTTCAAGGTGGTCATGCAGGTGCCATTGGAATCGTCGACCAGCTTCCACACGTCCCTCAGCTTCCCGCCAATGACAAGATAGGGGCCCGGCAGCAGGTCCGGCAAGGTGACGAAGACCACCTGCTCGTTACCGAGTTTGAGGAGGTACTCTCGAGCGTCACTGGTGAATTCGACGTCGTCTGCTACTGCCCCATGGAAGACCACAGTGGCAAGGAATGCCTTGTCGAAGACATCGTCGGTATTCTCGTATTCTTGCACAAGAGCTCGCAGCCAGTCGGCTGTCACTCGTGGCTTCTCTACTTGTGGGAGCGCAAAGACGCTGGCCAGGCTGGAATCGTGCGCGTGTAGATGAAACGAGTCCTTGGACAGAGGTCAGCTAGAGACATAGCAAACCGTGGGGATCAATCGCTGGAAATCGCGGGAGCTTACCGAGTTTGTGATGGGCGCAAAGTATCGCGCTTCGGAAACGGAGAACACGTGTCCGCCATCGGGACCGGCGGCGGCTGTTGGAATCTCTGTCATGGTACCAATTGGCCGAGTTACGGTTCGATTGCGACCGCTCAAGGCTCGTGGTGCCAGTGGCGGACAGCACCAAGTCCAGCGCATCATCGTATTGATGCTGCCTTGCAAAGAAATTGCCGTCAGTAGCTGTGATGGAGATTCTGAGACTCGAAATCTGCTTTGCTAGTGATGGCGATTGTGTCTTCCCTCCGCATTGCCCAGCATTCCAAATATATTTCTCGGACTTGCATCACGAAGATCCTCGCTTGGCGAGGGCTTAATGTCTCACCTCGCACAGGATAATCTGGTGATTGGCTTCCGATGTCTGATGTTTGCTCACTGACAAGAGAAGCCGTGGGTAAAACGGCTGTCAAAGGCACGGGTTGGAAAATAGATAAAATAAGATAAAATGAAAAATATAGCTAACCTTTTGCAGAACAGCCCCCCCCCCCCTTGGAGGGAGTGAATCATCTCCTACCCCCCCACTGTAGCACGGGTCAAAAGTCACTTCTGTCTTTATTCGGACTCGATTACTTGCCTTATACCCAGCGCTGCCCAACTCTCAAGAACCCCCTGTGCCATTTACCTCACTTACTTCATGAATTTCACTTCCATCGCCGCTGTTGCAAAGTATCTACCCGCCAATATCACGGAAGCACCGGTGCAACCGTCATCGGGCAGCAACATTACCCCCGAGTGGAGCGACGAAACAGCTGAACAGCTGAACAGCTGACGACCTGGAGGATCTGATCGAATCAAAATGTCCCCGAGGGCGTGGTTGTCCCAGCCCGGCTTAATTTGAGTGGGGGATGCCGGGAACAAACTGTACCACAACAAATGAAGGCGTCGCCAAAGCGCGGAGAAATTACTGCATGTGAACCCGGTGAAGGAAGCACTTCCAGGGATGTTGGTAGACTGGTGGTAACTGTGGTGGCGGTGTTTAGATGTTGTGGAACATGAGTGAACGATGACGAACAGTTTCCTTCTGCGATGCTCCCCAGATACCAAGACCACAACGCGCTTCGACCCAGCCCTGGAACTTGAAGACCATTCCAATGGCTCCCTCGGTTCTTCTTGAAGGTCATGACGAGGTGGAGGTTTGCAGAGCAAACAAGCAAGGTACGAGGGGACGTCCCGAGTAGGGAAAGCCGTCGAGGAGTTGAATAAGGCTAATGATAGGAGAACAAGATGCCAGCACGGTCGAGTCCTCCATGTATTATCTCGAGCGCACACCGCTGTACGACACGGAGAAACCCTACAGCATGCGCTACCAACCCGACGATGGGGTCCCACAGACCAACTTCGTGAAGACAGAGTGCCCCATCACCGTCAAGAGCATGCGCGAGCCCGGCGCCGGGCCCTTCCGTCTCAACGAATGCGGCTTCCAGCAGATTGAGCTCCATTCCCAGATGTCGTACGATGACTTCTGGAATAACGAGGCTGTCCAGAAGGTCTATATCCAGGAGGTCAAGGATGTGCTGAAGAGGGAGCTGGGAGCTAAGCACGTCTTTGTCCTGGACTACGCGGTCAGGAAGCGACACGAGACATTCCCGGTGTCGACGGGAGAGGAGTACGATTTTGACCAGCCGACTGCATTGGCACATATCGGTAAGGTTAATTCCACGACCTCGGCTAGTGGGGTCATGGCTCTGATTCGGAAGACAGACTTCACTGTGGAGGAAGGCAAGCGCATCATCAAGGTTCTGTTTGGCGAGAGAGCTGATGAGGTCCTCAAGGGCCGATGGCAGGCAATCAAGTGAGCAATAAGCAATTCCATCACCCCTTACCTCGGTCTCCCAATTTCTGACCAAGTGTGCCCCTTGCAGTCTCTGGAAGCCCATCAAGGGCCCGTTGAACGACTGGCCCCTCGGCCTCTGCGATACGCGTTCCGTGGACTTTGAGCAGGATACCATAGCCGGAGACGTCGTCTTCGACGACTTTGTCACCGAGAACTTGCAGATTCTATACAATCCAGGGTTCCAATGGTACTACCTGCCCGACCACAATTCGTGGGAAGCCTTGATCTTCAAAAGCGCCGACAGCGAGGGGGGCGACGCCGTGGGCTGCCCGCACTCGGGATTCTACAATCCGAAGGCGCCAAAGGGGGAGCTGAGGGAGAGTCTGGATTGCAGGTGCTTTGTTTTCTTCGCCGACTTGGACGAGTATCCGCCGGTTGTTGGGGAGATCTTTCGGCCTCACGCCGAGATGTAGGGAAACTGCAGGGTAGATAATTCATAGCATCCAATTGTCCAGAGCACATGACTACATGTACGTATACAGAGGTATCTTCCTTATCAATTATTTGAAAACCGGGAACCTTTCCTTTCTGTTCCATGCACATCCCAATCCCATCACTATTTACCGTTGTCAGGCCGACGAAGAGCCGTCCCACCCATGTCCTACGACATAGAAAGCGAGCTGGGCTTCCTCGCCCGAGACGCCCTTTACGACACCGTCAAGCCCTACAGCCTGCGTTTCACGCCCCCGGATGGTTCTCCCCGCCACAACCTGCAAAGCGAATTGACGAAAGTCACCATCCGCGATGCCCGACCGCTCAACCCCATCATCGAGAAACACGGCTTCACCCTGACCCGCGTCCCCACGAAGATGCGCTATGATGATTTCCGCGAACACGAAAAAATCGAGCGAGTCTATGCTCCAGAGCTACAAGCCCATTTGAAGAGTCTATTTCAAGCGCGGCACGTTAGGGTCATCGACTACGTCGTACGTGCTCTACAAGTCCATAGCAGGGGTCGCGGTCTCACGCTGTCTAACAGGTTCGACGCCGCCACCCCGACTTCCCCGTCTCGACGGGAGAGAATTACGACAGCCAGCAACCTGCCTCGCTGGTACATCTTGGTCGGAACCCCCCGCCCCCCTTCCCCTGCATCACAAGTTGGGCAGGATCTGACACGGTGAACCAGACTTCTCCTACAGCGAAGCCCGAAACATGCTGAAAACACTCTACGGCGACCGTGCGGAGGAGATCCTACAACACCGCTGGCAAGTGATAAAGTAAGTAAACCAACCAAGCCCCTCGCCCTCCCCGACCAGGAGCTATCTCTCACCCCACCGCCCAGCGCCTGGCGGCCCCTCAGGGGCCCGCTCTTCGACTGGCCGCTCGCGGTGTGCGACGCGCGCACCTACTCGCCCGACCGCGACGGCCGGGTCTCGGACGCCGTGTACGCCGACTGGGCGTACGAGAACGTGCTCGTGCACCACCACCCGGCGCAGAGGTGGCATTACTTCTCCGCCATGGACGAGGCCGAGTCGATGCTGTTCAAGGGCGCGGATTCGGACGGGGCGGCGAGCGGGCGTGAGTACTGATTAATTACCACCCGATGAATACATGTTTTCGCCTGGGAAACTACGGACGGATACTGATGATGGACGATAGCGTGTCCGCATGGAGCATTCCCTAACCAGCACTCAGGGGGCCCCGGGTTGCCGAGGGAGAGCGTCGAGTCGCGGGCTTTCGTGCTATGGGCGCCCATCGAGGAGTTTCCCGATGAAGTCGGGACAATCTACGGGGAACGGGGGTGAGGAGGTTTGATTTGAAGAAATTACCACATGTATCACGAAGGCGGCTCGGATGGCAAGCATGGATATACTGTACAGAAGTTCAATTGCGCTCTAGTACTACTAAACTAGCCTCCTAAAGTCGTCCCGTGGCGTGCAATCCACTCGCTCAATCCTCCCTCGAACATTGGAGAACATCAAAGCATCATAGCTCACTAAGTCTTCTCGGGCGTCATCTTGATGGCAACGCCGCTAGTAAACCCTCCTTGGACGATGTTCATGCCCTTCTTGGCGCCGTGGCTAGTACCGGCCGGCGCCGTCTTCTGTGTGCCAGGGGCGTTGCGGGCAAGCCAACCCTTCTTCCACGGCTGGATCTTCTCGGTTGCGGGCATGATGTGGAAGAGAATCTGCAGCAGTTAACTTCGAGTTTCTTTCGTGGAGTGGACGAGGCTAGTGGAGAGCAGCGTACGTACTGTTAAGGGTTCGACTTGCAGAATGGAGTAGTCGCAGAGGTAGTGTGCCGTAAGACTGATTCGGGGGGGGGATTGAGTTGTTGGTCAAACGGGATCGAGGCTTGTGCTCCTCCGAACCATCTGTCGAGCCCCTTTATCCCATGGCATATCCCCCTCAACCCCGTCGTCCATCTGCATCGAGACAACCTCAGATCATCTGAACTGGTCCTACCCTTCAGTTCCACTCTCTACGAATTTTGAGCCGCACTTCTGGCGCCATAGGTCTTGGATCATTGGATATAAAATGCACCCGCGGTTTTCTTTTTCTGCAGATTGGCTGCATGACTCGGTCTAGTTGTTCCAGCCAACGGGATCAGCGGTCAAGCGAAGACATATTTGGTTTTGTCGTCAAGCACCGCTCGGTTTGAGCGTGCTAGCCGTCAGGCTGAGTCGCACAACACCCTCTCTCCGTTTGAGCCTTGCAACCGTCTTACCCAACTGGTACACCGGTGCGGGGTCCCAACCACTTAGCAGACGATGGAGATCTAGCCGCCCAGTGACATTTCGACCCCGGAGGCGGGTTCCCGCGATGGCTGTCCGGTTTCCCTGCTTTGTTGCACCTGGATAGCAAGGAGGTTATTGCTTGGCCCTGATCGACAAGGGGTATCCTGTTGGTCATGGGGTGACATTTATCACAAATATCGCCATTGTCACGCAGAAATCGCATAGTAAGTAATTATATTGGACAGCCAAGTGAAGGGGGTCTACTTCACAGTGCTATTCAGGCTGAGCAAGGCAGATATCTATAGTACCGGAAACAGTTAGCGTCCAGCAATTGACCGATATTATAGTTCCTCAACTTGGAAGAATACTTATGCGACCTTGTTCGCACGAGGTTGTACTGATACAACTGGCAATTGGTTGCTCATTATCCGAGTGACACAGTCTGAGTGTCACAGGCAGAGACGAGAGAGGGAAGGATATACCCCCCCAAGTTCCAAAAACAAGGTTGTTAACATGGAATACCCGCTGCAGCACTTCATGGATGTCGGTGCGGCTCCACGCTCCACGCTCCACATTCCACACTCCCTCCCGTTACAAATCTCCCTTAGCATGGGCGGGCTGAACTGATCTCTGCAGAACAGAAATCTGCCTTGTCGATTGCATACCCAGTCATGCTCAGCCTAGTGTTTGAACCTCGCAGAGCTACTGGAAAGGCTCAGACTCTCGAGTGAGTGCAAACATGGATGACACTATGATAACTACTCGATGGAAAACTAACGGGAAGCTGCACAGCATTGTCGTGATACCGGCTCCTGGTCTAAGCCACCCGTCAGAGTGGCTGGACCAGTCTGGATTCTCATGGCTTCAGAGCCTGGTCGACGACGCCGTGCCCGGTGCTGATGTCTGGGAGTATGAATACAGCACCAGCCAGCGTGGTTCTCTGGCCCAGCGACTTCGTGGCGAGGGTTTCGAATTGCTCAAAGCCTTGCACCTCCATTGCAGGGAATCCCAGGTATGTAACTATTATCGAGAAGGGCCTATACTACAGAACAGCACCGGACTGAAAGACGCCTGAGTAGAAGGAAAAGCCTGTGGTTTTCATCTGTCATAGCACGGGCGGGTTCGTTCTGAAAAAGGTATGAAAACAGAATCCTGAGTTTATAATGTGGTTCAAAAATCTAATTTCGCAAGGCACTTTGCATCTGTCGAGAGCAACCCATGCATTTCCGAGCTGTCATCGACGTGGCGGCCGGTGCTATCTTCCTGGGCGTACCAAACTTTGTGTGGGATAAGAAGGAGGCAAAGACGACATTTGATCTCCTGTTGAAGTGCCAGCACAAGGGAAGAGGCAGGAGCTTGTCAAGCGAGAGTGACGTAGAGGAGTTGATGGACACCTGCAGGAAGTTCGGGAGCATCGGCCTCGCGGTACCGGTCGTGTCTGCATACGAAAGCAGGGAGACTGCGACGCAGCACAGCATGTTTTCCAAGGTCCTGGGCAACAAACGCAATCATGTGGTAAGTCAAGTCTGATTGATACAAACAGCTGCTGCTGTTGACCCCGCGGGCCATGTCTGCTCACGACACGACATTTAATTGTTCTCCAGATCGTGTCGAGTTCTTTGGCGGCCATCAACACAACTATGGAGACTCTGGTGGACGGCGATTCCGACCATATCAACATCTGCAAGGTCAGCGCCGAGAGCAATCTCTACAAGGCGTGTAAGAGTCTCCTTGAGGAGGTCATGCGCACCGCCCCTCAGAAGATTGCGGAAGCAACCCGGCCGTGTAAGTATTCTCCCATGCTAAGTAAGACGCGACAGAGATATGCTAAAGAGACAACAGACATCGCACCTTCTGCTCTGAGAGATGACACCATGCGAAGCCCCAGCACTGCTGGATATACTCAGACGGAAGAACAGGTTTCGCTACGACCATCAAACCCAATCCTATCCCCCGTAGTTGCAACCGCGGGGTCCAAGTCAACTGAAGAGCCCTTCGAACTGGTGCTCCGTGAAACCGAGCTAGACGTCACAAGAAAAGATGCCATTCTACCATGCTTTTCCTTGGGGACACATCGAAGATTGGACCATTTCTTCGGACGACAAGACGTCATGAAGATTATTGATGATCACTTGCTTCCTCCAGCAGCAGAACAGAGCGAGGAACAGGTGCGTGGGTTTGCCATATGCGGGCTTGGAGGCATGGGGAAAACAGAACTTGCCGTTGAATACGCGTACTCGAGACGAGACAAGTTCGACGCAGTCTTCTGGCTCAGCGCGGACGACTCCAAGATCCTCGCCTCCAATTTTGCGCAGATAGCACATCGGCTAGGGCTTGAGGACGACCTCTCGGATCTTGCCGCAGGCAGAGACGTCGCCATGGGATGGCTTTTACGACCCCTCAAGAAGACATCTGAGCCGGAGACGGCGGAGAATCTTGCAAACTGGCTGATAATCTACGACAACGTCGACAACCTGGACGTCTTGCATGAGTACTGGCCCGAGTTTGGACATGGCTCAGTGCTCCTCACCAGCAGAGATCCCTTTGCTAAGCACAACAGATACGTGGAAAAGGGCATCAACCTGTCACCGCTGTCAGAGTCCGAGACGGAAGCGATGATGCAGGGCCTGACGCACGTTGTGGCCGAAGGTTCGCAAAAGGAAGCTCTTTCGGCCATCTCGGAGAGACTCGACGGGTTTCCTTTGGCTATCAACCAAATCTCTAGTGTTTTCCGAAGTATGCGGGTCTCATACACCAACTTTCTCAAATTCTGCAACGAAGAAGGGATAACAAAAGTGTTCGAGGAAGAGGGCGAGCAAGCCGACCCCAGCAAGGTTCGCTCCCTCGCAACTCTCTGGGCTCTTGACCAGCTGGGCAAAGAGACGCGGGCACTCTTGCAGGTCATCTGTCTGCTCGACCCTGACAATATCCCCGAAGAGTTGCTGATCGACAAATCTTCCGAGGTCATGCTCGACCACTATCCGAAGTCAAGGAAGGGCTACTACCATGCAAGGAAGCAACTGGTATCTTCGTCCTTGATCGCCCACCACGAAGACCAAGAAAAGCTCTCTGTGCATCGTCTTATTCAAGGCACTGCAAAGGGCATGATGAACCAACAAGAACTAGTCGCGGCCTTCCAAGCAGCAGCCAGTCTCGTCATCTCGGCCTGGCCGTTCCAGTCGATGAAGGAGCACCACTCAATCGCGCGCTTTAGCAAGTGCGAGGACGTCTTGCCCAGTGTACTACGCCTGAAGGATGGACTCGAACGACCGCTACAGGGCTTAGACGATTTCCTCCTCCAAGTTCGCCTTGCAAGGCTTTTCAATGACACGGGATGGTAGGATCCAAACCCCACCCACCACCCCCCCCCCCTTCAGAACCAAGATGCGGGATGCAATAGTGTTAACAAATAATTACAGGTACATGTTTGAACGCGGGCTGATGGAAGAGACCAAACCATTTTGCGATCTAGCGCTAAGAATCGGCGAGCGGCTCAAGAACGAGCTCGGGGAACCCGCTGTCGAGTCCATCCGCGAGAGCCACTCCTTTCTCGGAATTGCTCTTACCGAGACGAACGAGCATGCCCTCAGCATGAAGCACAAAAAGAAATGGCTCACCATGCTGGAGGAGAGAATGTCAGAGACAGGCAACCCCCTTGAAGACTACGAGCTTGGCTATGCATACAATGAGATCGGCGTGGCATACGGAAACAACGACATGCTTGAGGAGGCAGCGGCCGCATTTCGCCGGTCCATTGAGATATTCCAGGGCCTCGATGATTACGAAGACACCATGCTCGGATGGCCGGAACCAAATCTGGGCTTCATCTACTGGATGCAGGGGAAGTTGGAGGATGCCGAGAGAGCTCTTGTCGAGATTCTAGATATCCACGCTGCGGCGTATGGTGTCGACGACACCAAGTCCTTCAAGTAGGTGCCTCGCACTGTTGCCCACATGGGTTGGATACTAATTAATGGTTACCAAAGGACCGGCAAGATTCTCTATGGACTGGGCAACGTGCTGGAGGCCCAAGGACGCTTCGACGAGAGCCTCAGTTTCCATCGCCGATGTTTTGAACAGTACAAGAAAGTTCTGGGTCTGAATCACCACAGGGTTGGAGACGTCTATCACAGACTCGCAGGGCACTGCATGCGGCAGGGGATGTACAAGGATGCCGAGTGAGTTCGATTCAACGTCAATGCCCTCGCTCTGGCATCGTACTAATAACAGTTCCAGGGTCTATCTGAATTCTGCACTCAAGATTTTCAACTCACGAACATATTTGGCAAATGAGCGGGCAAGGACCACGTTCAGAAAGGCAAAGTTGCTTCGCTTAATAGGAACGACCACAGAAGCCGACAAGCTTCTAGTCGACGCCTACAAGATCCGCAAGGAGCTGAGACCGCGAGATGCACGCTCAATTGAGCAGTTAGAGGAGGGCGATTTTGATGTCCTTGTCGCGTTTTGGTCTCGCTAGCGCAGGGCGTGGAGTCTCAAAATCGACTTGCAAGAGTCTTGAAGCCCAAGGTAATTACACTAGGATATTCCCTTTCCGGTCCGTCCACGTCCATTCCCTGGTTGACAAGTAATTACATGACACGGCAGTATCAACAAAAAGAGGGTGGGCGGGCTGAGTTTGGGATTGGGCAAAAAAAGAAGTGTAATTATTTACTATGAGAGCCTCGGCGTAGGAACACGGCCGAGGCGAACGAAATTTTTGGCACCTTGCCTCAAATCTAGTCACCGGCAAGGCGCCAACGGGTGCCTAGGGGTGTTCAGCTGAGTCTATTTCATCACATTCATGTCGCACACACAGCTCTCAGTGTAACATATATTAACCCAGCTAGCCGCCGAATACATGACCGACCTGAAGGCTCCCATTTCTTTGCCCGCTGCCTCAGTGTACACATCTCCAGCGCATTTCTCCTCTCGTTCGAGTATCCCCCATGATGATGAGCTTAGCGCCACCACCGCCATCTACCAAAAAGGCACCGAGTGCCAAAACATCACTAAAGGGTGGTTCTTCTGCCCGTAGACGCAAAGCTCGGGTCGTGAAATCGTGTAAGAAACATCATTACCCTCGCGGCGGCTTCTATGAAAATCAGCAAGCTCACTCAAGCCACCTCCAGTAAAACCAAACGAGTACGCAACAGCTGTCGGGGGCTATGCAGATCTCCCCAACGGCTCAGGGGAAAATTACATACAGCTTCGCGACTTTCTCAAAACCGAGCCAAACGTGATACAGTTTCCCCCCCACTCATACCAGGACGACTTTGTCATCCTTTATCCCCTCGGGCCCGACGAGAACACCGCAGCGCCTCCCGCGTCATCGACACTGTCGCGGCAGGCGCCCTCCGACTCGGAAGCGGACCATGATTCCATGGACGAGAGGCGCCACGAGGCCCGAAGGTCCATCCCCTTCCAAGACCCGCACGCGTTCTACCGTGACAGCCAGAACCGCAACGGCCCGCAGAGCCATATCATCTTCCTCCGCGGGTACCTGAGCGCGGCGTGGATCAAAAACATTGGAGGCGGGTACTTCGTCGACCCTGAGTTCTTCTGCCGCCACCTCGACTTCCGGCCCGCGAACGACAGCTCCAACAACTTCTCCACCCCGGCTCTCCCGTCCACGTCGTGGTACCTGATGGAGCTGCCCGTCATCACCATAGGGATGCGGTCGGGCCCCAGGGGACCTCTGCGGACGGAGAAGATTGAGGAGTTAAGGAAGCAGGGGGCTGAAGCACTGGAAAGACATCACGGTCAGATAGCTGAGCTGTCGTCTTCCAGAATGACGGAAGGGGAGTCGATGATCAGGGACTTCTATGTCTTTGATGAAACGCATTTCGCAGTGGAACAGCGTATCTCTGTCTGCATGCAGCCAGCCGAGAGCGGAGATACTTTCAGCTGTGAGTCCCCCTCTTCCCCGTCCGCCCCCCTTTTCCAATTATTCCGATGTTTTCGTAATCATGAAGGGGAGCTAACCGGTTCATTTTCCCCCCACAAGTGCTTGTCTGGCTCGACTCAGGCGCCGACCTCCCGAACGATCCGCCCTTTCCTTGGTCCATCCAACCCCCCGAATCCCACTACTTCCCAACCATCCTCCACAGGCACATGATCGCGCTCAAGGGCCACCTCATCTCCTCCGAAGACGCCGACCCCTCCGCGCGGTCCGCCTCCCACCTCCCGACAGACTACGGCCGGTCCCTGCACCCCGCCATCATGGCCGGCGACGCCTTCTACAGCCTGACCGAGGTGATCAGCTTCGCCGCGAGCTCCGAGATGGCCTTCCTGAACCTCCTCTCCGCCAAGCTGGACCGCTACACCTCCCTCCCGGCCGAGCAGTACTTCCAGAGCCTCCCGAACCTCAAGTACGTGAAGCAGATCCTGGGGCGGCACGCCCGGGCTGTGGGCCAGGTGCTCTCCAGCATCCGCAACGCCGAGCACCCGCGGTGGCCGCGCGACTCCTCCAGGCGGCGGGCGGCGGAGACGGCGGCGCGGGGGCTGGAGCAGGACTTTGCGCACCTGGCGGAGCGGGTCGGGGAGCTTCACGGGCGGGCCGCCGAGGCGGTCGCGGTGCTGATGTCGAGCGTGTCCATCTCCGAGTCGCAGAAGGCCATTGAGCAGGCGGAGCGGGTCGGCAAGCTGACGCTCATGGCGTTTGTGTTTGTGCCCCTGTCGTTCACGACGAGCTTGTTCGGCATGAACGTCGTGGAGCTGGCCGGCGGGAAGCTGGGCCTGAAGTGGTGGTTTGCTGTGTCGGCGCCGGTGACAGCCGCGGCGGTGGCGTTGTACTTTGTGAATGTGGAGACTTTGGTGCGGAGGGTGTGGACGATGTTGAAGAGCTGGTGGTCCGAGATAGGCAAGTTGGATTAGCTGGAGGATCGCTGTTAATATTATCTTCGATGGAACACGAAAGTCACACTATATGAACAGTTCTTGAGGAGTACTTATGTAGAGTGTTGGTTAATGGAGGTTGTGGAATACGGGTGGACCGACCAAGCCAATAATTGAGGCGTATTCAACTCCTCAACCCTTCGCTTGGTCTCCGCCACAGCCTTCGTTTGGGCCTGTCTCCGACGCATCTCTCCCTACTATTGCATAAGTTGGTTGCGAAATCGGTAGCTACATTAGTCACAGAGTAGGGGTTATGGGACACATAACTCTGCTCGGATTGCATATGATCTACCTTGATTGACATATCGTAACAGGAGAGAGAGAGAGAGCAGGAAAGCGAAGGAAAGTCTCAACATACACCCCAGAACAACTACAATATCGACCATGCCAAGAAATCAACCCCCTTTTCCTGAATTTAGCTAGCACGATCGATCAAATATCTACTAATTCGCACCCTCTAATACCGATAACCATACCCCTGGTCCCGGGGCGGCGTCGGAACCCGCGGGGGCGGCCCCTCGACGCCGGCGTCATCACCACCATCATCAGGCTCCTCGATCTCGATCTCCGGAGGGAAGTCAACCCGACTCGCCCGCCGTCCCGAACTCGGCTGCCCTCTGCCCGCCTCGCGCCGGTCCTGTCCCCGGCCACGCGTGCGGCCCCGTCGCTCCTCCCTCTGCGACCCAGACGGCCGAGACGAGCCGCGCCCGCCGCCGCCCCTGGAGGCCGACTGGGATGGAGGGGTCTCAGCCGACCTATCTAACGGAGACGCTCTTTCGCGGCGGCCAATGTCGCTCAACCATTCCCGGAGGTAGTCGGCCTGGTTATTGGGAGCCGGAGCAGCGCCGGGGCCTGGGGGCGGGTAGCCGTAGTACTGGCTCTCGGGGTGGTAGTTGTTCGGCGGCCGGGGTGCATACCCCTGATAGCCAGGGTGCGGCCCTCCCGGGTAGCCGTATTGCGGAACTGGCTGTGGGCCCGGCCGGGCATCGAGCGGGGCACCGACGTACCGTCCGGGGCGGCTATTGGGGCAGCTGGGGTTATGACACCCGAAGAGGGCGTTGTGGGTGTAGTAGCATGTCATGGGGCAAGATTGCTTGCATACCTGGCATAGTACATGACTAGACATGTCTGCTGGTGTTTGTTCGATGGGGAACAAACAATAGCCTAGTTAGTTGTCGGATTTGCCAGACTCCTTCGACAGCGTTTATCTCACAGATCTTCTCGATATGCCTAGAAATGCTTAACTGAGCACCAGAAATTGAGGTATTCCTGGATGCCTGAGACTATTTAAACATTTGACTCCCCGGACCAAGGAGGGTGAATGGGTGAATAACCAGCTTGTCATTCCCTGCCCAACACGAGGAATAGGGAACAACCGACCAAACAACAAAGAAGTCGGCAAGGCATCTTCCGCACAATGACATTGTTCCTGCAGCCGCCTATTGTCCGCGGCCACATTGTTCCTTGAAAGAATGTGCTTGTATCGCAGAAGATACGGGATAGGTCCCTTCTTTGACTAACCACCCCGATAATTTCGGTAGAGATCCTCATAATTCTGGAACAGGTGTAGCTCAACGGACTCTAACAATGGAGCATGGGGCGTGGCAAATTCCTCCAGGTGGTAGAGTGTAAGAATCGAGAATCCTTTTACAGAGCAGGCAGTGCCAGGCAACACCGATGACCAGACCACCACGACTTATAAGCCCACGAACACACCAAACTCCGCAGTCTGGCCTCCCACCTTCTTCCCATACATGTGCGAGTACAACTCGACGCTCTTCCTCCGGTGCGGGCACTGGAGGTGGGCGACAAGATGCTGCCCCTTTCAGGGCTCCGAGATGCTGTGCCGGAGTCGCGTGACTCCCTGCGAGGTCGATGGCATCTGCCCGCAGTGCGTGAGCTGGTCCTCCGCCAGGCGTCTAGACGAGCTGAACCGGAATGTCATGGGCAGGTCCTTCTGGTCGAGATGGGGCCTTCTATTTCCTTTTGAGCGACGAAGACATTAGCGAGTCATGGCGGATAGAACGGACATGGTTATCCTGCCACGCCAACAGTCGCCTTAACCATCGCCCCAACACCTCCGCCCCTCTTTCAGCGCCCCCCCCCTCCCCAAGCGCCGGCACGATGACGTTCGCAAACTCGACGAAGAACGCCTCCCTCCGCCGCGTGCTCTGCTTGGTCCACTGCGTGCTCTGCTTGGTCCACTCCAGCCCCATCCGATCATACATGCCCCCCACTCCGCTCCACGATATCCACCCTTGCGCCCTGCAGCAACGCCATCAGCTCGCTCGCTTCCTGCAGCCTGAACCCATCATCCTGGAAATCGCTGCCGTTGAGCTTGACCGAGACGACAAAACCAGGGTCTACCGCCGCGGTTGGTTGGGCGAGGCTGTCGTTGCCCGATAGGAAGAACTGCGCTAGCAGGTAGCCGTGCGCGGTGTGCAGGTTGAACGCTGTCGAAGCTAGCGCTGTTGAGGGTACGCCACCACGTGGGCGAAGCCGTCGATGATGCGGGATATGTGCTATGTCGGCGGGCGTGGCGTGGCGGGACTTGGTGAAGGACCAGCCGAAGTCGGGTCTCTGTTCCGTAAGAGCGGCTGATCAGTTATTTATTTACACCCATTTCTTTGCAATATTCGTTTGTGTCTGTTGTTATATGATGATTGCATGTGTATACACACTGAGCTGCACATCGGACGCCGATATGGGCTCGGGATGGGGATGCCTCGCTTCTCCAGGCCATGTTCATCCCAGGTGTCCAGGCGTTCCTCCATGGCGGCCTTCATCAGCCTATTTTGGCCGTCCTTTTCGGTAACTCAAAGGTGAGCGGCTGGACGAGAGGCTCACTGCCCACGTCGGTGAATTCACACAGCAGCAGTAGCAGTTCATATCTAACAATCGATTACTTCTCCGCTAGAAAGCAACCGGGTCCCAGTCCGGTCGTCTAAAAGCCTCTGTGGCGGCCGTTCCCAGTTTAAGGCCTTACCTCCCCTATCCCATACAGCCTGCCGCCTTTCGTACCACTCTTCCACGGTAATGGACGCCGGCTGTCCATATCCATCCTTCAGAGAAATGCTCTTCTTCGGCGGCTTGGGCCTGGAAGGCCAGTTAATAGCCTCCGGAGCATCGCCTGTAGGGACAGTGTGCAGGTGCGCTGCACTTCGCTCCTGCCATTCTTGCAGCACTAGCCGATACTCCGCGACTGGATGGTCTAACTTTGCCTCTGGATGCTTCACCCACTCCAGTCGGAGGAGGTAGTCGAGGTTCTGCTATTCGTGGGGCACACTGCGGAGGCTATCGTCTCGGGTGATGATCTCGTACATGGTGAATATGACGCCTTTGACATCGTTCCGGTCCTCACAATAACTCTCACCATCTCCGGGTGAAGGGTGCTTGATGCGAGCCGCAAAGTTAAAGTCGAAGAGCATGACGGAGTCTGTCGACTCGTCGACTAGGAGGTTTCGCGGGGAGATGTCTTGGTATGCGATAATGTACCGGAGATTCAAGTCGTCCACGGCCTGTATGAGCTGCTGGAGCCACTTCAGCTTGAAGACGCGTGACTTGTTCTTCTCCAGACTACCGCCGGGCACGTAGTCGTTGGTGAATCCGACCACGCGACCCTCGAGCTCGTCGACGACGACCCGGTCGAACGGAACCATGTTTGGGTGGCGGGGCAGACACATCCACAAGTTCATCTTCTTCCACGACATTTGTGCATACTGCCACAGGAAGTAATATTTAAACACGACCTACCCAAGGGTTAGTTTACAGGAGGGTACGATCCAAGACCGGCAGCCGGGTTTCACCTTTTTAGCTGATCCCTTTGAGCATGGAGGGTATGCGACAAGGTCAGCGTCGGGGCCAAGCCTCTCGAGTTCCTCGAGTGCGTCCCGCCGTACGGTCTGGATCCCTTCGGGGAGAGAAATCTCGCGAAGGAATGGGTAGTGTACACAGCACGTCTGATCATGCTTTGCATCGGTATACATCGAGATGATCTCGCCAGGCACATAGATCTCGTATATGCCAGGAGGGAGCTGGCTGCTGTGGCGGCTGAGATGTTCGATAGCAACGCTCTCGTCGTCCTGCTCCCCATCCATAGTTACTGAAACCACCCGTCTCTGGTCCCAATCGATAACGTGCCAGGTGCTTGGCCCACCGACAGGGATGTCGTCGCTCAGGGAAAAATACCTGGAATCGTTGTCGATCATGTTGCTGTGTTTTTAACATTTAAGGCGTGGGGGTTGACGAGGAATGACAGATCTGCTGGCTGGAGCCTGGATGCAGGAGGGCGGGGGTTGTTGGGGCGTTGAGACCAAATGAGAGTCACGTCAAGGCGCTCGGCACTGGGCGGTGAGTATATTGGGAATACGTCCTATATCTTTTGCATCATTCCTGCCCGTTTCCTACATGCAAAAGTTCAATGCCTAAGAGATATAGGTTCAGAGAATATTCGCATTACTGCAATATAAACCACATTAAAACTTAAAGTACCTCGCCCAGGATCGCATAAATCAAGTCAGAAACCTAGCCTCTCCCCACCTCACCAACCTTACAACCACAATGAAATAGACAGTAACCCACATTCTAGCCCACTGCACCAGATGGAAATCAGACGGCGAAACGCTGCTGAACGCCCCCTCCCCCCCCCCCCAACCCCCCCAACCCCCCCTCCCTCAGCACAAGCCACTCGTTCCTGAAATGCTCTCAGCCCCCATCTCGGCTGCTATTTACAAACCATTCCTCAAATAACCGTTTTCCGGGTTGTTCATAAACAATGTCGATCCACAAGAACCTCTTCACAACAACCCTAGCCTCCTCCCAGGTCCGGAGACGAAGAGACAAAACAGCCTGCCCCATCGCTGCCCGGAGCCAGTCCCGGTCAAAGTCCTCAAAGATAGACAAGCCCGCGATAAACAAAGCCCAGAGGAGAATATCGGCCCCCTCGGGATGCGGTGGGTGCTGCTGCGCCAGCAGCGCGGTCTTCAGCCTGCCTGCCAGGAATGCCATCTTCTTCCCGATGCCTTCGATCTGGATGAGGACGCTCTTCATGTACGCCAGCATGCACAGCCTCAACAGCTCGTGGAGGGATGTCGGATCGAACTGCAGACTGACCAGCCGGTGTGGGACCGACGTGGTGAGCTGGGAGAAGATGTTGGGTGCCATCTTGACGCCGGTTTCCGTGGCCTCGTTTGCGGTTCGTGAAAATTCTCGTAGATCGGCCCAGATGTTTAAGAGTCTCGGGTCGGGCCGGGGATGCACCAAGCTCAGTTCAGGAAATCTGGTCGCGGGCCTACCATGAGCAATGCTGGGGCTCCAGGAGATGTCCTCTCGGAAGAAGCGCGTCTTGCTTCCAGTTCCAATAGCGAGGCCAAGATCAATCCTGTAAGTTACGGTTGGGTTAGCTTTGATTAATTGGAAGGGGAGCTTATAAAAGTGAGGGTCTGTCTGGATGAGAGGCTTGGACTTGCCTTTGGGCCTTGTGTTCTATCATACTCCCCTGGCCAAGGGACTTCAACCCCCCACGCAACTCAACCATGCGATGCAGCCCATCAATGTGCTTCGCAGCTGTTTCAAGGTCGCCGAAGATGGCCGCTGCGGTCGCCAGCGATGTCACGACGGCCATGGTGGTGTTCGTTGTCGCTTCGTTTCCGTCATCTAAAATTCGTTGGAGGTAGTAAAGCGTCTTTGCGAGGTGGAACTGGGCAACCTTGCCATAGGAAGCCCCGATAGTCAAGTCGTGGAAAGCCTGGGCAGTGAACAATACTGAGTGGATCATGGCCGGGCTCTGCGAAACATTGCTGAAACAGAAAACACGGTCACGTGTACCCTCGACAAGGGCGGTCTCTATTGTGTATGTTGCCGGTTTGATGACGGTGAAAGCTGGCGTAACACGATAATCAGAGGAAGCCAGAGAAGGGAGGTCGGTGCAATATACCTCGAGCAATGAGATCCAGCATATAGGGTTTGATATCGGTTACATATCCAAAAAGAGAAAGCTCAGACGCGATCTTTCGGGGTGTCGTGAGGATCCATTCCTGGTCGTCCCGCTCTTCCTGCTTTTCGCCTTGCTCTCTCTCTTTCGGGGGCCACTGATCCCTGCGCTGCTCAACACGCTGGGCTAGCGCCTTGCTGCGTTTGCCCCTGCGCGTATTCTTCCCGCGCATTACATGGCTGCGGATGAACTTGCGCGTCTCCCCGTCCGGCTTGTCAAGGGATGTACTAACGATGAAAGGATCAAAACCCGGCTCTGTTAGGGGGTCAGCTTCAACTTTCGACCCACTGACCCCAGCAGATGGATACTCACTAATCGCTGAAGATGAGTCATGAATCGACATGGCCACGTCGGGGTCAAAGCGAACTCAAGTTCAGGGAAGAGAGCTGCGTGAGATTCTGTGGCAGGTGGATGCCATGATTGTTTTCTGAAAGGAGAAAAGGGGAGCCTGCTTCTCTGACTGCTGACGTCTGTAAGCCCTGCCTGGGGTTTTGCCAAGCCCAGATTGTATTCCGTTCTGGGGATAGCGTGTTCTGGTGGTCCCACACTCCATAACCGGGCCCGATTCGGCACGGACAGGACTTGTCCCAACTCGGAAAACAGTATTGCGTGTATGATGCAAAGCTAAGCAAGCTGGCGTAACGAAGGCGAAGACTTCGGGTTTTGGTGCTCTCGGGAACTTCCAACGACCCGGAAATGCCATGGAGAGCGTTCACTGATTAGTACTCTGGCAGGTGGTTTCAGCTCGGGTGGAGGGAGTGTTCATGGCTGGGCTGGCTGTGGACAAGATATTGATGGCGTCTATTGCCTCCTTGAAACTCAAATGCCTATATAATACCTTTCCACGGCCTATCTTCCGTCTGATGCTGTTCCGGTCTCGGCTAACTTGAATCTTGTTAACATCTTTAGCCCCTGTCTGCCTCCCCATTGCACACAAAATGGCCATCTGCAGTAAATCCGTGGCTTTCAACCTAGACAAGGACATCCCGCCGCTCAACGGAAAGGTCATCCTAGTGATGGGAGGAAACATCGGGCTCGGAAAGCAATGCGTGCTCGAATTCGCGCGCCACAACCCTCACCAGATCCAGCTCGCATCACGCAACCTCGACAAGGCAAAAGCGGCAGCAGACGAGATCAGGGCGCAAGTCCCAGACGCACCCATCAAGATCCTCGAGCTGGACCTCACCTCCTTCGACTCAGTCAAGCGCGCAGCCAGCACCGTTCTCTCAGCCTCCTCCCGCCTCGACATCCTCATGCTCAACGCCGGCATCATGGCCATCCCGCCAGGCCTCACCAGCTCCGGCTACGAGCTCCAATTCGGCACAAACCACATGGGCCACGCCCTCCTAACCAAGCTCCTGCTCCCCCTCCTAACCAACACCGCCGCCGCCGACGCCGACGTCCGCGTCGTCTCGCTATCCTCCCACGGCCACGTCTACCTCCCGCGCGGGGGGTTCCGCTTCGACTCCCTGCGGACCACCGCCGACAGCATGGGCGCCTACTGGCGGTACTAACAGAGCAAGCTGGCCAACGCGTTGTGGGCGCGGCTGACCGTCGTGGCCGTGCACCCGGGGGTGGTGCGCACGGGTCTGATGGAGGGGGCGACGGGGTCGCCAGCCGTGGTGCGGGTGCTGGCGAGGGTGGCGAGGAGGCTGTTGACGCCTGTTGAGGAGGGGTTTCGGAATCAGCTGTGGGCTTGTGTGGCGGGGGATGTTGTGAGTGGGGAGTACTATGAGCCGGTTGGTGTTGGTGGGTTGGCGAGTGCTGATGGGAGGGATGATGAGCTGGCTAAAATGGTTTGGGATTGGACGGAGAAGGAGCTGGAAGGGCATTCTGTTTGATTTGGGTGGTTAGAGCGTGTCCCGACATGAAGGATTATTTGATTACTGCTTACCCTGATCATCTGCTATCGACTGACAAAAGACGGCCTGATCCATATTCGTTCTATTAGCTATCTTATACATGTCACCGTCCTTGCCTTTTCCCGACAACCGCCCTGTCAAGGTTAGACAATCTTCTTCCGCAACTCCTGTCCAGTGTCTCGAGAATGCGCCAGTCCTTCGCCCAACTTCGTCAACACAGATATGAATAATATCGATAGTGATACATGCGATGGCCCTGAGCTGGACCAGGTAGCCCCTAAAATCTCGAGAGAAAACAAAGGAAAAAGAAGAAGGATGGTTACTTCCCACCTTTCTTCCTCGCGCCCGCCCGTCTCTGCCGCACCCTAGCCTGCGTCTTGTCCTCGCCCTCAATTCCAGCGCCACTCTCGTCCCCGCTTCCGTCATCCTCCCTCTTAACATCCCCCGCCGAACCCTCCCCGTCCGTTTCCTCCTCCTCCTCCTCCTCCTCCTCCGCCGCCGCCGCAGCAGCCCTCTTCTTCACCCCCAACACCACCTCCTCAACGATACGCCTCCCCTCATCCGCCACCTGCTCCTCCCCGTTCGCCGCCCCGCACGCCATGCACCTCCACACGCCCACGTCGGCCAGGCTCCGCGCCCCCGGCGGCGCCTGCCCGTTGACGAGCCGGCACCGCCCGCACACCAGCGCGATGCGGTTCTTGGCAGCCGTCTCGTCCTCGCCCAGCAGCAGGTCCAGGATCCGGTCGTACCAGTGGGGCTCGCCGGCAACGACCGCCGCGGGCGCGAGGCCGCGGGCCCCGCCAGGCTGTTCGTGCGGGTGCGCCGCCGGGCCGCCGCCGTCGGGTCCGAAGGCGTTGGGGGCGAACTCGGCTGATGTCTCCAGGCCTGCTGGGTTTGTCGGGCTGGTTGACTGGTGCGGAGGGCCGAAGGGGCTGTGGGCGCCCGGCTGGGGCGTGTTGGGCCCGGAGCGTGGGGGTTGGGCGTGGGCATCGCCTCGGCGGATGTTGGCCGTCGGAGGAGGGGGCATGTTGGTCCGGTTCGGCGTCCTTGGTCCTTGGCCCTTTTCTGACTTCTCGTCTTCTGCGGAGCCCCTCTTCCCCTTCTTCGCAGCCTTATTCTCCGTCCCGCCGTACTTTTCCAGGAGCTCAAGCGTCGAGTCGTATTTAGTGGCGTCCTTGAGCTTCTGTATCGTCTTGGCACGCTCAGTTTGCTGGTCCTTCAGACGTGCGGTGAGTGTGTCGATGCGGAAGTTGAAGATTGCCGTCATGGCTGTCCTGACGACGTAGATGACGAGCGGGCCTCCCGCCATGCCGGACCACTCGAGCGGTCCCAGGTTTTTCAGCCCCACAACGAGAAAGAGGACGATGGCGTAGACCAGGTATGCGAAGGAGAGATACAGAGTCCAGAGGACCTTCATCCGACGTGCGGTGGCCCTCGCATTGTCAAGCTGGGTCTGTGTAGTCGCGATCTTCTTCGAGAGCGTGGAGAGCGTTTTCTCAAACGAGGCTGGGGAGGAGGCATCTCTCTGTCAAGGCAGTGTCAGCGATCAAGAATGCAAGTAGCGTAGACATAAGCTTACCCTCCACGGCCAGAAGGACACCATTTTGGAAAGCGTAAAGTATCCTCGAGAGCTACACACTCGTGGTATTCGAGCTGGACGTCGGCGGCAGAGTCTGGCCTTCTTGCTGCAATGTAAATAAAAGCGGCCGTGGAGGCCACAGCAAGAGGACCGACAGTCCAGATATAGCAAAGGCTTCCAGATCGGGATTCTGATTCACTGCCCAATGCCCCTGCCACGTTTTTGCATCAAGCTCTTTGTGCACGGTGACCACGGTGACCTCATGCTGTTCTGCCTTACTAGGGTGGGAGGCGCTAATTATGTAATCATATGTGGCTGAACAACAGCAGATGTACCCCAGAACCTTTCTTGTAGCGAATCGTGGCTAGAACTCTCAGACAAGAGCTGACGGCTTGGAACAAAAAGAGCAACGAAGCAGCAAATGAGATCTCTATCCTCGCCTTTTCCTCAGCTGGTGGTTTTGGTGACTTTTTGGGCCGGGGATTCTCTTCTGTTGTAAACCCCGACCCCCTTTGCTCGGGTCGGAACTAGTAGGCTGTCCGCCATCCCTTGTTGAGAGACAGGACCTCCCTTGAGACCCGGCGAGCATCTTTACCATGTTCCAAGTGAGTATTCCTCAATCGCCTGGCATCTAAGATCACAGAACTGCCTTGTTGGCAGTAAGCAAGTTACTAATGACGTCCTCCGACCAGCGCATCAAGGGCGCCATCGACCGGAGCATTGCCGAGGAGCAAGCTCGCCAGAAAGCTTTCGCCGGTCAGAAGGATGGCGGCCCCTCGTCATCAACCCGGCGATCTGGCTCTATATCGAGGTCGTCAAGCACGAGGGGCGCCGAGTCACCAGCAAGGCGGCCACGGATGTCGAAGCCGATCCAGGACACCAATGGGGATGGCACCGCGAACACTGACCCCGCCGTCTTCGAGGCCGCCTTTGTGATTGATGACACGGAAGAGGGCACGCCCGCGCCCACGCCATCGGCCACGCCGCAACCCGAAGAAGCAAGCAAATCAGTGGAGCAGCCGAAGAACGATGCGACGCCAGCGAAGCAGACACCCGAGCACACCACGCCGTCCAACAATGCGCAGCAAAACGGTGAGAAAAGCAACGGGGCGAAAGAGCCTCTTCAGGAGAGCAAACCATTGCCAGAAGCACCGCCTGAGCTTCCGCCAGACGTACGCACCAAGCTGAGGAAGCTCGAGAAGCTCGAGAAGACATATCCAGGTTCGTTCCACCAGCTTGCCTATGTCTAATTCCCAACAAGTCTAACAGGTATATCTGCCAGAACTTTTACGCTCCTACCGAATTGCCCATGGGCGCGCGACGTCGATCGAACCGTTCGAACGGGTGCTGAGGGAGCATACACCACTCGCCTCAATCAAAGACCCCAATGCCCTTGTCGAATACCTCAACCAGCTCAATCTCAAATCCGACATGGTCATGGACGAGCTCAAACGCATGTCTGCTGAGAAGGATACCTACAAGAAGAAGGCCGAGGATGCGGACAAGGAGCTAGCAGCTTTGAAGGAGGAGGTCGCCACACTAAAGACTGGAAAGCCCGAGGAGACTGGCACAGAAGAGAGGAAATCCACCGAAGCAGCTGCGGCGGACAAAAAGGATACCACTGAAGGAGAACAAGCCGACCCGACTTCGGCGGCAAAGAGTCCAGTTGCCCAGGTTCTGGGCCTTTTCTCCCCCAAGCAAAAGCCGCAAGAGGCCACAACGGCCGGCACCGAGGATTCAGACGTACAAGAGTCCGGCGAGGATCTGTTCTCGTACGACAATGAAGTGCCGCAGTTACGGGCCGAGGTGGAGGCCAAGTCGGAGGCGGTCGAGAAACTCCAATCCGAAGTAAACACCTTGAAGGAGGAGCTGTCATCCGCCAGAGAGAACAGTGCTGGCCTTGTTGAAAGCCTGGAGAATGTCAGCCGCGAGCTTAGCGAAACCCGTGACGCCGCCGCAGTGAAGGCCTCGGTCGAGGCCCAGCTCGAGGCGAGAAACGCCGAGATAACCTCGCTGGGCGAACGCCTAGACAAGGCAAAGGCACAACTGCAGGACCTGGAGACGCAGCTCGAGAAGGAAAGAGAGCAATCCAGCCGGCTCGCTAAGGAACACGAAGCCAAGCTGGCCGCGTCCAATTCGCGAGGTACGGAGCTTGAGACCGAGGTCAAGAAAGCTGCTGAGGCGAAGGCGATGTTGGACAAGAGGATTGGCAACCTCACCTCCGAGATTGAGTCGCTCAAGACGGACCAAGCGGAAAGCGAATCGAAGATCGAGGAGCTCAATAAGAAGATACAATCTGCCACTGCTGTGTCTTCGACATCAGCGCCGGAGACTCCCACGTCTCCTACAACGCAAACCCCTGCACCACAGTCGGGCGCTGCCAAGAAGAAGAACAAGAAGAAGAACAAGAAGGCCGCCGGTGCTGCCGCCGGGGCAGCAGCCGCCGAACCCGCTGCCAGCGAAGGGGCTGACCAAGCACCCCCACTGTCAGCGGGTGACTCTGGAGTTCAAGAGCTGCAAGCAGAGATCAACCGGCTGAAGGACGAGGTCTCAAAGAAGGACGAGCAGATCGAACGCCTAGAGAAGCGACGGAAGTCTGAGGAAGAGCTCCGCGAGGAGATAGAAGGGCTGCAGGAGAATCTTCTCACCATCGGCCAGGACCACGTTGAGGCCAAGGAGAAAATCAAGAATCTCGAGAGCGAGAGGACCGTCCTGAAGGAGCGTATTGTGCAGTTGGAAAAGGAGCTCGAATCATCGGCATCGTCGGCAAAGGACAGCTCTAAGCTGCGAAGCGAGTACGAATCGATGAAGCAGGAGCTCGACGACCTGAAATTAAAATCCTCGACGCTGCAGTCCGACCTGGGCGCAGCCCAGCAGCTGGCACAGAGCCGATATAAGGACCTCGCCGACCTGCGGGACGTCCTCCAGAAGGCACAGCCCGAGCTCAAGAGCCTGCGCCAGGAATCCGCCGCGCTCAAGACGACAAAAGAGGAGCTGGCAGCCAAGAACACCGAGGTCCGCACGCTGGAGAAGCGCGAGAAGGAGCTCAAGGCTGACCTCAGCCGGGCCCAGCGGCTAGCCTCGGAACGCGAGGCCGAGATGAAGACGCTGCGCGAGAAGATCACGACCGAGACGAACTCCCGGCTCCGCCTGGAGGACGAGAAGCGGGTCGCGGCTCGGGACATGCGGCGCGCCGAGGCCGAGAGGATCGAGCTGTCGGCGAGGGAGGAGAAGGCGGCCCGGGAGCTGCAGCGCGTGCAGGAGGAGCTCGCCAAGCTGCGGCCGCGGATCGGCGAGCTGGAGGACGAGGCGGCGGCGCTGAAGAGGGAGCAGTCTGCGCTCCGGGAGCAGTCGGCGCTCAAGGCGACCCAGTACGCCAACGCGCAGAACCTGCTCGGCAGCATGCGCGACCAGACGGCGGAGCTGGGGATCCAGCTGCGCGAGAGCCAGGCGCAGGCCGAGAGCCTGGACGAGGAGCTGGCCGAGGCGCGGCGCATGCTCGGGGAGCGGACGCGCGAGGCCGAGACGATGCGGCGCCTGCTGGCCGATGTGGACGAGCGGGCTGAGGGCCGGGTGCGGGAGGCGCGCGCGCTCGCCGACGCGGCGGCCGAGGAGCGCGACAGGCTCGAGGACGAGGCGAGCGCGCTCGGGCGGCGGCGGGCGCGCGAGGCCGAGGAGCTGCGGGGCCGGGTGCGCGACCTCGAGAGGGAGGCGCGCAGGCTCGAGGCCGAGAGGGACGAGCTGCGCGGGGCGGAGCAGGAGTGGCGGCGGCGCGGCGAGGAGCTCGCGGCCGTCGAGGGCCGCGCCGAGGCTGACATGGCCGAGATGCGCACGGCCGCCTCGGACCTGCGCTCCGCCCTCGACGCGTCCGAGCAGGCCGCCCGCGACGCAGAGACCCAGCGGGCGGAGCTGCGGCGCGCCATCGACGAGTACCGCGTGCGCTACGACAAGCTCGCCAAGGAGCACAAGGCCCTGCAGGCGAGGCTGGGGTCGTCATTGTCGGCAGCCAGCGGGCGCAGCTCGGTCGACTCGGCGAGGTCCGGTCCCGGCAGCGGCAACGGGTCGCCTGCCCCCGGAGCCCAAGGAAGCGCCGACGTCATGTACCTCAAGACTATACTGCTGCAGTTCCTCGAGCAGAAGGACAACAAGATGCGCGCCCAGCTGGTGCCTGTGCTTGGGAAGCTGTTGAGGTTCGACAAGTGAGTCCCCCTTCCCCGCCCTCCTTACCCTACCTTGGAGTGCATCACTGACGATATTGTCGCAGAGCGGATGAGCAAAAATGGCTCGCGGCCGTGCAGCACATTGGCGGCCGGTAAGGGGTGCGTGGAAGATGGCTTGTTCGATTAAGTTTTGTTGACACGGCGTCCGTCCGCGATGGCGTGGATACGGCATGCATAACAGCGATGGAAATGGGATATGATCTGTATACTAGAACCTTGTATGGGATGTACCCTTTTGTGGGACTCGAAGCTATATCTATCCGCCTTTCTCAAGGCCGCTCTCCTTGGGGCCGGTCGGCATGTTTGACTTGCCTCTTCGTTGGACCCGTCCCCGCGCCACTTGATACTCCCAAACAAGTACGGATGGAAATACTTCTTCAGACCCAGCCTCGAAGCAGTTGTCTTCAACCCCTCCACCTCTATGGGATCTAGACTCCTACCAAACTCGCTCGATGGCTAAGCCTGTTGAAAATGGCAAGTCATGACGGCAGGAGCAGGGGCATGATCATTGAGTACTATCAACTGCATGTTCATCACGTCATTTGAACCAGGGTATGCTCTAGGATCGGCTTATGTAACTCCATGCAATTGAAGAAATTGGGGATCTTGTTTTGTCAACGTAGGATTTCATCAGCCCTATCGCCCGGGCAACGGCTTTTTAAGGAGACCTAGATTTTCTCAAAGGAGCAAGGAAACGAAGGCAGACGGATTCATAACGGGAGGCCAAGACATTAACAACCGGTGTATCCTCCAAGCCTGGCTCGTTGCCAAGAGCCAAGTGCCAACTGCATGCGTGCGCCCCCGCACGCTAACCGTTTTGCACACAGCCTGCTGCGTAAACTTCAACGGCCACTGAGCAACAAGATCACAACTGAAAAGGTGGGCAGGGAAAAGGAAGGGGAAGTGGGGGTGGGGGGGAAGTGAAGAGACGAAAAAGAAAAGAGAAGGAAATGCCTTCAACAGCAAGGCGCATCAGGGGTCAACGAGGTGGCTGGAATATCTGGATAAGGCTGGCGTGATGGGGCTGGTATGGTGGTGGTGAAGCTAAAATTGGACAAAGATTAGGGGACCAACGGTCCAGTTTGGCGGGATGTGTCAGCTGAATAACTTCTATTGGCCTTACCAGCCCGGGCCAGAACTGGGTGGGGTCCTAAACATGATGCGCTAGCAGGGGGTGACGGCCGTTCATAGGGCCCAATTTCGCGAAGTGCGGGCCCGTAATCTCTCTGTCGTTGATCGCGCCTTTGAGAGCCTCCATTTTCGGAGGAAAGACACTGCGTCTCACGTTCCCTCGTTTTCCATTAGAAAACTCATGGATCCGGTCACAGAATGCGGGATTCCTGACGGGTGTGGCTTTGAAGGTCCTCGGTCGTGACAATGATGATGATAATGACCCGTCTCTTCGCGCAATCTCCAGCTCAATGGCTGGCCAATTACCGGCTGGGCAGGTTCAGCTCCTGCACTATTGAATGTGGCGGCCGACGTGAGAGGATGAAGGACCAAGGTCCTGCGAGGGTGGATCCCCTCCCTCAGCCGCATCACCCCCGATTGAGGTAAGTACTGCGGTAAGTCTGCAAAAGCGCCTTGTCCCCCGGAAGCGCGGCGGATTTCTCTTTCGCCCTTTCCTTTCCCAGCTTCCTCTTCCTCCTCTGCTCCAACCAGCGCTCAACACCGACTCTCAACTGGACGGTTCTGCAGCCACGCGTGTTGCCCGCTGCCGCCATGAAGTCGAACCTGCACCAGCTGTTGGCCTTTGGGCTCGTCGTCGGTTCCGAGGCCACATTCCTGAGCTGGGCGCGCGACGAGGTCCAATGGTTCCCGGCCAGGGAGACCGGCTCCGTCGAGCACTCTGACTCGGGCTATGACCCACTCCCGACGTCGCCCGCAAAGCAGGCCCGTGATCACGGCCTGGCCCGGGGGCAAGCCAACGGCCTAGCTAAGCGGGCCGACGACGTCTGCGGCTACGTCTCTGCCGACCCGAGTGAGTCCTGCCCTCGCCCGCTCGGAGCTCGACCCGAGCTGTACCGAATCGTGCTAACTCATCATCATAGCCTGGACGTTTGGGTGCAACAATGCGATCTGCTTCGAGGCGGTGAATACCGTCAGCGGCTATTCCATGGTTGACTGCTGCGCCAGTGGTGACGACCTCGACAGCTGCACAGCCGCGACGACATGCCTCGATATGACTGACTCGACCCTGGCCGGCAGCACCTCGCTGGCGCGGACCTGGCAGTGGTATGTTGTCAACCTCATGCTAAGCGCTACCCCATGAGTGCGAAACTGACATGGCCCGCCAATGCAATAGCACCGATTCCGAGTACCCCTACTGCGTGACCTACTATTACGGCCCAGGGTCGTTGAGCGGCTACACGTGGCTGAACTGCGGCAAAGCCAGGGCCACAAGGACAGTCTTCCAGGCTGCGGTCTCGGACACCAGCACAACCAGCAGAATCACTACAGACTCATCAACAATCACCTCTTTTTCCTCGTCCTCTTCCTCGTCTTCGTCCTCGTCATCATCATCCAGCAGCACCACAACCAGCAAGACAGGCGGCTCCGGCACCCCCGTCGGCGCCATCGTCGGTGGCGTCGTGGGCGGCGTAGGTACGAGTTTTCCCCCTCTTCTTCTTCTTCTCCCTCCACGTCACCTTACTAACCCCATCCCGCACAGGCGGCCTCGCCCTCATCGCCGGCCTCATCGCCTTCATCGTCATCTACAAGAAGAGGCAGGACAGGAACAACAACATCGGTCAGCCCCCGCCGAACGGCCCCGCGCCGCAGATGGCCGCCGCGATGCCCCCCCAGCCGCCCCAGGGCGGCCCCGACGGCGCCCCCCCGCAGCAGATGATGTACGCCCCCAGTGGCGGCCCGACACCCCCGCCCTTCGACCCGCGCGCCAGCATGGCCAAGCCGCCGTACTACGGCGCCTACGCCGTCACCCCCGACCAGCAGCAGCAACAGCAGGCCGGGTACATGGGCAGCCCGCCCGGCAGCCCGCCGCCGCAGTCGCTCCAGGGCGGGGTCAGCCCCGCTCCGACGTACGACGCCGGCTTCCAGCAGCAGCCGCAGCAGCAGTATGCGCAGGGCGGAACACCGCCTGTGCCGTTCCAGCCGGGCGGGTATCAGGATCCGCAGCAGCAGCAGCAGCAGCAGTACCAGGCGTACCAGCCACAAGGGCAGCCGCAGCAGCAGCAGCAATATCAGCAGTATGCGCCGCCCCAAGGTGGCCATTACTCCGAGTTGCCTGCCACGAGGGGCGATGGCGAAGTGCGCGAGTTGGCGTGAGGGGGTGGAGATTGTTAGGGGGTTTGTGAAGTTGTGGAGCTTAGCCTGTTAATTCTACACATAGATACTTTCGTGGATATATTCTGGATATCTCGTTTTAAAGTCTTAATTCAAGGGTTGGCCGCAGAAGCAATAAATCAACTTTAACTCTTCCAATGGAGATGATGGAACCAACAGCGCCTATCGTAACTCGACTCTCTTGGACGCGTCGCCACTCTTTTCCCCCCTCTCTCGCTCTCTCTTGGTGTCGCATTCGTCATCCTCGACGCAATCCCAGGGCGCTTCTTGGCGCCACCTTGCGTACAATGCGGCCCCTCTGGCCGCCGCAAATGTGGGGTCCGGGATGCCGTCATCTGAGAGAGACGCGGGTGCTCCAAGTGCATCTCTCAGCGTGGCAATGAAGTCCGGATCTGTGGCATTCTCGCCTCCCAGGAGAAGCTTGGTGATTCGCCTCGGACTTTTGCTTGGGAGGATCATTAACTGGTCGCGAACATGCGACCAGAAGGCGGATGGCGAAGCGAAGGTTGGTAGGTTGCTAAAGCCGGACTCAAAATCTAGCACATGTGGCTCGGAGAGGGGGTCCAGGCCGAATGCAGCTTGAAATGTGTCCAGGCTTGCATACAGCGCGTGGCGCGAGAAGCTAAGAGGGCAGAGAGAATATAAGCAAAGATGCAGGCAGGACTGAGGGTGGCAGACAAATTGTAAGAAGGCACCTACAATACGAAGTAGACAGTTTCCCACGCCATACTCTCGTACTCTTCTTCGCAGCGGTATAGGTCTTTGTAGTTTTGACAAAGGCCATACCCACTTCCCGCAAATGCAGCTCTAGACTCGACGAGTCTCTGCGGGTATGGCATAGGAAGCGTAAGCCAAGAGTCCAGACCAGCGTGCTCGATTGCATCATTTAAATCTTCCTGCGTCAGTGCAGGTATCGAGTGGGACGTTACGGCAACGTGGTCCACTGGAACTGAGTCTGGGAGGGTTGACAAGGCTGCTTTGATGGAGGCCCCTAACCAAGTGGCTAAGCACGCCTACATCAGGAGTCGCAGGACGGCCGAGCTTCTTATTCGTCCATCGCAAGAACCGTTGATACGCACTTGGCGGATCCGGTGGTGGAGAACGGGATAATCGAACCATCAGCTTTTGGTATTCGGGACCACCAGAAACCTTGGCAAGGTCCAGCGTAGTGCCATCATACAGCCAAGCTGCAGCGGTGCTAGACGAGGTTTAGGGTATGCCGGGAAGTGCAACGGTCATGATATATTTGACACTGACCCGTATGAGGTCGTGAGATCAAAGCCCAAGCCTGGCGCATCGTGCACTTTTGCAGGGAGACAGGTGGAACATTCGGGTGTCGGACAATCGTGGAATGGCGCGGCAGTGTGCGCGAGCAAAGAAAATATCAAAATAAAGTGACCGCGTTGGAGACGCGCTGAACCGTTGTTCGGGTCCATGGAAACGAGAGAAATAGATATGCAAAAAGGGTTCGTGCTCTGAGATGCGAGCTCGCAGGTTGAGGCTGTCGTGAGCGATTTCCACTGTTGTTCCTGGCCGGTTTCCTGGCTTGTTTCCTAGCTTCGTCACTGGTTTCCTGCCCTGGCAACCCGCAAGTAGGTATCTGTAGGTAGCTGGGGAGGAAAAGCGCTCTGACCGCGCTTTTGGGCAGGCGCGGGGTGTCCTAATTACCTGGGGTCGTCCCCTATCTGGGTGTGCACCGGAACGGCCCGTCTCTCCTCGTCGCCACTCTCGAGGGAGCGCTTGTGCCATTAACTGACCGCCGTCAAACAAACGTGCCATCCTAGGCCCTCTTCTGGGGAATGGGAACATTCCCTGAAGCTTCTGGAGCTTGACTTTCATTGTTTTCGTTGGCTGGATGCTGCTCCAGCCAAGAACACTTGAAGTTCGGGGACCCCGATTTAATTACGACATCAAACTCGCCGGCAACACTATCAGGGCTAGAATTAAAATGTCAATCAGTTCTCATAGCCCACAGCAGCTGAGAGACCCATCGTGCAGTCGCGCATCTAACTACCAGGAACCTTGCAAGTACTTCGAGAAGCCTGCCCGCGGCAGCTACAACAGGTGCTATTTCGTCAAGTTTGACAGTGAGAAGTGGGTAATCCGCGTGCCCCTGGCACCCTGCCTAGCGTTTGGAGGAAAGAATAAACTTGAGAACGAGATTGCTACGATGCAGTATGACTAAATTCTATCTCATGCATCCGGCACACTACGCTGACATGCTATCTGTTGATTAATTTGGTAGTTTGGTAGCGGAAAAGACGACTAGTCCAATCCCGAAGATGTATGCGTCACAGTAACTGCCCGCCCGACTCAGCAAAAATAATTAAGCCAGTGGGAAAAATGTAGAAAAATGTAGAAAAATGTAAAAGGATGTAAAGAGTAAGAAAAACAAAAGATCATGGGTGGAAATCTAGCAAAAAGCTTGCCGATGAGCCGAGTCGAAGACAGGTCATCGGGTACGAAAAACCACTTTCGCAGTTGCGCAAGTGATTTTTACTCCGTAAGAACACCCGTTACGCCAAATGTCCCGGTGGACAAGCGGAGTCATCACGAAGTGCCTATGGAAGGTGCTTTGGTATTGGGGTATATATAGGGTGGACCAAAGTGAGGTTCTCCATACATTCACTTCAGTCTTCACTTCAGTCTTCACTTCAGTTGGGGCGTCAGTGTATCATCAACGACGATGACCACACCAACCACGACGACCACGACCCCCTGTTAACATCAGCTAATAACTACGTGGCAATGCTACTAGATATCGCAGACAACGCCTTTGCAGAGGGCCGGAGCAGCGTCTTTGAAGACGAAGTCGGGGCGGCACTCTATCACCTCCACATCTTCCATCAGTACGCCGCTGAGAAATGGCTAGATCACCGCCTTGATCAAGGCCCATTTTTCTTGGTCCATGGTGATCTGGAGCCTTTCAACTTGATTGTAATTAAGCGAAGACATGGAGGTCGTCTCTCTCCTAGATTGGGAATGGAGTCGTGTGGTGCCTCGCCAGTTCTTCAATCATCCATTGTGGCTCGGAAAACCCGACACTACAAAGCTGGCTTATAATTTCGCCTACCAGGACTATCTGGAGCTCTTCGATCAGTTCCAGGCCATTGTGAGGACCCGACAGCGCGAGAGATACGGGAATGAGCTGCTGCCAGACGAGTGGGTGGAGGCGAAAGTGGACAGCGGGTTCCTCGTTGCCAATGCCTTGAAAAACCAACTGATATGGACTGGTTTGCGTTTCGGTATATCAACTGGAAATGCTACCAAGGGATCAATCTGGGGGAGCGTGTGAAGGCTTTCATGGATGACGATCCAGTTCGAAAAGACCTGATTGCAAGGAAACTGCGGGAAGGCAATTCTTACAAGGCCGAGGTGGATCGACTCAAGGACACCAACTTATCTCGTAAGGTGGAAATATCAACCACATGACCCGAGAATCGGGTTGGTGGGGTTGGAAAATGGGGAAACATTAGACACGACGATGATCCCGTGCCAGGGAATGGGAAGTTGCACCGAAACGGATGAGCGACTTGTGCTCCCCGGAGGAGCTGCCCAATAATAGGCCAGGGGCCAATCTTCAAATGCTACCCTAGTTATCTTGGTGCTGCACTGTGATGTAAGACGGTAGTTTAGACTTCCCTCTTCAACGCCGAACCCCTCACGCCTGTCCATATTTCCTGGATTATAAATGTCCTTCTTCCTACCGAAGGGCGTCACAGAGAAGATTCCCTCAACATACCGACTTGGACCGACTGCCGGCAAAATGGAGGAGGCAGCGAGCGAACGTAGACCCTCCAACACCGCCCAGGAGCAGGACGAGAGGCGGTTGGCGCAGTTTGGGTATAAGCAAGAGTTGAAGCGGGACTGGGGCCTGGCGCACAACTTCGGCGTCTCCTTTTCCATCATTGTTGGTCCCTACATTCCCCCGTGATGCCCGAGTCTCCGCCTCTGACCGGTGGGCCGCTCCTAGTCCGTCATCACCGGCCTTACCACCCTTTTCTCCTTCGGGTTGAATACGGGAGGGCCAGCCGGTACGCATGGGCCGGTCTAGCTTCGGTCTCTTTCCGGGCGAAAGCCACGTACTGACGGCTCCTCCTCAGTCATGTCTATCGGCTGGATTGTCGTCTCCTTCTTCACTATCCTCGTCGCAACAGCTATGGCCGAGATCGTGTCAGCGATCCCTACCAGCGGAGGTCCATACTTCTGGGCCGCGCTGATGGCACCGCCGCGCTACTCGGCGCTCGCCGCCTGGATAACGGGGTGGTTCAACCTCCTTGGCCAAGTACACCAACCCGTCCCGTCGCGCGCCTCGGCGGGGAGAGAGAAAGTTGACCTCCCCAAATGTTGCAGTAACGACAGGCATCACGTTCGGCCTGGCCAACCTGATCGCGACGGTGGCGACGGTCAAGAACCCGGACTACGAGCCCACCCCGCCCAAGACCATCGGCATCTACGCCGCGCTCCTCGTCTCGCACGGCATCGTCAACACGTTCGGCGTGCACCTGCTCAAGTACCTGAACAACTCATCCATCATCCTGCACTCGGCCGGCGTCGTGTGCCTCTGCATCGCCGTCCTCGCCAAAGCGCCCACCCACCAGCCCGCCTCCTTCGTCTTTGGCAAATTCAACGACGGCACGGGGGTCGACGGCGCCGAGGGCTGGTCTGCCCGGGCTAGCCCGGCTTACCTCGCCTTGTGTGGCGCGCTCGTCGCGCAGTATACCCTGACTGGGTTTGATGCAAGTTACTTTATATCCAACTACAGCAATAGTAGTCGGCTAACTGACTTTGGTGACACCTCCAACAGGCTTCAGCCCACTTGAGCGAGGAGACCAGAAGGGCGGCGTGGAGCGCCCCTATCGGCGTCGTCTCTAGCGTGGGCTTCTCGGCCCTGTTCGGCTTCTTCGTGCTTATGGCATTCCTGTTCTCGATCCAGGACTTCGAGGCGACGCTGACCAGCAAGTACCAGCAGCCGGTGCTGCAGATCCTCGTGGACGTCGCCGGGGAGGACGGGGCGTTGGTGATGTTTTCCCTGATCATAAGTGAGTCACTTACCCACCCCTAAACCATCTTGCCGAGGGTTCGCATCCGACAGGGCAGTGGGGAACGGCCAGTCATCCATCTCCCCCAAGCTTGCACCACGTCGTTCCCGCTAACCCCGTCCGCAGTCTGCGTCTGGCACTGCGGCCTCTTCAGCATGACGAGCAACAGCCGGATGATGTTCGCCTTCGCGCGCGACGGCGGCATCCACCCCTTCTTCCAGGGCGTGGACGCGCGCTTCCGCTCGCCCATCCGCGCCGTCTGGCTGGCGGCGCTGCTGGCCTTCATCCTGGCGCTGCCGTCGCTAGGCTCGTCAGTGGCCTTCGCGGCCGCCACGTCCATCGCCACCATCGGCCTGTACATTAGCTACGGCCTGCCCATCCTCATCGGCCTCGTCTGGCACCGCTCCTTCGTCGCCATGAAGGGGCCCTTTGACCTCGGCCAGGCGTCGCGCCCTGTCGCCGCCGTGGCGTGCGCGTGGATCGCGTGTATCTCTGTCGTCTTCTGCTTGCCCACCGCTGACCCGGTGACGGATCAGACGCTCAATTACACTGTCGTCGCCGTGGGGATCATAGCCATCGGCGCCGGCGGGACGTGGATTTTCTGGGCGCGCAAATGGTTCACGGGGCCTGCGGCGGAGATCGTCGAGGCGATGAGGCTTGGTGTCGATGTCACCGAGCCGGGGGCGCTAGAGAGTAAGGCGCAGGAGGTGAACACCGAGACGGCCGGGCAGGGCCAGGACGAGTGAAGCGGAAGGAACCCTGTCGCCAAGGTCATGGGTTCGGTGCATGCCTGGTGGGGTGCGCGCTCTTGGGCCAAGAAGGGGATAGGATTAGACTATTGGAGTCCATTGGACAGGTCTGGAAATTCGTCGATAAGGTCCCGGGAACAATCGTAGACCTCATAAGCCATTGCCTATCCTATGTCAAATCCTTTTCACTTCCCTCCCCAAAGCTGACCTCATCTATACTGTAGCAAATAGCCTCCTTAAACAGATTCGCAATGTTGCCTATCCTTAGTCCTTACGCCCATCAGGCCTGTCTGAGAGACACTGCGTGGTGCATACCCCATTGAGATTTGTATCATACGACTTGCCTGACACATAACCAAACGAACCTCCTTCTACATAACAAAGGCGATGTATCTTCTCTATAGCAGGTAATAAATATCCCCTCTTAAGGTTATTCACATCCTTAGCCCAGCTAGTACAGCATCTGCATGTAGCATTAGTGCTACTGACCACGCAAACAGAGCGTGGGCTTCTAGGACGGAGGCTGTCAGGGCGAGGGTATGCCATGAATTGTGTGATAATGACACGACAGATATTCGCAGGTGCTTGGTGATCGCCGAAACACTTGATTGCTTCCGCAGCGGCGCTGGACAGCGGCAGGGTCGTTGGCTGGGAGAGCGGCAGGGACGGCATTAGGGTCGTCTCCATAGATGGTGATGTTACCCTCAGGTATGGCGTAGTGGTCAAGGATGAAGAGGCCACTCGCTTCGTCCCGGGGGTAGGTGACTGATTGCGCCTTAGAGCTTAGGGCAGCCAGGGGAGTAGCTAGAGTCTGGCTGATCACAGAGGCGAGAACCAGGAGGGATGCGTAGGCCAGGGGTTTGATAGCGACCATGGTGAACGGGCTAGGGCCTGGTTAGCGAGAAGAAGAAGGGGGGAGGGAGTAGAGGAGGTGGAAGGGAAGGAGGTGGAAGAGGGAGAAAGGGGAGGAATGTGGCTGACTCACCCAGATCTCTTGACTTGTCAAAGATAGGTGTCTGGTAACTGGTTGTCTGGTAGCTGGTTTTCTGGTAGCTGGTTGTCTGGTAACTGGTTGTCTGGTAACTGGTTTTCTGGTAGCTGGTTGTCTGGTAACTGGTTGTCTGGTAGCTGGTTGTCTGATAGCTGGTTGTCGGTAGCTGGTTTTTGACGAGGAAGAAAGATATGACTCGAAGACTTGAAAGGGGAGAATACTTGGGGGATCCTACAGTTATAGGTAGAATTACCCTGTCTAATCATGGGGAACATTGTGTTCTGGACCTATGTAGAGCGCTGTTAGTTGGGACACAATCTTGAGCCATGGTTGATCCAAGGGGGTTCTTCGGCAGGGCTGCGATATATGCATGCTTGTGATTTGCATTTTATGCAAAACCTACTGCCCGAAATATCAAAAGCCTACCATAGTCTTTCAGAGTACATGTTCGAGAGATCCGTTTCAATATGAAGCTATTTAACAGCTAGTTAGACTGCCTGTTGAATACCTGTAAATGGCCTTTTCGGATGCGTAACAGCCTGTTTTCCAGCAAAAATATGTGATACTTGGATGCTCTTTCCAAAATAGATTCTGCATTAGCCTGAGATAACTTCGAGAGCTGTTGCCTCGATAGGCTCCTAACATGCTTTAGGCATACTGCCGAAGGAACCCCGTTCTCCTGTATGGTGGTAGGTATTCAACACATTTCTAGAACAGGAGATGGACCGTGCTCTGCTTTAGCAACCAGCACGGGCGCTTTACCACCATTGAATTGCGTGACCGGGAAGCAAATAATTTAAGGTACCAGTACCTGCGACACCAACATCTGCAGAAGCACCCTAATAAACCACGAGGACGAAGAAAGTGAGGCCAATGGGAAGAGTCAGAATCGAGGTAATTGCATTCTGTGTTGCCTCGCGTTGAAAATGTTTGCATTGGCAATGTGGAGAGGGATCGATTGCTATTCTGTAGGTATCGACAGTCGTCTGCTCCGTACCTGCGGATCCGTTTCGCGCTAGCTTCATGTTTCAGGGGTTGGATTACACTGGAAACGGTCATTTCGTGGCCCCTGCCAAGAAAGCAAGATCGGCAAGGCACCGCCAAGTTCCCCGGACGACACACATGCTCAACCTTATTTATCCCACTCCAACGGCCTGCGACTCCCCAACATACGATTGACATCAGACCCTGCAGGCGGCTGGTAAAAAGGCGCCCGCCCAGCTCTTCCCACCCTGCGCAAGGCCGTCCAAGTCGCGTTTGCGCGACACCTCTGACAAATGGACGCGTCTCCCTGGCTCCGCTCCATCCTCGCGCGAGAAGACTGCGTCAATAACGCCAACACCAACACCTGCGAGAAGCCCGCCGCCTCCTCGAAACTCACCATCGCCATCGTCGTCGGCATTGGGTCAGTGCCTGCATAAAACCATTCCCTCCTCCCCCCTCCCAAAGCTAACACCGCAACCCCCTCCCAAAGCGCCCTCTTCGCCCTCGTAACCGTCATCGTCCTCGTCTACCTCCACTTCCGCCGCCGCCGCCTCGACCGCCGCGAAGACGCCCTGGACCACGAGCTGTCCGACTACGACGACGACGCCGACGTCATCCGTGGCCGGCCGCCCCCGCCGCCGCACTACCAGCAGCGGCAGGGCCCGAAGAAGCCCGCCGGCGCGCACCCCCGGGGTGTCGACTACTTTGAGCAGTCGGACGAGAGCGTCATCAGCGGTGGTGGTGGCGGTGGGCCGGGGAGGTCGCCGCCGCGGGTGAGGGGTGGTGGTGATGGGCAGTATGGGGAGGGGTTGGATCGGAGGTAGGGTTAATTGGCTTAAGGGGGGGAGTTGCTCTTGCTTTGCTCTTGCGGGATGGCAGGCCCGCGGGTATCATAATGGGTGAATATTGGGACTCGGGATCTCTGGGGCGGGCGGACAGGGGGCTGAACGACGGCTGAAGACGGAACAGACTGCGTGCATTGCTGAAGTATTATGGGATGTCGCGGTTGGGCCGAGACGCTGCGGTCTCGGAGCTGGGATCGAGCGGGCAGGGAGCCGGGACACCGTCAACTTGGCAGTGGCTGGGCCACCGCTGACCTGCCCGAGCTTGTCGGCTGGGCTTCGGGTTCGCCTTGCGGGCAAGGGCAGGCCCTCGGCAAACTAGCTTGGCTTGGGATGCACTTTCTATCTGCCCGATCAGCATGGAAGACGTATACAGCGATGCACGCAGGGCGTTGCCTGAGAGTGGACAGGTTCGAGTCAGGCTGCAGCCGTCGCAGCTTCAAGGGGAGGTATTGGGATACAGCCATTGCGCCGGAGTAAGAGGTTCAGATGCATCGTTTAACAGAATAATATTGTGGTAATAGGTTCTTAGCTGGGGGGGCGTTATCACTTGTGCTCTAAAATGCAAGCGACCTGTGCCCCTCATCAGCGCTGCCCAAACCCACCTCCCCACACTCTCGGACTGTCTGTAACCGTGCGGCTCGCCTCCAGGACGGGACGTCTATGTCAGGGACGTCGGTCCTGACTGCCGCCACGGCTCTCTAGCAAGAGGTTTGGGTAGTGCTCGCTGCCGAGGGGCGAGGTCTGACTCACAAGCACGAGCCGGGACCTCAACTTCAAGAAGCAGAGGCCGCAGGCGTTGGTCGTTGCCTCAAGCGGCCTGTTATCTTCCAGGTTACATTGCAGGCCGTGGAGCGGTGCTATGCCTGTAACTTGCAAATACCCGGTAACGTAGGTGGTGAGTCCCGACTTATCACCGAAATTCCCGAGCGCCTCAGCTACCTCTTTCCACACCATGTTCGCCAGCTTATCACGAAACAATATGTATTGTACATACAAAACAGACATAGCAGCCATTGGGCCGTCGAAGTGTGTAATTTATATTCTAGATAATCTCTGTCAACCATGCACCATGGAAGGAGTTTCTCCATCAAAATTTGCAGTTGCTCGATTGAAACAGGGAGATGTAGAGTATATTGCGTTATCAGCATCAAGAATGCGGAATACACTGTGTGCCACATCTTCTATCGTCATATGCATTCGACTTGTATGGCCTACACCGATTCCTACCCCGCTTCAATAGTGATAGCATCTTACACAGAAACAGAATGAAGTGGTCAAGTTGCCTGCTTGCTGCGATGGATCCTTAGCTGTGCTGTCCCGAACTTCCATCGGCGATGCCGATACTGAGGTATCTTCCAAGGTTTGCCAACTTGCACGAACGGCAGTCGATGCCGTCGGATTGCGATGGTATACATGAATGTGGGTTCGTCTCCCGCCTAGAATTCTGATCCCCTGTACAACCAAGCCCGACTATGTACGAAACTACCGGTCGCTTAATCGATTCGGCCTATCACGAGTAGTGAAAACACGTACTACGTCAGTGTGGATTCACCTCTAATACGACCTCGCTACGCCGGTAAACCAGTCCCCCGGATTCTGGAGGAAAGATAGGTACCTAGGCGACATCTCGGATGAAGCGGCGCAAACTATTGTGCTCTCACTTCACAGCCTCCCCTCATACTGAGTAAGCCGTCGGCACGGGACTCGGAGGGAGCAACAGATTTCCCAGTTGAGGGACGTGAGAGCCACTTTTCCATTGGTGCTATACATTGTAATTTGCTTGTCTTGCGAATCGGTATAAACAGAAATCCATCATGTGATCATCAGGCGGGTGCACGGCAATCAAAACCCGATTCAAACCGCTTGCACGGCACATTGCCATAGGTATCATCCATGGTCCATCCAATGCTGGGTACAGTAGGTATGCAAATATCAGATAAACCTTCGCACACCTTATTTCCATGCACGAGCTAGTCTGCTTTCATGGATGGTGCATTTCGCCAGTGCACCCGACTATGGTAGTGTATCTAAATAGAGCCACGAACCAATAGCAAGTCATGGAGAGTGGCTTTATGGAGGCTGAAATTGGAGAACCTGCGACGGCGTGGACAGTGAAAATGGCTAGAAGAAATACTGTCCATGACCGTGTCTCGCACCCACGCACGCTCGATTGCCCTGACACCTGGCCACCCCTCTTTCCGAACTTGGTCCCCTGTCCAGGGCCGCCAGGATCTACACAACTGCGTGCGTGTGGTACGACCCAATGGCACTGGTCAATGGGCAATCTAGACTCGAAGCTAGCCTCTGATGATAACCATGACGCAGTCACGCATGTGGGTGGGGGCTTCGCAGGGTTGACACGTCATGAGCCCGCCACCCTCAATTAGATTGCAGGCGATGCGGTTGCAGTGTCTCCGACTTGCAGTTGCTATTTTGTTGAAATAACCCACGATGTGCGTGCATCCATCTATGCGGAGCACAAACACACCTTTCCACCATATATCTATCTCTGTGCAGCTCAAACCCGGCGACCTAAAACGTCGATTATTCAGTGCATTCCCTTCCTCGACTCTCTGTTGATCGGGTCAACACACGCAACCTAGCATCCATGCCAAGACGGTCCCTGACTCTCAATGCCTGTACTACGTGTCGGAAGAAAAGAACAAAAGTATTTCATCCCCCTGTGGCTCCTCCTGCTCCCGGCGGCCAACCTTGCGTGTCGCGCTGACTGACCAATCCCAGTGCGACGGGGATCTTCCTTGTTCGAGGTGCAAGTCCCGGCGGGAGAAGTGCCATTACGAAGATAGAGAATGGCAGACGAAGGAACACCTGAGGTCCGAGTTGAAGAGGCTGAAACGCCAGAACCAGGACACTCAAACGGTGCTGACGGCCATACTCACCCCCAGCCAGCATGCCATCCTGCAAAGGCTCCGCGCTGGCGAGGGTGTCGAGAGCATCGCTTGGAGTCTGACCGACTCCCAGCGCGAGGCGATTCACAATCTAACAGGTGGGGGAACGGTAGACAATACACAGGACATCAGCATTGACCTCGACGATCATCTCGACCCTCTCGACCCTCTCGACCATCCAAGCCCTCTGACGGAGCCGAACACTCCACGAGCCATCGATGACCATCCTGCCACCGAGGCCTGGGCCTCGACTTGCCCGCCACCGGGCAGACCTATCCTGCCTATTGCAACAGAGACGCAACCCTTCCCGGCAAATTTCCAACTTAACAATCCCAATGCGTACTCCTGCGACTGGTACCCCCCCTCGATCGAGTCCTGCCCCGCCGTCTCCGACTTCTCCTCTACATACGCGCCAAGCCCGACTGCAAACCTCTCCCAGACCAGCCGGTCTAACAGTTATGCCTCCGAAGGCGCAGACAACACCAGCTGGACGCAGGCGCCGCACAATGTTCCCTCCGCGAACCGACTCATAGAGCTGTTTTTCGCCTGGGAGGTCGTGCCCTTCTCCATGGTCTGCCAACACCTCTTCCTGAGGGACTACACCGACGGTAGTCGTGACTATTGCTCACCGGCGTTGGTCAGCGCCATCATGTCGCTTGCATCCCTGCACCTGGCGAATGATGAAGTGACTCGGTTCGCGGAATCGTCGTCGTGGAGCGAGCGGTTTTTCCACGAGTCGACGAGCATTCTGGCTGCGGAGGGACCAGCGAGCACTCTGCCGAGCATACAGGCTCTAGGACTACTTGCCCTACGAGAGATGTGCTGCGGGCGAGAGGCCCAGGCCGAATCTCTCGTTCTGGGGGCCCTAGACGGCATTGCAGCCATGAATCCAGAAGATGCCGGCCCCGAGGGCAGAGAGAAGGACTACTATACGGCGCGAGCTATCACGTTATCGGGGGTTCTGTCTTTGTCTCGGTAAGCTACCATACCATACTCACCCTATTCTCTGGCCCATGAATCTAATAGACGCCGCAGAATGATCCATATTGTCACGAACCACCTCTCGACCTCCTCAACCTATCCGCTGCACGACGGACAGATGTACCAACAGCGGTCCATAATCCAGCAACCCGAAACTGCCCCGCGGTTCGAAAAAGGCATGCTCTTACCCTACCTTTCATGTCTCGGGATACTCCGGCCATTTCGTATTAACATTGAATCCCCCTGGTAGCAATCGAGACACTCGAAGGAATAGTCCAGCGAGTACCAGAATCGCAGTCCCCCGGCAACTTCATCTTCGGCCTGACTGAACTAGTCTACTCCCTGCTCTACCGGATCCACGGGTCCGAGAGCCAGAAAACTAACGAGCTTCCCCGCGTGTACCAGAAGTGCCTGAGCTGGTACGCGTCCGTCTCCGAGACTCTGAAAGACAGCGGCAAGCCGACGCCGTATGTCCTCTTCGTCCAGTGAGTGGCTAATTAAATATGCTCCCTTCCCGTGGGTCTTGATATTCAGGCCCGCGGGAAATAAGACGTCAGCTGACCACCCCTTTCCCAACCACAGCATATACTTCCACCTGTGCCTTCTCGCCCTCTTCCGACCGTTCGTCCACCTCCAACAACACGATGATGACGCCACCTCGTGCCCATCCCCACGCACCATTTGTGCCGAGGCCGCGCAGGCCATCCTCTCCCTGACGCAATCCTACTCCCGCCTCTTCACCCTCCGCCGCACCCCCTGCCTGATCCCCTACTTCGTCTCCGCCGCGGGGCTCATGCACCTCACCCTCGAGGCCCCGGGCCCCGGCCCGGCCGAGGCGGCGAACGCATTCGCCCCGTCGCCCGCTGCGTCGTTCTCGTCGTCATCATCGTCGTCGTACTTTTCATCATCACCGTCGTCATCCGACACCAGCGCAAGAAGAAGCAGCATCAGCACCACCGCCTCCGGAGACGCTGCCGCCGGCGACGACCTATGCGGGCTGGTCCCACCACCACCACCCAACCAATGCCCCCCCCTCTCCCAGGCCGTCCTACAGCTCGCCGGGATGGACGTCGGGCACCCCGCCGCCGCGCGGGCGGGGTGGGTGCTCCGCGACATGCGCGCCGTCGGGGCGTTTGGCGGCGGCTTGCCCTCGCCGCCTGGCGGGGTCGCTGCTCCGGTCGGTGGACACTGTTAAGACGGGGAGGCGATACGAAAGGCCTCCTCGAAACCCTAGTTCCAACTTTTTTCTTTGTTTTATATTGACTTGGAAAAGCGAAAACAAAAATAAAACGAAAAAGTTGTCTTTCTCTGTTGGGGTGCGGATCTTTGCTTTGGGAGGTGATAATTACATTCGTTGACCTCACGGTCTTGAGCGGCAATTTTTGTCTTTGGTCTTCCGTTTTTCCGCACCCCTTATTTTTCCCCCCTATGCCTTCTCATTTCCATTTTATCTTCATCTCTTGAATGTGATGAGATTTTGCGAGAACTCGAAAAGGATATTTCAGACTTTTTCAAGGAGCGTGGTGGGCCGCAGCCGAGGTGGGCTTCTCGGTGCTCTTGGAGCAGCGAAACAAGGCGAAACGAGGGTCCCGATGGATGATACGATAGGACTGGTTCTCTAAACGATGATTACGATGTTATGATTACACTTTACACCTTTCACTTTCAACTTTGTGGGGAGAGGATGCTTGGATAAACCTCCTTTAATATAATGCTCAGGGGCTCACGCTTCGAAATCAACAGACCTGTATGAGTCGATTCTAGACCTCGGTCAGTAAATAAAGTGTTTTGCCCTTCCCTAACTATAGCCACAGCGGCGAAGGCTTGGTATTAGTTAAGCAGCAAATACGTCACGCTTCCAGGATAGATTTCAACATATTCGAGAGGCTTATTTTTGGCACCTGTATGCCATTTTGTTCAGAACCGGTCCTATTGCGGATCGAGAATCGGGAAATCCCATGGCAAAGAAAAGGGGTCTGTCACCTTCGCATCATTGGAGCGAGTCCGTAGGTTGTCACCATGCGGAAATGCGTATGGATGCGTCATGGATATTCTGCCTCGTCACGACCGCGTCTTGGATAGGAAGAGAGTTCAAGCTTTACACGGTCTAGAAACTGTGGAAGACGGGTATATAACAAGCCTCCAGCTCTTGTGTCTCAGACCTGGGTTGTCAACAAACAGACATACACTTGTCCAGAAGCCCAGATATTGAGAGCATTTCTTAAACATTGCCCCTCGAAAGACACCATCACCATGCCTCAGTTCAAACCAGGACAGACGGTGACTTACAAGCCCGTCGGCGGCAAGTCTCCCCCCTCGCCCCCTCTCCCGGGCCCTTCCAAAGCCGTCCCAACCCCGCTCCCCTCCCCTCTCTAGCATACGAGCGGACTAACCTCCCCTCCCCAGGCCCCGACTCGAACACTCCCGAGTCAACCGGCGTCATCAAGTCAGTGCTGACGGAGCCCGGAGTCCAAGCCGAGCGCAACGTCCAGGCGAGCCCGGATAACCCTCGGTACGAGGTATGTCTCTCCCCCCTCCCCCTCCCCTACCCCCCCCGCCCCCTGTCTCCTCCAGCCCCCGGTCCCCAACACGAAAAGACAACCTTGACAGTTACCGGGGAAAAGGGGGGGGGGAAGGAGTTCGTTGTTTGTTAGATTGAGCTGACGCCTCTCCGCCCCCTGGCTGGCGCATAACACTAGATTGAGAACAGCAACACGGGGAAGACTACTACTGTCTACGAAGCCAACGTTCTGGGCCGTGCGTGATTCCGGTGAGGGCAAGGACATGGGTGGTGAGGTGTGGGTGGGGAGGGGCCGGTTGGGAGCTAGTGTGACAGTACCTAGGTAGATATATGTAGATACAACGTAGAGGCAGGCAATGTCGGACCTGGTGAGGAGCTCGAATGCCAAGGAGCGATCCAGCCCTGCAGATAGTCAAAACAAAAAAAGAAACCTTGTGGCATGATCTGCGTGCGTGCGAATCTTGTGGAACGCGCCTCGCCGGGTTCCGATGGGATGGGTCTGGGAGGAGGAGCGGGGGAGGAGGCGTAATTAGAATCTCACCATTGGAAAATGATACCAAGGTAGGTAAGCTCGCGTTGGAAGAGGCAGGACCACAAGGGGGTCCGAGCAAAACAAGCACTAGCTAGGCGTTAGACTAATGCGGGTTAACTGGGTGCATGGTGTCGGCGCTTGAAGACCGGGTCTGACTGCCGTTGCAGTAGGAAGCTGTTGACAAAGCTTGGCAAAGCCATCAATTATTAATCGTTTATGTGGAGCAGAGATGGAGGCATCCATCCATGGCTGGGTCTGCGAGTCAGATTAGTTGGTCGAGTAGGTGGTGACAGGCTGCCAATGCGTGGAAATCCCGTGGACAGCCGATGGAAGCCCCTTTTCGCCCCTTGATCTGGAACAGGCCATGTGTTGAGAGATAGCAATAGATGGATGAGCAGGTTGATGGATGGTATCGACTCTGGGTGCCCTGCCAGGGGTGGGAAGATGAAAGCCTGGGAATTGATTGGCTGGCTCCCCAACTCCTTCGCAGCATCTCCCCTCGCACTGTCGAGCACAGTGCGCCATTTAAAGATGACCCTGTACTGTGGTAAGATCCAGTCAGATTTTAGCTTGGCAAGGAACCGACCCCTTGGCTTCTGATTGGAAGGAAAGGTGGGACACCTTACTCAGAGTGACGAGAGTGTCACGGTTTCCACCAGAGCATATGGAATCCCGCCATTTCTGGGCTTCTACTGCCAAATGCGGGCATGTGATATTGATAATGCGTCTATTAATATCTATTAGTTGCATATCTGTCTCTGAATCTCGCGGAGATGGTATGATTCAATCTTTGGGTGTCAGGAACTTCGGCTTCCTACTTTCCCCCCTGAGGAACCAGAATTGTCGGTCTCGCCACGGGTTATTGAGGGGGTTACATCGCCAAGTGATAAGCCACTTAGACCTGCAACCAGGCCAAGAAGGGAGATAGCCAATGAACTAGAATTGCTTGATTCACATGGTTGCTCACACAAAGAAATGGGCGGAGAGAGGCATCGAACGGAGCTATTGAGGCTACTGCGGTACTAAACGATCCCTGCCTGTTAAGCAAGTTGATCAACGCTGCTAGTTAGTTTCGACTACCATAGTGGGATGGAGTACGCCTATTCCATCCTACCTCCTTAGACCCGAAGAACCTCAGAATCATTTCACCACGCACAGGGCTTTCTCACCGGTTTCCTTTTTAGCGGAGGCCGAGCTCCGAGGAAGAGAGACTAATTCCGAAAGGACTGTTGGTTTGCAATCCCGCTTCAGCGGCACACCATCCAGACTAGTGCAGTAAGGAGGGGCGAATAGATGCGGATCTGTGGAATTAAAGAGGTTACGGGACGGGAAAGATGTGGCAAAGTTGGCAGTACAACTCTTGCGCGAAGCACCTGCATTTGCATTTATTTACTTGATCTATGAGATGCTGTTGGTAGCATCGGTTTTTTCCATACCGGAAAGAGGTAAGGGGGTCTCGTCCCCCGCTTTCCCAGTTCAGACACAAACGGATGGAGAAGCCTGGCTTGCCAGGATATGCTTACCCAAGTGATTCCTTGCTTCTCCTCTATCCTGCCTCTCTCAACCCCTCCCCAAGCTACAGATTATCACCATTTACGGTCTACCTCATATAACACCTTTCCAAGCACGTACCCCACACGCCATTCCCCTCTGCGAATGCGTCTAATTGGAAAGTTACGACATGCAAACCTCGGGCTCCGGATATGCTGTAGTTATTAAATCGCAGTGAGCACGACGTCGGCCAAGCCATGCCAAGCCTTGGAGAGATCCGGGCTGGCAGATAGGGTTCGCTGGCGGCTGAGTCGACTAACGCAATGGAGCAACCGGGTCCCGGCAAGAGAAGGACCAAGCACCCTCTAATTAATTAAAGCCCTCCCGTGTACGCATATGTACAATCCATATAATTTTCAGGACTGGAAAACCGACTTGGCTGCCATAATGTCGTTCCACACAGGCCTGTCATAGTCACTTTTGGAGCCCGGCTGACCTACAGCTTTGCCAGATTCTGTCCCCTGTAATACTCGAGCTCGCTTATTAGACACCGTCTCAGCCAAGGGGAGCCGGGGAAGATCCATCAAGACAGCCCGCGCAAAGTCGATCATCATGACCCGACGAGTCTCGCGGCTCCACAACGTGTTTGGCATCCGGACGTCCGTGTGCACCACCTCCATTGCATGCAGCCTGCGCACAGACCTGACGACTTCCCGCTCCGGGTTTCCCCCAATGGCGTCCAAGGCTCCGGCCTCGTCCAGGTTGTCCCCGGCCCACGAGAGAAACATCATATACACAATCCGGACCCGGAAGTCGTAATAGTAGACCCGCGAAATATCACGCAGATCATTCGCGCCGAGGAAGACGGGGACGCAGACGCCTTGCAGAAGCTGGAGCCGATGATAAACAGCAGCCTCGTGCTCAAGGTCTTCCACAAAGATAGGGACTGTGCCTTTGCTGACAAAGGTGTAGCCATGTGCAAGCAGCGTGACCTGGAATACGACTTCCCAGGCCCCTTGCTTCCCGATGCAAACCACCCCGCTGTCTAGTGTGCGCCTGAGCTGCTCGCGGAGAAGTCGGAGCCATTCGGCATGGTCGACGGGATGACAGACGCCACCGCTCTCGCCTCGGTGGAGAGCGACATTGGGGCACTTCTCATCAAGCAGACCTCCTCCTACCAGTCCTAGAAGGCATTTCTGCGTGCAGTATTGGCTGCCGAGACTGCTACGGCAGCGCGAGCCCTGGCTGCTGCCATCTCTGCGCGGCCGCGCGGCTAAGCCCCGCTGGCCGCGTCTGCCACCCTGGCCACTGTTCCTCGGCTGGCTCGGGGTCGGGGCACCTGGCAGCATTTGCGTTGAGGACGACTCCTCGTCGTCGGATGGTTCTGGGGACCGATTGCCGACTGACGCTCCTCCTGACCACGGTCTTGCCTTTCTCCTAGCGAACCAAGAGCCATAAGGCTGAACGCAAGGACCTCGCCTACAGCAGTGCAGTAGCGGAAGTATCTGAATGTGCCAGTACCTCTGGGCCAGGCTCAGCCAAGTGGTAGTAGAGTATGCTTGAGCCAGTCCAATCGATCTTGAGAAAGACAACCGTCTCCCCTGTTGTCAGAAGGCTATACTCGAGTCCGCCTTCTATCATGTAATGGAACATTTGTGTGACTGCTGCTGCTGCCAACCTGTCTGCGTGATACTGAATCAGTGACTCTAGGTCTTCTGCCGTCAGTCGTGTAGCTCGATTGACAACCTCCTTTAGATGTCCATTGGGCGGAGCCCGAAGCAAAGGTGCGGTGCAGTCAGCTTATGTGGTGCCTTATACTCAACAATATAGGCCATCCTCCGTCCTGCCAAAGACCTGTCGTCGTATTTGTAGACACAGATCTGATCTGGTCGGAGCTGGTTGAGGTCTGGCTGGGTCTGGGCTGGCGTGTTTGGCAGCAGCAGCAGAGCTGCAAGCCGCTCCACGACTTCCTCGCCGATGTCGTTTATGGCATTTGGATGGTTTTCAAAGACAATGCCGTTGCCGATGTCGAACTCGTTCCTCACCCCGTCCTCAGCCCCAAGGCGGTCGACAATTGGCCTCACTGGATCCTCTACGCTGATGTGCTGGAAATACTCTAGAGACTTCTCATTCGTCACTTTCTTCTTGGAGATTCTCTCGCCCAGGCCCTGCAGAAAATTCCGACTCTCAAAAGCCTGGATTTGGGCAGGGAACTTGGAACAGAGGACCCCAAATGTAGTCCTCTGTTGTTCCAAGAGGTCCGTCCAGGGCAACAGACGTGCTGGACACAGCTTATGTTGTGGATTGGTGATGGACCCCTTCGATGTGAGACTCTTGTCTGTCTCAACCACAAACTTTGTAAAAACAAGCTCATGACAAGCCTCGATGTACTCGTCCAATGTCGTATGGCGGGTTTGCTGCTCCGCCTCCTTCGCGCGTTGTTCCGCTGCACGCAAGAGGCTTTCGAGTTCTTCGACAGTCCTTGGATTCTGCATTTCAGGGATCACGCGCCATTATCGACGTTGGTTAAGGACGGACGGCGACGCGGTCTGAATTGTTTATCGAAAATGAAACGTCGTCAGTGATTGGTGCGATTACGATGGAGAAGAGGGGTAGATGGGTTCTATGGTATCGTGCAAAAGTTTTACCCCCTGTCAGGTATCGAACCGCGCACTAAATCGACCAGGGATACATGACCCACTGGGCAAACTTACCCATTACACAGTAATCCGTACATCCATACCCGACTGCCCGTCATTTATCTTGGCAAATTGGATGTAATTCCACCGAAGCAAAGCTGGATGAGTGTTCCACCTCGAGCAATTAGATGTCCAACCAGTGGTGGATGGATTGGAAAAAACACAGCCTCTAATTATGGCCTAAATGTCCGAACCAAGATTTAGAAAATGATCTCGGATCATGCCGACCATGGCAGTGGAGGGCATAACCAGGCTGTTTGTCGGCGATGGCGTATGTAGTATAAATGGTGGCTCGAAGGCTTACACCATTTGTTTGTTTCGCCGATCGACGATTTTATCCATATTTGCCCTCTCCTAGCGGCGACGAACCGCTTTGCTCCTTAAATTGAGCCAGCCCATCTGGTTCCCTCCCCGCATTACTTCATCATATCTTCGGACTTCCCCAGTGGTTCACAGAAAATCGTCCCTGAATCTGTGATGGATTTAATCAATCCCTAATAATAGGCTGCAAAACAAGCTTACTAGTGCTATACCCTTGGCCGATTAACAATCCTCGAGCTCTCGCTGGTCGGTCCGGAGGGCATGAGCTGGTGGGGGGAGGGGGAGTGGAGGGAGGAGACGGGACGACGCGTGCGATGGCGCTGATCACGATGCATATAAACCTGGAAATTTCCCGACCAAGACGCGCCTAGGCACACAGGTCATCGAACCGTTTCCCGGATCGACATTACAGCCATGGGTCTCAAGGAGATTGCGTTGCTCAGCGCGGGCGTTGTGGGGGCCCTGGCTAGAGGGGTCCCCGTCGAGAGAAGGCAGCAGTCCAAGTACTGTCCGGGAGGGACACAAGTCTGCTTCTCGGAATACCTCACGCCCACGGACGACATCACGCTCAGGATTGCGATTCCCGACGTCTCCAGCGCCCCCTTTGACATCCTGCTCCAGATCATTGCCCCTGTTTCCACTACCGGATGGGCTGGGGTGGCCTGGGGCGGCTCGATGACCAATAACCCGCTCACGGTCGCTTGGCCAAACGGAGATAGCGCAGTTGTGTCGTCGAGATGGGCAACGTAAGTGACTTTCTTCTTCCGGGTCCGTTTACGCTGAGCGGAGGTCGCTGACAGTCATCCTGTCAAGTGGACATTCTCGACCGGCGGCCTACGAGGGAGCCACATACCAGGTCCTGCCGACCTCGGTCACCAACGCCACGCATTGGCAACTTGACGTGCTCTGCACCGGCTGCAGCGAGTGGCAAGGCGCATCGTTGGACCCCAACGGGGCCAACAAGCTTGCCTGGGCCAAGGGTTCCGAGGCCGTGACCACGCCGTCGAGCAATACTAGCGCCTTCGCATACCACGACGGCAAGGGTAGCTTCTCGCACGATCTCAGCGCGGCCAAGATCCCGAAGGACGTCTTCGATTCACTCGTGAGCGACTCCAGCAACGGAGGGGAGGCCCCAACTGCCGAACCGTCCAGTACCCCTGAACCGACGACCCCTGAACCCACAACAACCAAACCGATAAAGACCCTGCCGCCAACCACAGAACCAACCAGCGAGTCACCAACCAGCGAGCTGACAGCCACCAGCCCAGCGAGGACCACACCCACTCTCCAACACCCAACAACCTCGCTCAACATCACCATCACCAGCAACCTCCCAACAAGCAAGCCGACACCAACCTCCACCGCCGAAATAACCAAGCCGACAACCACCCGGCGGACAACAACAACAACAACAACCACAACCTCGACACTAGTAACAACGACGAGAAGGCCAACGACGTCACGACCCATAACAACAACAAGAACGACCAACCTCCCCGACGAACCCCTCACCACCATCTTCGTCACATCGACCATCACCGCCACGACGGTCATCACGTGGGACATGGCGCCGACTGAGGTTGCGTCGTCCGTGACGGTGTGGACGTTGGTTCCGCCGCCCGTCAGCGGGGTGACTAGGCCCACTAGGCTGCCGCCTGTTAGGAGGCCGCCGCCGCATCGGAGGCCACCGGGTGAGGAGGAGTGAGGGGGGTGATTGGGGAAAGGGGAGGGAGACTATGGGATGCCAGCAGGCGGGCTGGTGAGATGTTTATTCCTGTGGCTTTGTCGCTGTCTAATTTGCTAATTTTGAAGCGAGGGTTTTCGTGGTGATTAATGGTGGCCTGTGCCAGAGGGTCGAAGTTGTGTTACGTGGGCTATTCGCAGGCGAGTTACAAAGCATCACATGCAAGGGGAAAATAAGGGGCCTTGTTGACGACATTGTGGCTCTCTCCATGGCTCTATATAAGGTCGAACAGGTTCTTGCTCTTGTGGTCATGTTCTCTCAATCAGCATCCGGAAATAGCAGGTTGAGGGGAAGCTTCTGCTTCTATCCCCAACATCAGCGTCGACGAGATGGCCATCATCATCTGGCTCCCAGCATTTACACACGGTCCGTCCTACTCCACGGCTTCATGCTTCAATCGGCAGGGTGTTGTAGTCAAAAGGAGAAGCCAAGCAGGTTTTGCATGGGGGTCTAGAAAAGAACCCCTAATAACGACCCGGTTTCAATCTTAGCCTTTTGCAGCAACTCTAACTGGGGTGGCAGAATAAAGCTCCCAGGCATCGCCACAATCAACACACCGTGCACACCCCCCACCTAGGTGACACATTGGTTGTAGTAAATGCTGCAGCCTCAGATGAGAAATTCACCAAAGGCACATACAATGGAATTCCAACTCGTCATTTATCATAGGGCTGGCTCTGTGGTGTAAACTGCCGTATTTTTAGAATGCGTGGGCCTCGTCACCCGGGGTAAATTGCTCACCGATATTGCAGCCCGGACCGTAATCCCCCATACGGCGGGAAGGACGTTAGAAGTGCCGATATTGCGAAACTGTATGGAAATGGTGTGGGGATTTAACAACCCGGATATCCCTCTCGGTCAATCGGTCACTTCCACCAGATCCTTCCCGTCTCTCCTCCGCTCTACCTTTGGCGAAACGGAGCATCTTGTAATCCTGTACAATACAATGAAAAGCATCGGGCCATCACCAAAACCGACGCTGCAGTCAGGCTAATCAGGATGCAGTTGACGAAACTCCTCCCCATCCCATTAATCCTCGGCCATGCCGTCGATCTAGCAGCCGGGATCCCAGCAAGCCCCCCCAAGTCCGCTGCTCTAGCCCCGGTAACAGTCGCAGCGGCGTATCCAACCACGACCACCAAGATCTCAACCACCACCAAGAGCTCGACCACGGTGATCCAGTTCATAAACCCTCGGGTGGTAACCATCTTCACCATCATAACCGCCACCACCCTCATCCCAGGCCCCGTGACGGCCCTCCCCGCCACCGTCGTCGAGACGGTCATCTCCCACATCACCTTCGAGTACCGCACCAGCTACTCGGACAGCGGCCCCAGCACCTCCGTCTCCACGGCCGTCATAACCGTGCCCTCGACCTGGATCGTCGCCCGGCCGCAGGCCACCGACCTGGCGGCGGGCACGTCGGCCGACGCGCTGCCGTGCGACGACAACAACTGCGCCGCCGCCGCCACGAAGGCCGCGGCGGTGGCGGACCCGCGGTGCGACGCGCTCGGCCTGGAGACGGGGTGCCAGGGCCAGTGCGAGGAGCGCGACGACGGCGACGGGGGCGCGTGGTGGTGCTACCAGCTGTACGTGGCGGACTACAGCGAGGCGAGCCTGCGGATGGGGAGGGCATGCTGGGGCGGGGGCGACCGGTACGAGCAGCTGAACACCCCCTGTGTCGCGGGCGATCATAAGGTGGCTTGTACGCCGTGCCAGGGCCTGGATAGCTCGTGGGGGGCGCTGAATTGGACGGGGCCTGCTGATAACCCCTGAATGGGCTGGGCATCTAGATCCGCAGGGTCCTGAGCCGAGGGAGAAAAGAGTGTCACGGGGGCTTAGGGTTTGACGAGGGGTGATGGCAACACGTTTTACTAGAGAGTCATTATGCTTCCTCTAATGCTTGGGGTAATGGGTGATGAATAATTGGTCCGCGATGTCAAGATACGTCAATCTGTGTGGAGATATGTTCTGCTCCGCACTACCTGCTGCCATTGCAGTCGAGAACACGAGAAATAAAACGAAGGTATTCAACAGATAATATAACCGAAAGATGTCCATCCATGTGCAACCACAGTCCGCGCCTCTGGTCAGTTCCAAACCGTGCCTATGCACAAGACCAGCTCGATGCCCTGTTGACATTCCCGCTCCCATACTTCGCCCTCAGAGGATAAGGACAGATCGGCCGCGTTCTGTACACCGACCCATCTGCATTAAATGCCGTCGCAATGATTTGGTCAACGGGCTTGTCATTCTCCACCCACTGGACCAAGGCCGCCAAAGCGTCGTAAGCAGGGTCGCCCAGATGTCCAGGAACAGACCATCCATCGCCGAATGCGGGCAGACCGACGCCGAGAGTTGGGAGCAACCTCAGCTGTGTCGCCTGGCTCGACCCCCCAAAGTCCCACGGTGCGTTGTACCGGTTGCTGAAGAAGCAGTGCTGCATGCCGGGCACCTGGAAGAAGCGGAACCAGCTTCGAATGTCGCCCAAGTTTGTCCCCATCGCGGCTATGGTCTGATTGTAGTACTGCAGGGAAGTCCTCGGCGAGATAAGCCCGTCAGCTAGGCCGTGGTACATCAGGATCTTGCCGCTCTTCTTGCCGGACCGGTCCCTGTAACCAGAAATGTCGAAGTGATCTGCCGTTGCCAGGCCGGGGTTGACTCGCTCGGAATCCGCCACCACCTGGTCGTTGTAGTTCTGCCACGCCCAGTTCGTGTTATTGTAGATGAAGTTTCTCTCGTAGCTGAAGTCGAAACCTTTCAGTGTGTTTGTGTCGCCAAAGTAGACAGCCCACTGGTCCTCCGAGCTGAGGCCGAACCCGTGGCTTACCAGCTTTCCTGACACGGTGTAGTCGCCCCAGATTCTCATCGCCGCCTGCGCCTGTCCGGCTGTGAGACACCTAGTAGGATCTGAGCACACGATGCGGCTGATGTTGAATACGCATGATTCCGGCTGGCTGATGATGTTGTCGGTTAGGCCGTCCTGGGGGTCGCACTGGCTCAGGACCTCGGCAGCAAGAACCGAGAATTGCTGAAGACCAAGAATGTCGCCTGGGTTTCCATTCAGCTCATCAAACGCGACTTTGGAAATCCACGGCATGAGATGCTTGGTGTCCCAGGCCGCCGAACCGATGAGAGCGCCATCAAAGCTGTCCGGGCTATACTGGATCTCTCTGAGGCCCTGTCTGCCCCCGGTCGAGCAGCCGGCGTAGTAGGAATAAGCGAGGTCCGCGCCGTAGTAGTAGCTGGTTAGCAGCTTGCCGACCTGCACAGAGCCGTGCATCGCTCGGTAGCCCCAGTCATACAGCCTCGCAGGCGTCGCCCAAGACATGTCGCTTCCGTTGGAGTTGTGCCCGTTATCTGTTGATATTGACGCAAATCCGTAGTGTGGGCCTTGGCCCATGTCGGGCCAGTTGATGCCACCAGCAAAAGACCCGCTACCTACGGTGAGGATTCTAGAGTTCCAGTTTTGAGGAGTGGGAAGGAACAGGCCGAAACGGTAGTCCGACTGGGGCTTTCCCGGCAAGTCGGATGTGTTTGTGACCTTGACGGTCACGGCGCAGAGCTCGGGCAGAAGGTCGATGGTTTGAGGAAAGCCCTTGTCGTTCGGGTCGCCGTATGTTCCATTTCGTGGGACGTGGTCTGCTTTCTCAATACTGACAGTGACCCCTGGGAGAGAGACGACGCCAGTGAAAGCCCGAGTAGTGCATTGCACGGCCTGTCGAGTTCGCTTAGCAGTTGGGCCAGCTAGGATGCACCCGACAAACAGAGCTATTTGCAACGAGATGGCGAGAACAGCCATTGTCACCAGTGGTGTCCTAAGAATGTATGCGGGTTAATTAAAAATGATGCAACTAAATATACCAGAGCTTCGGGACCGCGTAGATATATTAATAAGATAACGACCCCAAACCCGGTTGCTCCCCAGATCTGCTCGGCACCCTTGTTGCACTCACCTTAGTGTCCAATGCTGCGCCCATCCCCGCGTGCCGCGGTCTGCTGGCACATCTCGACGTTGAGCTTCCTCAACGAGTCGACGATCCTTCCTGGCTGACATGCTCTAGGACGATGCTTATGCGCAGGTAAATCAGTGAGGTGGAGAGGGGCTACTGCCTTGTTGGGCGGCGTAACTGGCCCCCAGCCACGGCAGAGGATGCACGCTCAGGCTCGATAGCTCAGCTGTCGATGCAGGATTGGGAATACTGCAACCTTCTTCCCGCCAATCTGGAGCCGTTCGATTGGGCCGGGGTGGTCAGCTGCGGCCGCCGGACTGACGTCTGGACGTCACGAACGGCCTCCAGATGGGAGCGGGCAGGTCTAGAAACGACACTACGCAGATGCATAGCCTCATGGGTACCATTCACGTCGCGTCATTGGGTTTCGTAACGAATCAGAGTTGGAGATCTTGACGTAGGTGCGAATGCGGGGATTCAATATTACTTGCTCAAACCGGAAGGTGAAAAGGAAAAGGTGCAAAGAGAAAGGCAACCAAGCACGACGGGAGGCAGAGAGAGGCTCAAGAGAGTTACATTTTTTGGGACTGATTCGGGAGGTAGTTGTGTAGTGTACGTAGCTTGCAAGAGAATGGGTGAACTGACCAGACCACCTGACTAGGCAGCAGGGGTTAAGCGAGGTACATGTACATACGTGTACACACCGTTGCATCCTATTTTAATCCGTTCCGTCCTCCTTTACTATGTCTGGTCACGTGATAGGAAGGGACGGCCTTGATTATGAGAGCGAGGTCGAATTCTGTTTCATGGATGCAGTTTCATTCTAGGCAGAATAGCCTTGATAAATAGTCGGTTACAATTTGCCTAGCAGTATTGCCAAGAGGCAAACCTTGAGGGGAATAGAATGGTCTATGCAAGTTGGGCTATGATATGTGCTTGCGATTCTGAGAATAGGCATCTTCCTGCCAAAGTCTCAGCATAGAAGCCTAGGTAGCGTGTAATACTTCAGGCTTGCATCTACCCTGCGTCTATACCCTATGGAAAAGCTATGCTTAACTAGTCCTAGTAGATCCCCTGTGGCGCGTAGGCAGGGGAGGCTATAAAAGCAGTAATTTGATATGGTCCGTGTAGAAAGTGATGATGTATTAAGAAGGGGAGCTGTAGAAGAAGGCAGGCAGGGTTTGACTGCCCTGCACTTGCGCACAAGCCAGGGTCCTGAGGAATTGGGGAGAAATACGTCTTTGGTAGTGCTTTACAAGGTCTTCTGGCGTATAGCGTGTAGCTGCTGCGCTACACTGCATGCTTGGCTGTATGGAACATTTGAGTCCATTGGTGATACCGGAGTTATGTGTTTTGCGACTCCTCGTCAGGGGCAATGTCACGGATGGCCCCTGTAGCCCCATAGGCACGGATGCGGCGCTTCATGTATTCATGATCTAAGATGCCCTGCATAGACTGGAAGGCGTAGTTAATAAAAGGTTCCTGCCTGCTAGTGAATGTGGCATTGTAGGTCTCACATTCTATATAGTATGTGGAAGGGTGTAGAAGCTAAGCCAACAAGTTAAGTCTTGGCCCCTGCCAGCAGCTTCTGAACATTTGGAGTGCCGGCGACAAAGGTCACATCCAGGTCACTTTGTGTGATGCTCTGAAAGTGTAAGTATGATAAGACAACTAGAACAATCATGTCACGGCGATCTTAGATAACCCAGCTCTGGTGGTGTTTTTTCTTCTTTCCAAACATGATATGGCATGGCAATCCTAAAGCAAACAAAAGAAGCATCAGTATCGCAACGCCAGAATAATATTCACCAACACCTTGACATTACAAGAGCATTCACTAGCCATCTGCTCTCCTAAGCAGCCGAACCAGAAGAAACATCATCATGCATCTCCAAACACCATACTTCACGTCCAGAACTGTATCCTGCTACGTGGATCTATCTCTGAGAGCCCAAGACATACACCTCTTAATTCTAGACAGCTAGCCTCCTACACCTCCAACTCTGCTCTACCCTTTCTCTCCCTCTGCCAGACCATCACCAAGTAAGCTTCAGCTCACAGCCAGCTCACCCTCGACTCGCATTGCTAACCAGTCCCTAGAACACCCATGGCGATAGAACTCAAGCGCCGAGTCACAACAGCAGCCCAAGCAGTCTCGCTCCTATCCCGCAAAGCCACCGACAAGGCCACCTCAGCCCTCCACACCCTGGGGCAGCTAGGCGCCAGAGTAGACGGCACGATCAGCGACCTCCTCCGATCAAGCAACCCCCTCACCGGGAAGCAGCACCAACCCTTCTCCCACGACCAACAACACCACCAACACCACCACCACCAACAGTCCAGACCCGACGCTAACCACCCCCAAACCGACGACGACGAAGACGACAACACCTCCCTCCCACCCGACGCGCGCGGCATCGTGAGCCCCTCGGCAATATCACTGAACAGCAGCGATGATGAAGATTGGGACGGAAGCGAGGGCCTGTCGGGGCAGTGGGACGAGGTGCGGCCGGAGGAGGGGCTGAGCAGGCGCGAGCGCGCGGCCGCGCGGCGGAAGCGGAGGGAGGACGACGCGCTGAACAGGGACATATCGCGGCTCGATAGGCTGTTCGGGTCAACAGCTGCGGGGTCGGGTTCGGGAGCTGTTGCGTCTGCGGCGGCGAGGGTTGTTGGGGAGGGGGTGGGAGGGGGGCGGGGACGAGGAGGCAGGGGGAGGGGTCAAGGGGGGGAGGAAGTGAAAGTCCTGAGGGGGTGCGGGGGGTCGGATAGGGGGTCTAAAGGTGCGGCATGGCAAGCAGTACCGTAAAGTACTCAAAGGTACGTTCTTGGGTATTTGGGTGTTGTTGGGGTTTGGTCTGGCTGAACATGAACAGGGGCACAACAGTGGCAGCTTATACCCGGCGTTTCACCTTCCAATATCACAACCTCCTCGTCACGAGAGAACGAAGACGATATTGCGGGCTCAATAACTTGGACGCGCGATTCATCTGGTTCGAAAGGGTTGGAGAATGTCGCGAGACCCTTCATCACAGGTGTTCAGGTCGGTCCCCGAGGAATGGTCGTGTTAGTTTGGCTATGCTGATCGGAGGAAAGCATGGTCTTTAAAATCGTCGACACGGCTCTCCATAGCCCAATCCCTGCCCAATACGTGACGCCTCCAAGAGGGAGAGAATGAATAATTCTAAAATAGCAGAAGCCCTTCCTGGCTGCACAGGCCCAACCCCTCTCAAGTTGAGAGGGGAGTGGCGGCGGGGGTTGAAAGTCTCAACCCCGCCGCCACTCATTAGGCAAAACCATGCCCATCTCCGCAGGCGCAGCCTCGACAAAGCCGTTCGCAAAGTACAGCCTCCGACCCGGCGGGTCAGCCAGCAGGCTGACATAAGGGTCGCCCTCGGGGGCATGCTCGCGGATCCGCGCGACCAGCTCGGCGAGCACGGCGGCGCCGAGGCCGCGGCGCTGGTGCCCCGGCAGCACGGCCATGTCGGCGACGACAAAGTACCACGCGCCGTCGCCGACCACGCGGCCCATGGCCACCGCCGCTTCCCCGGCCCCGAAGGTCACGTAGCAGCCGTACCAGCTGCCCGAGGCGACGGCGGCGGCCTGGGATTCGGTGACGGGGGTTAATCCCGAGGCGGAGCGGAGGTGTCGGTACTCGGCTACGGGCGGGTAGCCCGTGTGGAGGGTGTATCCCGGTGGCAGGCTGGGGGTTGTGGTTGTGGTTGCCATGTTCCGGATGATGCAGGCGGGGTTGGATGGGGTTGTGAACGGATGTTGTTCTAAGCGAGCACGGCGACGGGAGCTGAGCGACGGAAAGGACACTTGAAGGCGGGGTTCTGTAGGAAGGCATGTACTCCTTCAAACCAGTGGAGGGGTGCTGTGGCTGCTGATGGTGCAGCCACACTGTAGATTTATTCTCTGGGATTACTGAGGAGTCGAGGACCCGTTCCTGGAAGATCTGCAGGGACCGAGATCCACATGATCCAATCTCGCGGGGCATCTTCCCATTCCGCACTTTCCCAGACCAGACGATGCTCGAGGAGGCGACCAAAACCTCGGCGGACGCGGACGCGGCCGAGATCCAGCGCAATGCCGCAATCGTCTACAACTACCACCGCATGGGGATGCCTCTCCGGAAAGCCGACGCCGTGTTCGCGCTCTGCAGCCTCGACACGCGGGTAGCCGAGCGGGCGGCGCAGCTGTTCCTGGACGGCTACGGCGCGCACCTCATCTTCTCCGGCGACGTCGGGGCGCTGACGGCGGGGCGGTTCTCGCGGCCCGAGGCCGAGGTGTTCGCCGACATCGCGCGGGCCATGGGCGTGCCGGACGAGCGCATCATCGTCGAGCCACGGGCGACCAACACGGGCGAGAACGTGCGGTTCACGCACGCGCTGCTGGGGCAGATGGGGCTGCGCCCGCGGTCGCTCGTCCTCGTCCAGAAGCCGTACATGGAGCGCCGGACTTACGCCACGTTTGTCAAGCAGTGGCCCGACCCGACCACCGAGTTCACCGTCACGTCCCCGCAGCTGGCCTTCGAGGCGTACCCCAACGACGAGAACCCGAGAGACCTCGTTATTAACGTCATGATCGGCGACCTGGCCCGGATCCGGGACTACCCCGCCCTCGGCTTCCAGATCCCGCAGGACATTCCGGATCACGTGTGGGAGGCAAGCCGGTATCTTATTGCTGCGGGCTACGACTCACACCTGCCACGATGACCGGGGGACAGGAGTGCGCATGGGAGGAAGTTCGGAATGTTTGTTGCTACCTATTATAAGTATGAACTGAGAGCAAGATGCCCCCTAATAGCTGTTAGACCCAGTCCCAAGCCACGCCACGCTTCGTGTCAACGCCTCCCGCTCGGGGGCCTGATGCAAATCGAACCAAAGACGGGGGAAGGAAGTGTACCATGTCTATGATGAATGCTTTGAGGAAAATGAGTATGCAGAAAAAGAAAAGAGGGTAACCCAAAAAGCAAAAAAAAACTCCTTCGTGTCCGGCTGCGCTTTCTCAACCTCTCTCGGTTTCAGCAGCAGCAACAGCAACCTCTCAGAGAAACCCCGAGCCAGCGAGCCAACTCTTAATTGCCCTGTACAAATACAGACCCCCTTCCTCCTCCCACTCCCCCTCAGTCGTAGCTCATCCACCCCCACATCCCCATTGCCGACGTCAGGATCACCATCGTCAGTATCGCCGCACCAGCCTTATCCCCCGTCGTGATCATATTCTGCAGCTTACTCTTCCTCCCGTTCCCCGCATCCGGATCCCCCCGACTAATGCCCCCCGTCTTGTTCGTAGCCGGCGGATCCGCCTCCTCGATCAGCAGACTCGACACCGCCGCTAGGACATTCATCTGCTCGCCGGCCCCGCTCGTCTTATCGACAGCCGGGTCGACGAACACGCCCCCCGACCAGTAGAACCCGCACCGCCGGCCCGTGTCTCCGCCCGTGCACTGCCGCACCGCGGCGGCGGCCGAGTCGGCCAGGACCGGCAGGATGGCGGCGCGCGTGAAGGGCGCGATCTGCGTCACCACCGACAGCCAGCGGTGCACGTAGCCCTTGAAGGTCAGCATGTCGGCCGTGCAGGCGCCCTTGCGGCCCTCGCACGGCATCTCGAAGGCCGTGTTGTTGGGGAAGAAGTCGCGCAGCATCGCCTCGGTTAGCTTCTCGACGCGGTTGCGCCACGTGGTTGAGCCGTTGGTCTGTTTTGTGTGTGTATGCATTAGTGGACTGGTCAAGAAGACAAGGGGGGTTGGGGGGACGACGTTGGGAGAGGTAGGGGGAACTCACGTAGTTGTACATAAAGGCAGAGCCGTGCAGCAACAGGGCTGCGTTGTACGAGAACTGGGCCTTGTTGATGTCGGTGCAGTTGTGCTCGACGTGGCCGCCGTCGTACACCTTCCAGGTCTGGTGGTCGATGTACTTGACGTTCCAGAGCCATTCGAACGTCTCGGTGGCCCACCTGGCGTAAGTCTCGTTGGCCGTGTACCGCGCCAGGCGAGACCCGAGGTTGAAGAAGCAGGCGTTCGCGATGGCTGCGAGGTTGGCGTCGGTTGGTTAGCTCAAAGAAGCAAGGGAAAGGAGAATGGTGGCCATGGCCAGGCACGCACTATTCTTGTAGTTGTACCCGGCATTCGTGGGCGGGATCTGCCACCTCAGGCCGCCGTTGCAGGTCTCGTCGTGCCTCTCCTCGCCCGTCTGGGTGTTGAAGACGGCCTGGGCGAGGGCCAGCCACTGGGGCTCCGTGTCGGGCGGGTTCGGGAACTTCGTCTCGGCGGCGAGCATGGCCGACATGCCCCAGAAGCCCTGGTCGTCGTTGCCCAGCGAGGCCGTATGGTTGGGCGGCTGGTAGTCGCGGTCCGGCCCCACCTGGTGCAGCATGCCCTGCGTCACGACGTGGTTGTAGCTCGTGTCGCCCGTCAGGTGCCAGTAGTCGATGTACGTGCCCATCATGGCCCCGCCCTCCCACCAGTAGTAGTCGCCCTTGTTCTCCGTCGGCGGGCCCGGCAGGATCCCCGGCACCTCGCCCGACTTGTTGCCCTGGTAGAACAGCATCATGTCGTATGCGAGCGTCCGCGCCGACTGGAGGATCTCGCTGCGGGATCCGATTTTGTAGAACTGGGCATGCGCCGCCGGAAGTTCGGCGGCTGCGAGCAGCAGCGCTGCCACCTGGGCCAAGGAAAACAACATAATATTACACTGTCCAAAGGAATATTCCAAATGAGCGTGGGAGGATTAGGATGGGAATATTGCGGAAACAGTAACAAGCTATGTCATTGCGACCCGGTCCCCGTGCCAAACAACTTTTTGTCAGTGAGTACGGAGGAGAATGGAAGACAGGGAAGGAGAGCGGTGGGCGAACAGGAGGCCATTTTCTGCCCGATCCCAAGGGCTTGCCCGGATGTTCAGGAGATGACGCAGTGGAGTATCTTGGTATTGTCTTGGTGTCTTGGTACGAGCCTTGGCGTCTGGGCATGCGGGCTGTGCACCTTACCGACAGTGAAGCGAAAAAATAAATAAAAAGAGGCACAATTATCTGCACACCAGCCAGCACAGCTGCACCTCGTCAATTCAGCATAGGTACGACAGATTGCCTCCAGCCCCTGCTTGGCAAGCGTGCCACTCCCGCGCAACTCGCAGGCCGCCAAAGGGCGGCATTCTGCTGTTCCCCTGATCCTTCAAAAGAAGGAGGATCGAGTAGCAAGGAAGTGAGTGGATCCCCATCAACGCCAAGCACGTCCCGCCAAGCCCTTGGCCTGGACCGTCGAGTTTCGTCTTCTCCCAAGAAGTTTGACAACGATTGGGTATTAGACTTTGCCCAAGACTTTTCCTCCTGAATTTAGCGTTTAACTTGGCGCCCCAACTGCAGGCCTTGACACAACATTACGGCGTAGAGAGGAATCCCAGCTCCCTTAGCTTCGCGGCAGCAACCAGCAGCGGCCATCCAAACACCATTATCCTGCCTACCAGATACCTTAAAAGGCGACCCGGTAGCTGCCCAGCCCTGGACTGCAGATCCGGGGTGCTGGGTGCCGGGGTGTATCGACAGACGCCGAAGAGTTAAATGCCGGTACATGGCTTGGCCCTCGCAAAGTTAGTAATATTTTACTCGCATTCCCCTGATGGGAGCTATCGTTCCATGGCATACCAATGGTCGCCATGGCGAGTTCCTGCTCGCATTGGAACTTTGTCAAGGGTCGACCGGTGGTCGTTTTGACGTGGGACCTCACAGGGAGAGCTCAGAGAAGGCAGGCAGGGTAATCAAATTAGTACCTAATTAGTAGGTATCTTTGCAGTGAAGGAGCAGAATCCAAGTGCCGGGACCAAAGACAGCAACGCCATCCATCACACACTGCAGGAACTCCCCAAAAATCAAGCAGCAAGCCAGAGTTCCCACACTTTCCCTTGCGACCACCCGGTCTCTTGAGCCAAATTTCGAGACGCACAGTGAGCAGAAACCATTGCTCGGCTGAGCTCACCATTCTTCATCGGAGCCGCAATCCTAATAGCCACTTCGCCGGCGTCGCCGGCGTCGCCGACCAACCTTATACATATACAACAACCGGGAATACGAGGTCGTATCTGTTTGCCAGTGAGTCAGCCACAAGCAATAAAGCCAAATATAGGTACTCGGCACAGCAAACTCACCTCTCTCGGGGCTACTATCTCTCTCGGAGCTACCATCAAGCTGGTCGGCGATATTGACGTCTCCCCCAGCGCCAACCTTCCCCTTCCTCTTGATCTTGCTGACCAAACACTCGTCGCCCTGCCAGACGCTCGTGCAGAGCGGGCACGTCACCTCGGACCCGGCAGCACAACCGCCGCCCTCCTGCTTGCGCTTCGTCACCGACCACATCTCGAAGCACTCCTCGTGCATGTTCTGCCCGCACGCAGCCTGGCACCAGACGATCTCCTAGCCATAGCCTCTGCGGCGGGTATCCAGCTCGCCAAAGCAGATGGGGCAGTCGCCCGAGCCGAGCTCCCGGTCCCTCCTCCTCCCATCCTCGTCCCCCTGGTGCCCACCCGTCGGCGCGTACGCAAAGATGCGCCGCAGCTCCTTGGCCAGCAGGGCGAGCTGGTACGTGTACCTCTCGCTGGCGCGCAGGACGCGCCCGAGTACAAACACAATGTGCTTGCACAGCCGCGAGACGCCGCGCGGGTCGTCCTCCTCCTCGACCTCGCCGCCGCGGGCGTGCGCGCAGTCGCACAGCACCACGGGCCCCACCGTCACGCGGTACAGGTTGCCCGTCCAGCCCGCCAGCTCGATCTCCTCCGACGGGTGGTCGGGCGTGTCGCGGCGCGTGCGGCGAAGGACGAAGAAGCGCTGGGTTGTTGCGCGCTCGTGGATGGCGTGGAAGGATTGTGGGGGGGAGGTGCGGAATCTGTGGGTTTGGGGGATCTGGTTAGAACCTTCTCTCTGGTATGGAAGGGTATTTTGGGGAGGGAGTGCGGTGGGATTGGGGGCAGTTACCTGCGCAGGCGCTTCTCTTCCGGCGGGGCAGCCAGCTTGCGCTTCTTTGCTTTCCTCTTTGGCTCGGTGAGTGGTGCGGCATCCGCAGCGTCCCCCGGAGATCCGTCAGGGATGAGGTTCGAGGGCTTCCAGTCGCGGGTCCAGTGGTTCGCTTGCGCTTCTGGCCTGAAGTGGGAGTCTGCGGCGCGGAGCCGCTCTCTGGTTCGACGCCATAATGTATTTCGTTGGTGGTCGGAAACACGTAGGTTCTTGCGATTCTATTTCGTTGATGGTGGGAAACGCGTGCTTGCGATTCAATTTCCGAGGCGAGTCCGTGTCGCGTGTGTGGCAGCCCCCCTGGAAAGCACGGTCCATTACCTATTTTCCAGAACTTTTGACGAAACTCAAGCAACACGGCGAGGGATCAACGGAGCTGAATGTTTGTAAGAATGGGAGCAGAAGGAACCAATATTGAGGCTCTTGGATCTTGGCATTTCCGAAAATGTAAGCATGAGGACCTCTCCCTCCAAGCACTCAACGCTCAACTACCTCCAACGGCATGGACTACAACAAATGCATCGACTTGATTCACGACGCACAGAAGGATGTCTGGGTAGACAGAGTGAACGCGGGCCGCGTCGACGGTCGCATGTGCAATTGGGTCTCGACCCTTCATCCTGATCGATTGCCATGCCGACTCGATGGCGGCTTTCTGCATGGTGCATACAATCTATACCAGAAATTCATTTTCGCCGACAACACCACGTGGATACTTCGATTCCCCCGCGTCGGGGCCATTTGTGACGATTACGCCGACGAGAAGATCGCCATGGAAGTAGAAGTGCTGAGTCTTGTCCGCGAGCGGACTAGTATTCCAGTTCCGGTGATTTACTCATGGGGCCTCGCTGCCGACAACCCGCTTGGCCTGGGCGCATTTATTCTGATGGAGTTCATCGAAGGCGTGAGCGCCAACCACTTTCTCCGGGACCCCAAAGCCACTGCCGACACAAGACTGATGCGAGGGGATATCAGCGATAGCGACGTTGAGATTTTGTTCCGGCAGATTGCTGGTTTCCAACTTCAGCTTTTTGAGCTTGACTTTGACCGGATCGGCAGCCTGCCAACCCCAAAGACTGGGTTCCCTGCCCCGAATACGCCCCTTGACATGGAAGGTGCATGACCATCATCCAGACTGGAGGTGTCGATACTTTTGGTACGTGCTTTTGTTCCTTTGTTTGGTTCTTCTTTTTCTTGTATAGCCACAAATCAAGCAGTCCTCTAGGTGACTGAACCCAGGTTTTCTCGACGACAAAGGAGTACTTTGAGTATGTTGTCGTGCAGGACTGCAAGCAGCTGATCCAGCAGCCGAATTCGGTAGCTGCACCATATGATGCTGAAAACAAGTACACTTCGTTCAGAGTCCTAGCTTCCCTCGTGCCAGGGATGATAAATGAGAGGTACAGTTGTGGCCAGTTCAAACTCATTTGCGACGACCTTGGCCTGGCCAACTTGATCCTCAAAAGCGACACTGATCTTACAGTCGTTGGGGTCGTGGATCTTGAATGGTCGTACGTTGGGCCGGCGCAACTATTCGCATCAGCGCCGTGGTGGCTTCTTCAGGATCGGCCGATTAACCCGGAGTGTGATTGCGATGATAACCAGCCGCCGGACATGGCCACGCGGTATTTCAGATATCTGGAGATATACAAGCGTGTTCTGGAGGAAGAAGAATCGAAACGGCCGGGCCACGAGAGGAAAGAAGTCTCTGACCTTGTCAGGTGGTCCGAGGACTCGGGGGCAATGTGGCTTCACATGCTCCTCTCGTGCGGCTTCAACGACACTTACAGTTTCCCCTTTATGCAACTGCGACAGCATGTGGGTGTCGAAAAGTGGAAAAAGCGTAGGTGGGCAGTTGACCCGGACGAGGTGAGGGCCTTCGTGGCACAGAAGATGTTACAGTTGGAGGAGTACGACGCAGACTTGGCCAAGACAGAGGCGGATAAAGCCTGCGTGGACCGTGGAGAGCTGACGAGGAGAGAGTTCATTGCTAAGTATAGCCACACTTTGACCAACAGCGCGACCCCGGATTTTTGAGGCTAAATTTATGACTTCATGAATCAAGCGCATCCCATTCTTCCCAAGACGAGACAGAGTGAGCTGGTAGCTCTTGCTGATGCCTCCATCGCACCAGCGACGAGAAGGTGCAGGAGTCCCTAGGCGTCTCCGAGCCGCAGAAGAAGAAATTGATCCAGGGAATGGAGTGCGCTCAGGTCTGGTCGCTGCTGTCAGTTGAGAGCCTCGTGCTTTACTTCAGCATTAGGGATTATGGAAGCGATGCTGTAGCACGTGTAAGCATACCGCCTTGGCAATGGTCAAAGGGCGCAGGGGTAGATTTCTCGAAGTTCGATGCATGCAAGTGATGCATCTATGTAGGTACACTGGTACAGTACCTACCTATTGTAAGGAGATATAGACGTCGGCCTATTGGCTGAAGCAACGGCGATCATCCGGGTCGCGGTGCTTCCCCAAGTTGCCGCCCAGCCACTGAAAAGCCAAGACCAAGCCCATGTGCAACGGTGTACCTGTGTACCTGGAGCTCTCCACTTTAGATGTCCTCCCAGTCTTGACGCAATCGCTATTTACAACTTTTCTCCTGCCTAATTCAAGTTCGACCTGCAGCAACTACCCTGGGAACTGCCCACGAATTCAACGGCATTTATTCCATGAATCCCGACACCGACAGCAACCCTTGCAGTGTCTCATGTGGCTAACTCCCAATGCAACTCTCAACCTTGGAGTTGGCCCCAAAGTCCGACACGTGCACTAATGTGTTGACGAGAGATGGAATATGGACGGTCAACTGGCAAGCTTGAGCCAATCCAGTCACCGTTAACGGCGTACCACTGGGAATCACGTCGTTCGGCCTTTTGTTCTCCTCTGGTTCCATACTTAAGCTGTGCTTCATATCTCCCAACAGGTGATTGCAGCAACAGTTTGGTGGAACTCCGTTTTTAAGAGTATCTGGCTGCTGCCTGGATTTGCCTCCCGCTCTGCTCACCATGGTTGTATGCAATGTCTTAGTCGTTGCCGCCCTTGCCAGGCTGGCTCTTGCCGTTCCCAGCGCAAGCAACATCGAGTACCATGGCTTGGACTCCTGGAAAGACAAAATCAAGAACGTCGTCGTCCTTGTTGAGGAAAACCGGTCGTTCGACACTTTCTGTGGGGGCCTGGACTACAGCCCCGAGATCGACGGGCTCCTTCATCACAATTACTGCAACTCCATGTGAGTCTGGCCCGGCGTCTCGATGTATGCGGGCTCGGCTTACGCGGAAACAAAGGAATGCCTCTGATCCGAACGAGGCGGCCGATGTTTGCGCTGGACCTTTGGCTGCCGACGTGGCCAAGGATGACCCAAATCACAGCATCAGCGGTGTGAACATGCAAAGTAAGACCAGAACGGACTGAAATGCCAGCCGAGGGATGTAGCTGATCGCGGTCACAGTCTTCAGTACCTGGCATCCAGATGAGGATCTCGTTAACGCTGCGCCTCCATGGAAATACGAGAACATGCGGGGGTCAGGGCTAATTACCTCTACCCCTGAATAAAACTGCTCCTCTAACACAAACTCCCCCATAGATTCGTAACCGAACAGTCCATCTCGTACAAAACCGAAGACAAGGCCCGGGCCGCCGAGGCCATCAACTACTACAAGCCGGATCAGATCCCGGTTTTCTCCACCATGGCCGAGAACTTCGTGCTGTTCGACCGCTGGTTCTGCGCCGTCCCGGGGCCGACCAACCCGAACCGGGCCTACATCACGTCCGGGACGAGCCACGGCCACGGCAAGAACGACGCCGACTTTGGGAACTTTGCCCTGCCCCAGAAGAGCATCTTTGAGCAGCTGAGCGAGAAGGGCATCTCGTGGATCAACTACCAGAACAGCACCACGGGACCGGGGTAAGTGATGCGTGTCTGTACTCCGGGTTCGAGGTGCTGAGCTGACCCCCGAAAAAGTAAGGGGTTCAACCCCGACGCCGCCTTCTACAAGTGGACCCTCGACAGCGGAGCGAACCTGACCAACATCAAGGTACTCTTTCCGACCCCAGCACCAACCCCAGCCCAGCCCAGTAGCGAGACATGGAGACTAACACAACCCCCCAGCCCCTCCAGCAATTCTACCAAGACGCCGCAGCAGGCACCCTCCCCTCATTCACCTACATCAACCCCGAATGCTGCTCCTACCAATCCTACCACCCCCCCTCGCCCATCTCCTCAGGCGAGACCTTCATCAAGGGCATCTACGAGTCCCTGCGCGCCTCCCCGCAGTGGTCCTCGACGCTCTTCATCCTGACCTTCGACGAGCACGGCGGCTTCGGCGACCACGTGCCGCCGCCCGTCGGCGTCCCCGGCGGCGGCGACGGGCTCGCCTACACCGAGAAGGCCGCCGACGGCCTGCCCGTGACCTTCGCCTTCAACCGCCTGGGGCCGCGCGTGCCGACGCTGCTGGTGTCGCCGTGGGTCGGGAAGGGGGTGGTGGAGAAGGCGGGGCGGAATAATGGGGGGGAGTACACGCATACTAGCATTCTTGGGTTTGTGAGTGAGTTGTGGGGGCTCGAGAAGCTGACGCCGCGGGTTGAGTGGAGTGCTACGTTTGAGCATCTGATTCTGGATAAGCCCAGGGATGATGATGATTTGCCTAGGGTTCTACCGGATCCTAATAACCCGAAGTGCAGGAGGAGGAAGCGAGGGGGGAGCTAGTGGGTGACCCAACTTTCTGCTCTATGCGCAGGAGCTGAGGCCTTGCTCACTGGCAGAAATTAGAGAGGCGCGCTTTCACTCAACTCAACACAAATATCTAGAGTTTCTCTCCCATGATTCTTTTCGTTCAAGCTAAAGCTCGATGATCTAGTCATCTACCTAGCCTAAGCCCCCTTCGCATGAGATCTCCAACCTGCAGCCCCTGCCAATTGCGTGGTCACCCGACGCGCCTGCAAACCCGCATAGACTCGTCTCCTGTCTAGGCCGTGGTCGTCACAGAATCGCCCTTCTTCCTCTCCTCCTCGATGATCTCCGCGACCGACTTCGACGCGACGCCGCCGCCGAAATGCCTCTCGGCCACCTCGATGCACCGCAGGTTGGCGGCCAGCTTGTTCATCGTCTCGAGCCACTCCTCCGTCTTCTCGCTGTCGTACACGATCCCACCGCCGGCCTGCATGAAGACGGTGCGGTCCTTGACGAGCATGGTGCGGATCGCGATGCACGTGTCCATGGGCCCCTCGTCGGCGAACACGGCGGGGAGCCCCTCCTTCTCACCCCCCTCGTCCGTCCGCACCACGTCGTACCCGAACCACCCCGCCGCGCCGGCGTACACGCCCCTCTTCTCCCCCTCGAGGTCGTAGATCAGCTCCATGGCGCGCACCTTGGGCGCGCCCGATACCGTCCCGGCCGGGAAGATGGACCGCAGCGCGTCCCAGCGCGTGCACTCGGGCCGCAGGACGCCCGACACCTCCGAGGTGAGGTGCTGCACGTGCGAGAAGCGGTCGATGCGCATGAGGCGGTCGACGCGCACCGTGAACGGGTGGCACACCTTGTTGACGTCGTTGCGCGCCAGGTCCACCAGCATGACGTGCTCGGCCCGGTCCTTGGTCGACCGCAGCAGCTGGCCCGCGAGCTCGTCGTCCTCGGCGGAGTTGCGGCCCCGCGGCACCGTGCCCGCGATGGCGTGGTTGACGATGCGGGGGCGCGACCGCGCCTCCGCCGCCGTGTAGCCGAACCGCGAGTCGTCCGCCGGGAGCGGGGCGTAGCCGTCCGTCTTCATCAGGCACTCGGGCGAGGCGCCTACCAGGCAGAAGTCGGCGCACGACAGGTAGAACAGGTAGGGGGACGGGTTCAGCGTCCGGAGGGTCCGGTAGATGTTGAAGGGGTGGAGGTCCGTGCTGCGGGAAAAGCGCTGCGACGGCACCGCCTGGATGATGTCGCCTTTGATGATGTGTTCCTTGAGTTTCGTCACGAATGACTCATATCCCTGCCGGCCGACGTTGGACGAATATTCTCCCGCCTGGCCGGGCTCCTCCGATTGTTTCGGAAGCGGCGTTTCAGGCTGTTGGATTAGTGTCAGGGTGTCCCGTAGTGTTGCACAAGCCTCGTCATACGCGGGCTGCAGATCTTCGGAGTCGCTTTCTGGGAGTCTCATGTGCGTTACTATGGTCACGGTGGAATAGAAGTGGTCGAGTGCCACCACGGTGTCGTAGAGCATGAACAGCGCCTCCGGGATATGAAGGTTGTCCCTCAGCGGGCGATCCGTTTTCGGCTCAAAGTACTTGACGCAGTCGTACGAGACATAGCCAACGGCCCCACCGGACAGCCTCGGGAGCCTGAGGGAGGGGATGTCAACTACCCGATCCTGGGAGAGCTCGGCCTGGAGGGCGGCGAGTGGATCGCCGACGTTGTCATATCCGGGCCCAGTTCGTAAGACTTTCCTCGGGTCTGGGAGAATTAGATCCTCAATCTCCTTCACGAGGCTAAGATGTCACGAAGCTTACTAGCTCCAATAAAGCTGTATCGCCCTACAGTCTCGGAACTCCCAGTGGCGCTCTCGAGAAGAAAGGAGTACTCAGCCGTCGATCTGCGGAAAATGTCAGCCATACAGTCGGTCAAACATGAGCTTTTGAAACTCATGGGTCCTTCGTCACGCTTACCCTGACGAGAGTTTGAGATAAATAGCACATGGCGTGAGCAGATCCGCCGGCGTTTGAATGCTGACGGGCAGTAACGTTGGAGGTTTTGATGCTCCACGTGTCTTCTGGAAGATCTGGCGGGCCTCGTTGAGGGCCGGCCGAATATCGAGCTTATCCTCTCATCAGCAAAGTCATTGACGAATCTTGGGTATCGGATCAACCAAACCTGTGTTGAGTCATGCATGATTAAAGGTATGAGGAGGAGTGATTTTAGGGAGGGCCCGAGAGCTGCTCCAGCTTTTTTGTCCTTGTCGTTGGCCCGCTAGGTCGAATTCGGCCTACGGACCCTCGTTTTTTCCATCTTTTTGTGAACGGGCATGAGTCACCTGAATCTTAGTCATATAGCCTCCACTCCGACCCGCTTTTTGGCACCCTTGACACCTGTCCACCCAAAAGTATCGACACTGAGTGTAGGCAACGTATCCTCATTTGGGCTATATATTGAAGCGTACTAAATAGGAAAGAAAGTAAGGAATCCCTAGCAAGGGATCGTCAAGTACCCCAGATTCCATGCTCCTTCAGGTCTTCCTTGGTTATACAAGAAGACCCCCTTTTACTGCCAAAAGTAGGCTTAACTACATTGGTTTTGGGTCGGTGATCACGTGAGTATCCATGGATACTTCATCCCACCCATAATTGTAGAGATAATCAAACCTAAATCCCAATTGAGGCCAGCTAAATGTTTGCCGCTATCACAGTTGCCACCCTGCTGCCGCTTCCACCACTCATGAGCTAGGGTCCTATCCCTTCTGACGCCGCGTTGTGGCGGGACGCCCCTTCTTGGTCGATTTCCGAGGCGTGGTGGTTCCCCTGGGCGGCGATGAACCGGCGCCGGCGTTGGCGGCCTGCCGCAGGCGCTCGCTCCTCCTTTGGGTCACTACAGGGGCGACCTCCTGTGGTGGTGGCGTCGGCGCCGTCTCGGCAACAGCCGGCCCCGGAGAAGACGATTGTTGTTGTTTCTGGGCACCAGGCGGAGACTTGGGGTGCTTCGGTCGTCGTAGTCGAGCGCCGGATCCGGATCCGGGCCCCTTGTGCGGTTTGGACACTCTAGATGGGCGGACCGGGCCCAGAGCGCCGTGCGCCGCTCGTGGAGCCTGTTCATGTCCTGGAGACGACCCTCTTCTGGTCCGCCGCGGACTGGGCGGAGAGGAGCTCGGTCCCCGTCTGCTCCCGGTGAGGCGGTGGCCTGGTACGGAAGAGTGGTCGCCATCATCATCCAGTGGTTCTGTAGGATCTAGGACGGCTAGTTGTTGTTGTTGTTGTTCCTCCTCCTGAGACCTGTTCGGATCACGGGGGGCCGGGCCATTCGACTCGGCTGCAGGAGGTAGGCCAAATATCGAAATGTAGGGTTGTTCTTCCTGCGCTCCATGTATAGTGCCGTCGGGTGTGTTCGCTTGCGTAGGGACAGCATCGTCGCCCATCTCTTGGCGGAGGAAATCGTTGAGAGGCTGCTCGTGCTTCCACGACATTCCAGGCAGGATCCCCCATCTCTTGTTCCAAATCATTCTCTCTATCCAAATCTTCTTGACCACCTCATATGCCGTCGTGTTAATGTCTGGAGGATCTGTTAGCAGTTGTGACGGTGGCATCTTCAGCGCCCGGCTCTGCCCAAGCTTGTCCAGAGGACTTAATTTCGTCCTGGACCCGCCCGCGTCCGATCGACACCTGGAACAGGAACTGATGGTATGGGCGCGAGGCCTCGCGTTGGTGCTGCTCTGCAAGCCAGCTCTCGTCACTCTTCGGTAGTCTGGGTTTCGGGGGGGGGGGTGGGGGGTCGAAAAGGCAAGGCCGAGGCTCGTCTTCCGCCTGCGGTTCGGTTGTGTCTGGTCCTCATGCTTTCACTTCTCCCAAACTCGTAGGAACGAACCCCATTCCTCCCTCCAGATGCCCTGGTCGACCCAGCACTGCTTCACGATCTTTCTTGCCCAGTCTATGTCTATTTTGCTGTGTAAACCGCCTCCCATTTCCCTTCTTTCACGGGCTTGTTCCTCTAGTTCTGACGTCCGCGCCTCGAATTGGTAGAAGGGACTTGATACCTTATGCTCCTTTCTCAAGTCCCATTCTCGCCGTTCGCGGCGCTGCTCTTCGTCGCCAGGCTGATTAGGCCTTTGGGATCGGGTGAAATCGAGTGAAGGGCCACCTCTGTACGGTGGCGATGCTTCGTCGAATCGTCCTAGCTCAAGGTCGAATTGCTGAGGATTTTCGACAAGTGCCGCCAGAGTTCCCGCCTGGACCTGGATCAGCCACTCGCATCGAATAGTATTGGCCATGGAGAAGAAGAACGCTGCATTCAATAAAAGGCGTCGAAGCAGGTTCTGTCGGACAAGATGACGAGCTTGAGAGTTGTGTTTTGACGCTGTGGTTTTATTTGTGTCTTCTCTGGGAATTCTTATCCGTGACGAACTTGTATATTGTGTCGGCCAAAGGATGCAAGCAACCAGACCTCTTTGATTCCTTTTATCTTGCACCAACGAGTGCGCGGTGGGGTACCTGTTGGGGCCGTTCGGTGGTCGAGAAAAAGGATTGGCCACAAGCAACCGCCTCAAGAGTCCGTTGGCGCCTTCTCGTTGCTTTTAATGGCAAGGCTAAGTAAGGTGAAAAAGAACCCAATTTGTGGCTAAGACTTAGCTTGGAATACCAGCCGTTTTCAGAGAGTTAGCTAGCGGTTTTCCATATGGTACGTCGAGACTCCTTGTTGTCCCAGATCCCAGTATCCTTCCATCAACCAATCTTCCGAAAGAAAGCAATCCGTTTGTGGATCGCTGGTGTGGAAGAGGTTGTTCAGACCCGCCCCATAGCTCTGGGCCCGAAACCTCTAAATGGTCCATCTCTAAGACGTCGCTGAACATGTACAATGAGTGGATATCAAAGCTCTTAATTCCTTTATCGATGGCTTATTGTTTCCGGACACCCAATGTCATCTTCTACAAAACTTTCACGGGGCAGCCACGTTCCCAGTCTAGCGTCGGGCCAGAATAGAGGAAATTGGGAGCAGACGGCAGTGTCGAATATTGACGGGGGTCGGATGTCGGGAGTCGGAAGTCGGCGGTCCACTCGGAGACTTTCTCTGGTTGAAGCCAGAGTGTTGCAAAGCCCAGAGAATAACCAGCATTCCCTGCTATTGACGGCAACGAGGGCCAAGACTTCCACGGTATGTGACAATAGAGAGTAAATCTAAGAAGGGCATAAACCATCCTTTTGGTCCATTCTTCCGCACCCCAGTAGGAGTGTACGGTGATTTGATCCCCTGATGGGCCTATAATTAAAATCAAGCACTGATGGCATCAAACACGTTAAAGAGCGTCGATATAGTTGATGGATGTATGTATGTCTGACTAATATAATTTGTTCGTCTGTAGGTCCACCCTGGCACATCGAGGAATAGAGTGACGGAATGTCTCGAGAAGCAAGCTGGACTGTGGCTTGTTGTTCCAAGCCACAGTCAAGGGAAATTGTTGGGGCAAACCCATCAATTGGGGGTCTCAGGGACTACATAGCATCGGTATTTATTGCAATGGAAAGATAAGGTCGAAGGAGGGTGGATGGGTATTTAGGCTATTAATTAATGCACCTAGAGACGGGAGGAGAGGCTCACTCGCATTGAGGAACGTGTCTTAATCTCGGCCGACATCGGTAGGACACAATCGTTCGTCTCTTCGGTTGGGCATCGGGAATCGGCGCTTCCCATTTCTGTCTCATCCTCCTATGTCCATGGTATTTTTATTGTATTTTCATAATTTTCTTCTTTCCTCTTGCCTCTCTCTCTCTCCTTTTCCACTTTCTCCCCGCAGTCAACAATTTTCAGGCTAAGCAGGTATCAGAGCTCTTGCTTTTAAGGCCTCACCTTAATTGAAGATCTTATGGAATCCTCGGCTGTAACCTCAAGCCACGCGTTGCCAAATGGATCGACTAATAACTGGCCATTCTCCGACACCCGATCTGGTTAACCACACGGCAGTCGGGCAGGGGGGAGTCGGGCAGGGGAAGTCGGGCCTGCTGAAAGGGTGCGCATACTTTGACCAACCGGGATAAATGCAATCTACTTGCGGATGTCGGTTAAGCTTGAATAGGACCAATCTGCCCTGTTCCCCCCCCCGATACACTTTCCCATACTATTATTCTCTGGCTCTCGCTCGAACCTAGCGATCCCATTAGCCAAATCCCCCAACAGCTCCCAGCTCCGACAGCCAGATATGGGCAATGTTGGAGACGTGCAGTGTAATAGCCAATGGAAAGTTGCGAGAGCCCGATGTAAACCATTTCTTGTCTCAGGCTGATTAGAAGAAAGAGAACAAAACAAGGTCAAGACAATGTCGGGCATATAAAACGATATAATTACTAGTGCGGCTATGATAGTGGATGGGAAGCTATGTCGATCCACAGGACCCCGAGTCCTAGATAGATTGTCCCGACTCCCGTCTCAATTGCCGTTTATCGTCTTCTCCCCCGCGTCGGCGCATGATGGGGCTCTGTAAGTGCTCTGTAAGTGCTATGTGTAGGTTGTACAAACTCGTCTCATGGTGGTGGTGGCGCCAAGCCTATTCGTAGACGAGGCAATATCGTCGACGGGCATGCCTCAATCAACACGCGTCATCCCCTAACTCACCTTAAGTTCATGGTTATCTATCCCGCATTCTACCAGGTTGCCGGACTGCCGCCCTCCTTCATGCTGTCCCCATATTGTAAACTACTTATGAGCTCGCCTTCCCCGGGTTTCGTCCTTGCGCGCTTGAATTAGGGTGTGCATGTACATTTCACACCTTTGCCTGGCTGTGAAAGGAAACAGAAAAAAGGGGTCTTTCTGACAACCCCAACTCGTCCACAACAGACCTCCGACCGCCGTTAGCAGAAACTTGCACACCATGGGCCAATCAGCGTCAATGCCAGGTCCCGAGGGGACAAAATTCAGGGTCATCGGAGCCGGGATGTGAGTTTTTTTTTTTTTTTTGGGGGGGGTCCAGCACCACCTCTCATCGGCCACGACTTATAAACTGACCACGACTCGACATAGGTGTCGAACGGGCACCAAGACCCTGAACGAGGCCCTGACCATCCTGCTCGGCGGGCCTGTCCACGACGCGGGCATCCAGTCGCTCGGCGGCACGTTCAAGCAGGTGAACCAGTGGCTGAACATCATGAAGTACGCGCCGAAGGCCAAGACGTTCGCGCAGAAGAAGTACGTCGAGTACCTGCTGGCGGACGTGCTGGACGGGTACGTGGCGACGGTGGACTGCCCGGCGGCGACGCTGACGCCGGAGCTGATGGCGCTGTACCCCGACGCCATCGTCATCGCCACGACGCGCGACGTGGACTCGTGGTGGAAGAGCATGAGCTACGTCAACGACATGATGGCCAACTGGTACATCCCCTTCGTCATCATGTGGATCCCCAAGGTCGGCGTCTACGGCCGCTGGAGGGAGCTCTTCCGCCACGTCGCCCTGTGGCGCTACGGCGTCGAGCGCGTCGACAAGGGCATGCTGAAGCTGCACGAGGACCACCTCAGGGCCGTCGTGCCGCCCGAGAAGCTGTTCTGGTACAACGTCTCCGAGGGCTGGGAGCCGCTGTGCAAGATCCTCAACGTGCCCGTCCCGGACCGGCCCTTCCCCCACAACAACTCCAAGGCCTCCGCCGGCCAGACCTATAAGGATCTCATTTCCGCCGGCATCTTCTGCTGGGCCGTGGTCCTCGCCTTCGTCTGGCTGTTCGTCGGTATCTTCTGGGGGAGGCTGCCGTACGGCACGCAGCTCCACGCCGTGCTGAGATCGACTGCTGGCCAAAGCATCGCGAACCCGAACGCCACTAGGGGTTGAAAGAGAAGAGTAGAGACGAAACGAGAGAGGGGGAGTGTATGTGCAATGGAATTTAGAGCTGAATTTCCCAAGTTTACCCATTCTCCTTTTTCTTCTTCTTCTCAATTTTCTCCTTTTTTCGATTCCTGTATTTGCATCCCATGACGGGATTAGGAGGTTTTGAGCATTTACAGTGCCTCAGAGCACAATAGTAAACTAGTGACTATTACACGTATATATATATTTTCACCTGGCCTGCCATGCCCTGCCATGTCCTGCCCTTCCTTCTCTATCTGAGCCCTGAGCCCTGCGCCCATGATCAGTTGAACACGACCGTCTTCGCATTGTTCAGGAACACCCTCCGCTCGGCATACCACCTCACGGCAGCGGCCAAGACTTGGCACTCGACGTTAGAGCCCTCGTCGGTCAGCTCCTTGGGGCTCAAGCTGTGGTCGACGCGGGAGACCCTCTGCTCGATGATGGGGCCTTCGTCGAGGTCGGCGGTGACGAAGTGGGCGGTGGCACCGATGATCTTGACTCCCCTGTCGTAGGCCTGGTGGTAGGGGCGGGCACCCTTGAAGCTGGGCAGGAAGCTGTGGTGGATGTTGATGATGCGGCCGCTCATGGCCTGGCACAGCGTCGGGCTGAGCACCTGCATGTAGCGGGCCAGCACGACGAGCTCGACGTCATGCTCGCGCACCAGCTCCAGCACACGCGCCTCCTGCTCGGCCTTGGTGTCGGCCGTGACGGGCAGGTGCGCGAACGCGATGCCGTACGACGCCGCCAGGTCGGCAAAGTCCGGGTGGTTCGACACGATGACGGGGACCTCGACGCGCAGCTGGCCCGAGCGCGCCCGGTACAGCAGGTCGTTGAGACAGTGCCCGATCTTGGACACCATGATCAGCACGCGCGTCTTGCGCGCCGCCGGCCGGATGTCGTACGTCGTCGCGTACTCGGCCGCCAGGGCGTCGAACGGCGCCCGCAGGTGCGCCGTCGCCTCCGGGCCGGGCCCCGACGCCGGGCCGAAGTGCACGCGCATGAAGAACTTCTCCGACTGCGGGTCGCTGAACTGCTGCAGGTCCTGGATGTTGAGGTTGTGGGCCGCGAAGATGCCCGTCACCGCGTGCACGATGCCCGGCTTGTCCGGGCACGACAGCGTCAGGATGTGGTCGTTGTTGGGCGCCATCTCGACAGGGGTTTTTCGGTGCGGGGGCGATCACAGCTGGTTCTGGTTGGAGGGAACACTGGCGGGGGAGTCACAACCTGATGATGGCCGTTGTGCGGTGGACAAAATTGACGGGTTTCGGAGTGGATCGGCGTTTGATGTGTCACAATGGCGTGGAGGGCACGTGCAGAGCCCCGTAAACGGAGTCAGGGCTTCCGCGATGACTGAGATAATCGACTTCGGCCATGACTCGGCATTCTAGTTATGTTAGTGTCGGGATTCTAATTTTTCTCTTTCTGTACGCCTCCCCAACCTCCAATCCGGACCGGAACCCAATTGATAGAGTCTTTTGCGCCGATATATCTTGGGAGGCCTGAATTCACTTTAACTATGGATTAGTATCTCCGCTCGTGCACTGTCGCTGGCATTCCGGGCAGGGACTAGGCATGGGAGTCGTTGATATGCTTTATACATCCACGTCGCGTTGCGCAGACTTGTCCGCAGACCAGGCAGATTGATACCCGGGCAGGTGGTCTGCCAAATGATGCAAAAAGTCCCATACATTCTCGAACTGTCACGTTGGGCAGCCGCCATTTAATATTATCGCCAATCAAGGCAGTGAGGCGAAGCGCCTATACGTAGTTCACTTCGAGTGGAAATGCCATGTCCTAGACATTGTCCTAAACGCACTGAGCGCCGGAGACTCGAATTTCTAGGAAGTTAGGAGTGGATGGCGCGGGCGTATTTGCCAGGACGTGAAACCGATGTTGATGGGACTTCTTCTGGTGCATAGGGCGAGGACTTCGGCATTGATACGAATTGGGCTGTGGTCGAGCGTGTGATTGGGTGTGTGATCGATATCACGGACAGTGATAGGACGTCAGGGATGTACACTTGTCTTGGCTCTGATTCGAAGGGGTTCGCCTCAGTGAGTTAATGGCACACGAGGTAGAGGAAGTCTTGGCGGTTGTCGGGTGTGTAGATTTGTTTTCCCTCCTTTTCTGATTTCGCAAATTGGATATCCTTATCCGTCATTTCAAACAAACTCCAAAACGGATGTCTTCCCTAAAACATACTTTCTGTGGCTGATTGAGACAGCTCAATCGATGGCGATGGGACCCTTCAACGATTTCTAACAATGCCCTACGAACTCCTCTTCGCTAATGACAAAACGACGAGTCTCACTCAGCCAACAGTGTAGCCATGTTTGATTCTCTCTTTCCCGGGCAGGTGCGTCGCCCTGTGCCAGCTGGTAATGGGTGGCAATGGATGGCAGCAGCCGCATCCGAAACATCGAACCACCCTCGAGAAAGACACAAAAAGCCTCCACCTGCGTAACTAACTACCTACCTCACCTTAGGTATACAGAGTATGACCGCCCCCATTCCTTGTTTCTCTTTTACGAATGCACTAACCGGGATGGGTAGCGTCACTGTCGCGCTGCTGCTATGCTAGGTCGTCTTCAGTCCTGGCTCGGACAACCGCCGCCCGCCCCGCTCCCGTCGACAGTCACGATCACCGGCGTCAGGTTCCCCGCCGATGGGTCCAAGCCACACACGCTACCTCTCACAACAACAACCGATGGGGTAAAAGATAATGGCGACGCTCCTTGGGGGCATATCCCCGATATGCGGGACTTTTGGAAGACGCCCCAGGGATGGTAGTGGCGAGACTTTGAGACCTTCCGGCTGCAAAACCAGCCGCTGAGTAGCTGTAACGGTTTATATGTCCTCTTCTACTCGTTTGACTCCGAGTCGTTGCCTATCCATAGCAACTTTCCCGAGGCCATTTTCGAAAGGCAGCGAACCTTTGCCGGCGACACCTTCGTCGTCAAGCTTCAGGGCAATGAGATCGGGGAAGATCTGGGAGAGGATGGCTGGGCAGTCTGGGTTGACGTGCCGTCGGACATCTTGAGCCTGCCAATCATGAAAATGTGACGGTCCATGCATGCCATTCCCCGCCCCCCTCTCCCTGTAAGGAGAAGGCTCTGCCGGAGGAGGCAGGGCAGTTTTGGAGGCCCAATACTGCCCCACCAGGTTGAACTGCCCACAACATTGACTGATTGACTATCTTAGTACTGCTGTCCCTGTCAGAGGTCTGTGACCCGTGCATGAAACATCTGCTATCAAAAGTCGGTCCTTGGCTCACGCCTTACCCTCAGATGGACCGATGAGCCACCATGGTCGTGCTTGCTCGCGAGTATTATAACCATCCCGAAAACCTCCTTTCTCTCCTGCGCCGTCTGTCCTTCCGCCACTCTCCTCAAGATGCATATATTGCCCCCATCGAAAGCAATGACGACCGCCGGTGCATCATTTCCACAGTGCGCAGCCTTCCCCGTAGAGATACGCCGACCCACCTGGGCTTTTGCCCACCAAGAGCTCCTTGGCCATTGCATCGACCTACGTGATGAGGATGCGATAACCGCCATGGTCCGAGGTATATTCCTGGTACAGCACTATAATTTGTAATCTTGATTTGGCGCGTCGCGATTCACGCTATGGAGACAATTTACCGGCCGATTGCCTGCTTCATGTTGCAACTCTCGCAGTCCGACTTCCCCCACATTGGCAGCTTGTCCCGGACATCACAGAAGGGCGACTCTAAGTGCGCGGCTACGATCCATGCGCGGCCCATGACATGGAAGGCGCATGAGACCCTTAATGTTGGCAGAGTTGATGTATTCTGTAAGTGAGGAGGCTATAGGAGATTCTTCCCGGGCGCTCTGTCCTGACAATCCCTCCCAGGTTCCCCGACGACAACATTCTCGTCAACAATGGACTATTTCGCCCACGTCGCAAGCAATGACTGGCGGCATCTCTGTGAGCAGTTGAATTCGGTTGACAATGAGAAGGATGCGAGGGAAAAGTACCTCTCCTGGAGTGTCCTAGACGTTTTGATTCCCCGTTTTGTTCCGAGGTACGACAAAGGGCCATTCAAACTCATCTGCGATGACGTCGGCCCAGCCAATATGATCGTCAATAGCGCAGAAGACCTCAAGATCGTTGCGGTAATCGACTGGGAATGGTCTTATGCCGGCCCCTCCAGCTGTTTTGGTCCCCTCCCCGGTGGCTTATAATGCAGACGCCCAATACCTGGAGCGAATCCGACGAGAGGCTCACAAAATACAACCGATATCTGGACATCTACTTGCAGATCTTGGAAGAAGAGGAGAACGCGTACGGGGACGACGTACCCACTGAAGACAGACCATCGGCTCTGATGCGGCAGTGCAAAACAGACGGCCGGATGTGGCTTCACCACATCGTGTGGGAAGGCTTCAATGGTCCAACCCACGTCCCATTCGAGCAGCTTCGAGTCGCGGTACCTGATTTTGACAAACTCCTGGCTGCGGTCCCGAAGGAAAAGGTTGATGCCTTTGTTGAAACAAAGATGCAGGACCTGGCAAAATATAGGACGAAGCTGGCCGAGAAGAAGGCTGGCCGAGAAGACGGCATGGTACGACGGATTGAAAAGCGAGAAATAGAGTGGGCTGGACTTCCAAATTGCAACTTCTCTCGAGATGTTCTAGCAACCAGCATGAGCTGACGCGCAGACCGACATGCTCCAATAGCCTTGACTCTCCATGAAGTCTTCCGCGGAGGACAATACGGCAATGACATGGGCTGGGCTGGAATCACCATGATGCAAGGAACATCATGTGTCGGCATCACCACCACCGACACCACCACCACATCCCCAACATCTCCGGATAGCCACTCTTCTCCAATTTACCAAAACGAGCTCGCCGCCTTGGCTCTTCTGCTAGCCCAGCAGCTTCCCCGACGCGTAGACAAACCCACCCACCATCATCCCTGCACAGTACGTTCTTTGCCCAAACTCCCCTCGTTTGCCCCAATACATCCATGGATCACGTATGGCTTAACCACACACCTCCAAGGCCTCCTTGTCAAGTTGACGCACACACACGCCCGCGTCCTCGAAGCGGCCGTCCCCAACCCCCGCAAGCCGCGCATGGCCGTCTGCCTGCTCGGGCACATCCACCACCCCGACGGAAACAGGTGGCGCCGTGTACTGGCGTGGTGTCTTTTCACCGAGGGGAAATGTGTCGCGGGCGTCTCTCGAGGTCCCTTAGCCGAATGCGGGGCTTCTGGGACATGAAGAGGCGCTTCGTGACGCGGGCGCGAAGTGGATGGAACCCGAAAAGGAAAAGGAGAAGGATATCGGTCGACGGTCACAGAAGCTGTGCCGGTGATACTACTGCCGGGTGCCGCCTAGCGCTCCGTTATGGTAAGACCGGTTCCCTCAGCAACGGGATACCGCGGAGGCGAAGCATTGTCACAAGACGGGGGATCCGCATCACTTGCGTCACAGGTGGCTCCGTTGTCGTCGGGGAGGAGCTCAACCATCGATGCATGGTGAGTGAGTATATATCTAAGTCCTGGAGACATGATGGGAGAGGGAACTTGATAGGCCGGCTACGCAGTGGAGCACACTCCTTTGATCAGGGGAAGGGGCACAATATGATACGGTGGTGGCACCTAGGTGAAAGCATGTGTCAAACACGCTAGTCACCAAAGCAACGATGGAATAACCTTCATACAGCTTTCTAGATCCTGCAGAACGGGGTGAGAGAACGATCGAGGGGCGAGGAAGACAGGCAATTACCAGCGGCCCGACTCTCCGCACTCGTAATCTAGGGCGGCCTCTGCCTCACAGTGCCTCTCCAGGCAACCGCTATCTAACATCTCGTCTTTATCTTGGGAAAGCGGCAGACATGTAAATTGGCAGGCCCTCAGGGGTGGATGATACGGCGTGGCTGACAGCTCGTATCTTCCCTCGACCCCGCTCCTATCCCTCTCAAATGAAAGTCCGTTTCCCCCCCTGTGCATCTTCATATCGGCGTCGAATGAGAACGGGATGGTGCCTTGCGCCAAGTCTGCGGGAGAAGCCTTAATTACCGACTCCATGGTATGTGCCTGTGACGTCGTCTCGCATGCCCTGGGAATTGGGCCATGCAGGTCGCTGGGAATGGGACGGTTGAAAATAGACGGGTGGGTTATTTTAAGAACTTTTTTTATTCATCTAGTGCCCCTTCGAAAAAAGAAAAACCAACATCCGATGATCAGCCAGGGGATAGATCTGACCGTAGATGATGCAGAACAGACAGGCGGTGAAGGATGACGGAAGAAGTGTAAATTGAGAAGACTAGCGATAAGAAGTGGTGGTAATATATACAAATGTGCCTGAATCGAAAAGGGAGGGGGGTATATAGGTAAGCTGTCCAAGGTGGCATCTCTCAATTATGCCGAAATACAGCACGCACCCGGCTAACAGGCTCCATCGCAGAAGGACCTGGAATTCCAAAGTTAATAAAAACAAGGAAAAGAGACCCGGTGACGAGCAATAAGATCGGACGAAAAAAGAAAAAGGAAGGGGGGGGGGGGGGGGGGGGCAAACACAAACCACCCCGCGCAGCCCACCCACGACGCCCCACGTAGTGAAAGATGCACCAACCCACCCTGGAACATACACACACCGCCCCCCCCCCCCCCCCCCCCCCCGAATACGTACCACCCCGCGTTGAACGTGCCCCATGGAGCACCGTTGGTCAACATGTTCCAAGCCCCGATGGAGAAGTCCACATCCCCGAAGCCGCAGCTCGCACAGGTGTCGGCGACGGTGACGACGACTGAGTTTCCCGCGCCGCCGATGACGGCCTCGTTGCTGCCGTAGTTGGTCACCCTGACCCGCTGGCCGCACCACTGGGACTTGTACTGGTACTGCATAAAGTCGTTGCTGAGGGCCATGATCAGGTCCGACTCGGCGTGCACGACGCCGCAGGAGCCGGCGATGCCAGATTGCAGGTAGATGGTTGCCTTGCCTTGGTAGCTGCCAGTTGGGTGGGGGGGGGGGGAGATGATGATGGTTAGACTAGAGTTTTTGGTAGGCCAATGGATGGGCTGGCGACTTACACCGCGCCTCGTTCTGTGAGGGGGCCGTGTGCCTGGGTCTGGTTTGCTGGGAGACCAGCAGCGAGGCTGGCTGCAAGAGCAAGGATGACCACATGGCGGGCAAACATGTTGAGTGTCTTTCTGGGAAGGAGGTCCTGAGGTTGGAACAAAATAGCTGATAGAACTATGTTTCGTTTCCAAAAGACCTGCAGACACCGGGATCTAATATTCTCAAGCCTACCCTGTTTTTGGGGACGGGTATCAAGGCCTCGTATACTTGTCTCTTTAGCCCATCCAATGACATAACGCTAGTTTCCGTTCGCCCTTTGAGCCAGGGCTGAGCAGTAGCTGGATTTGAATATATTCCGTGGGGGGTGTGGGGTGTCGCCGGTGATGAGATAATACGGACGAAAGTACGGCTGGTCAGCTCCCAGGTCTTGGGTTCAGCAGCCAAGGACCGGCAGGGCAACCGTGATATCAACCCGTTGGACCCCTAACGACCACCGTAGCCAAGCCCTTTAAAATACGAGAATATATGTAAACACGAAATGGAGAGGGCGAGTGCAGAAGCGAAGCCAGAAATATCAATGCTCTCATTGGCTCTGCTTACTATGCTGGATAGGTAGTCGATTTATCGATAATAAAATTATCGAAACTACCCATCCTCTCCTCCCTTGGCACCCACAATCATAGCATCTACTCTCACTCAACCAACATGTACGAAGGTCGGTCAAAATTCGACAATCTCGTCTGGGACAAAAACGAAGATGCCCAAGAAGGGGTGTACAAAAGCTATTTTTCATTTGCCACAATCCACAAGCTAGAGGCCCTCGCCACGAAAATGCTTGGGAAGAAGGTGACCTACTTGCGCCCGATGCACAAAGGCAGCTTCAATTTTCTCTATAGGATGAAGGTTGAGGGACTGGACGGATACGTCATGTTTCGACTGCTCTGGGCCCACTCGCACCAGTTTCCCGACGAGAAGACCCTCCAAGAGACGGCAACTGCACGCATGGTCATGAGAGAGACCAAAATCGCCACCGCCGAAGTGCTCTGCTACGGGCTGAGCAGGAATGCCAATATGGGCTGTTCACCATCATGAGCTACATTGAAAACTCTGGCGCCATGACCGAAGCGCTGGCGGTGCCTGGCGAGACAAAGCCCACCGAAGGGATACAGTTGGATCCCGCTGTTCCCGAGGGGAGGCTTGAGGGGTACTTCCATGGCGTTGCAGTCCTGATGCTGCAGCTATTTGAGCCTCAATTTCCCCGCATTGGGAGCCTGGATGAGGACGAGCACGGCTCCATCTCAGTGGGGAGACGGCCGATCACCATGAACATGAACAGTGGGGCCCGGCTTGCAAACATCCCACGCGCCGTCTATCCCTCCCAAGATAAGACGTACGGGACTGCCGATGAGTGGTACACAGAGCTGGCACGGATTCACATGGCGCAACTTGTCTTTCAGCACAATGACCTTGTGCTGTCGGTAGACGACTGCCGCAACAGGTATGTGGCACGCCAGCTCTTCCACCGGCTTGCCAAGAGCGGCCTGCTATCGACTTTCGGCTTTGCAGATGATTCTTGGTCTGCCCAGTCCAAGACCCGAGTCTCGGCATGCCCAGCTCCTAGCACGTCGGGATCTTTTAGGCTTTGGTGTGATGACTGGGGGACAAGCAATATCCTCTTGAACGATGCAGATGAGGTGACTGCCATTATCGACTGGGAGTTTGCCTATATCGCACCTACGCAATTTATTCTCGACCCTCCGCTGTGGTTGTTGCTGGATGACCCAGAGATGTGGAAAGGTGGCATCGATGCGTGGGCTCAGTGTTACGATGCATGCCTCCCAATCTGGCTCCGGGGGGTGGAGAGGGCTGAGAAAGGCCCGATCATTGGCGAGACTCTGCTCTCTACGTACATGCGAGAGAGTTGGGAGACGCCGGTTCTGGCTCGACTATGCCGCGAGGAAGAGCTGGGCCTTCGACACCATCTACTGGAAGTTCTTGGATGAGGGTTCTTTGGCAAGAGGGAAGGAGAGGTTGCTACGGAGGACCTCTGGAAGACAAGAGTAAATCTGCTGGACCATGACCAAGTGGCTGCAATGGAGCCATTTGTAGAGATGAAATTGGAGGAGCCTAAAGAGCGAATCATGGTCCAGTGGACTGACGAACAGGTCAAAGAGCGCATGGCTAAGGTGCTATTTTAGGAGGTTCTCCTCGTAAGTCGCACTGACTCCCCATCCCGATCTATGAAGGCTTTGCAAACACTGCTGAATTGAGGTTCAGTACTGGTGCGGCTCCCTTGACTGCGCCGCTGGCACACCATCGGCACACCCTTGAAGCGGCACCAGCACACAGACACCGACGAAGACGGAAATTTTGCAGAGTCAGGATTAGCATCAGGAATTAAACTGTTTCCGATCGTCCTGTTCACTCGATACGGCACAGAGAGAAGCACGTTGGATGGAGGGGTCGTAACTACTTCAAAAGGGCATTCATTGTAGTGTAGCTTAAATTACTAAAGATTATTTAGGTATTTTTGCGGTTGAAATGAACCCAGCCCACAATGCAATTCTACGCCGTGGCTATCACTTCGACTCATCCTAGGTAGGACACCGCATCACCACGAAGTCCGCTTGATGATCTCCGCGGCACGCTCCGCCACGGCATACAGCGTGGCAGTCAAATGTCCGCTGATCTGCGTGGGGAGGACGGAGGCATCGACGACTCGCACGTTGGCCGTCCCATAGACTCTCAGCTCCGGATCCACCACTCCGCCGAGCTCCCTGGACATCATAGACGCGGTGCCTAGGACGTGGGAATTCGCATTGACTGTAATGACAAAGGTGATCAGCTAAGGACCTAGGAAGAGTACCGAAAATGAAAATGAAAACTCACGAGTCTCCCGCACGTATGACTCCCACTGCTCATCAGTCGCGTCATCCGGCAAGACATCGGGGCCGGGGATGATGGGCGCGACCACGGCATCCCTGAGCGTCTCGGAGCGCCAGTACTGCTGCGCCATCTTCGCCGTGGCGACCGTGGCCGCGAGGTCGAAGTCGGCGAGGAAGAAGCGCGGGTCGATGACGGGCTCGTCGATGGCGTCGGCCGACCCGAGGTGCACGCTCCCGCGGGAGAAGGGCAGGAGGATCCAGAAGTTGGACGCCAGCAGCTGCGGCACGACCGCCGTCAGGATCTCGGCGGCCGTCACGTTGTGCACAAAGATCAGGTCGTGCTGGATCCGCAGCAGCTTCTCGAGCGCAGTGGCGTTGACCGCCCCGGGGCCTGACGCATCCGCGGCGGCCTGCGCCCACTTCGGCAGGCTGGCCCGCGTTAATGCCTCGACCGTGCCAATGTCGCTACCGAAGAGGTCGGCTGCGGTGACGAAGGTGTGGTATGCGCTTGGCGACGGCTCCATGTCGCCCGAGTATCCAAGGAGGTGATTTGGCTGCTCGATCAGGTTCTCTCCCACACCTGGGAGGTTGATCTTGGTCTCTATCCCGAGTGACTCGAGGATCCTAGTTTGGAAGGCAGATGGTTAGGTGATCTGTGCCTGTATTTTGATTTTTGTAGGGCGAGGGCAAGATCTCAAACCTAGGATTCCCGACTCCCGAGCCCTCGAGTACGAGCGGCGTCCTCACCGCTCCGGCAGAAACAACCACCTCTCTCCTAGCTTTAAGAACCCTCGCCTCCCCACCCTCAGTCACAAACTCAACCCCATTGGCGACCAAAGGGCTGCCACACGACGACGTCCGCCCCCTCTTCCCCCCCTCCGCCCACGTGATCCTCTTCGCTGTGCCCCTCACGATCTTCAGGTTGCTCCGCCCCTCGACAGGGAGGTAGTACGCACGCGACGAGTCCCAGCGCAGGCCCAGCTCAGCATCCAGCGTCTGCGGGCCCATGGAGTAACCCCTCACGTCCCCGCCATTCAGGTCCGGGTTATGCGGTAGCTCCAGGCCCGGCACGCCATCAGCCCATGCCGCCAGCACCGCCGGCGCCGACGACCCGTTGCGCAGGGCCGGCACGTACCCCGTTTTCACGTGCCCGGCGGTCCCGTGGTAGCGCGCCTCGTAGGTGGCGCCCGCGTCGAGTTGCGTCTGGCTGGGCGCGGTGTAGTTCTCCGACTTCTTGTAGTAGGGCAGCAGGGCGGCCCAGTTCCAGCCGGGGTTGCCGAGGTGCTCCCACGCGTCGAACTGGGCGGCGTCGCCGCGGATGTACGTCATGCCGTTGATGGTGCTGGTCCCGCCCCACGCCTTGCCCTGGTGCAGGTCGATGGCCCGGTCGCCGGCCCCGGGCTGCTTCGTCGTCGCGTATTGCCAGTCAATCGGGGTGTTAAAGGCTTGTTGAAAGTTGTTTGGGTCTGTGACATTGGGGTTGTTGCGCTGGTCGGTGCCCGGCTCGATGACGGCGACCGTCACGGAGGGATCTTCCGACAGCCGGTTTGCGACCACCAGGCCGCTTGTCCCGGCGCCCACGATGATGTAGTCGAAGGACTCCGTCAACGCCCCGGTGGCGCCATACGAGAGGAGAATGACAAGCGCGAGTGCCCTCATTGTTGTTATTGCGGCACGTCGTTCTGGCTCGGCGCTCAACCGAGTATCCAGAGGGGGCAGGAGAAGGAGGCATTGCCAGGTTTATACGCATGCCCGAAGCCATAGAAAAGGACCGATACCCCAGCCCATGCCATCCCAGCCCTCTGCGGCGCACATTTTCTAGATTTAGAAATGGAAGGATTCGCTTGCATTGCAGCTACCCATTGTAGCAATGAGCAGCCATTCTGGTCTAGCGTGTCGTCGTCGGCACGGTTCGAGCCCGCTTCCACCTGCAGGATATATTAGGCGGTAAGCCTTCGGATTTCGACGAACCGGCAAACCAAAATACCACCAGGCAGGATTTACCCGGGAAGCTGTTCAAATATTGCAACCCCACGGCGGTCTGATTGACTGATCAAGATACGTAATTCGTGGGTTTCATTCAATCCGAGGCTTTCTTTTCTCCCTTCCCCCTGTTCCCCCTTTTCCCCCTTCGTCTTCTTCTTGGGATGGCAACAACTCCAGAGACGTAGAATTCGAATCGCGAGGTCGTGGCCACAACACAACAATTCGTTGCTGATGAAATGTCCAGCTTCTCCAACCTCCTTCCCCGAATCGTGTGGAGAGGAATGTCTCCGTCTTCATCCACAGATTGGTCCCTAAAATGAGAACCCCGCACTCACCCGAGCTCAACACCCGAAAATGACCCGACGCAATATCTCATCCCACCGTTTACCTCCCTAAACCAAGTCAACAAACACACCCACCCCTCAAAATGACCACCGCAAACACCGCCCGATTCAACGCCGAGGCCGCGGCCTGGGACTCCAACCCAGGCGTCCTCCTCGCCAGCGCCCTCGCCTCCGACGCCATCCTCTCCCGCCTCGGACGGCCCGACCCCCTGCCCGACGTCCTCGAGCTGGGCTGCGGCACGGGCCTGCTATCCCTCTCCCTGGCCCCGCACGTCCGCTCCCTGACCGCCGTCGACGCCGCCGAGGGGATGGTCGCCGCGCTACGGGCCAAGCTAGCCGCGGACGGTGGGCTGGGGGGGCACAGCAACGTGCGGGCCGTGTGCGCCCTGCTGGAAGACCCGGACGACGCGCGCATCCGGGAGGATCCCGTCGCGCCCGAGGGGCAGGGCGAAGAGCTGCCGCTCCCGCCGCGGCGGTTCGACCTCGTCGTCTCGCACCTGATGCTGCACCACGTGCCGGACCTGGCGCCGCTGCTGCGGACCATGATCGGGTGCCTCCGGGTGGGGGGCCGGGTAGCCTTGACGGACTATGAGGACTTCGGTCCCGCGGCGCGGCGCTTCCACCCGGAGGCCAAGATGGACGGCGTGGAGAGGCACGGCGTTCGGGGCGCGGACATGGAGGCGCTGCTGCGCGGGGCCGGGTTCGTCGACGTCGTCGTCGAGACGGCCTTCGAGATGGACAAGGCCGTCGAGACGGAGCCGGGCAGCGGCGTGCTGGGGCCGACCATGACGTTCCCGTTTTTGATATGCCTGGGCAGGAGGCCGTAGCGAGCTTGGCGTTGTGGGCGGTTTGACGTGCACTGTTATTGCCAGGTATTAAAAGATAAGAAACGATTTCGTCAAAGGCATGAACATGTCACTGCAGACGGCATAAGAGTGGGAGTTACTTGTACATTATCGTTCATGATCAGACTGTCTACTAAACGCTCATGGCTCAGCAACCCGGATGTCCGTGATCTGTCCCTTAGAAAATGCCTTGATGTCCTCCAGGACATCTTCGATCGGCGTCACAAGACAGTATCCATCAGGAGGACATTGCTGAGGACTCTGTCCAGTAAACAGCAATCCCACTGCCCTGCCCTCTCTGTCGAATACCACCGAGCCAGAGTCACCAATATCTCCGAATCGACCGTCGGGGTTGGTAGGGGCGCGACCGATGAACAGATATTCCGTCGACTTGGGTTTCTCCAGCTTCATGTATCTCTCCTCGCCCATCGTGCAATTCGCTTTGATCCTGCTGAATAGGCCCACCGTGGGTCCTGTGCTAGCCCCAACCTTGTAGACTAGGTCGCCCTGCGAAACTTGATGAAGTGATACCCCCTTCGGGGGGTTTTTGAGACTCGCGCCGAAAGTTGTCCAATTGGGCAGGAGCGTAGAGTAGGCGTGCCTTGCGAACCAGTCATCACGGCCTGGGAGCATGTTGTTGCACAAGCGACTGTCGTCGGGTGGCATCACCAAAGCCCAGTCCAGCCGGCCATTCCTTTTCGTGCGTCTTGTGTAGCCCGAACCAACCCAAACACCACCGAAAAGATGCTTATTCTGGTCGAAGAAGGCAATCTTGTCATCCAAGCTCGCCTGGGTAATGGGGTCGGGGGTGGGGCTAGTGTCGGCCGCCATGTAGCCGCGAAGCTTGTCGACGACGAAGTTGTGCTTGGATCGGGTGGGATGCTCCATAGTCTCACGATGGGGCATAGTATTGGGGGAAACTCCAGCAATATCTGCTTTCCAAAGGTCCGAATTTTCGACAGGGTCCCTCTTGGATGATTTGCCGTTGTGCACGCCAAGTTGGTATCCTTTGATTGCAGGTCGCACGACGTGGTAGTTCGTCAATGCTACCTTCTTCCAGTTGGGAAAGCGAGCGGACTTGATCTCCAGATAGCAACCCATGGTTCCTATGAGAGCATTGCACTCCTGGCCATCCTCCCTTGTGATGTACCGAGCAGCGCCGATGTCGGCCCCGAGACCGACCTGTGTCTCATATTTCTGACGAGTTCCGAAGCTGAAGCGGGCTTCCTTGTCTGCTTTCTCGGAATCGGTGAGACTCGATGGGATCAAGCGGAAGGCAAATTCATCCATGGTGTTGTGCTCAATGTGGACATGGAGGTCATGATTGAAGCCATCAAGGTACTCTTGAATCCTCTTGACAACTGGGGGCCAGGCTGTCTCATTTGACGCATAATTGAGGGAGATGTAGACAGTGTTAGGGTTCTTGGCATACACAGGGTCGTATCCGAGTTTGAAAAGAGCAATTGCCGTCATGTGCGAGGCTGTTGATAAGAAACTCTCCAGAATCTCAAAGACGTTGGCCTGGATAACGGGCCAGTCTGCCTCCAGCTTTGGGAATTTTGCGTCGTTCGGGATCGGGGAAAGGTATTTCGGCATGATCAATTCTCGCGCTACCATCTCGACGCAGACATCCAAGTGTTCCAACTCATCATATCCGATGAGCATGGTATTGACGTATTTCTTCACCTGTCTAACGGACCTCTCCCAGATGCTTGGGGATTGTTCGGACCATTGTGCGACGATGAAAATGGTAGGCTGGGCAGTCCAGGTCTCGCCAGGAACCATGCGGGAAGTAAGCGACACCTCAGGATCAGTGATGCCGTTTTTTGATAAAATCTCACTAGCTTGGTCCACAAGTCTGTTGCCGAACCGATTCTCGAGAGCAGCGCAAGGGCCATCCCAGACACTCTTCAGAGGAAGCGGACGAAGAGGGGGAGCTCCGACGCGGAACTTGACGTTCGAGATGCCGAACCTTCTGAAAGAATCACTACTATCCTCTGACGAGGCCTGGGCCCTTCGAGATCTCCAGCTAGCCGTGGAGGGCGAGGTGGGATACCCAAACGTGGATTTATGACCTCGCCACATGATGACAAGCTGTCCAAAATTATTGGGTCGAAAGAGAAGTTCCGTGCCGACTACTTGTTGATAGGAGGAAGAGGCAGTCGTTGTAGAAAATGAGAGGAGTGGATGGAAGGGAAGAAAATTTTGGCAGGCAGGGAGGAAGAGGCGGAGAATACATAGGTACCGATGGAAATAAGCAGAAAGTCAAAAGAAGAAAGTCTGCTACCGGAGTGAAGAAGTGAGTCATATAGTGTAATTGTGTATAATTACCTAGGTAGTGAAGGGGCGAAGAAACAGCTCACAGGATATACATGATTCACCACCTCACACAATCTGGTACTTGAAACTGATTATTTGGGAACAAACCCCATCTTCCACACAGCGACAAGGGAGACTATCTGTTCGCCAGTCAAGGCTCGCGCGCCCCATTGCCTTGACGGCGGCGGTTGTGGTCGCCATTGCTGTTTTACAGAAAAATTGTGAGATTGGAGAGACTCAAGCTTTTGAGACATTCTTGCCAAACCTTATGTCAAAGTTTTGTGCGATCATACTTCTTCCCCTTCCCAAACCTCGACCCGGCGACGGCTGGAAGTTTGCTGCGGGCATCAAAGTCAATTCATTTGCGGACCTGGAGGCATAATTACACCATGCAGACAACTGTAGCAAACTGGTCTTTACGCATGGGTGACCTGGGTAGCTTGAATGTTTTGATGTAGCGGCATCCTGTGGTTGGCATCATGGACTGGGAAACGGCAGTCTGGTCCCTCCTTACTGGGAATACACATGCACATGGAAACGCCATTCCTATAACACACTCTAGAGGCAAGGGAAAAGACTAGTATTCGATGCTAATGTGATGCTACACGAGCTAAGGATGGGAAACATACAGAGAAACCATTTTGGCGCCTTTTCAGACAAGAAGCCAGCTGGGTTCCGGTACAATAATGCATGTGTCTCGGCTCAGCAATGGGATAATGTTTGCGCGTACTGCATCCTAGTTCTGATGCTAGTGTTCTCGACTTCTCGGCTGTATTTGAGCACATGTTTGTTTGGCCCCTTGTATCCAATATTGAGACAGAGATATGAGTCAGGTGTATGTGGGAACAAAATCAGAAAGCTAACTCGTCAAGTTTGGGAACGAAGGATATCACGACGTGAGGTCAAAGAATCGATACGCTTGGGTCAACATTCACGAATTTTCTGGGACTTGTCGTTGTGAATAAAGGCCGTGGACGAGATCCAATAACAAGGATGATTCCGGGGATCATTCTCGAAACAGCATGATTGTTTTCTTCGCGAATCCACTCTACGATTGTTCCCGCGTCAGAGCACCATTGTCTCCACACAATGCGTGAGTCTCTCCTCTGGAGAACAAAGCATCTGCTCCTGCGTCTAGACCTAGCATTTGGCCCCCCTCACAAAACTGAAAAGGAAGTGAGCCTAGAAAGCTACCGGGTGAAAACCTGACCTCCTTGGACGAATCCCCCACCTTCCGCCTCGGGACATATCAGCTATTTCTTCACGCTTTTGGCTGCAAAATGGACGATTCCACCGACACCTCTATCAGCTCAAGCATGTATTCTTCTGATGTGCTCCGACGAGAACATTCGACCTATACCAACCTATCAGAAGAGTTCCGCAAGCTGAAACTGAAGCTCACCGGAGAGGGGTCAAGCGACGACGACCACGACAGGACTGGCTCCTCCCCCTTGGGACCCTCGGTGTGGTTCGCAAAAGCCATCGAGGAAGAGCTCGCAGCCCAAAACCACCAGTCCGACCCAGCAAGCTCTGCCAAGTCAGCAGCTATCGCATGTCTCGAACCGAGGCTAGACCCGAGAAATCCCCATCTCAAGATACAAGATCCGGCCATCGCCCGACCTGATGCTGCCCACCCCAGCACGACATCAAACCCCCGCAAGCGCCGCAGGCCCAATCTCACCATCGACACCGAGCTAGCGTCTCCCGAGAACTCCTCCCGCACGACCGCCTACGGACCGCAGGGCTCGCCCTCGCCGTCCCCCGACAACGACGGGGACTTCGACATCGACGCGTTCCTGCAGCGACCCTTCGAGCCCGAGAACGACGTAGGCCCGCCGCCGCCAGCACCAGCGAGGCCGTCGCCGGCGTTGGAGGCGGTGATGCTGCGCGCCATCAGGCTGCCGCCCGGGGCGGGGGGGGCCGTCACTGCCGGGCGGAACACCGGGGAGTTGGGTTCGGAGGGAGGTTGCGGGGCCATGTGGTGGTTCCCTGGCGAAGTTGGGGGGGGGCCCTGAACAGCCCCGGTGATTTCGCTTTACAATGGGGGCGCCGTATTCTCCATCCCGAAACTGAGCCAGAATACGGTCGAGCTCGTTGGATGGTGCGGTATATCAGTCTGGGGAGACTTCCTGGTGAGGATGGGATAGAATACGCCGTCGTGGCCACCATTCAATACAAGTCATGGGATAAGTTGAGCTACGTGGCCCAGAAGAACACAGCGGAAGGTGTTCTGGGATGGTCAATAGGGCGCTTGTTGTGGAGCGATCCTTCCGTCGGGAGATAGGAGAAATAAGGACAAGAACGTCAAGAGCATCAAACTCCAAGGCCATAATTACGAAGCTTGACTAGGTACCTAGATGTGCAAGTAGATGTGAGAGGGATAATGGTAAGACGGCAGTAACTATGTTCTTTTAAGCTTCTAAAGGTCCCCGTCCTGAATGGTAGGCACCTTCCGGAAAGGGGTAGACCGAGGCCGCCGAGGCAACGTTAAACAGGGGGGCGGGGCCGCCAACGAATTCCCCAGCGAGCAAAGTCCGAAAACCGACAAGCTCACGGCAAAGCAGTCTATGTTGGAAAATATATCCTATCCTATCCGTCAGCGACAGCGACAGCGACAGCACTACTATGCCATGTCAATGCTCGCTGGGCACAGGATCCACGTCATCGGGATATTATAATGCATGCTCCTGCGAGGAAACACTTTATATTGCAAAGGGACGGCAATTGATGGCAGTTGGAGTCGGGTTTGATAGCCTGAATTATTGCCGGTCCACTGAGGATGCACCAGACCCTCCCGTCAAGCTTTTTGCCATGGTACATGTACATACATGCAGTACCACAAGGTTACAGCCGATCTGCACCAATTGATAACGACCCTGTCACTTTCATCCCAGCATGGGATCAATAACCAAAGGATGGGGAAACCGGGAGGATCGGACAACGGGTGAGGGGAAGAAACGAATAAAGATGCGACCCTCACGCCCATCCCTCGCGTGAGCCCATCCCATCCCCCATCCCGTTCGTCTTCAAAGACTTTCCCCGGAGTCGATTCAACTCGACAGTCCCCTACGTCCTCTCCGCCTACATTTCCAGTCCATTGATAATATCATCATCATCCTCCCCACCTCCTCCGAACCACACACACCCGCCCCAAAAAGATGGACGCAAAACCATCCTTCGGCGAGGACTCCAAGCCCCGCGCGGCCGACGGCGCGGCGATCGGCGAGGCGGTGCAGTTCGAGCACAGCCTTACGTTCGGGCAGGCGCTGCGACTCTATCCGGCAGCCATCGGGTGGTCGGCCTTTGTGTCCATCGGCGTCATCATGCTTGCCTTCGACCCGCAGCTGCTGGGCAACCTGTACGCGACGCCGCAGTTCCAGCGCGACTTTGGATACGAGTTTGCCGAGGGCAGGGTGAGTGATGAATAGCGTGTGTTGCTTAAAAGAAAGGGGAGACAAAGAAAGAAGATAAAGAAGGAATAATCGTGTGAATCTGCAAAGACGTCGAGCCGAGGCTGACTGAAATCCGTGTCGGCCACACACACAGTACATCATCAGCGCGCCGTGGCAGACGGGCCTATCAATGGGCAACCCGGTCGGGCAGGTAGTAGGGGCGCTGGTGGCGGGCTACCCGATGGACCTATTCGGGCGCAAGCGCACCTTCGCCGCGTGCGTGGTGCTGACGGGCGGACTCATCTTCATCCAGTTCTTCGCGCGGTCGCTGTCGGTCCTGCTGGTGGGCGAGCTGCTCGGCGGCCTAGTGCTGGGCTGCTACGTGGTCATCGCGCCGGCCTACGCCTCCGAGGTGTGCCCCATGGCGCTGCGGGGGCACCTGACCAGCTACGTCAACCTGTGCTTCGTCATGGGCCAGCTTCTCGGCAACGGCGTCACCGCCGGCACGAGCCGCCTGCAGGACCACTGGGCCTACTCCATCCCCTTCGCCCTGCAGTGGTTCTGGGTTGCCGTCATCGTGCCGGGCGCCTTCTGGGTGCCCGAGAGCCCCTGGTGGCTGGTCCGCAGGGGCCGCATGGACGACGCCGAGGCCGCCCTCCGCAGGCTGGGGTCCGACGGCGTCGACGTCGCCGCCACCCTGGCCGTCATCGTCGAGACGGACCGCCTCGAGCAGGAGCTGGAGATGGGGAGCACCTACTGGGACTGTTTCAGGGGCGCGAATCTTCGCCGCACCGAGATCTCCATCGGCGTCTACTGCACACAGGTGCTCAGCGGCATCTACCTGATCAACTACGGGACCTACTTCTTCCAGCTCGCGGGGCTGGCGACGCAGAAGGCGTTCTACATGGGGATCGGTTTCTTGGGTGAGGATGATTTCCCTTTCTTCTTCTGAATCATCGGTCAACCTTGCTGATACTTGATCGAAGCCGTCGGCTTCGTCGGCACAATCATATCATGGTTCCTTCTCGTCCGCTTCGGGCGCCGGCGGATCTACAACGTCGGTCTGGCCGTGCTCGTGGTCCTCATGTTCGTCATCGGGATCCTGGACTGCATCCCCGGGCGGCCGTCGGGGGTGCAGTGGGCCGAGTCGTCGCTCATGCTGGTGTGGAACTTCGCCTACGACCTCTCCATCGGCCCCATCTGCTTCGTCATCATCTCCGAGGCGAGCGCGACGCGGGTGCGGTCCAAGAGCATCGCCGTCGCCACGGCGGCGCAGGCCGTCCTGGGCATAGCCATGACCGTTGCCATCCCCTACATGATCAACCCGGACGAGGCGAACATGCAGGGGAAGCTGGGCTTCTTCTTCGGCGGCCTCGCGGCGCTGTGCTTTGCCTGGGCGTACTTCCGCGTCCCTGAGACCATGGGCAGGACGTACGAGGAACTGGACATCCTGTTCGACAGGAAGGTGCCCGCGAGGAAGTTCAAGGATTATGTTATCGATGGTGGCGTTGATGCTGGGGAGTAATTATTAATGACTATCGATGGCTTGATGTTCTCAAGACACCTAGGGACAGAATGCTGAGTCATAAAGCGGCTCAAGCCGGGTAGGAAATTCGACTGCACTGAACTTCTGGCGCGGAGGCTATCCTTTCAGAGCTTCGAAAAACGGATGAAGGACGTTGTCATTATTTCCACCTCAAGCCTCCCATCCTCGCGACCTCCCAATTCGGACATCGGACACTCAGGTCCCTCGTCTCCCCCAAATCTCATTCGAGGCCCCCTCTCGCACTTCTGATCTGACACAAATCCACGCCATTTTTGATGGATGATCCAGACACGACCGGCAACAACGAGATCGGTGCGCCGTACCTGTGCATGAGCTTTGTGCCCGGGAAGCCCGTGTCCGAGGTATGGTTTGGTCCCTCGGGCACCTTGTCGCAAGAAGAATTGCGCCTCAGGATCCTGGCAAGCCTGTCACGGGTCATGGCTCAGTTCTCTCGTCTGACCTTCAACAAGATGGGGTCCATTATGGAAGACGGATCTGGCTCGACTGTCATCGGCCCTTTGTACGATTGGGATGAAAAAGAAGATGGCAGACTTCAGGTTGCCGCTTCGGGTCCTTTTGACTCAACCTCTGCCTTTCTACAGCAAAACGAAGTTGCAAGCTCCAACGAAAATGTGTGGGATAAAGCAGAGGCGAAGGTGGTGGCAGCCATTTTGGGCTGCTTACCAACCTTGGATTCTCCGCCTGGCTTCGTTCTATGTCCCCATGATTTCGACTCGCAGAATGTCCTGGTGGATGACGAAGTTACTGTCACCGGGCTCATTGACTGGGACCTCGCCCAGACAATGCCACGAATTGTGGGATATGCCAGATACCCAGGGTGGATCACGCGCGATTGGGATCCTCTGATGTACGGCTGGCCAAAGACGGCTGAATCGGAGGACTCTCCAGTAACGTTAGAGCGGTACCGGGCATATTACAACACGGATCTCGGCAAGGCGCTGAAGTGGCAGGGTGACTGGAATTCCACCGATAAATCGCACATGGCCGAGGCAATATGGATTGCCGCGCTGCGCCGTCACAATCGTCTTGAGATATGTCGCAAGTTTGTTCAGGTTGCTGCAGGCGACGATATTAAAGCTTTAGATATCGTCTACGACATCGGAGCGGGACAATATGATGAAGAGAATTGGGGTATCTTGCAAACCAACTTACGGCGCTTAATACGTTCATGTTGATGGGTGGATTTTGTTGTTGGCCGCTGTTGATGAATCACATTGTGGGTTGCCGTCCCCTCTTTTAGCCGCCGAGATTTGGAAAAGTAGGCCACGCGCATCTCTTCGCAGTCGGCCCTAGTTCCGGTAGGGGCCTGGTGCAAGACAAGCGGCTATCCGCCTATGTGTAACTGTTGATAGAAACCACCTCGAGGTTGGATAGCATTTCATCACCCTAGTTCTTCCACTGTAAAAACAGCCAAGTATCTAATCTCAAGAACTCAGTAAACCAATCATTATCCAATGGCTACAGTAAGGCTGTCCAGGAACTACGCATCCCCTGCAATCGACCACACCATCACGCCAACAAACGGCTGACTTCATTCGTGAGCCCACCTTATCTCGGACCGGTTATGCGGCCATCCAGGGGAGGCGGACACACGGCTGTTGGGCCCCAGTATCACTTCATTGGATGTCAAGGCATGTTCAGGGCGTTTTGATCAGCCTTCCCAGGCAGTCATTGCTGGCTGTTTGTCGTGCTCGCCCGCCAACACACCTCGAGCACTAATATAAAGTCTGACCCTTTTCACAATGTAGTGATCATCACACGGCCATCCCATTCCCAACTCCAACCACTGCCTTTTCAATAGTTCTCGAGCCAGTACTAGACCGACGCGCTAAAAACACCAACATGACTGACAGTGGTGGTTTCATTAAAATTCGACCACCGAAGAAGAGGAGATTATGCGCAAGGCGGCCGATGAATCTAAGAAGCACCGGGAGGACGAAAAGAAGAGGCAGGACATGGAAGACATGATGAAAAGGGCGGGAGACGACTCTAAGAAACGAAGGGGTGGCGGAGGAGGTGGCGGAGGGGGCGGATCCTCCACTACATGAAATAGAAGCTGGCATCCCGCCGAGGTACGCTGCAGGAGTAACTCTACGCAAGGTCAACGTTCTAACATAAATGCCCAGGATGTATGGACGACAGCTATAGCGAATACCAGTCTTAGGAAAAGGGGGGCTGGGGGGGGGGGGGGGGGGGGGGGCCACAACCTTGGGAGGGGGGGTGCCCCCGGGGGGCCCGGTGTGGGTGACGGGGCCCCGCCCATTTGGGGTTTTGATACCCCCCAAGATCTGGAA